ATTCCACATCTTCCCCCGAAACCATCCCCCATCTTCAGCCCCTCCTAAACCTCCCGCCCCCATTAATGTATGTCCTCGATACATCTAGAGCCATCCTCGATACATCTAGAGACTCCCTGATAGATAGATAGATAGATAAATAGATAAATAAATAAGTAGGTAAGTAAGTAGGTAAGCAAGCAAGTAGACCCCATTCTTCCCTAAAACCCCCCAAAATCAAGACACATCAGAAGTACATCATATATATTCCAGCCCACAGACACCCACATCCGCCCAACACCTCCAACAACAATCCCACACTCCCTATCCTTGCCACCCTTCTTCACCTGCCCACACTCCTGTAATATGACACATCCCCTTTAAGACAAACAGACAGAAACTCTGCTTCCTTCTCAGAGCCCCCGATACACCGAGAATCCTTTCGGGCTCCGGCATCCAGCACTTCCACCACCCACAGTCAGTGCCATCCATCCCACCTCACAGCCCTTTCCTTACCCAATCAGTCGGCATCTCAGAGCCCCTGTGTTTGCCACAGCCACGCCAAAAGATCCCCCGATGTCGCCACAATCAACAGTCTCCCACAATCACATCCGGCAACCTACAAAGCCTACGACAGACAACCGAATTCCTTTCAGCCCATAAGAAGAACCCGTTCCCCTCACAATTCCCCTGTACCCAAGCACATTTTTGCCCCGAGAACCTGGCGCCAAATCCCCTATTTATAACCCATTTGTGCAAGGATNNNCCAACACACATCCCGCCCACAGATCCAACACAACCGTGTCAAAACACCGCTCGCAAAGTTGACCTCAACTATCGCGAAAGGGCCTTTGCACAGGAGGAGCACCATGGGACGCCACAGGGCCGCCTATCACCGATGCTATAGGAGATCAAGCAAAGAATCGTCCGCCATCATCCCTTGCAAGACAAGAACCTACTCGACGGTATCAGAAACGGCCTGGAGACAAACGAACCCAAGCCCCAACGAACTGCTGCTGTCGATGCTGCCACCAGTGCCTCGACGCCCTAGAGGAGGCTGTCGTCCACTTCACGCCCCTCTTCTAAACAAGATGCCACAGACTTTTCCTGCTGCTTCCGAGCGGCCAATGCCCTCTCGACGACTATCCAAGGCCACTCAAAACGTTCAAACACGCCCTTCGGAGCGCCCTGCCCCATGTCACCGAAGGCCCGGACCAAGAGGTCCAGGAGGTCGAGATCCCCCAGAGGCTTGCCATCCTTGGTCTCTTGGCCCCGAGCTTGGTCTCTTGGCCCCGAGCGAGGTGCAGTTCGACTGCCTCGAAGCCAGCCGGACCTGGAACACCTTCATCGGTGCATACACGAAATAAGCCTCAAGCCCTCTACCTTCCCCATGGCATTGATACGCCTCTCTTCAGAGACAGTCAGGCGAGCCGTCCAGAAAAGCCGATCGCCAAACGTCCCAGAACCCCAGAGAGCGCAACCCCACGAGATTCTTCGGGATGCCACCACCGCCTTCGACTCCCTGCCCAAAAGCTCAAGTCCCTCAGGACATCATGTGCCCAAGCCGTCGATGATCTTCAAAGGAATCGAGGCCTTTTCTGCTGCATTCGATGAACGATGAACTAAGCCGGATGCTGCACGAAGCAGAGCATGCTGCACGAAGCAGAGAAGAACCCGTCCGCCCGAACGAAAGGACTGCCAATCTCGGAAGGGCCCTCTCCCCTCATAAGACTGCGTGGACTCCCATGCTCCATGCTCACTGCCATCCGTGCTTTCCTTCACCTTGCTAACCAACGACGAAACCAGGGCGAACACAGGATCAAACACTGCACCGTACTCGCCGCGCCATCACGCACCAGACCCGGAGACTGCACCGAGCTGTTTGATGACCGTGCCCACCGCCCTGCCTCGTGCCCATCAATCAGCCCGCGACTACTCCACTCCATGACTGCACAAGAGGCTCCGGCGATACGACTGCCACTGCTGCTCATAGTCGGCTGAACACACGTCCCCCAGCGCCTGCCTGCTTGCCCGATTAAAGACATGTGAATATCCCCTCTTGAGCATCCGTGTGCTGGGCAGCAGTCCTTGCACGTCTCCGATCGATGGCCGCGCCCACCCAACTCCCCGAGACTGCCAAGCCAAAGCACTCCAACCAATCTGAAGCCGGTCCAGCCCCACTGGCTTCTCCAACAGCCCCCATGCCACGCCCTGCATCCCATCTAGCACCCATGCCTTCAGATCATCCAGACTTCCGATCCAAGTCCGCTCGTCTTAGATGCCAACCGCCCCGTACAAACAACTGCGGCACATTCAAACAACCACCGTCAGTCGCTGCCACTAGCCGTCCAAAGCCAGGCAACCCATTCCTCCAGCCCCCAACCAAAGGCACGCCTCCCCCAAAGAAGAAGAAGAAGAACCACACAGAAGGATGCCACACACACGAAGCCAATCCAGAACCAAACACCAAACACACAGAAACAGAGTCCCCCAAACCACAAACTTCTACACAGCATCACACTCCCATAACTATCCCTTCCTCCCTCCTTAGCCAGAACACCCAGAGAGAGAAAAGAGGCCTGCCACTCCTAACATCAAGGCCAAGCACCATCCCAGCAAACACTTATCAACCACAATCTCCGCACATCCACTCACACACCCCGCTCCAGCGCCCCATCTCCACTGCCCTCCTCCACCAAAACCTCCACATCCGAGCTCGGAACATCCGACACACAGGCAGACTCCACGGAAGCCCCACAAAAGGTGCCCAGACAGCCCAACAAGCACAGCCACATCCTCCAAAACAGCTAGCAACCCTCTAGCCGGCCTCTCCTCATCCTATAAATCAACCATAACGAATGCTCTCATCCCCTCTCCCGCAAAGCCTCCGCCATCATCTTCTCCATCCAATCATCCGGAGTCCCACACAACTCCTGCAGAACATCCGAGCTTCCCTCAGAGCCGCATCCCAAAAGCCAGGCCCTTGTCCATCCGCCCCTCCGCCAGGGAGCGGACATCGCCAGAACCCTGCCCCAACCCAAAGACACACATCCCCAGTCGCAGGACCAAATCCCCTGCACCTCAACACATCAGAGCCTGCCACAAAGCCCGCTGCGAGAGTCGCAAGGACAACCAACCCCAAGCAAAGGCCATCACTTCCACTCTCCTCCCTGTCCAAACCCACAGAAATACTCCGCATCGCCCTTTTCCGTCTTGATCGGCTGCCTCCACCGCCGCACAGCCTCTCTATCCCAATCGCCGGGCCCTCCCATCAGCCATCAAGAATCTCACCCACCTCAAGCTCCTTGCCAGGAAGGACATACCTGCACACCCCGCAGTCTCCAGCCATTCCGACAGAGAGACACCTAACCTCACCAACCAATTCTATCCATAGACGCAATTAAGACCTCGCTTCCATTGGAAACACACCTCATCCATCATCCGGGACCCCACCGAGAGTCCAAAGCCCGCCCCTGCCACTCTCTGGATAGACAGCACTGCACCGCCTGCCCTACTTCCCGAGGTCCCGCCCCACGCCCTTGCAAAGCACAGGAAGCCCCCCACGCCCTACTCCCAGCTCCCGAGATGCATTTGCGCCCTTCACCACAATCTCCACAAAGCGCCTGCTGCAATCCAGAGCTTCCAGCAACAGAGCCGCCGACCCCTGCCGAACATCCGACAGCCTTCCGCAGATCCCAAGCGCCTTCCCGCACACCTCGCACCTTCTCCCGAGAAACCCTGCACATCCTCCGCGAGAACCGTTGTCTTGCAGTTTCCAAAGTCGTCCACACACCAGACATACCGCCCAAGACCCCCGCCTCCCAGGCAGCGAGTAACCGGGCACATCGCACCGCAAAGCACCCAGCACGCCGCCAGAGCTGCAAACTCAAAGCTCCTAACCCGTGTGTTGGCCATCCGCTCCGCATCCCCTCTCCGAAGCACTCCCCACGGCACTGCACTCTCCACGACATCCGCCACCGAAAGAAGCTCCACCCTCTCAACAATCCCAAGGGAGCGAACAAGAGAAAGACACCGCCCCTCATACAACCCACAGTCCTAGAGCCTCTGCCTCATCCAGTCCTCTCTCCCCATAACATTTCCAGCTCTACAGACCACCCAGACCCTAGCCCCGCCATCAAACCCAGTCCCCCCAACAATACACGCCATATCCTACTCACAACGAAGTCCCTACTACTAATTCTCACACACCCAATCATATCAGCATATCCATTTCATCCATACTTTTCTTTTACCCCACATGAACATCACATACGTTCCAGAGATACACAGAACTGACAAGCAACACACCGAAAACCTGCGACACTGGAGGAAGATCCTCGGCATTGCTCCATTCGTCTCAATTGTATTCCCTGCCATCATGTGCCTCATCTTCACCAAAGATCGCTTTGAAAAGAGTCCTTTCCTCAAATTCATTATACTACTCCTCCCCTTTTCATACTCAGCGGTACAGTATGCCTTACTCCGCACCAACTGGAAGTCAGATAACAAACCAGAAGGCATCCTGCAAAGCATACTCTACCACACCCTCAGTCTCCTGCTTCTTGCATTCGCCGCCATCTCCATCCTTTCAATCACTGCATTCACCCTCGATAAATGGGAAAGTAGTGAATCAATCTTCTTTTCTATCGTCCTTCCCTCTTTCTTCATCCCACCCACCTATCTCCTCTCCACCTCCTGCCGCCTTGTTCCAGGACAGATTGGATTCACAGACACCGGTATCAACGTCCTTATCGACATCCCGATCCTACTATGCCCTCTAGTAAGTTTAGTACTTATCATTGCCCTCGAAGAAACCGAGTGTTGTTATTACTCTGCAATCATATCTTCTGTATTCATCCTGATACGATTGCTCAGGGAGAAGTACAGCCCATCCGAAAAGAGTACTCTGCCTACTGCACCATGGAGAGTGGCCATCCTTGTCCTCATCCTTACCCTTGCTGCTCTTATCTACGCATTCATGATGTGGGGATCTATGGACATCCTAAATGATCACTTTGGTCTACTTAATAAGCTAAAGAGAGTCTTTCCTTTCACCAACGCCTGATTAATAAACAACCCTCATTCTATCACATGTTCTAACGCCAACACAGACCATTCATTTCACCCCTCATCACAATCAGCATGCATAAACGCACATATGTCTACTAAACAACCTGAGGAACTCCACAGGTCAAAGAGGCCGTAGTGAAGAACAGAACACAAGCATAATACCATTTGTTTTATTCATCATCACATTACATCACACCACTCAGATCACACATGGCCTGCGATGAATCGTGAGACGACGGAGAATCTCAGAGGTGTCAGAGGGATTCCTCCACACTACTTGGAATACATCAGCTGCCTTCACTGTTTCAAATGTTACTCCTGGAGGATACACAAACTTACTCTCATCTTGGTATTCCTTATCCTCATCTATCTTCTCAATATCATTAGCCTTGACAAACTCTGGGCTCATAACACCCCCTAACTCCTCGAGATCTGTGGGACGAAACATCAGGTGGTACACAACTGGGCATCCACCAGGGTCCTTGAACGTCCCAACCTCCACCACTCCTGACACCTTCCTTCCTCCGCACTCAAGAACTCCAATCGCCACCAGACGGCCTCGAGAACTCCCGCCCTTGGTGTGCTCTCCTGCATCCATGAAGAACTTGTTCGCATCTGGGCTCTTGAGGAGTGAGACGACACCCACTATATCATGCAGCATCTTCTGCTCCTTGATCTCCTCCACACTCTTACCCCTCCACTTCTTCTCATAGCCCTCATCCAACTCATACTTGATCCTTTCAGTACTCTTCCACCGGAGAACCCGATGATGCACCCCATAACAGTATCCATTCCCTTTACCCTTTTCTTTCGATCTCTTCTGCTTGCATCGGATCCCTCTAACTGCCATCTCTTCCAGCAGAACTTCTACCTCCACACAGTCTCCTGCTCCTCCAGGACCTTTCTTCTCCTCTCTCTCCTCCTTAACCTCTCCTGCACCCTTCTTACCTCCCTTCTTCTTGCCTTTCCCTTCAAGGCCTTTTTCTTTATTCTTACTCCTCCTTCTTTCTGTTCCTCCCACAATCCCTCACCAGTTCCCAAAATTCGCCTATCGGTCCACGGCAATCACACAAACTCTTCCCTTTCTCCACAAATGCAATTCCCAGCACTCACAGTCAGTGAATCGATAACTTCTGTTCTCTCTGATAAATAAACTCCTACTAATTCCACCAATCAGACAGATGTCAATGAATGTGTGCAATCTCAACAGCATATACCATATCACGCCATAGCAAAAATCCATTAAACGCCCTCATATCCTATCATCTGTCTATCGAGTCAATTACGCTGATACATCGGTTTTATACACATTTTTTCTTTGCCCCATATGAACGCAACACACATTTTAGAATCACACGAGGCTAATGAACAGCACCATGCTACGAATCGGTCATACTGGGAGGTAACTTACAACATCCTCGTCATTATGTCAATTGTATTCTCGATGGCCACGTACCTCATCCTTGACAAAGATCGTTTCGAAAAGAATCCTTTACTCAGATTTGCCATTATACTCCTTCCGCTTTCATGCTCAGCAATCCAATATCTTTTTCTTCTCTACACCAACTGGAAGTCAAATTACGAGCCTGAGGGCACATTGCACAAGGCACTCTACTACTTTTTCAACGTTCTCCTCATCGCATTTGCTATTATCTCCATTCTTTCGATTATTGTACTTCCTATCAATGGATGGAAAGGTGATGATTTACTCTCTTCTATCGTCCTTCCCTCTTTCTTCATCCCACCCACCTATCTCCTCTCCACCTCCTGCTGCCTTGTTCCAGGACAGATTGGATTCACAGACACCGGTATCAATGTCCTTATCGACATCCTGATACTGCTATGCCCTCTAGTAAGTTTAGTACTTATCCCAGAAGAACCCAAGTACCGTCTTATCCCTGCAATCCTATTTCCCGTACTCATCCTGATACGATTGCTCCGGGAGAAGTACTACCCATCTGGAAAGAGTGCTCTGCCTACTGCACCATGGAGAGTGGCTGTCTTTGTCCTCATCCTTATCATTGCTGTTTTTGCCTACGCGCTTATGGTGTGGGGATCTATGGTCATCCTAAATAATCACTTTGGCCTACTTGATATAAGCTAAAGAGAATCTCCTGATTCACCAAGGCCCGATAAATAAACAGCTCTCCACTCCATCACACTCTTATACCAACACAGACCATCCCTGACAACCAGATGGCGGATCGCTCTGCTCTCCAACTGCAGCCAACATGCACAAACAGACCCCACCATACAAGCGCATACAGGAGATTGGCCCATAAACCAAAGCATGTGTAGCAGAGAACAGGACACAAGCATAACACTATTTGCTTTATTCATCATCGCACCACACCACTCAGATCACACATGGCCTGCAATAAACAATAAGACGACGGAGAACCTCAGAGGTATCCGAAGGATTCTTCCACACTATCTGAAATGATCCTGTCTCCTTCACCGTTTCAAACCTTACTCCTTTTGGATACACAAACTTGTCCGCATCCTCACATTCTTCACCCTCGTCTACCCTGCCTACATCACTTGCTTCAACAACCCCTGGGTTTATAACATCTCCTATCGACCCTATACTGGTTGGCCTGAACCTCAGGTGGTACACAACCGGACATCCATCCCCATCCTTGAACGTCCCAACCTCCACCACTCCTGTCATCCTCTGTCCCCCAGTCTCAAGAGCTCCAATCGCCACCATCCTCTGCCTCTCACTCCCGCCCTTCATGTGCTCTCCTGCATCCATGAAGAATCTGTCTGCATCTTCACTCCTGAGAAGTTCCAGCACACCCGTTATATCATGCACTATTTTCTGCTCCTTGATCTCTTCAAGAGACCTTCCCTTCCACCTCTCCTCACTTCCCCTGTCCCACTCCTCCTTGATCTTCTCTGGGCTCTTTCTCCACCGGAGAACCCTACTGTGGATCTTGAAGCGCTTCTGGTCACCCTTGCTCTTCTTACCTGTCTTCCTACGTGCTCCTCCAACCTCCACGGACGGTATCCCAACCTCCTCACTCGCCTCCACCTCCTCTGTCCCGCTCTCCTTCTTCTCCTCTTCCTTGGCCTCAGAGACTCCCACACTCTTCTTCTTCCCCTTCTTCTTGCTTTTTGCCTTCTCCTCGTCCCTCAGAAGCTCTTTCATATTCTTTTCTATCTCCCTTTCTCTTCTTCTCTGTCTTTCTCTGACTACACCTGCAACCCTGTCTACATATCTTTTGTCTATTTCCTCTCCCTTCTTCCCCAGCAGCATCTGCATGACCAACTCCTTCATAACCTCTCCCCCGTGTTCTTTACGTGCACCTAACAACACCTTGGCGCTAATAGTAATATACTCTAAGTATCCTCTACTACTGATTTCATCTTCACCAAGCTTCACTTTCAAAGACTTTCTCATGATTCCCTCAGCAAACAGTCCCATCAGCTCCTCCTCTTTCAAATCGAGGCAGATCTCCTTGCATGCATTACAAGCTATCTTTTCTAGCTCAATCAACTGTCTCCATTTTTCTGTATCACGGAAAGATTCTCCGCATTTCTTAATACCATTTAAAAATACTTCCCACTCCTCCTTCTTTTTTTTATCCAAGTCATGAGGCATGTCTTCTATCATGTCATTGGCTTTTTTCGTGATATCCGACCCATATTTTAGTATATAGTTACCTCTTTTGTCATTGAATTTAAACATTCTTTCGTATATCATTTCCAACAACTCGCCAAAGCTTTTGTTCCCTTTCATGTATATCTTTGTTGCATCTAAAGATATCTCCTTCAAATATCCTTCCATTATTTCATCAAACGATCTTTGGAATCGGTTATCATCCGCACATACTATACGGCCAACCGTAAAATTCCATATAACATGAGAGATGCTACCAAGAAAATCTATGACATCCTCCACCAGATAGGTTCGCTTCCTATCCAAGTCCCTATATCTGGTTGTTGATAATGCAATGATGTTATTCCCTTTGAAGATAAACGGGAACAGTATTATTTGATCACCTGGTTCCAATTCGAAAGTATCATAATGCTCCACTTGTGAGGAGCAATATACTGTGCCAATCAAAGTAATAAACCTCCATATCGCATGCTTCCGTGCCATAGGGCAGATCTTCCCCTTACTTGATGTAATACTGCTATCTCCTTTCCTCAATATAAATACAACTTGGTCTTTACTAATTATTTCATACAGGATCTCCATCTCATTGGATGAACTCAGAGATAGTGAAATGATGACTATTTCTGAGGCACAATGCACCAAACTAAGAAGTATTGTAATTTTACATACGGATAGTGCAAAGTATTAGAAAGTTTCACAGCGGTAAATCATCAGACTGTTTAATTATAGGGCCCCTTCCCTCTGGTATAGTCCTCAATTCTTTTTCTAAGTTCCTTAACGTCTTTGGAGATCTCCAGGACTTCATCAATCTCCTTTGCAGTGAAACATGAACTGTTGAAACAATCGGCAAATACTGCAAATGCCACTTCTCCTCTTTCGATTTCATCCTTGTCGTCGGAATCCAGTCCTATCTCTCTGCTCAAAATCTCTGTTTTTTCGATGTACATAACCTCCATCCTGAAGAACTCAATTCTTATTCTTGAGCTTCTGCTGTTCATTCTGATTCCTTTGAGGAACATAGCTCTGGAACTCTCAATATCTCCTATTTCGAACAGCTTGAATGCGCAATATATCCAAAGATCAACGTCCAAGGGGTTTTTTGTGCAGCATTCTGCAAACACGTTTTTCATCTCCCCGTACATTTTCTTTTTTATTACGTATGCGGCGAACTGGGAAATTATCTTTGGGTCGTTGAATCTATATAAAGCAGATCTATACAGCTCCACTATTTTTTTTGGTATGCTCATGTCGTGGAATGATGCCCCTACTTTTTTTTCTTTTACTCTTTTGTCTCTTATTTTTTCCAGTATGCACTCACTCTTTATGTACCGCATAAAGTCCAAAAGTTTCTTTTCTGGCCTCTGGAGTCTGAGCTCGTACTTTCTCCTGGTCTCTACGATTCTTCTTAGTTCGTCTGGAGAGAATATTCCTCGGCTTTTGTAATCCTCAAGCTCGGAGATCATCCTTTCCATGCCCAGCTGTATGTTTTCTACCATGGGCCTTTCCTCTCTTCCTATTTTGTGCTTGAACCAAATTTTTCAGAACTCGGAGACGGATTTTCTGCAGCCCATGATCAAAAAGGTCGAGGAAGATGAGATAGACATAAGGATCAGGAGGATATCTTTCAGCTTGCTATCACCGCAGGAAATTTCGGATCTATCTGTGCACGAGATTTCCAGTAAGGACTTGTATGATATAAGCACGAGGGCGCCTTTGCCAAACGGCCCTTTAGACTTGAGACTGGGCGTTGGAAACAAGAAGGACAAGTGCGCGACATGTGGCGAAGGATTGGCCACGTGCATTGGACATTTTGGTGAGGTTAGACTTGTACTCCCTGTTTTCAATGTGGGCTTGATCAAGAACACAATCTCCACGTTGAACTGTCTCTGCAAAAGCTGTGGATCTATCCTTCTTAACGAGAAGAAGAAGATTTACTTCAAAAAGAAACTACGAGAGAGCAGCGGTGGAAATGACACCAAGCTGATTCTAAGAAGGATTGTTGCTGAGTGCAAGAAGGTCAATGTCTGCTTTGTGTGCTCGTTTAGAAATGGGCAGATCAAGAAAACGTTCGGTTTCAGAATAGTCCACGAGGTTGAAGATTTGGAGAAGAGGAAGAAAGATAGAGGCAGTAAAGGCTCCGATGGGGTGCATTCTTCATGCTGTGAAGAAATAAATCCCCTGGTAGCACTTAATGTATTTAACATGATGAAGGAAGACGATTATGAGTTGCTTGGATTCTTGGAATCGCCGTCCCGGCTTATTATACAAAATGTCATAGTTCCTCCTTCTTGCATCCGCCCAAGTGTATCTATGGATGACGAGGGGACGAATGAGGACGACATAACGATTAAGATCAGCGAGATTGTGCATACTAACAAGGTATTAAGAGAAGGAATAGAAAAAGGGAATCCACTAAACCTGATAAATGAAGACTGGGATCATCTTCAGCTCCAATGTGCGCTACTCATCAACTCAGAGCTTCCGCAGATAGGAATTCCCGGGCAGCCTGTCAGGGGAATAGTCCAGAGGCTTAAGGGGAAGAATGGAAGGTTTAGGTGCAATCTAAGTGGAAAAAGGGTTGATTTCAGTGGAAGGACAGTTATTTCGCCCGACCCGAACCTGAGCATTGAGGAGGTAGGGATACCGGAAAGAATGGCAAAGATACTAACCATTTCTGAAAGGGTTACAAGGCTCAATAGAAGGAAGCTCCAGGCCTTGGTTCTGAACGGCCCCGAAAACTATCCTGGAGCCAATTATGTGGTTGGGGAGAAATTTAAGAGGTTTTTGATGTACGGCAAGAGAGACATAGAGCTCAAGTATGGGGAAGTTGTCGAGCGGCACTTGATGGATGGAGACATGGTCTTGTTCAACAGGCAGCCTTCTCTTCACCGTATGAGCATCATGTCCCATAAAGTTAGGGTTCATAGGAACAAAACTCTGAGATTTAACGAGTGTGTTTGTACGCCGTACAATGCAGACTTCGATGGAGATGAGATGAATGTCCATGTTCCTCAGACAGAAAAGGCGCGGGCCGAGGCATCTGTTTTAATGTCTGTTTCAAACAATATTGTTACTCCAAGACATGGTGAACCCATTGTAGCAGCCACGCAGGACTTCATCACTGGACTGTACCTGATAACTGGAAAAGACACCTTCTTCGACAGAGAAAGGTTTGGACAACTTGTAAGCTATTTTTCCGAAGCAAGGGTTGGTGTAAAGCCGGCAATAAGAAAGCCTGTGGAGTTGTTTACTGGAAAGCAACTTATAGAGGTTCTTATCAAGGATTCGTTCACTGCGAGTATTGAAAGAAATGCAGTTACAGGCAACATGGCTGTTTCTCTTGTAGGCAAAAACAGGTCATTCAAAACACACGATGACCCAAACGATGGGAGTGTGGCGATACTGGATAATTCGTACTATTTTGGACGCCTTGACAAGTCGATAGTAGGGGGAGAAAACAAGAGAGACAGTCTAATCTATGCTATTATGAAAGTGAGTAGCATGGCTGCAGTGAGAGCCATGAATAGCATAACAAAGTTGTGCTCAAGATATCTAGGAGAGACAGGATTCAGCATAGGACTTGATGACGTACAGCCTGGGCCGATACTGCGGCAGAAGAAGGAAATGGTTGTCAGAAGGGGATACGCAGAATGCGAAAGCAAGATTTTGGAGTACTCGAAAAAGCCTGAGGCCAACGAGGAAATGCTAGAAATGGAAATATCTTCTATTCTCAACCGGATCAGAGAAGAATGCGGGTCTATATGTATAAAGGAGCTAGGCATCAGAAATTCCCCGAACATTATGCAGGCATGCGGATCAAAAGGTTCGAAGATCAATGTTTCTCAAATGGTTGCATGTGTAGGACAGCAGATTGTGAGTGGAACTAGGATTCCAAATGGAATGGACGAAAGATGCCTTCCTCACTTCAAAAGAGGATCCAGAACTCCAGAGTCTAAAGGATTTGTGTTGAATTCCTTTTTTGATGGACTAACATCACCAGAGTTTTTCTTCCATGCAGTGAGCGGAAGAGAAGGTCTTGTTGACACGGCAGTGAAGACGGCAGAAACAGGATACATGCAAAGGCGTCTCATGAAAGCTCTTGAGGACCTAAGCATTCAGTATGACGGCAGTGTTAGAAATTCGAACATGGAGGTGGTCCAGTTTGCTTATGGGGAGGATCAGATTGATCCTGCGATGTCAGAGGGGGACGAGTCCATTAACCTTGAGCAGGTGTTTTTGAGAGCCAAGTCCTCATTCCTGCACAGCCTTGGACCGAGTCCAGATCTATATTCCTCCTGGTTGGATGAGCATGGTACAATTGACATCCTCAGGAGGTTAACACCGAAGGGGTATCCTTTTGAGCACATAGCTAACAGAAGATTTGTGGGGAGCCTTTTAAGGTTCATGGAATCGAAACATGAAGACAAATTTTGCTTTGGTGGGACTTTCTATCGGTATTTCTTGTCCAAGGACTTCATAGAGACCTTTTTTTCTATGGTATCGCAGAAAATGATGAATCTAATCGTTGAGCCGGGAACGACAGTTGGAGCAATAGCTGGGCAGAGCATTGGAGAGCCAGGAACCCAGATGACATTGAAAACATTCCACTTCGCTGGAGTTGCTAGCATGAACATTACTCTTGGAGTTCCCAGGCTGAAAGAGATAATTAATGCTGTTTGTAACATCAGCACACCTATTATAAACGCTGAGCTGGATGACCCACATGACTTATTCCGCACCGAGGTTATAAAAGGCCGGCTTGACAGAATTTCTCTAAAAGACGTGTGCTCCTCCCTAACAGAGGTCATCAGTAAAGATGAGATCTTCCTCGACATCCGCGTAGATTTGGAGAGTCTTTCCCGCCTGAAGCTAAATCTAGACATCCACAAGATCGAAAAGTTGCTAAATAATCACGACCAGGTAAGGGTTGTGAATGAAAATACTCTTAGGGTATCTATCAAGAAAATCACTGACCAGAGCTACTTCAACCTTCAAAGAATCAAGAAGAAACTGCTGAACACAAAAATTTGTGGTGCTCCCCAGGTCAACAGAGTAATTATAAACAGCAGTAGAGGCCTGTACAGTCTTGTGATTGAAGGACGTGGATTGCTAAATGTCATAAACATAGATGGAGTAAAAGCTATAAATACCACTAGCAACAGCATAACAGAAGTGGAAGAGGTATTAGGAATTGAGGCTGCAAGGGCCCAAATAATCCATGAAATCGAGTATACCATAAGCAACCACGGTATCAAGATAGATCCTAGGCACATAATGCTTCTGGCAGACACGATGACATATAGAGGGGAGGTTTTTGGGATAACAAGATTTGGAATCTCAAAGATGTCAAGATCCACCCTTATGCTGGCATCCTTCGAGCAGACCAGCGACTATTTGTTTGAGGCGGCCGTCCAAAGCAAATCCGACGAGATATGCGGCGTTAGCGAGTCTATAATTCTCGGCATTCCCATTTGTATCGGCACTGGGTCCATGGACCTATATTGGAACAGCGGCACCTGACAGCAGTCTTTCAATAAATTCTTTCGTTTGCTGTATCTCTCTAATACATCCAGCGAATCCATCCCATCGAATGTCAATACACGAAGTGAGCAAGGCCATCGACAGGTTTGCCTCTCTACGAAGAGCCAAGACTGACTGGGATAACGTGGGGGTGATAGTAGACTCCGGCACGCAGGACAAAAAGATTCTTCTAACGATAGATCTAACAGAACCTGTACTGGAAGAGTGTATTCACCTTGGCGTCAAGAATGTTGTTGCATATCATCCCATAATATTCAAGGCTGTAAAAAAGCTTGGGTCTAAGGAATCTATAGTTATTGGGTGCATCAAGAATGGGATTAACGTCTTCACACCACACAGCGCGTTGGATCCACTGATGAACACCTATGTATACAACATGATTAACAGTGGGCCTTTCTTCTACAAAAAGAACTGCGGGCCCAATACCTCAACTATAGGAAATGCCATAAGAATTCTTAAGGAGAGAAGCGGTCTGGAGAGTTTCAGGATATGTCTGGCAAGAGAGCATACAATGGAAAGTGTTCCGGAGTTTATGCATGTCGGCGTGGGAGCAACATTCCGAAACGTGCTTCTTAAGAATTCGATTGTTATCACCGGAGAAATGTCTCACCACGATCTTCTGTCGTGCATTGCAAATGGTGCAAGCGTTATTCTAATGGAGCACAGCAACAGTGAAAGGATATGCCTAGGGCATATCTCGGCAAAACTGAAGGAGGAGCTTCCCGAGTACGAGATATTTGTTTCAAAGAATGACAAGGACCCGGTTACAATACTGTGAGTCCGAGGCAGTGAGGACAAGAAGATCTTATTTGCCAAAAATTTTCACCCTCGAAGATGGAATATGTTGCAGCCTATGTCATGTTTGATAAGGTGGGAAAAGAACTCAATGAGAGGTCTATGACAGAGCTATTCAACGAGATAGGCGCTGAGATTGAGCCTGAGACCATGCGTCTGTTTCTGTCTAAGGTTTCTGGTAAAAGCATGGACGAGGTGATGTCTAAGGGTAAGGAACTCATGGCTTCTCTCGCAATTTCATCGTCCCAAAAGTCGGAGCCAGCCCAACCTGCAGACACAGCCGAATCAACTCAGGCCACGGAAAACAAAGAAGAGGAAGACGAAGACTTCGACATCTTTGCCGCATTTTAATTAAAATGTCCTTCCTGAACCTATTTTTCTTATCCCCTGTTTTATTTTCTCCTTCTCAATTTAGCTGAGTTAAAAGCATAGCTGGAATCCCTTCTATGAGCAGATGCGAATACTGCAAGTCCAGAAACATGTTGCCTCTCAATGGAAAGTACTATTGTGAGGAATGCGAAATATACTACATATACAAAGACAAGAAGCAGGAATATTCTAATCTCCCCATAGAAGAAATAGGACAGATGACGGTTGGGAATCATCTTTGCAGAAAGTGTAAATTAAAATACTCGGGAAAGAAAAGCATCGCGTGTACAACGTTTCGCGAATACTTCAAGAAACTTCCCATGTGTAAGAGATGTAAGAAAAGCAACGAGAGATGCATAAAGAATGCATTCTTCAAAAACTTCATACTCTACAAGACTTATGGTCGGGTGTTTTCGATACGATACATTATATTTCACACCTTATTGTTCTACTTGGTGGGCAGCTCCATCCTTTATAGACTTTTTGCAATCAATCTGATTACTTACCAAAAGAGAGGATTCAGGCTCTACGAGTGCCTATTCAATTCCATTCTTACTGCTACTCTTGGATACTGGAGATGGGGCGTCATTCCGTTGTACCTGTACTGTTTGTTTTCAATGGTGTGGTCTAACAGGTGGCACTATAGAGTCCCAGTCGACCTGGACGGCCCTCCTCCGAACATCCTAGAATACTTGGAGCATCTCAACATAGGAGGAAAGAAGGATTGGCAGGGTTGACTCGAACAAAGCCCAATAGAAGTTTTAATGACTAAACATAATCAAAGCTTATTCAACCTTTTGTTTCTTTGCCGGACTTTCATTATTGTTCCTAGGCACTTCCTCGCTAGGACTTTCCTCCTCCCACTCTATCTCAAATAGGTTAATCACTGGGGGATCCATTAGCTTCATCTCGATCTGCTTTTTGTCAATCCTAAAACCGCAGTAGTCAACCACGTCCTCACCTCCATCACTTCCCTCGGCTTCTTCTCCAACGCTCTTGTTAAGCTCTCTGTTGACTTCGGAGTAGGAGTCGGACCCAACCTTTTCGTCTTCCTCCTCTTCTCTTCCCTCTGACTCAAACAACCTTTCTTTTCCTTCGTTGCCTACATCCTCAACCGCCTCCATGAACGTCCTTGGCTCCGCTTCTTCGTTGTCTTCATCCTTGTCCTCCACTATGCAGCTTGACTCCTCAGATCCCTCTTCGCTCCCCAGCTCTTCCTCCACGTCCTCTTCATCTTCCTCTTCCTTGTCCCCAATCTCCTCAGATGGCTCTTCCACATCACTCTTCATAAGCTTAGTGCTAGGTATTCCTGGATATCCCACATCGACAATATATCCTATCCTGATAAACTGCTGTCCTTTGTACCTCCCAACGATGAGAATGGACGTCAGCCCAAACATCTCATCTAACGGTATCTTATTCACATCGGGAGCATCAGCATCAATGCTAAACTCAATCTTCCCTTTGGGAATAGGTGCAACCTCGATCTCTGCAAGCACCTGATCATTTTCGTCAGAATGCACATCCATGTTGTACAGAACGACAAACTCGACCCCACACTTTATCTCCTCAAAACATACAAACCGAAGATTGAATTTGAGTGGATCTCCTAGCTTCTTTACGGTGCTGTCCACCTCAATGCTTTTGAGCTTCAAATGTCCCATCGTCTTGGAAAGAAGGATTAAATTTTTAAGGTTAAAAGAAAAGCATGACACGCCAATAGAAATAAAAAAATTCATGCTGTGGGGCCAATTATGGCAGTTAAGGAAGAAAAGAAGACTTGTGTCCGCCATACTGCAGGACTTGGGGATGTACTGCCTCTCCTGAACTCGGCAGGGGAAGACGAAAGAATTGTTCTTGAAGGCAATATCCTCAAGGCTCTGGAGGCTGCATTCAACGAATCATCAGACCAGCTGGTTCTCCACTTGAAAGAATGTAAAGCCCACCGGCTTGGACATCTTCATAAGGAAGCTATCAAAGCGTTTATGAAGAATAACGAGTTGGTAAATGAATATGTAGCATCGTTCTTTGCTTGGATAGTAGATTTACTTCCAATAAGCTTCATTGAGATATTTTTTGAGGAAGAGGATGCCGTCTGCAAATATTACAGAAGGGTCTTTACGAAGCTTTACAGAAGCTACAGAGTTACAGAATCTAGACTGTCTGTGGAAGAGCACGACCCAGACACTTTGAGGAATATAACCAAGCCTAAGATAACAGAGTTGGCAAAGTATCCTGGAGCTATTGCCTATCTAGTCAGGAACTTGATGCACATGAATGAGGAAGAAAGGTTGTTTTTGATCACAAAACATCTGAAGCGCGGGGATCTTGAGTATTACCTGAACATGCTCATTGACAGCTCTCAGAACCCTGAAAAATACATGATGCATCTCCATGATTATCTTAACAACAGGGCTCCTGGAGAAAGGTCTTCAAAATATTCGGTATTTATGAACGTCTACAGCTTCATCAAAAAGAACGGCCATAGAGTGGTTGAAGATGTCACAGCTGTACAGAGGGTATTTGATGACTACAGTGTAAAAGAACTTCTCAAAAGTGACATTGGTACTATCTTTTTTGCCCAAACCATAAGCCACGTTGCTGAATATGCAGGGTGTGTGGGAAAATGCAGGGACATTGTTCATGAGGCTCTAGAATCGAATGTTTCGAGGGATGTGAGCAAAATCCTATGGAACACCTTGGTTATGGATAGAAACACATTTATAGAATGCATAGATAAATTTAAGGTTTTTGAAGATGAGGACTTGGGAAGAATTCTTCTTTATGGCAATAGAGGCGGTGAGGGATATGGGCCATCCATATGCAGGTCTATAGCCTACGGAGACGGCATCTATAGGAAAGAAGCAATAGAATATGTTGTTGAGTCTTTTTCTGCGCGTGACATAATGGATGTCCTACTTAGGCAGGATAGCGACGAAAGAGGCTTCTTGTTAGAATGCATCTATAGAAAGGCCTTAGTGGCGGAATTTGACTTTAGGGTGTTTGAAATTGAAGACGAGGTGTGGGTAGACAAGATCTTCGACGAGATATTCAAGACCTTGGATTGCAACATTTATGACACATTGAATGAAAAAAGACCAGAATTAGCTTTTGACTACTGCTTTAGGCACAAGGATCTTCGTAGAAGGTACTTCGAGAAAATAGACAAAAAGAACTGTACAATCGAAGAAGGTATATGCATCCACAAAATCCTGAAATGCGAGCTTGAGCAGACAAAAGACCTGGGAGATGTATGCAGGTCGTATGCAGAAGCAGTTTATGGCGACAACGAAGGTGGGAATGAAGTGTATATGATAAGCACGCTTGTAGATCCTGTGTTTACCGGAGGTGTTGTCGAGTTCATTTATCTCCTTACATTGATACGTCCAGACGATGCAAAGTACTATGTATGCGAATATTTCGATGAAGTGTGTAGAATTGGAGCCAACAGTCTAGACGAGAAAGGCATTTCTGGGGATATAGATCATTCCGAAGTGCTCAGCCTCAACGATTTGAGCTTATTATGCTTGGTTCCTCTTCACCAGATGATCGGAACAATCTTTTCCACCCATCTGAAGAACAAATATCTAGTCTATACAGTCATGGATTCGCTTCTTGGATTTATATCCAAGAGCACCCAGCATTTGCGACTTACAATACTGAGGAACATGGATTCTAGCTCTGTTACGCCCCATCACATTGTTAGATTCATCGACACTCTCACACCTCTTCTTCATGACTCCAATATCCAGATCTGCAATGAGAGCAAGAGGCTTCTCATGGAAATACCTGTTACAACTCCAGAGCTGGCTTGTCTCAAATCCCAAATGGTCCAATCGATAGTAGACAAAATGTATGCCCGGTCTTTCTTTGGTGCAGTTAGAGGGCTGCAGTTTAGCCATTATCTTTGCTTCAATGGCCTGAACATGCTTGTGCAGACCCTCACCATGCATATCAAAGGCCTCAAGGAAGACGTCTTCTCTATCATTAATAGCCTGCAGTTTATTGCCCACCCCTCTGATCTGGAGCTGGTCTTCCCTGTCATATTTGAAAGCTTATCTTTGTTTGTTATCGAAAATGCATTCTACCTAGACGAGTGCTGCAGTGCTGCGTCGTCTCTGATGAAATTCGGGAGGAATGTTTCCTTTGACAAGTTGCTCGGCAATATGGGCCATTCCCTGCGGGTTAACAAGTTTCTGGTAAAATGCCTTAAAGCTTGCGACGACAGAGTTGTTGAGGGTGTCATCAACAGACTAATAAGAGAGGGATCCTGTAGTATGGATAATCCTAGGGGACAAGACCATCAACTCCTGGCCCATATAGAACCTTTTTTCTTGGCTTATGCTCCGGAGTTACCTGTTTTCAGAAAATACATTCCGGTGTTCGAGCCTCTTCTGAAAAGCTTATTTCTTAGCTCAGACATGGCAAAGCAGGAAATAGCATCCAAAGCCTTTGAGTCAATGGAAGTACTAGAGTTTCTTATGTTCTGCTGTATTGTTGGGCAGTGGAAAACAAGACTTCTTTGTATCGAACTATTCGATAAAAAGGGTGCTGAAGACAACAGAGTGCTGGCAATGCTGTTTATCCTGAGGAATGACACGCACTCGGCAATCAGGAAAAGAGCATTAGAAATATGGAAAGACAGGGTTGAGAACACCAACTCGGCGTTAAGGAACATCCATGGAACTGTGCTTGGGTGCCTGGGATACAAAGGAAGTACTAGCTCGTTCCATGATGCCATTATGGGTACTCTAAATGACCTGATTGGGAAGTACGACAAGTACATTGAAAAGTACTTAAGAGATGCCATAAATGTAGCGCATCCTGAGGATATCAACACTGACATGTTCAATCCACTTGGACTGGATGAAAGCGAAGAAGGGCTGAAAATCACCACCAGAAAGGAGGTAATCGAGACGATCCTGATAGAATGTGTCAAGTCTGGCAAGCACTTGGATTTGGCATTCGACTTTGGAACAAGGAATTCCTCAATCAGCCTTTTTCGCCACCTTCTCCAGATTCCACTGTACAGGGAAAAGGCTATTGAAGTGGTAGGCAACAGAATAGACGACCCAGCTATATCTGATCTATTTGTTGGTGATAGCCAGCTGGGAAGTGATCTTTTTAAGATGACTCGAAAAACCTTCTTGTTCAAGTTTTTGAGGAATTCTGACAAGATCAGTCTCCTCGAGGCTATGCTGTCCGAAGAAAAGCCAAATGATGGCCGCGTCGGGGAGCTTCTGGGGTATATGAAGTCATCAGAAAAACTAGAGCAGCTTCTCTTGGCATCAGATCCTCTATACACATCAATGTTTTATGGCTCTGGAGAAAAGTTAGACGACCATGGGCATCAGAAGGAGCTATTTCTTCGGGCATTCAACATTCTAGACCATCAGGAACTGAAGCCCTTAATCTCCCTAGGGTATCTGAATCTTCTTCTGGATGTTTCGTACAAGAACATCAAAGATCCTAGGTCTCTGATTGAGGTTCTCTGCACTTCAAATTCCCTTAGAGCCCTTGAAAGATTGGGCGATATCGTTTCGAACATAGAGCTTGGAGATTCCCTGTTCGCTCTAAGTGGGCATCTTCTCCGGAACTACCTTTTCTACGAAAAGAGAGAAACCGTGCTCCCGTCTCTTGGTCTCCTGTACCGGAAATACCGCGATAAATTGGGGGCCTTCAGGCTAACTCTTGAGCGTCTTCTTGATGACACTGCACAGCTTTGAATGTCTAGAGGAAACTTATTAATTCAACGGTCGTACTGGATATACAAATAAAAATTTATGATCCCGGATATTTGAAATGATTCTGACGAGAGTGGCTGAGAGGAAGCTGAATGCCTCACCCACGTCTCTGCACCTGGCCGAGGACAAGATATACATAGGTCTTAAAAAGAGATATATAATTGAGACGGAATATAATGCTCTGAAGCTCAGAAGAATACCGGTGAAGGAAAACATCAGGACCATGGTTGGATGTGAAAACAGTGTTTTTCTTTTTTCAGAGCAGGGGAATCTTTTTGTTTTTCCGTGCGATGATGGCAACGCCAGGAACAATGCTGTGATTAGCAAAAAGATTGTTAATACAGGGCTCTATGACCAGCCTTCCAGGCGTATTGTCATTGGCACAAGCCGGGGAAAGGCTCTGGTACTTAGCCAAGCTCTTGAGATACACAAAACATTCTACGAATCACCCTCAGGAATCATAGGTCTTTCCATATCTGATCTGGGAAAGCTGGCCTGCGTCTATGAAATCGACTCATCTGTAAGGGTCTTCGACCTGAAATCCTCGGATGTCAAGGAGATAAAGATACCCAATGGATTTCCACAGGCAGCTGCGTTTATTAGTAGCACGCATCTGGTGATCGGAAGCAGCATTGGAGAAATTTACCTTGTTGATACGGCTACTATGAGCATTCTATTCTCCTCAGCTGTTCCGCAACCAGTTTCAACTCTGCTCTGGAAGAACGGGCTCATGCTTATTGGAGGAGAGGATATGCTGTGTTTGTCCTCTGTTACAGAAGACGGGATTAATATCATCGAGAGCTGCAAATTCAATGGGTTTGTGAATGCAGTTTGCTTTAACGATAGCCACATTGTGGTGGGGATTGGGAAAGAGCCAAGACTCGGAAGGTGGAAGGTAAGAAAGGATGGAGAGCACAAGCTAGTTGTTCTAAAGACGGAATGACCTCCTCCAGGTGACTATGGATAAGCCTTTAGTTGGGAATCAGAACACCCCAATGAAGATAGTGCATACAGAAGATGGACTGCTTGCCATTGAGCATGGGGATGTAAGCAGAGGTCTAAGCAAACTGATTATGTTCGACCTGGATCTGACACTGATCTGTGCATCCTCCAATGAGACCTCTCACAACTGGAGATACCTGTTTCGTGAAGTGCCTGCTAAGATAAAGGAGCTAGATAAGCAGGGCTATTTGATCGGAATAGCCTCTAACCAATCACAACTTCTCCGTCTTAACAGCTTGGAAATGTTTATAGAAAAGATCTGTAGCATCCTGACAGATCTCGACGTTCCAATTGTCTTTCTAGCTGCTCTGAAGAAAAACGAATACAGAAAGCCATCTATAGGAATGTACGAATACATGTGCAGGAAGTACATTGATGAGTGCAAGATAACCAGGAAGGTTTATGTTGGGGATGCCGTGAACTCTTCTCTGGGCCCTGGACATACGAACTCATGCGATATTAAGTTTGCATACAATGCGGGAATGGAGTTCAAGCATCCAGTTGAGTTCTTCCGAGGAATCCGCGTGGTATATTTCGACAAATACCTTGACATTGAAAAGTACACAAAAGGATGTTTCGAGGCAGATGGCGAGAAAGAAATAGTGTTTGTGTTTGGAAGAAAAAAGCATTGTGGGAAAAGGTTCTTTGCTAAAAAGTACTTTCCCAATCACAGAATTATTTGTGAAAGTGAATTTCCTGGCAATCCAAGGAATTGTTTACTGATCAACTGTGAAAGCAAGCATTTTATTGAGACAGTCATCAACAAGTATCCCAGGCAATACTCAATGTACTACTTAGATTATCCGGAAGAGGTGATGAAATACCTCAAAACCCTGGCGATTCTTTCAGGCGAGGAAAGTGAAGGTTTTGCTCCGATTGACTCTATGGTGTCTGGTATTGTTAAAAGCCATGGGATTAAGGTTCCTTTTATATTTGATAACTCTGGATTCGGAAAAAGAAAACTAAAACTGTCTAGAATGCAGCTGTAGCGTGAATCCCATCATGCATACCGTTAAACTGCTTGTCCGACTATGATGTTTTCTAGCATCCTTACTCTTTCTTTAACGCTTGGGCTCAGTTTGTAAAGTGTCTCTCTTACCTTTCTACTCTCATTGAGGAAGACACTCTCATAGAAATCTCTCAGAAGCTTGACCTTTCCCATTTTGATCGAACCCTCACAATGATATACTTCCTTTCTCCCGAAGTCTGGGCAGGAGGCTGGTCCCGCAATATCTAGCCGTAGCCTGTTGTGTTTTGTGTGGTCTTTTTTGTTAGCGGCCAAGTTTTCCCTACTACCTGCTGAAAATGTGTCGGAATTCATCAAGGCTTCTCCTCTTTCCAAGATATGCGATGGTCAAACCCGGTAGACCAATTACAGGGGATGTGCAGGCCTCTTAAACTGGATTGGATAACTAATCGTTTCGTTATCACACCTAAAACACCCGACAATTCAAATTGGGCTTTGGAGGATGGAGAAGGATGTTCAAGGCTCTTCTCACCATGAGCTTTCTATTTGAAGGTTTTTGGGATACAAAGAACATAGGCCTTGAGAAAGACTTGAAGCCATTTCGCAGATACTGTCAATCGGCATACAAATTCGTACCAAAGGCAGAAAACTACAATCTTGAAAAGCTATTTGTGATATTTAGGCACGGCGCACGAACTCCGGTTAGAAATCTCGCCAGGATGTGGGACAGCCAGGAATGCATGCGCTGTAGCTTCGATAATGGCACAATACTAAACTGCGAAAGAAAGGGGTGTGGTGAGGGAGATCTAACGTATAGAGGATTTGAGCAAATGGTCACCCTTGGAAGATTTATAAAGAAGAACTATAAGCCACTGCTCTTCGACAAAAAGATAAAGAAAGAGAACATAAAGATGAGGGCCACAAAAATACCCAGGACGCATTCCTCTCTGGCCGGAGTTATGAAAGGTCTTACTGGAGACACCGTGGTAGAGAATGTAGAAGTACCTGAAAATAATGATACTTTGCTGAATATGTTGGGATGCAAAACCCAAAAGGACCGGGACGATGTCACAAAGCTGTTTGACAGGCCAAGCATCGTCCAAGACAACCAAGTCTTTACTCGCCACCCAAAGCCACAGGAAAGAGCAGATCATTATTACGCCTGCCTATGTAGCAGGATAAACATAGACTGTAAAGAGCTAAACTGCGAAATACAAAGCATAGCAGACCACATGAAGGCAGCAAATGATGCCTGGACATACATGGTAAACATCGGGGCTAAGGATGAGGAGGGAAGGAAATCTCTGTTGGGAAGATTTGCAAGAGACCTGCTACTTGACATCGGGGAGGAGAAGCAGATACTGCTTTATTCTGCTCACGACTCCTCTATAAGCGCAATACTGGCAGGTCTCGACACAGGAATATCTGAATGGCCTTCATATGCATCAGCGTTGTTTATTGAGATATGGTGTAACACGGGAAAACAATATGTCCGGATGGTGTTCAACAGTAGAGTGATCAAGCCAAAGTCCTTCTACGACGACTATATTCCTGTGAGAGACTTCATGGGGCTGTTGAAGAGTATTACTTCTGACGCTTCAGATAAGAACTCGAAAAAATCAGATACCGAAAATGCAGGGAAGTCCAAGGAAGACAGCAAAGAGGCGGATAGAGCGCCAAACCCCTCCTAGCTGTACTTGTGAAATAAAAACATCAACATAAAACAAGTTCATTTACTTCTTCCTGTAGTCCAATCTAGTTTCGAGTTTCTTTGCATCTGCTATTTTTCTGGCGGATTTAACAAAGTCTTCGTGTTTCACATAATCCCTCTCGTCCTTCAAGGCAATCATACCAGCCTCCGTGCAAACATTCCTTAGATCCGCGCCGTTAAACCCTGAGGTTAGCTTCACCAGCGAGTCGTAGTCAATTTCTTCAATAGAATTCATAAGTCTGGAATGGATCTTCAAGATTTCCTTCCTTCCCTGCTCATTAGGAAGAGGAATCTCTATCTTTCTGTCCAGTCTTCCTGGACGTAGAAGCGCAGGATCAAGTATGTCTGGTCTGTTTGTTGCCATGATAACCTTCACACTGTCAAGCTCCTTGAATCCATCCAGCTGGTTGAGAAGCTCCATGAGCGTTCTCTGAACCTCTCTATCCGAAGAGCTCGACTCCCTCGACCTTTTTCCTCCAATTGCATCGATTTCATCCATGAATATTATGCACGGTGCCTTTCTTCTTGCATAAGCAAACATCTCTCTGATCATTCGCGACGACTCTCCTATGTATTTTTCAATTAGTGCAGACGACACAACTTTCAGGAAGTTCACGTCCATCGTGGCTGCAACTATTCTTGCCAGTAACGTCTTACCTGTTCCAGGCGGTCCATATAAAAGAACCCCTTTCGGGGCATGGACTCCAATCCTCTTGAATATATCCGGGTTCTTCAATGGGAGCTCGATCACCTCTCTTAGCTCCCTGATCTGGTCCTTCAAACCCCCAACAGACTCAAAGGAAATCTCTCTGGGGCTTTCCTCTCCCATCAAATGAATCATTGGATCCACCTCTCTGGGAAGTACAACCATGATCGTCAAGGTCGTGATGTCCAATGCAACCCTTGTTCCTGTAGCTATTTTTGCTCTGTCTATTGCCTTCATGCACCCCACAACATATCTTGGCCCCTGGCTGCTCTTGACTATAAACTTCTCATCACTTAGCTTTTCCAGCACCTCGCCAATTATGTGCCCCACCGTCTGTAGAGCCTTGACGTCGCTTTCGCTCTTCAGGTAGTGTTTATGGGTTTGTCTGTACACCTCTTGCTCTGCTTTGAGTGCCTTGTAAGCCTTTTCATTGCTAAGCAGGGCTTGTGTGTATTCCTCGTAAAGCTTGTTTTTCTCCTCCTGGAACATCAAAGGGTTCTATACAACATGATTTACAGATCCCATTTGACCCCACATGGAGGAATACGAAATCCTGGAAATATACAGAGAAATATCGTCGAAAAGCACCTACGACTTCAAGATGTTTTTATTTGACGGAAAAAGCATTTCTGTTAAGAGAGTTTCTGACAAGATGAAGGCCAGAGTAAGAAAAGGGATGTGTTACAAACATGACTGGATCAAGGCTGAGGAGCATGAGGACGGGATAACCTTTGAGATTATTGAGCCAAGGGCCTATTCTTATATATCTCTTCATGGAAGAGAGTTTAATTCCGATACCTATCTTACCATAAGAAAAAGCGAAAAGATCATAGCCTCAGAGGAGGAGGCTGGTGCGGAACACAGTCGTAGACCCGATAATTTCCACACCGCTCCAAAAGAGTTTCCTAAAAGAATTCTTCTTCCGTTCCTGAATGACACACTCCCCTACAGCTCCCTTGAAGTTCCAACCATCAAAGGCAACCTTGTTCGTGGCGATAACCATAAACCTGGTGAGCTCTATTTGGCAGGTTCCTACAAATATATCACTGTGGATAAGTGGTATGGAAGTTCCTGCCAGACCCCTATAATCGGAAGGGTTGGATATAAAACTAGGATGAGTTCTGTGACTTACACCAGAAAGTATCCCTACTATTTTCTCATTCTTCTAACCTCTTCAAGACACCTCCTCAAGGTGTTTGTCTGGGGAGAAGACCTCCCGTATTCTTCGATGAGGGTTGGGGATGCAATAGGCCTGGCCAAGTACAGGGAAAAGCCCGTTATAGAAGGCCCTCCTGTTGTGGAACATAATAGGTTTACGGAAGCTCGATACTTTCGCTGCAAGGAGGTTAGTGCCAAAGAGATATTCAGGATTGAGCTGGAGAAGTATGAAGAGATGCCAGAGCCCATCTTTACTGAGGCGTTTGGAAAGGTGGAGTATCTAAGCGTTCTGAACAGGAGAAGTGCGGGGTATCTTGAGGAATACTATCTGATTCGAATGGGAAGGTGTAGAGTTCTTCTGTTCTACAACTCGTCGAAGGAATTTCATGAAATAGAGGTGGGCAAGTATGTGAGAATCACCAACCTAAGGGCTTCAAAGTGCAGAAGGTCAGAGTTTCATATTTCAACAATTTATACGCAGATAGAGTTCAAAGATAGCGCAGCCTCGCGTCCGTCTCCAGGGGCTGTGGTTTCTCCGAAAAGAAGATCCTATGGCAACGAAGAAAGGGCCAAGAGAAGGAGCTACATGGCAATCAACTTTGAGGAGTCCGATGATAAAGACGCTTTTCTGGAAGAAGTTGAAGAACCCTCACAGGGCAACCTTATCTTTGGAGCCATGGGCTATATCCCTGACGACTTTTCAAGTGTTGAGGAGATGTACCTGTCCCACAGAGAAGAAATATCCGGTGATTTGTGCGAAATAGTTCCTTTTATGGCACCTTTGGAAGTGAATCTGAAGGACATTTATGCTGAGGCGGAAAAGTTGGTGCTGAACGAGTCCAAAAAGTATGTGGTCGATGCCATATTGTCTGACGTTGATTTCTCGAACTTCATATTTGACGAATCTCCAACTCTTGTGGATGGTACATCGATAGCTTACTTCAACAACGGAATTCAGATGCAGCAGCTGCCCGGATACATAAGTATATGCAACGAGGTAACGGTTATCGTTTACTTGTTCAACAACTTCTGGATGGACGAATTCGATTTGGAGTCTTTGTACAAGCTGGGTGGATGTTCTTCGCTTGAGGAATTGAAGGCCATGAAGGGAAGGGGGATGAAGTTTGTGATTGACGCCTTCCGGGCCTCCGAAGAAACAGTGATATTCTGCCTGACCAAGGTTTTTAGATAGATGTGGGAAGACTTTGAGTTCGAGATATGAAATTTCACAGATTTTCCTCCCTACCGATGGCAGACTTTCATCCAAGTTTGTTCAGGAGAAAGAATAAGTCCGAAGGCATGCCTGAGGCAGTATCCGAGACCAAGTCTGCATCGATACCCCAGAACACGTTGTATGAAGAGCCCCTAGTTTCTCAGCACAAGGCAAGAAAGAGGTATGTGACTATATATGGATTTACACCGGGAAACCTCAATGCTGTGATGGACGCAGCTAAGTCCTGTGGGGATATCCTGGAGGTGGAGTATGGAAAGAATTGGATAAACGTTTTGTTTGACAACGAGGATAGCATAAAAAGGTGTCTGAAACTAAATACAGCCGTAGTTGAGGATGAGATTGTGGGAGCCTTTAGGCAGGGTGGAGGCATTATTGAAGACCGGGACATTTTTGTAAGGAAAAAGGGAGTGTTTACGTCCATAATGGAATATCTGTTTGGGGATTAAAGCTGTTTTTCTGAGTTTCCTCTCTGTTGCCGCCGTTTCTACCGCTGGATAGTTGGAGGATATTTGAAACCCCCTTATCTCTACCCAAGAAAATGGATTACGAGCCTGTGATGAATGACCTCATAAAGAAAGTAGTAAGGAAGTTCTATGAGCCTCATCACGTGGTCATAGCCGACATTCTGCTTCGGAAGACTCTTCTTTACGACACTGAACTCTGTGAAAGGATGAAGATGCTTTCGAAGGAGGTCAATCGGCTGATTATAAAGCTGAGGGAGGATAAGATCATCAAATACGAGACAAAGGTGGAGAGCAGGGAAGACAACGGGCAGATTCTGCGTACTGTATACTATATCAACTATGCAGAAGTCCGGGACGTTATCAAGTACAAGATATTTAAGATGACAAAAAACTTAGAGAATAACATCAAAATGGCGCAAGTGGAAGGATACGTGTGTATGGAGTGTGGAAAGGAGTACAGCTCCCTCGATGCACAGTGTCTTATGGAGAACTATGTGTTCAAATGCGAGGACTGCAAGGGAGATCTTGTGGAAAACAAGAAGGACAGAAGCGCAGATTGCATGATGTATTCGAATCTGATGTCTGAGTTAGATGACATTGTCCTTCTCTTGAAGGAGACGGATAAGTTCAATATTCCGTCGATGGACTACTTCCAGGTTCTCCAGATGAAGAAGGAGAAGGAGAGCAAGGAGATACCTGCCCAGAAGGACGAGGAGGTTTCCTCGATACCGCTTCCAACTGTGGAGGAGTTTGATCTAGGAAAGCCTTATGTTGCCGACGATAAAGGCGACCACAAGGAGGATATAAAGATAGACGAGTATGTAACTGTGGGTGGAGCCAAGAAGTTGTTTGCCGACATTACTGAGGAAGACAAGGAGATGATGGACGAGGCCGAGTACGAAGAGTACTATGAGGTCTATTCCAGATACCATGATAACTCTGGGAGCTGACGATGGCTGTGAAGTAAACTTTAACTTATTATTTTTGAAATATTTCGGCGAAAGGATGGGGCTTATGCATGGAAGCCATGAGATTAGGATGAGGTCTTTAGAAGAGATGGACGGGAAGGAAGCTGGGATCTGCGAATTCTCGTCTGCAGAAGACGACTCAGGTGGAAGAAGATGTGAGGCTGAAGATATTGGCAGCATACTGAGGATGGAGGATGAAGATGGCTCTGATGCATTTTCCCAGGCTGCCTTGAAGATTACAGAATCCCTGCACTTGCATCAAAGACTGCTGGACTGGGGAGTTGAATCACTTAGAAGAAAAGCAGACCCTATGGGAAATATTCTCATTTGGCTCCGGGTGAGAAGGTTCCGTTTTAGCATGTCTGCCGTTGAAGTCTTAGAAGGGTTTCTGAAGCTAGGTTCTGAGCGAATGCTTGAGAGCTTGAGCAGAGAAGAGGAGAGGTGCCTTGTTTGTGTGCTTCAGGAAATTGGCATGCATATAACAGAAAACATCCTGGGATGCAACAGAGACTCGATTCGCATGTTTCTGTTTAGAATTTTCCTGCGGACAAGCAGAGCTGCAGACACTACAAAGATGTTTGCCTTTGAGCTGTATATTCGGGCCGCATCATCTGCGCAATATGAGGAATTTGAGGGTATGGTCCATGGGATTGATGCTCTCGATACATTTGATATCGGAGAAACGAACTTCAGGGACCACGCCATTCTGCACATATACAGACATGTGGTCTTCCAGGGATCTGGAATCATCAAAGAAAACCATGAGCGCTTTGTTGATGTGCTGTCTGAGAGACTTTTTTCTGACTCAGCCGGCGGTGTTCCGGGTACCACTGCTTCTCTCCTCAGCTGTACCACGTCCTACTCCCGAATCCTGTGTGTGTCGCTTGCACTCCGTTACCTCAGGGGGTTTGAAAAAGGCAGGAGGGACCTTGATTTCAAGTTCCTAGGGTTACTGCTGGAAAGGGTAGTCGCTGTTTTGAAGAAGAGCGAGTATACAGAGGAGGAAATGCTATATTTTGCAGTCATATTCAAAAGCTCAAGGCCTGCCGTACCCATCTCTAAGGTCATCAAATCTTTTGTGCTTTTGCTGCTACGGATAGTCGGTGGGAAGGAGCGTAAGCCCCGAATAAAGGCGGCCAAAATCCTCTGCGGGATCCAGCTCTATGGGATACTGATAGGAAGGAAAGTGCTTTTCAGGATTCTAAGGACTGCAAGGAAGCACATTCAGGAGAAGCGAGTTACAATCGTAAGAGGGGCGGTGAATGTCGTTGCCCAACTGGATCTGGGAGTCCTGGCGGCTGAAATGCAAAAGCCACACTCTATCCGAACTCGGAGGATAATATTTGACAGGGTTAAAAACAGTTTCCAAACGGAAGCATGCTACAGGACGTACATAGATTTGCTGAGCAGCAGGGACACCAGGGATGTTGAATACTATGTTGAGGATATTGGATTGCTTGCAAAAGTACTCCATTCTTACGAAGATAAGAGCATCTGCAGGTTTATGAGGATTGATATCCCTTTTATCGAGGATGCATTTGTTGCAGAACTAGCTGCCTTATACTCGAAGTTTCACCCAGGCAGTGTTGATGAGGTCTACGCGGCCTCGGTTCTCCTGGATTCTGGAGATGAGATTGTCAAGAGCAGAAATGTTCCGTTTTATAACAGTATTCTTGAAGTCCTTATGAATTTAAGCTCAAGACTTTCCTTTGAGCTGAGACGGAGGCTCGCAATGTTTCTTCGGAGGCTTGTGTTTTACAGCCCATATACAAGGAATGCAGGAATGCTCATCAATCTCCTGGGGTACAAGGAAACTGAGTTTCCCAGAAGGACTGACTACTTTGTGGCAATACTTGGTTCCTGTGGCAGTCCATACATCAGAGACTACTTTTCCGAGTATCCATGGACTGCGAACAAGGAGCTTGGGCTTGTATACAACCTCCGGTTTGATCCAGACTTCGGAATGGCTTACAAATGGAAGCTGGAGGAGATTTTATCCCGAATGCATGGCGGCCTCGACGGAAAGGAGGCCATGGTCTGTGCAGAGCTTCTTTCTTTCCTGAAGGAGTCTGTTGAACTTAGTGCCACTGCTAGGGCCCATGGCCTCGCTTTCAAGCTGGTAGCGAACAATTGCGACTTTATAATCTGCGGTGCAAAGTCCGGAAACATAAGGATCCGTCGAGAGGCATGTGCCCTGCTGAAAAGGGCAACAAAAGCCGGAGCGATTCTTCCCCATGTCTCGATCCCAGTGATCTTTTCTTACTATCTTGTTTCTCCAGAGATGGTCCGCACATACTTCGACGCAACCCTGTGTGTCATTCGGGAGGTTATAGAGAACAAAAAGATGATATTCAGAGATAAGAAACAAATACTTGAGTTCAGAACAGTCTATGACATATATGTTAACTCCGAATGCAGGCTAAGGCTTGTGGAGAAGCTACTAGAAGTGCTTGACGAATGTCCCGTTAAAACCTACTATCTCATGGTTCAAGCGGCAAAATTCGAAAGAAAGGACTTTGCCAGGGTTGTGAGGGGGATCTGCAGTACAGCCCATACCTACAATGCTGACGATAATGGACTTCTTCTGAAGCTCCACACACTGTTCTCCTCCTTGTGTGCTTCCAGCAAGGCCAAGAAGGAAGTAAGAATCTCCGATGAAAGTATTCTTTTTTCAGAAAGAGCAACACCCAGCGATATAGACATGTTGAGGCTCTGTCCAGCTAAATAAAACACATCCCGGATGCTAATCCGATGGTGGAAAACAGTGGTTCCACCGAGATTCGAACTCAGATTACTGGATTCAAAGTCCAGGGTGCTAACCATTACACTATGGAACCTCAACGACACGAGCGCCATGTTTCCTTGCGGGTGCTGTGGGGGTGTCCAAATTGGCAGCAAGAAACCTCTCCGAATAATTTTCTATAGAATTGCCTCCCCAATATGAACACCAAATGTCTCCGGGAGAAGATAGAGAAGATCAAGCCCCACCTCCTGAAGACAGCCTCAGACACACTTCAGGGGTATGTTTTTGGATGCATGATCGGCGTGTTTTCGTCGTCCGAAAAGCCGTCTCTCAGGCACGTCCATGAGTCTGGAAAGTCGTTTGCAAAGGTCAGCATGATATACTCTACAACGGAATCTGCGCTTCAGCTCTATGGGTCAAAGAATGCCCCGCTCAACAGCCTTATCAGTGGAGCAGTTGCCGGAGGTCTTGGTGTGAACGACAGATCCAAAAAATCCATTTTGACGGGAGCGGCATCGTTTGGACTATATACTGGAATGTCGAATATTTTTTCTGTACAAGGGCAGAAGTGAAGTTTGCAGAGCTAGCAGAACATCCATCGGAAGACGAAGGATTGGGAAAGAGGTGAACACACGTGTTTTCTTTCTACAACAGGTTCTGGATGCGCAGTATGCCTTCTTATGACCACGAAAGCTGGCGCTTAAGACACCGAGAAAACAAATTTCGGCTGCAAATTAAAGCATTAAATTATCTAGCAAATTCTGAATTACACATTTAATTCGCCAAATTTTTATCCAATCAGCTTGAATATTGAGGAAAACTTTGCAGGTATATGGAGGCTGCTTGACCATATAATAAATGGGGTAATAGAAAAGCCCAAATTGATTAATATCGGGACCGTATATCTATCAGGCGATGAACAAATAGAGGTCATTACAAATGGCTAAATATCAGGTATCGGTCCCTTACAAATGAACAAACTCTTTGGCTACATACACACCTATGAGGAGGCCTGCCTAATTGTCCATGCTGTGAGACTAGGGTATTTGAATGCAATAGAAGGAAGACTAACACCTGGTGAGAGGGAAAGCATCCGGTCTGGAGACATCTTCTGCTTTGTGGAGTCTCCAAATGGGATGAAGAGGTGGACAGACGGAAAGACCTGGTCTCCATCAAAAATCCATGGCCAGTTTCTTCTATATCAGGAGGTTCCCAAGCACATGAACAAGAGCGCAATCGGAAAGAGGAATCGCCAGAAGTCCCTTTTGGGAATAAGGAAGGACGCTAAGGCCAGAGAAAAGATCATTAACTGGGACGACAAGCTTTCCCTCAACAAAAAGACCATCTCCATTTTTCTGCAGAACAAAACCTATCACGTGATAGCATACTTCAGGCCGATGTTCTCCAGAGTGTCCCTAATAAAGATCCCGCTATTCAATCAGATGGACGTGGCATTGAAGGCATATCCAGAGCTTCTTTCCGACGAGTTTCTCGGCACGGTGGATGACAAGGATGACTTCTATCTGAAGTTCAGGCTACCGTTTCCCTCCAAGCAAGTAATATTCCCCGAGATCAAAAGACATTCCTTGGAGGAAATAGCGAGCAGTGTGCTAGCAGAATGGATGCAACAGAAAATGAAAAGTAATGATGTAAATAAGAAATATGTCTGCCTGTATAATAACAATAAATGATACCTCTTGTTTGTTTGGCTCTCTTCAAATGAGAAACCCGGCATCCCCACATGAACGAGGTCGACTTGTTGCTTAGGGAAATTAGAATAGACTGGGAGACTCTCATCACAGAAGATTTCAATCCTCTGAAGCAGGCATTGAAGAACAAAAATAGCTCTGTAGATGCTTCGAATTTCAGGAATCTCTTTCACAAGGTGGAGAAGGCGATGGAGGAGATTATAGAAAAGAACTATAAAGGGTTCAGTGACTCTGTCCTCTCGTATATGGAGTCCTATCACCTCAATGTGCAGTGCTATGATAGCATTCAAGAGATATCCAGAACCACAGAGGAGCTTTCTGGAATGAAGATGGAGGTAAAGGACATGATTAAGGAGTACGATGACGTGAGGGTTTTTGAGGCCAAGCAGAAGATCTGCCTTGTGCTTCTTGAAATCAGAAGGAATTTCAATGAGTTTTGTGCGATCAGAGATATGGTTGAGAGCGACGTGAAGAATAATGCCGAGAATCGGGGCATGAGTCCTAAGCTCCTTGAGGCTGCAAAGAAGATTAGGGCTATCTATGACTTGGTGGATGAGAATAGATTGGAAGAGCTGGGGTGCATTAAAAAGTTCCGAGGAGATGTCGACTTGGAGGCTGGAGACTTCATGAAGCTGGTCTACGGGAGAATCAACAGATTCGTTTTTTATAATGAGTGTGAGTATCAAGATGATTTCAGATGCGTCGTGGTTTTAGATACACTGCGAGACCTGGAGAAGTACCAGGCCGATAGTCTTGAGGAGGAGTATTTCAAAGTGGTTGAGTCTGTCATCGAGGAGGTGGGAAAGAAAACGACGGAAAACCAAGCGGAGACGCTGGCAAAAATGATTGCGGGACGAACCGGGATGGTTATCCGCAACTTCAAGACACTGTTTGAAATGGCGGAAACCTCCTTTGAGGGCCTTCATGAGAAATCCAAGAACTTCTTCGGCGAAGAGGAGCCGGTGCTCAGGATCTACAGCCCGCAGTGCCAAGAGACGGTTGAGTCTGCGACGAACAAGATCCTACGGAAGCTTGTTCTAGAGTATGTAGAGGACCCCGAAAGGCGTCGCTGTGAAGGGGTGTTCAAGGCAGAAAACTTTATCGGTAACATTGACTACAGCTCTGTTTTTGAAAGCAAATATCTCATTCACGAGAAAATGACTAAGATCACTGAGCTCCAGACAGTGTTTTCTGGAAACTTTACTCGGATCCTTTCTTCGGGTATGGAGATGGCCATCTACATGGAAAAGTATACTGCCAGCAGCGAAATGAAGAGGTATTTAAGAAACCTACTGGATGAGAGGTATGTGAAGCAAAAAGAAAGCCAGGTCAAGAAGCAAATCGCTTACCTACTCAACAATGACGAGTGGCATAGAAACGATTACTCGAGCAACAGGCTGTCTTTCTATTCAAACTACAGGGGGCTTATTGCAGAGTTTTCTTCCTACCCGGAGCTTTGCAACATTTCCACCATTTCCGATTTTCTAGACGGCTTTTTTGAGAAGAAGCTTGGCGGGCACTTTGAGAACATGTTTAAATCAGACATAATCAAAGACTCCCTTTCCAGCGGGCATAGCGATGAGGAGGTGGCGGCTTCCTTCAAGGATTACCTGCTTGTAAGGGACATAGATAGGAGCAACCTCTTTTTCCAAAAGCAAAGCTACGAGAACATGTTTTTTTCCCTGGAAACACTGCGAGACATCAATGGGCCGATCAAGGGCAAAGGGCTGGAAGCCCTTCTCTCTTCTGTGCTAACAAGGTCAAAGTTCCAGGTTGTTCTGGAGATATTGTACTTCTTTGATCTGTTCTACCGTGAAGGCAACTATGCCAACAAAAACGACTACTATTTGCACAAGATCCTGGGGGTTGTTGAGGATGTCTACAGCTCCGAGTCCCGTCCAGACATCCATATTGAATGCTTTGGCTTCGTGTTTGAGTGTTTGAATTTCTATATCCAAAACAACGTGGCAAGACTAAATGTCAGGTCCATTGAAGAGCTAAGGCATTTTCTTAAAAAGATAAGGCTGCTGGACGAAATCTTAGGGTTTATTGGCGGAGAATATAGCCTGAATGAGGCCATTGGATTCCTTGAGGATGTCGTTTCTGGAAATATCAGAAGCGAAAACGGGAAAAGGCTAAGGAATAAACTCAATGAGAAGTGATGTAAAACGGTGTTTTGGTAGCTAATAAACAATAGGTGAACGGGTCTTCCTACCGAAATATATGTCAGAGGAATGGCAGGTTCATGATGAGCTCCAGAGAATTGGCAGCCTGCACGTCAGAACATCTCAATGGCAGCATGCCTGAAGGTTCCCTTGGCGATAAACTGGTCGTTAGGGAGTCGAGTGACGAAGAAACAGGGTTCTCAAATGCATGGAATGCGGATATATTGCCCCGCTCATGGTATCAAGAGCAGATTTGCAGCGGTAGAAAAGAAAAAAGATACATAAGTAAGGCCAGAAAGGCCGAAAGCAGAGACATATATCACATGACACCCAGAAAACTTTCCAAAGCCCTGACCTCCATTGACCTATCAATACTTCGGAAGATATCTCCCAGTGAGCTAGTTGATTACGATGGCCCGGGAAACAGCAGATGCAGAAATATAAGGCACATGAGGTCAAAAAATACTGGCCTGACAAACTTCATTTCCTACGAGCTACTAAGGGGAAGAAACTACAGGTACTTCTTTAGATTACTGAGACACCTAGAAAAGGTGGGAAACTACAACTCGTTCTATTGCGTCGTCAAGGCGTTCCAGATGCAGAGGCTTGACCTGAAAAGGCTGAACACCCTGTCTGGATATATGGAGAAGAGCACAAGCTACTTCAACATGAGGCAGGTTCTGGACGACCTAGCTGCAAACGAAGCATTTCTTATATGTCCCATGGATGTCTACATCAGGGATGTGGAGGAGTCCAACAGAACCAGGAATAACGAAATAGCATCTATGAGGTTCTGTAGGCTGGTGGAGATATTGATAAAGTTGCAGAACCAGACGCTTGATGCCACCATTTCCCACGCCGACGAGCACTTTCTGCTTAGCAAGTTCTGGCACCACATTCAAAAGGATTCTGTCTCCGACCGAAGGCCCGATGCAAGAAGGCATGACGGGCAATTTTTGCTTATATGAACTCAGAGTCCATCGAAACTGTTGAATAAAGGCCCGGGGACTCCCTTGGGGCTCTGATGGAGGAGTTTGAGGCACCGACTCCGATCGACTGTCTGTGCCACACACCCTCGGTCCTGGCAGCGGGAGGATATCTGTTTGACGAGGGAGTGAGAAGTGGAAAGATACATCTTTACAGCCTCGAGAGCATGAAGATGTTGGAGGAGTTTGAAACATCTGGGACTCTTGATATTAAGATAAGGGGGCAGATCCTGTATTCTGCAAATTCCGGTGATGTTTCAGCAGTGCATCTGAACGGTCTGAGCTCTGTGAAGATAAACACGGTAGATATCAATACATATATAGAGCTTGTGGGTGACAAAGTGTTTGTTTCCGATGTTCGGGGAAGGATTAGTGTGTACGGAACGGAGATGGTGCTTCTGAAGACTGTTGAGGTTGCCGAGGCGCCCATCTGGGTTCTGAAGGCCAGTGACAAGGAATTGATGTATGGATCTGAAGATGGGTCGTTGAGTTTTATGGACATACGGACATGGTCTGAGCACCATAAAATGAAAAGAGCTTCCGGGGTTACATCCATATACGAGAGTGACGAATATGTGTATGTTGGGGCATATGATGAATGTATAGAAGTTGTTGATAAGAGGATGTATAAGCCGGTGAAGAAGGCAAAGATCGGAGGAGGTGTATGGAGAATCTGCAGGGCGAAGGAGATATTCTATCTATCTTGTATGTATGAAGGAGTGAAGATATGCGACTCAGAACTGAAGGTTTTGAAAAGATTTCCAACGGATTCCATTGCGTACGGGCTAACTGTTACTAGTGACAGGGTTTTTTTTGCATCTTTCTACGACAAAAAGATATACAGACTTGGGCTACATGGTTCTGGAGAGCCACAAATGTAAGGAGAAGGGCAGGACTCCTCGATATGCTGTATTGCAGCGACTGACATTCTGCTGGCGAGACATTTAAGGCTTTAAAAAGTTGATTTGTTTACCCTCAAAATGAAGATAAACATTCAACACCTGAAGAATAAGTTTGTTGTGGAGGTTGAGAGTCTGGATATTACAATAGAAGAGCTGAAAAAGAAACTTGAGGGTGTTATGGGAGAATCTGTCAGGATTCCTGCTGGGGAGCAGACGCTGATTTTTGAACGCGAAAAGCTTGAAGATGACAAAAAGCTTAGCGACTATGTAAAGGGCTCTGCTGAGGAGATAAAGCTATTTGTTATCAAGCAGCACAAGAATCCAAACCCCATATCCAAGCCAGGAAATATCTATCAAAATGCAAGTGGATCTGACACGCAATCTCATGCCGGAGGAAATCCCTATGCTGCCCATGGCCAGTCAACACCCAATCCATACGCTGCATTCATGCCTCCATATGGTGGCGGGTATGGATCTCCTCAGCAGATGTATGGCCAGATGCCCTATGGATACGGATCTCCTCAGCAGATGTATGGCCAGATGCCCTATGGATACGGATCTCCTCAGCAGATGTATGGCCAGATGCCCTATGGATACGGATCTCCTCAGCAGATGTATGGCCAGATGCCCTATGGATATGGGTTTCCTCCAGGAAGCGGTTCATCTGGGCAGGGAGATGGATACAATGAGGCATTTTCAAATGCAATGATGCAGCAAATGGAGCAGATGCTTGGCAACCCAGCATTGTTGGATCAGGTGTTAAACATACAGAACCCGAACATGACTCCAGAGCAAAAGGAAGAACAAAAGAAAATGCTAAAGGAAGCTCTGAACATGATGAAAGCAAATCCATCGCTGTTTCAGCAGGCTCTTACACCTGAGAGACTAAACTGGGCTCTGAGCACAATGAACGGAGGAGGATACGGTGGGATGTTCCCCTCATACCCTCCTCAGATGGGGAATTTCAACCGGGACCCCCGTACGCCGTGGATGCATGGATATCCTCCTCCAGGATATGGAAGTTCCAGGCCAGACCTGCAGATCGATGAGCAAGCACATCTAGTGCAGCTGGAGCAGCTCAAAGCGATGGGATTTGAGGATGAGGAGGCCACAAAGGCTTTAAGAGAGGCAAAGGGAGACATAAATAGGGCCCTGGACATTCTTCATGAAAACAAGAAAAAGAGAAGCCAAGAAAACAACGGGTCCTCTCCAAAAAATTAAATGTCCTCCAGCACATTCTTTTCCTCCAAACCTGACTTTCTATGTGCTCTTGAATGCAAGTCCAGGGAGCTTTCGGAATAAGAACGATTTATTAAATTAGCACCTTCCAATGGCCTCATCGAACTGCACATTAAGACGCCTTTTGTCTCCTAGAAAGATCCTATTCCGGAGGATAACCTTCCTGATGTCACTATTAGATATCTCGACGTCATAGTCTATAACAGATAGCACCAAGCTTTCAATGTAAAAAGCTTCCCTGGCTGTGACATCCATCTCCCTGAGAAGCAGATCGTCTGGGGACTGAGTGTCATAAATAAACTTCGACCCCATAAAACAGCATACAAGAAAAAACTTGATTAGTTTTTTGCAGTCGCCAAACACAATCCTGACCCTTTTGACATACTTCTCAAGATAAATATATCCCGAAATTAGGGTCAGAGGCAGCCCTTTGGCAAGTCTGAATATTGATTCTATAGGCAAAATAGACTGAATACTCTTGTGGTCGAGAAACCGGAGTATCACAGAGTTGATGAGGCCGAAGTTAAGTCTCGACCCCTTCTCTTGTCCAAATATAGATGCAAGAAAGGCATCCATTGGAAATCCATCATACTCCCTTGGTGCAACCCGACGGCTGCATCCCCGTATGCAGTGACCAGCTACCTTTTCATCCTTTGTTCCATCTACAGCACCGCTTCTCCCTTTGACTTCTCTAGTGGATGGTGTAGGCTTACCCTGAGCTCCAACAGAAGGCTCCATGCCCTTTATCCCAATACCAATCCCCAACTTCCCTGTGCCAGCCACCTTCACGCATCTCTTTTTAAGTAGCGGATATGGATTGCTTCTATCCCTCATGTGCTGAATTCTACTATCACCAGTAGTTCCTTCTTTTATACTTATTCAGAATTTTTTATTTAATATATCCTGATCATTAATTTGTGATTGTTTTATACTCGACCTCGCATCCCATGTAACTCATGGATGGCTTTTTTAAGCTTCCATTTATATTCTATCTTAATTAAATCCCGTGACTGGTCAAATTACAAGACTTCAAAATTAATACTTGATTTAAAATTTAATGGGCAGATCCTGGATTATTGACTGTGGACTTCACCCATCATAGATGATTGTCGGTCTCCTCGGTGTGGTTAACATATTTTTTTTCCTCACTGGACTGTTCAAGGCCGTAAACTTGCCCGAAGACACATCGGTGGAGCCTGTCGGATCTAGGAAGTACAACAAAATTGTGTACCTTCTGATCGACGGGCTTAGATTTGACTCTTCGATAAGGACATCGAAAAGGGGGTACATTTTCAACAAAATGAAACATCTACAATCAATTAAGACGAAGTTCCATGCCTTGAGTGTCAGTGGAATTCCAACAGAGACCGGATCTAGAGTTATCGGGCTGACAACAGGGTCGCCCAGCAACTTTCTAACCAGCGTGGTCAATCTCAATGGGTCTGCCATCGCCCACGATAACATGGTAAGGCAGCTTCTCAAGGACGGGAGGTCTTGTATATTCTTTGGGGACTCTCAGTGGGTCAGCCATTTCCCAGAACTCAGGAATGGACCCTGCCACACGGTGGACCCGTACGGAAGGCACGGCTTGAGAAGACAAGAGGACGAGGTAATAGAAAAAATCCTGAAGAGCATAAACAGTTACGACGTCATCATTGCACACCTGATAAATCTCGATTCCTACGGTCATATTCACGAAACCATAGACCACAGGGAGATGGAGCATCAAGTAGTAATATACGACAATCTCATAAATGAAATATACAAGAAAATGTCAGAGGACACGTTGTTTGTAATATGCAGTGATCATGGGGTTGACGACAACGGGGCCCACGGTGGCGTTTCCACGCTGGAAATGTCTGCAGTAGGCGTTTTCATATCGAAGGACCAAAGGTTTGCTAACCTCCCATTCGTTGATAAGGAAATCCAGGATCTACGGAAGAGGTATATTTCAAGGACATATGCAGAAGATCCTCTTGCAATACAGAGCGAGGAGCCCTATTCCATTATCCATCAGGACGACATACTCCCAACACTCTGCTACTTCATGGGCATTCCTGTTCCAAAAATGTCCAGTGGGAACTTCATACACGAGCTTGTCCATGATTCCAGTGCATACAAAATCTACTACAGGCAGAAATGTGATGTGCTTGGTATTCCATTTGAAGATAGTCTTGAAGAGCCTGAGTACATCAAGCTGAACTACAGCCTGAGTGAGGAAATCTCGAGCAAATTCGCTGGAAGAGACTACTTCAGGCTGGTAGTTTCTGGAATACTTTCGGTGATAATAGCATTGCTCGTGATATTTAGAATACTCAGCTCGACGTTTGATAAGGCTGCCCATCTTTCGCTACTGTTTGTGCTCATAATGACTGCACACTCCGTGATGTCTATAATCCATGAAGACCTGTTCTGGGCAGTTCTATTCCTTGTTTCCAACCCCTCAGCTAAGAATCTGCTTGGGATTGTGATGTTCATACAGATGATAAGGCCTCCGTCAAATTCCGATCTCTTCTATGTCCTTGTGGTGGAGAGAATCAAACTCCCGCCCTTGTTCAACGGAAACCCCCTGTTTATCCTTGAGCTGTGTCTGTTCGGGGTGCTAAACAGCGCTATCCGCTTTGAAGCGGCGCCGAGGTTTTTCCTGAACAGCATCCTTGATATACTTAACAAGCATCCGCAAGTTCTTGTTTCTCTTCTTAGATATGTTCTTGGGGCTAGATTAGATGGGACATCCTGGAAACTTAGCCTGCTCATGTCATCTCCAGGTGTCGACACTTTAATGGCGCTGATGCTCAGGCCGATGGAGTCCATCTACCTCATCTACACCATTAGAAACTTAGACATAAGAAGGAATGTCTATACTTACTTTTCACTGACAAACATAGCCTTTTTTTCTTCAGGGCTACAGAAACTGTTTCAGTCGATCAACTACAGCGTGTTCTTTACGTTTTCAGACAACTTTATTACTCTTCCAGTTGTTGGAATAGTCTTCTTCTACTTCATTTACCCAAGGATTGAAGCTGTTTCGCTGCTCACTTCTCGACAAGACGGCACAGATCTTGATAAGAGCAAAGAGAAAAAGCATTTGAAGGAGCCTGAATTCTCTGCAAAGGATATATTTGCACTCCATAATCTCAACTTATTGCTAGTTATGTGGTCTGGATATGCCATTTGTGAATCGTTGTCATTCTACAAGTTTCTTGGAATCCGGGCATTCTTCGAGTATCTCTACTATATCTGCGATATCATTTCGTTCTCAATGCTTCGAGCGATTAAAAAGAAGCTGTAGTTATTGCAACCGTCAACCGAAAGGCCCTACTTCTTTCTTACAAAGAGAGCTATGAAAAATCCTATGGCGCCGCTTTCATCTCTCCTGCATCTTACCACATCCTGGCTGAACGAGAATCCGGAGGAATGCGCAGAGCTCCAAAACATGCTTATGTTTTCTAGTTCATATTCAGAACTCCTCAGGATTTCCTCCACCACCTCTTCGCCCTCTTCCCTATGGTCAGAGCACACCGAGTACACAAGCTTCTCCGGCCTGAATCGAAGAGCATGCCTAACAATTTCTATCTGAAACGACTTAAGGCCTTCTATTCTCTCCTTATCCATTTTGTAACCCAGATGCATTCCAGACCCAGAGCAGCTTGGGTCACACAGGATGTACCGGATACCTTCAAAGTCCTCTGGATTTGCATTCATGAAGTCGTCCTCCACAACCTCTGTGTTGCTAACGCCCAGCTTGAAAAGCTGAGCTCTGAGAGTCTCTGCCCTGTTTTTGCTTCTTTCAAAGGCATATATCTTCCCAGTATTCCTCATGATCATCGCAAGCTGCGACGTCTTGTTCCCAGGCGCAGAGCATGTGTCTATGACCCTAGACCCTTCCTCCGGATCTAGTATGTGTGCAGGGAGACAGGATGAGATGTTCTGTATCACAAACTTCCCGTTCTTATATCCTTCGGAAAAGACAATGTTCTTGGAATCCAGGATCTTATATACGCCATCGACACATGACTTCTCGTAGTCCAGAAACCCTATATCCTCCTCTGTTCCGCCCCTCAGTGTATTAATCCTTACAAATACAGTCGCCTTGGTTAGTTTCAGCTTCCTTCCGCCAAGAGCCTTCATGAATTTCCTACGCATCCTTGTGTTTCTAATCCGCCTGTCTAATATCTGGAAGCACCTTATCACTCCCAGCTCCCGGTCGTCTTCCATGTACTTGCATCTCTTTATGAGGTCAAGTAGCAGATCGTGGTTTTCAACAACCATGTGAACTAGCTTGTGATACATCTTGGGATCCTTCATCTTGTAAACCTCCTGCTTAACAGTCGATCTTCCTTCAAGCACATGTCTCACCATTTCAATGCATCTCTTGTCAAATTGAAGCTTGCTACTCTCTTTTTTGTTCATGTCCAAGGACCAAACCAAAATGAGTTAAAAATCAAAGAGAACTTATTTATTTCATCCTAACCATTAATTCTAGTGTACACCCAACCTTGCCGCACTATCCGTTAAATGGCTGTTCTGCAGACAGGACACTTATTAGAATGTCCAAGCAGCCACTTGTCGACACATCCAACATGGAACCTGTGGTCGCATGGCAATACCCTCAGCCTCTGGTTCTTTATAAAGTTCGACATGCATATAGCACACTCACACCCCTTGTCTGCCTCCACAGCCCTCACAATACTGCTTTTCTTCAGAGACTCCTTAGTAGCAGTCGTAGGAGCCTCCGACGAGGCTTCAAACACGTCAAAATTGATCTGTATCTCGTATATGATATTTCCCCTCGACCCCTCACTCTGGGGGGTGAGGAATAAAAATCGGAGCTCCTGAGAGGGAATGCGCGGAAAAACAACACGAAATCCTCTACTACCTACAGTTCTCGAGCTTCTTGGTCCTGTCTCATCCTGCGCTTCTGCACTTTGTGACGGAGCTTGGGTATTCCCAAGCCCATCTCCTGTCACAACAATGGACGTCGTCAGCGTAACAGGATCTTCCACACCCTCAGACCTGGGCCTTTCAGTTTCTCCGTTTCTCTCACTACCTCTCGAAACAGCTCGGGTACGACGTCTCTCTCTCGTTGGCCTCTCTTCTGTTTCATTCATCATTCTATTACATCTATCAACCAGATTCCGCTCTTCAACGCTGGGCACCTCTTGCCGAGCACTGCCACGGACTTTCCTGCCACGCCCCCTCAAGTCTCTACCAGGAGGTGGCGCCCTTGTCTCATCATCCTCTCTTCCGTCATCTCCATCTCCTATCCTGCCACTTATCAAGTCAACCAGTCTACTCCTTAGCCTGTTCATAAAAACTCCTCCCGGAGTGTTGCTTGCATCAATATCAGACGATTCAATCCTTGTGTCTAAGAAGCTCAGCATGGACCTCATGATATTCAGAAAGTTGTTGTTCCCGTTCCTCCGAGCCATCCGGGGTTGGGCCTTGCGAGGCCCCATTTATTTTTCCCATTGTCTCGAAAACTCCAGAAACCAACAAATTTTCCAGAAAGGGAGAGCCACCAAGCATAACAAAAGAATCATACAGAGGCATTTGGCGCCTAAGATACATGGTGGCTTTACGCATGGCAGCAGAAAAGGCCTCCACGGATTCTTACAGGGGAAACTCTCCCCATGACATTTCCGCACGGATCCTTCTTCCCCCGAAAAATCGTCCGTTAAGGATGCTAAACGAATGCTTGGCCTCATCCTCTGTAGAATATAAGCAGTACACGACAACCTCTCCTTCCTTGGACACCCCGAACTTGACAACATCTCCATACTTCTTCATCTCGTTCTCCATCTCCTGGTCAAAGTCATCGTCGGCATCGTCTACACCTATTAAGTTCCTTAAAACAACCATTTTTCCCGTCCCAAATATAGCGCTTTCGATCCTCTTCTTTATCTCAAAAACTTCCCTGGGAATCGCGAAGTAACTTCTTTCGGGCAGCTCCATCTTGACCACGCTGGGCCCTATTCTCATTCTCCTTCCACAGAAGCTGATCTTGTTACTATATCCTAGGGCCTTTTTTGCGTCGATGCATCTCGAGAACTGCACATATCCATAGCCCTTGTGCATGAACGATGATTCATAGACAAGTCTTACACCCTTAATCTCCCCCATCTTCTTGAAGATATCCTCAAGCTGTTCTTCCTCAATATTCAGGTCTATGTTTGATATGTAAACAATAGATTCGTCCGGAGGCCTGAGCTCTTTTGGAATCTCTGACGGAAATGTGGAGGTTCTTCCGACCTTCAAAGCTCTTCCCTCAAATACCATTCCGTCGATTTCCCTCATGCATAGATAGGCAGCATGCGGGTTGTCAAAGTCTGCAAATGCACATTCCTTGTTACCTATGCATGTCACGGAGACTGGGCCAAAGACGCTTAGAAGGTCTTGGACCGAGTCTCTTGGGGCCACAATATTGCCTATATACACCTTATTGAGTAACGTGCTGTCGAACCTACTGCCTTTAATTCCTTCCTTTGGAACAACCCACTTATCGTACTCTATCACGCCTTTGTATGCTGCCTCAAGTCTTCTGAGCTCGCTTCTCTTGAGGGTAAGCATTTCTTCCATAATCCTGAGGAGCTTCTCGTCATTTACAACCACCATCCTGGGATAGGCAGCAGCAGACTTTCTATGGACATGAAAAAATTCCGGGCCTTCAGCCTCGCACAATGCTCACGGAGCACCAGGAAGAGTTTCTCGAAAAAATCAGATTTAAAGGCAAAGGATGTCCTTGCAGGGCCACATCCACAAGGAGGGGAACAGAGGCCATAAGAATGGTTAACAGCATACTGAAAGCCCCCACTCGCAGCCTGGGGCTCTTTGGACTGGAAATAGTCAAGTGTCTGTACATATACGAGCCTATGCTTGGGATTCCAAGGTATTCGCTAGATAAAGCTCTTGTGAGTCTGTGCAGCAAGGTGTTTGTCAGAGAGATCTACAACGAGATTGAAAGAAGAATCAAGCTTCATCTTGGGAGGATGCTGGATAGGGATGTGCATTCCATTGATGAATCCATGGGCTTCTCAGACTACAATGATTCCTCATTGGACGAGATAATTGTTGGATATCTCATGATAAGATACAAAGAGTATGGAGAGTACAAAAAAGAGGCTTGGAGTATTGTGGAAAGAGTCGGCCCCAGACTCAAGGCCAAGGCAAAAAGGATGTTTGCTTCCTTGCTGGCCGGATGTGTTGGATCTTGCCTGCTGGAGGAGAAGATTGAGAGACTCCTGGACTCCAGGCGAAGGGAAGCCGCAGTAAGTGTGGAGAAGAAGAATATCACGCACGTCCTCACAAGAGACGAGGTGGAGTATGTAAGAGAAAACTATCCCTTGGTATCTTACTTCTACAACATTCCTGAGGATATTGGGGTGCCTTATCTTGATTTAAGAAGGAGTTTTAATATTGAGTATTTTGACGAGGTTTGTTGTTGGAATGGATTTACCGAGAACTCCAGTATGCTTGGTGGGGCATCAAAAGAGAAGCTTCTGGGGGACCTGGGCTTGCTAAAGGACATATGCTTTCGGATGTGCAGAAACAGAGAATATGATTTGGAGTTGATGAGAGAGCTCATAAAAAGGTCTACATCCTTTGAACGGGCATTTATGGAGGGTTATACAAAGGTGGTGTGCCAGGAGTACGAGGCTGCTAAAGAAAAACTCAGGATGGTTCTGGAGATCATTAGAGGAATGGGAATGGCATCCATACACGAAATTCAGCTTTGTGTGTACGATCTTCTTTCCATGTCCCACATGTTCTGTGGAGAGTACTTTGAGTCTGTGTTTTATCTGAATAGAGGGGTAGAGCTATCGTGCAAGTGCCGCCTGGATTTTGTTGCCCAGCATTTTCTTAATTGCAAGCTTGTGGTAGAGAGGATAGGGGGCGTGCACGGGCCTTCCCCAAACATCAGGCTGGATCTACGGGAGATGATTGATCCTCGCCATGTTGCAGTAAACGAGCAGAAGGTGGTTAGCAACAGGGTTTTTACAAACCTTGCGCTCAAAGATGAGATGAGCAACCTCCGAGAGATCAGGACTCTTGAGAGGTTTGCGATACTTAGGCCCTCTACACTTTGCAGAGACATACAGAGAATACTGAGGCGCCTCGGAAGATACACAGTCATGTCTCTCTACTGCATAGACGGAAGCCTGTACATCAACGACTTCAAGGGATTTATAAGGGTTGATAAGGACTTTAGAGGTGCCAAGACACGGATGAACAGAATACTTGCCAGGTCCAGAGACATTCTCAAGGAGAACGCGGTTACTGGTATGGACAGGGCAAGGTGGTGGATGCAGAGGATAGAGCTGGATGCAGAGCTGGGAAAAGTACTGTCTGATATCGGCAGCAAGTTCAATGGGCTGTCGGTTGGCAAAAGTGTCATTCTAGTCCTGGACGAAACAACAACAGAGTTTCCGTTCGAATCGATGCCTGTTTTTAGAAATAAAGCGGTGTACAGAGTGCCTTCACTGGAGTATCTTGAGAATGCCTCGGGATCTGGAGCCTCTGGAAGGTCTTTCTTCTATCTGTTGGATCCTGAAAACAATCTTCCCAAAACCCAGGAGAGGATGGCAGGTTTCCTCGAGTCCTCTGGAATAACGAACGGTGTCACTGGAAGGCCTCCGTCAGACCTGGAGTGCAAGAAGGCTGATGGCTGTGACGTCCTGCTCTATTTCGGGCATGGGAGTGGGTTAAAGTATCTGAAGGTTTCCGGAGAAGGGAAGACAATGCTTTTATTTGGATGCAGCAGCGTCAAGCTCCTGTGCATGGAGAACTACAAGAGAAATGGAGCAATTCTAAAGCATCTTAGGAGGAACTCGATGGTAGTTGGATGTCTGTGGGAAGTCACAGACAAGGACATAGACAGCTTTAGTGCCAGGATCATAGGAAGCCTGACGAGTGGATGCGAGAGTCTTGGGGAACTGATTTCTAGATTCCGAGACGGATTCAGGCTGAAGTATCTGAATGGCGCCTCCGTGGTCATTTATGGCCTTCACTAGCCGTCTTCCGAGGGCTGGGGCTATTAATTTCTTGGGCAAACAACCCAGGAATGCCTTGGTACCATATTCAAGACAAGAAGCTTAAGCTAACTGTTAGGGCCAAGCCCAATGCCAGGAATACCTCGATAAGAGAGGTAACAGATACCGAGGTTGTTGTAAATGTAAGGTGATTGTGTTAATTTTAGATAAGTGCACCGCCAGCAGATAACAAGGCCAACAAGGAGCTGGTAGAATTTATTAGTAAGATGCTCAAAGTTCCAAAGTCCCTCATCAAGATTGTAGCTGGCACGACCTGCGCTATCAAGACAGTCGTGATAGGCACCTGGGAAGGAAGTGCGGGAGACTTGGAGGCTGCTGTCGGAGAAATGCTAGAGTAGAGTGCGCAGCTAAGGCATGCAATTTTATTTAACACGATCTAATCACTGGACCTCCCGTGGTGCTTTACAATAAACGGATGATTTAGAGCCTCTGTAAGTTCCATTCTGTCGCCAGGACTCAACACAAGAAGTCTGGAAATGAAGTCTGAAGCGTTGGAGCTAATCGTCTCTGGAATGGTATACTTCAGTGAGTTGATTTTCTTATAGGCCTCCCTCATGTTCCTGTTCTTACTTTCAAACGGAGTTTTTCCCATGAGAAACTCATACGTTAGGATCCCCAGGCACCACAGGTCTATCCCTGAGTCGTGTATATCGTTGTTAACCATCTCTGGGGCAAGATACTCCATTGTACCACAGAAGGTCATCCGCCTCTTGTCAGCATTATAAACCGCCCATCCAAAATCTGCTATCTTGAGCTGGTTGTCTGACCCAAGCAGCAGATTCTCTGGCTTTATGTCTCTGTGTATCACATTACACTCCTTCATGTATGTCAGCGCCAGCATCACCTGTCTTATGTATAGAGATGTCTCTTTCTCCCCGAACTTGCCTCCCCGGTCGCTAAGGAACTTAAAGAACTCGCCCTTCCCTGCATATTCCAGTATCAGATATATATTGTCCTTGTCGTGGAAATGACCATACATCCTCAGAATGTTGGGATGCTTCAGGTTGGAGTGTATCTCAATCTCTCTGCGGATCTGCCTTGCCGTCTCCACCGTCTGGATTTCCTTGATTGGAATAATCTTCAACGCAACTATAAACCCCTTTTCCCTCTCTCTTGCAAGCCATACCTGCCCGAACTTTCCACGCCCAAGCAATCTTCCTATTTCAAACCTGTCCAAAGTCCAGTACTCCACCATCACAGGGTCCCAATCGAAATGTTTATAGAACTTGTTTCTCAGGAGTTTAGCAGAGCCCCAAGCACAGAGCTTATAATCGCCTCACTCCCAGACCCATGGGCGTCCTTGGCCTTGTACCTCTCCTTGATCCTGCATATGTGGGCACTGGACGTGGTCGCCTCCTTTTCTGTCATGCAAATGAGTATGCTGTCCATTGCAGAGCAAAATAGAAGGCACACAATAAGGGTCTCTGCCCTGTAGTCTATCTCTCTGCTGCAGGTTAAGTATTCCTTTATGTAGTTTATCAATTCTATTCTTATGCTGTAATCACTCATGGTGATCCTGTTGAATATCAAGTTTCTGTTCTCAACCTTGCATATGCGTCTTTCTTCTAAGTCTTTGTAAACCCTCAGCCTGACATTTCTCATGTGAATACTCCCTCCCCTTTTTTCTCCGTTGAGCCTGTACATAAGCTCGCCAGGTGGCAGCTGGACCTGGTAAATTTTGTTCATTGCCTCTACCAAAAGTGGATTACTCAGCATATTGTCCTTGCCCACGACTCTGCCCTCTTTCAGCCCTATTGCTCCGCAAAGAGCAAGCTCAACCACTATGCATGCCCTCAGTGACAAGGACACACGGTTGCATAGAAACTTCACCTCGTTTCTTGTCCGGAGCAGGACCACCAGTTGCTCATACAGCCTAAGAGTTCCCTTCGACTCCGTGTGTTGGGAATGCTCGCGCTTCCGTGTTGATATTGATTCCATCCAGGGCCTTATTGGCAGTGATTATTGTTATGGATTGGTTGACTTTGAGATAATGAATCAGAGCGCTACCAAACGCTATTGGGCATCGAGTCTTGCGCTTGAAATTCCACTCGCCCTGCATACTCCTTGCGAATGGCAAATGTCAGAGAGCTTAAGAGGCTGACGGTGTATGACATCCAGAGGATTCTGTGTTGGGCATTTAACCTGTCTAAAAGGCCTTCCTTCCTTCCCCTGAGAGCAACCGACCGCCCGGACACAATCAACATGGTCAAACTCGAAGAAACCTCAGAAAACATTTCGAGGCTCCTGGGCAAGCTCAAGGCGAGACACACCGCGCTTGTAAACGAGCAGCTGTCTCTTGATGACATAGTCGAGTGCATCTTGAGGGACGGAGGATATGACGGCATCATCCCATCCCTTGAGTATGTTAGGATGGATAACCTGCCGCTCATCCCTATGGTGAGGTTCGAAGATGTATACCGCTCGGGAATATTTGTAGACAGCAAAAGTCCTCAGCCAGAAATCGACGTAAGCAAATACAGAAGAGCACATGTGTCTGCATTGCATGACATAGTCGCACTGGATGTAGAAAAAGTCAGGACAAAGATGGGAAAGGAGCCCGGAAGGGTTACAATGGTTGATTGCAACGGAGAGGTCATCTACGATAAGATAATCAAGCCAAAAGAGCCTGTGGTGGACTATCTGACCAAATATAGCGGACTGACAAAGGAGGTGGTTGACAGGGGTATTGACATTGAGATTGTTAGAAATGAGGTTCTTAACTTCATTGGAACCAACACAGTAATTATAGGGCATGGGATTGAGAACGACCTGAGTTCACTGAGGCTGTATCATGATAAAATCATAGATACGGCCCATCTATTCCTAAGTCCTCTGGGAAGAAAGATATCCCTTGCACAGCTGGCAAGGACGTACCTTGCCAAAGATATCCACGTGGAAACACACGACTCAAGGGTGGATGCAGTCACTTGTCTCGAGCTTCTTTCAGTAAAAATACAGTACATGCTCAGGGTGACAGACCCGGGATGTCCAAAGCTGAAGATCCAGGCAATAATAGAGAAGAAGTGTGCCTCTGATCTCTTAAAGCACGATAGAGGACACTTAAACATAGCAGCTTGCAGTTATAGGGACCTGGCCAAGCATCTCAAGTCCTACAGAAAAAGAAGGGAGTGTCTTTGGATGCTTATCTATAAGGCAGGCGATAACATCTACTTCAGCTTTTAATACATTTCTGTTTATTGTCATCTTTCTATGTGCTCGTCTCTACCAGCCTTATCCAACACAACAACATCGCAAAAGTCCTCAAAAAGATCCTCTATGCTCAAGGGAGTTATTAGGATACCTTGAAACCCATTCTCTTTGAAAAAGCCCAAGAGCTGTCTTATTGCATGCTTCCTATTTAGATTGTCCATGAACACATCGAATTCGTCGAGGACCTTGATGGGGCATGAAAGAGAAGGCCACAGAGACAAAAGTAGTGAGACACTAGCAAAAGACCTCTCTCCCCCGGACAACATGCTTCTGGACCCCACCTCAGACTGTCCGTGGACCCTTAGCTGGACATCCAGCCTCTTCTTCTGATGGTCGAACTCCAGGGCTCCCTCGTATCCCCTGGCCTTCGTCAACCTGGAAAACTCCTCAGCAGCCCTTCTAGCAATCTCATTTCTCATGGAATCTCTTTTGACTATTCTCGACTCAATGCCCTCCAGTGCAGTTCTTATCTTCTCGTCGTATTCACGGAGAAGATCCTCCTTTCCTCTCCTCATCCTCTTCAGATGCTCCAATGTACCTAGAGCTTTCTCCTCGTCACCAATTCCCCTGCACATCTCCGCCTGTGCCTTTATATAAGCTATCTCCCTTTTTATTTCATCTTCTGCTCTCGCCTCCATTTCTTTCTTCCCGCTCTCCAGAGCCAATGACTTTTCAGAGTTGTAGAGTTCAACCTGTTTCTGATGCTCTTCCTTCAGCTTGAGGATATCCGTCCGCCACATGTCTATTCTTCTCCTAACCTCAGAGGCCTCTGCAGTGTTTCTAGAGATCTCTTGCCTTAGCCTGCCGGTGCCAGCCCCCTTGTATTCCCTGATCTCTTTTTTCTCCCGTTCCAAAACCTCAATCTCTTCACTGATCTCGCTCTGCTTTTTCTCTAGCAGGGAAATCTGGTGCGTAAGGCTCCTTATTTCTTCATAAAGATCGTCATTCTTCATAATCTCCATCTGTGTATCGTGTATGTGTCTTTCATGATCCATCTCAACCCTCAATGCCTTCTGCATCCTGTTCCGAGATTCTATATCTTCACTCACCTTGTCCATTTCATTCTTTATTTCCTTCAGCCTTCTTTCCCACCTCCTCTCAACCCTCTCCTCCGCAAGCCTTTTCATCTCAGCACGGCATCTTTCCAGCTTCTCGTGGGCATTCTCAAAGTAGAACCTGTCCACGCCCCTTGTAACAAAATCAGACATGCTCCCTCCAACGAGCCTTATCTTGTCTCCATTCCTTGTATATGCACATTCTACAAACGCAGGCCTTGATCTTATTATCTCGTATGCTTCCTTTCTACTCTCGACCAAGATCGTCTGTTCAATAGATGTTGTTATTATTAGATAGTTCATGACAAACGGGTTCTTCACCTCTAGGGCATCAAGCACACTTGTGTACCTCGGATTTGCCTTGTACTTTATGACTTCAGGAACCCTGCTTGAGAGCGTCGAAATCGGGAAATCGACCTTGTGTCTTCTAAAGATCCTGAGTAGAGCATCCTTGTCTACTCTATTCGTTACAATAAAGGTGGACAGCGAGTTGTTCAGTACAATGCTGATGGCCTTGCTCCATCTCTCTTCCTTGACCTTTACCTCGAATGCAATGGGCCCGACAACCTCCCCGTTAAATTTGGTTCTCGAAATCTCATCCATTGCAGCAGGAAAGCTAGGTCCAAAAAAGCTGTTCTGATCATTCTTGGAGTAAAACTCAATCTGCTTCCTAAGATGAAGAATCCGACCCTCTCGCTCAGAAGCCGCTTCCTCCTCCACCTTCGCTTTCTCTCTACATTCTCTGCTTTCATCCCCAAGCCTTTCAAGCACCCCTTGAAGAGTCTCCACTTCAGAAGCAATTCTCTTGTGCTTGTCTTCAAGTTGAGGAAGCAGGCTTTTCACAGTTCCGTCCTGCTTCTCAAAATCAGAAACAATTTTTTTCTTGAAGTCTCTTGCCTCCTTCAGCTCCTCGCTATCGTTACATATTTCTCTGCGCCTCATCCTTAGCCTGCTGATCATCCCATCAATCTCCTCACTTCTTCTATCTCCGTTTCTCTTCCTTTCTCCTTCCTCAGCCTCAATGCTATTCATCCTTTTCCGAGCTTCCCCGATCGCTTGAGATAGCTCCTCCAGCCTTTCGCTGTACTTGTCCATTTCCTCCTGCTTGTCTCGGAATCTTTCAAAGCACTTCTCCATCTGCATCCTCTTCTCATTCACCCTTGCCCATACCATTTCATCCTCCAGACAGAGAATCGTCTTCTCCATGTCCTTGGCATTGTTGATGGCATCCAGAACGCCCTCCTCGTCCTTGATTCGCTTCTCAATACCATCCAGCTCCTCTGCAACAAGACTTATTCTTCTTCTCATCGCCTCTACATTACTCATGGACTCGCTATTCAGTCTGCATATTTCAGCTATCTCTGTCCCCTGCATAAACAGCTCATAGAGCATCTCAGGATCCATTGTGCTCAGAAATCTCTTGGCCTGTTCCTGTGTGAGAAAGTTCAGTGGATTCTCAAATCTCAATGCAAAGAACTCCAAAACCGTCTCCAAATCCTCCCTCCTCGTGGACCAAACCCTCCTTTCTCCATTCATAATGCTGGTTGTTGCTGACTTCATTCCAATCCTCTTCTCAATGATGATCGTTTCCCCGAAAAACTCCTTCCTGAACCCTCTGTGGTTTTCCAGCACAATCCTTACTGCTGCATTCGACTCTTTACTCTTTATCAGATCCTTGAAACTGCTCCCGCGCTCAAGATGAGACGCTCGCTGTCCAAAAACCAATCCAATCGCCACCATTATTGCGCTTTTCCCAGATCCATTGCATCCTGACACTATTGTCAGAGGCTTCCTCAAGCTGATAAGCAGATGGTCGTGGCACATGAACTTTATGAGCTCTACAGAGACGATCGTTTTCCTGAACTTCCTGTGGCTCATTCCCAAGGCCCATCCCTTTTACAGCCTAAATCGAGCTCGGGATAAAGAAAGACAATGTCCGTGGCATGGGAATTCGGTGATGGAAGAATGATGGGGTTGCAGGTTATGGTAGGATTGATGATTAAACAGGAATTTAATAGCACCATGATTTAAGCCAGAGACGAGTACTTTCCGAATGATGGTCTTGCGAAGGACCCGTTGGGGAAAAATCCAGCCTTCTCAGATGATTTTGTCGGATTAGCAACCTCCACATCGTTTTCTCCCTGCTCGGGCTCTTTCCCCTCTACTGCAGACTCCTCTCCTTTAGCATCCTCACTGCCGCTTGTCTTTACCTTCTCCTCCTCTGGGGCGTTTTTTGCCTTCTTGCCTTCATCAGGTGTCCTGGCATTACTACTGCCTGTCTTTTTTGCCATCTTATTGTATCCCTCCATGTAGGAGAAGTCGGGCTTTGGAATGAATTTGTTCGGGGCGCCAAACCTTTCAGACGCAAATGCCACCTTATCCAAACTCTCAAGAACAGGCCCCGGGACAAATTTAACTTCGTAAGGATTGACATAGGTTGTTGTTTCGCGCACAATGGCCAGGCCGTTTTCGAGTACCATTTTTCTAGTCATTTCTGGAGTAAAAGTATCCTTGCCTGTAGTCCTAGTAACCAGATACTCGTTCTGATAGTTACTGTCGCTGTCCCCTACAAACTCCTCCTTCCCGGCAACCTTTGCCTCGGCAGCAACCTTATAAAGGTAACAGGTGGCCAGCTTGAGTGTACTAAACTTCATAGTCTTGAGACTATGAAAATCGCAACTTAAATAGTTTTTCTTGCTCTTACAATGTTTTGGATCTACCAATGGGTCACGGGGCTGCGCTTGAAACGTTCCTCAGATTGATCCATCCATCCCGTTTGCTGCCCTACTAATAAGGCTGAGTGACTGTGGATCATCTCAGCCTTGCGGACTTTTCTAGGTTTGCTGTAAATGGCCGGGCACCATCCAGGGATTTTAACTTGGAAATCCAGGCCCTTGAAATGGTAGTACAGAAGAGGAAGGACAACCTCCCTCCAAATGGATTAAGGAACAAGGGGAACACCTGTTTCTTCAATTCTGCCATGCAATGTATTTTGTCGATCGGAGAGCTCAACACCTTCTACAAGAATACGGACTTTCCAAGGGATAAGCCAATATCCAATGCATTCAAACAATTCATAGCAGAGTACGAGACCCCGGGATGCCATGACCCAAAGAGCTTTATCGACAAGCTCAGTGGAAGGATAAAGCTGTTCAATGGAATGCAGCAGGACTCACATGAGTTCCTCATCCAGTTTATCGATTTGCTGCATAATGAGTCTGATGGGAACAAAAGCAGGCTTGAGTCGAAAGATGAGTTTGAGGAAGTCCGAAAGCATAGCCTGGTCGCAAAAACGTTGTTTTCGATGGATAAGCAGGTGTTGACATGTGAGGCATGCAACTACTCCTCTGTGACGATTGCCATGAATAGTACCATCCTTGTTGAGCCCTACGAGACAGTCCAGCTGGGGATAGATCGGTATTACGAAGAAGTGAAGCTTGAGGGAAAGGATGCCTGGAGATGCGACAAATGCGGAAGGAAGGAAAGCTCCAGAAAGAGGATGGAGGTTCTTGTGCATCCAGATGTCCTGATAGTGCATATATCGAGATTCCATCCACAGGGGTGGAAGAATACAGCAAGTGTCGAGGTCAATGACACACTACTCTTCAATAATAGAAAGTATAGTCTTCTTGGCGTTGTTTGCCAAAATGGAACTCTTAACGGGGGACACTACTTTGCAGAGGCCAAGAGATCGGGAACATGGAATGTGTACAATGATGAGCAGGTGACAAAAGGCTCCAGGACTTATAGCGGATCTCATCCCTACATAGCTTTTTACACTCTTTGATAGCAGAATTAAATGCTTTAGCCGAGAACAAGCTCATCTGATTTGTCTCCCCTTGTCTACAAAGATCTGGGCCCATTTGCTGGTGAGTGCATGCCTTATTGGTCCTCGGCAAATACAAAAGCAGCAGTTCTAATCTGCATATCTGAGGCATGGTTTTTTGTATGGGAAGATTATGGAGTGTGGTTCCATGCGGAAGCAGGAATGAGGAGAAGGTCATAAGAAGTACATATCTAAGGAGCTACGAGACTGTTGGAAGCGAGGACGATTCTAATTCTCTTCCAGACAGTGACAGGTTCGACGAGGCGTCTGCAAGAAACAGCCCTCGGAAGATGAAGGGAAATAGAGGAAAGGTGTCTGGGCAGACTCGAAAGGCAGGTTCTGGCACAGTCTCCGAACTAAGGATCAACGAAAAAAAGCGACAGAGGTCGAAATCCAATAGTATAACGGACAGCAACGAGTCCTGGATCGGTGAGTACGAAGGTACATCTGGGGAAACGGAGCTTCGAAGCAAGTCCAAGGAAAGAAAGAGAAGCACTATGAGATACGAAAAGAAGGAGACGAGAAAGAGCAGAAGGGTTCCTGGGGAGGGCCTTTACAGAGAAGAGATTGAAAGCGATGGAAGATCCTCCAAAACAACTGATGCATCTACCCGGAAGGCCGAAATACTCGAAAAATACAGAAATAGGATATATCATGACAGTAAAAAGCATCATGGCCCAGACGATGTTTCTATGGAGTCAGAAATCGAGTCCAATAACTACGCCAGAGAGAGGAAGTCCTCTGCGAATGAATCTAGACAGAGGCTTGATAGAAGAGACTTCAGTGTGGACGAAAGAGTCCTTCACAATTTTGATGACAGCGAAAGTGAAATCAGCTTCATAATGGACATCTATGACAGATCATCATTGAATAGCAGCTTAAGAGAAAAGATGTTTGAATACCTAAACCAAATAGGAAAGAAGGGATAGGGTGGCACAGCTATTAAAGCCCGGATCTTGAAGTCTATCTCCTTTATTTGTTTGCCCCTGCCTGAAGTGGCTAGAGCTTCCCGACGTCTCCAAACGCGCTTTTTATCCTGTTGCTCTGCTTTTCTCCCAATGGCCTGGAATGCTTTCCATCAGAGTCCCAGATCTTGAATTCCTTCAGCAGCCCATCGCTGTCGTTTTCAAGGAATGAATGGAGTCGGCTGATGTTTCTGAAGTGGAGGGATAAGCTTCGCGCTACATTTTTTCCTATTCCCGTGATGCTCTGCAGGACATGCTGGAGATGCTCGGTCTTCTGCTCTGGAGAGAATGTCTTTGTTTTGGGTATGTGAATGCCCTTTGAATCCAAGTGCTTCACAACGGCTTTCAGCTCACCAGGAAGGCTCTGGGGGTCGTCGACGAATATGAAGTTCCTACTGCCTGTGATCTGTGCAAGATGCATCTTCTCAATCCTGCTTTCGTACCTGCTTTCCCTTCTAACGTACTTCCTGCCCTCTTCTAGTGCTCTTCTATACTCCTTGTCTTCCTCAGCCTTTGAGGAGCTTCGGCACCTACTTCTGTTCAAAACAAGAGAAATGCTGTTTTCGCACATCTCAACTTCGTCCTTTTCAAAGTCAACGACGTCTAAGGTGCACATGGATCTATGGTCCCTGCATCTGACTATTTCCAGAGTTTTGTCCTTGGAGAACCTATAGACAAACCTCTTGTTTTTTATTCTACTCACAAAGCTTTCCAGGCCTTGTGGAAAGACAAAGTAGTAATCTGCAAAGGCCGGGTCAATGCTTTCTGGGAATGTATTCTGTTGCACCTCCTCCGAGGAGGTCCTTAGACGAGCAGCATTGGATATCGAGCATGGGATATCAAGAATCGTAATGGAGCTGTCTGTGTCGAGAATGTTCCCCTCAGGCCTCTCACCTCTAGCACTGCCTCCTTCTAAGCGCTCCATAAAGTCCGCATGGTGCCCGTCCATCCAGAAGCCCCAGAAACAACTCAATTTATTCCCGAAGACCTTGATTCTACACAAGAAGCTTAGCGTAGCCTCTTCTGCTGGTGTTGAGATGAAGCCCTTTGGATCTCGACGGATTCAGATAAACAAATCTGATCATCTGTCCCTCCTTGATATCCGGAATGGGATTCCACCACGTTACCGTACACTCTCCGCTGTCGTCCCGGATAAGGAGCTTGGTGTACATACTGATTCTTATGTCATGGGACGAAAAGACTCTCTGGGCTTTCCTGGCAAGATCCTCTATCCTGTCGAGCTCAGGCTCGAGGCTTTCGGTTGTACAGCTGTAGTTCTCCACCTTCACAAGATACTTTGTCTCAATAACCTTGGCTATCGTCCCCTCAATGCAGCTAACAGGGCCTCCATCACCAAGAACGTCGGATATTTTGAGTCTGAAGCTCATCTTTTTCCTGTATCCAAGTCTCCGCCGGGAATGAACAACCTGGATTCCATTGTGGTGGAGCCTCAGAAAGACATTCTCGGTGTCGAAAATGGACATCGGCCTGCCCCCCTCCAGATCTGCCCCAAAGACCCTGAGCTTAAACCCAACACGGATCTCATTCTTTTCTATCCTCCTTCTGAGAGGGTCATCATAAAGTGCATAAAGACTGTAGTATCCATCAAACACCTCTATCCGCTCCTTGTCTATTCCAACAACTAGGAGAATCATGTATCTCCATGGTACATCGTCCCCCTCGACAATTCTCCGGAGCACAGAGTATTCGCTTTCCAGCCTCACCCTGACCTGCTCCTCTATCCTATCTACAAGATCGCTAAACTCCGGCCATCTTCTCCCAAAGAAAAAATAGATCCAAGACCATGTAAATTGAGCAAAAACCCTGTCTGCATCCTCCTGCGGAAACCTCCTCTCTATTTCTTCGTAGACTCGCCTAGGATCCATGCCTGCCTCTTCTTTTTCAGGCCTGTCATCCGGCTTTGGAGGGGCTAGGGCCGTCGGATAAGCATCCAGCTTTTCCACCTCCTCATCTCTAAACATCTTGTACGCCGAGTCTATGCTTTCTTTCCTCACCTGAATCTTTTTTCTGGACCCTGTGGTAAATCCAGAAAACACCGTGTCCGACACAGGGCTTTCCAGATCTGCATGACTCCTGCACGGATCATTATCCGGCTCAAGAGACGGACGCTTTCGAGGGGAAGTGGTGGGGTGGCCTCCATCAGTGCCCAGCATATGAAGGCCGTGCAAGTCATCAGCTTCTGTGGCTCTGTACTCCTCCGCCTTCTCGGTATCCTCAAGTACCTCCAACGAATCAGAGTCGAAATCGTAAAATGTCTGGTTCTCCTGCTCTAGGGACTCGCAGGCACGCAACTCCTTTCTCACAGTGTTGTCAGAGCTAAAGAAAAGCATGTCCTCACAGCTCATCTGGATTGAATCAAGCCCGCTTAGCAAATCCGAGCCTTCATCCTCTCTGTTGCTGCTGCTTTGGAAGAAGCTCTCGAATCCAATCTCGGAGTCTGCGTCCATGGGCAGAGCATAGCGACTTTGTTAAGATAAAATACAAAATGACAATTTATTCTGCTCTCAGTCCGAACAAATCCTCTCTATCGTTGTTTACCAGAAACCAGATGGTTTTGAAGAAGTTTTCTGGGAGAATAAGAGATGAGTTTGATGTAGCTGTGTTTGGATCGTTGTAGTACGACTCCTTCTCAATCTCCTTCGTATCCTTGATTCCCAGCTCTGCCAGCCGAAGAATATCAACATCCGGCCCCTTCCCTATCTCAGACCAGCTTTCCAAAAGATTAACTCTGTCCACAAGAACCTTCTCGGTAAAGGTGTCCAGATACTCCTCCTCCTTGATGTTCAGCGGATAGAAGTGGCAGGACTTGTAGAACATCTTCCTGAGGCTGTTGCGAAATATAAATGTGATGAGGATAATCGGAAACAGTGACATCGACAGATAGAATCTCTTGTCCGAGGACATCTTTGCAAATGTGACAACCTGGAAGAATATAAGGGAAAACACTATGTTCTGGCATGCAGAGTCCCAATACCCCCCTCCAGATTCATACTCGTTTCTGGAGGAGTACAGAAACTCGGATTTGAATGCTAGGTAGTTGCAGAAGTAGAAGAATGCCCCAAGAAGAAGAATGGGAGGGCACATCACTGCATAGGCTATCGACATCGAGAACACGGTGAGGCACGACGGAAATATGGTCCCAAAGTCGAATGGCGGTGAGAACTCGGCATCAAGCTTCTCTCTCCTTGTCTTTCTTCCCGTGAATGGAAAGATAATGTAGTTAATCAGCAGCGGTGCAGGCTTCAGTAGCGTTAGTGCAGTTCCAACCAGGGACTTCTGAATGATTATGTTTGCAAAGAACACCGAGGACTCTAGAGACTCTTTGCTGAATGCTTCGACAATGTCATATATCTCCTTGTTTCTGGACAGAACATCCGAAAAGAGCCTGTAAAAGCTTGTTACAAAGAACACGGAGGCAAACCCGTTGAAAAACAGGAAGTTACAGAGCTTGTCCATCAGCTTCTGCTGAAGGGTTGAGTATGAATAGATCCCCTCCATGTTCATAAGCGCAGTTATGACTGTTGGGACAAGCAGCAGCATGGAGTTGTAGATGAGTGGAGACAGAGCACCTCGCAGAGAGTCAGCAATCGTTTCATACCTGGACAGAAACGAGGATATAAGCTTACTTTCCTTAAAACCCTCGAAGTTTACCAGTAGAGTAACAATACTAGTAACCATGGACGAGAACAGCACAATGAAGAGAATGAAGAACACCGTCCCAAAGATGCTGTACATGTAGTTTTCCACCTCGCTGTTTGTTATGTTTTCCCAGATGACGTCGTTTGGGGCCGGCGCATCTTCTGTTGTGACAGAAAATATCCTCGATCCTATTTGCGACTGCTTCACTATGTTTGCGCTTCTCTGGTCCTTGAATGTGACAAACCCCCTTTTTGTTTTCGAAGGGAGATCCAATGTGAAGTACATCTTGTACTTCCTGTAGTTGAGTATATGGTGAAACGAGAAGAAGCTTACATCCTGCGATATGTCCCCTCTCAGAAAGAGAGTGTTGTTGCGCGAGACCAACTCCACAATCCTAACGTCTTTGTCTCCTGCCTCTTCAGTCTTTATGATCTCCTTTTCCCTACTAATCCTTGCATTCACGTCATTCAGCTTTTCCAGGTAAAGGCTTACCCTTGAGACGTCCTCTCCCTCCTTGAGCTTGTTTTCAAATTGCTTGGCTCCGTTGAGAAATAGCACAATGAGCTGCCTCTTCTGGGAAGGGTCGAAGGTCCCCTCTATTTTGGCCTCCTCGACAGTCCTAGAGATGCTTTCCTTGAAGCCGGATATGCTCCTCTCGCATGCCTCCCGGTTCTTTTCAGACCAATCATTTATTCGCACAAATTTCTCGTTAATCTCCTTTTCAATGTTGTAAATGTAGCTATCCCTTTCACCGTAGAGGCTCTGCAGGGTGTTGGTATCGTACACGAGCACGCTGTCATCAATCTCCCCGACCCCGAGAGCGTTGATGAACTCATAAAGGTCTACATCGTTATTAACATAGCTTGGAAGTCTTGAAACAAGCAGTGTCCTGTTTGGAAGGTTCACATACTCCGTCGACCTTTCCGAGCTTCCAAGGTGGTTGGAAAGCTTCTTCAGGGTTATTATGGATGTCATGATTGCTGGGTTCCGCAGATATGCCTGCCTGAGGACGATATATCTCTTGTAGTATATAAAGATAGAATACATTATGAATCCAGATATAAGATATACAACAGGGATTACGAGTCTGTAGCTTCCAGAGTCTGGATCTAAGCTTCCCAAGGAAAGCCTGACTAGCCACTGATCAGAGTGTTCTACGTTCTCCCGTTGGTTTGTCCAGAACAAGTATCCCAGCGACGGAATGACAAAGAGGGATAGGATGAAGAGGATCCTGTAGAGCATCTTCAACGTCTGCAGCATCATGAATGCATCCAGCCCTATGATTGAAAGAAGAATCGTGTCGTTGACCGTCACAACAGGGATGATCCAGCTCAGGAACCCCGTGTAATTGTAGCAAGGGTGGGAGGGCCTGCCTCTGACATTTGGCGAATAGAGCCATTTTGCTCTTTTTCTGAGGATGACGTACGCTATTAGGATGCAGAATGTAATGAATCCTTGGAACACTGCATTTGTCAACACAGCATTGTCTGCCCTGCTCAACGGCGGCTTTTCGGCCCCATTCACTATGTTGTCCTTATCCATGTCATCCATCCTTGCTTGCCCGGGGACTAAAAATTTTATCTTTGTGGCGACCAATTAAAATCCATATGCATGTGCTTGCCAGTGAAAGACTCTTCATTAAGGAGACTTCTCAACCATATACGGACCGCTATTTCCATAGGCCTGCAGCCAAAGACACCCTGGGTTGTTTTAATCCGAAGGATGCCTGAGGGTAAGTAATGAGAATGAAATTTGTGGCAGAAAAGTCGACGAGTCTTCATGATACAGAGGATGAGAAGCAGGCCAATGTCATCACCATAAAGGAGAGAGAAAAGATTTTGATCCTGTCCACGGAGGAGGAGATTGCTTTGAACAAGCAGGATATTGGGAATGATGTATACTACGATGCAAAGGAGGCGTTTTTGCTGGGAGGCAAGGCGAGGCTAGACGAGAAGCTTATGTCTCTCGACTTGGACGACGAGCAACGGCTGGTTCTGTCTGGTCTGATAGCAAGTAAAGAAGTAAAAGAGTGAGTTCTGATTCTTTAATCGTGAGCTGCGCTGCAAACACATATCCATCTATACTTTACCTGAGAGCCTCCTTGATCTTCTCTTCCAAGCGCAAGGGCTCTGCCCCCTTTAGATAGTAGATTGTGCATGCAGCAATTGGCCTATCGATGCCACATGCCACCCCCAGAGCGTCTTTGGAGGGGACGTGGACAAAGGAAACCCCCTTATCCTCGCATATTATGGGCAGAAGTGCCGTTATCTCCTGTGGCTCTACATCGCATGCTATGACAACAAGGAGGGCAATCCCCTTACTGAGGCACTTCGTTGATTCGTTTATGCCCTTCTTGATGTTCCTTGACCTTGTGGCACTCTGAATCAGTCTTAGTATGCTCTGCACCTTTTCATCAGAGACCGGCGAGTATGTCTGGGCTACTGTCATTGCGGGGGCAAAAATTTTGGGGTTTAGGCGCCCTGGATGAATATCAAGTCAAAGTACGGGAAGGTGATAAAGGCGCTGTCGATTCGTCAGTCGGACCTGTGGCTCGTGCCGAGGCTGATGACACCTCTTGAGAACAGCTTCCAGACGGAGGCCATAGATGACGAGGAGGTTTGTATTGTGCCCAAGGAAGCCAACTTCCAGCTCCCCAATGTTTTTCTGAGGACAGGGCAAAATCCTGAGTATCAAAAGCTGGTTGATGGCGGCATGCCCAGCAGCGATTGGGATGATGTTATTGAAGAGACGATAGAAATGCTTGAGGAGATAGATCTTTCCATCGGGAGTGGCGGTGTTATGACTAGAAAGTGTCCTGTTGACCAGGGTATCCTAAACAGGTTGGTGTTTGAAAGATATGGATACTCTTAGAAGCAAACCCTGTGCTAAATAGACCTATACCTACTGCGCGGATCCATTGGACGGACTGTAGATATTAATCTGCATTGATTGGTGGGAAATTGCATTCTATTTGTTCCTGTGATTAGATTGCTTGGTCGAGGGATAGCTCTTGCTGATGGACACTTTCCATAAGATATAAAGGCGAGTTGTCTGGAGTTGACATGAACCTAACTATAGAAGAGCCTTCGAAGGTAATAAAGATGCGAATGAACGAGGCTGGGAGCTGCAAACAGCCTCGGGATGTCAGAGTGATTCCTCGGCGCAAGGAAATGGTAAGAGAATCTGGTCAGAGACTGGAAGCACCGGAGACGAAGGATTCAGTGGGATTGTGTGATGACGAGAACTGTCCGGATGGGGCGATGTTCAACACAAAGGAGGTTTCTATCGACTTTTTCGACCTGAATTCGACGGCCGGAAAGCAGAAGAGAGAAAGCAGGGGAGAGAACAACAGGACTAAAGGGGCAATGCATCTCTATGGCTACAAGACGATGGGGGCGGCGTTTGAAAGGAGTTTTATCGAGACTGCGCTGAAGCACGACGTCCGGGTGAAGGATATAAGACATGGAGAGGATCTCATATTTATATACTTCTTTACTGTGGAGGACTCCATATCGTTTTACAGACAATTTCTGCCGTATGTGGAACTACACTTTTCTGAGACGAGCGACTTTGAGCAGGCACTCCTGCTTTCCTCCTCTGAGTGGGCTAGTATTGCACTATTGAACATGAATCCTGCAGATTCCTCCCGGGGCAGAGAGACCTGTGCTTCATCCTCCAATGAGAAGGCATATTTGGAAGCAGACAGCTCTTCCGAAGGCAGGACCCACACAAACGATTTGCACGGGTGCACGGGAGAAGGCTGTATGCCCTGCTTTCAGTATGAAGAGCCTGATTCTGGCGTCTGGAATAAGGAACTCCCCCAGGAAGCCGTTTTTGAAAAGAAAATCGAGCACTTTTTACACCTCAGAAACTTTTTCTCGAAGAGCGAGGTGAAGACGATGGCACAAAGCCTAGAGATGGGGAACATTGAATTCATCTTCAAGAACACCAAGGAGCTGGCTGTTGGAAGTCAGTCGAACAAGGTAATGCAGGAGGCGATAGGGATGCTGCCTGAGGTCAGCATTGCACGGGTCATCCAGAACCTCGAATACGACATTGCCCCTATAGCAGCAAACAAGCATGGAGCATATACTATCCAGATGCTGATTTCCGTGTCCAAGACACCGTTAACACAAAGGCTTCTATCCAAGTACTTCAAGAGGTTTGGAAAGTTTCTGATAACCCATGAGATCGGAAATTACACGATCCAGAAGATACTCAGGTTCGATCCCGACCTTATTTTTGAGTTTTTCGTCTCGAAGATAGAGGATGTTGTGAGGAGCGAGCTTGGAATAAAGGTTTTGAAAAGATGTCTGGAGTTCTTTCCCGACAAGAAGCCCATTTTAGTCCAGAAGGCCCGGGAGTACGGAAAGAACCTGAATGTTCTGCTCCTCTAGAGCTTGTATAAATTTATTTCCATATCTCACCTCCCATGATCTTTGTCTTTAGCCCAGAAACCACCATATTGTGGTAGGCCTCGTCAACAAACACCCTGCAAGGATCTATTTCCACAAGAGGCTTGGTACCTAGTGCTGTCTCCAGCAGTATAATCGCGCTGTACACATCGCCTTCCTCAGCCCTTTCGGAGTTCAGCAGCTTGGAGTGTGCTTCTGTGAGCCTTGCAAGACTTTCCAGCATTCTGACTGTGTTGAACTCGTTGGCCCCCTCGGCCTTCCTCCTGTGGTGGTAATAGCTCAGTAAAACTGCGTTGAGGTCATCCGGGATGACAGCCCTTCTTTTCCTTGCAACACCTATGTAGTTCCTCAGGATGTTGTGATCCCAGCAGACAGAGCCCTGCTTCTTGTCTGTAAGCCCGGTCTCTGGCCTCCGCCCAAGAATCTTATCTACAATTAGCAGGTCGCTTCTACCGTCTCTGTCGTCAAACAATCCAAATATAAGGTCAAATCTACTAATCAGGGGCGTTGCAACCATGATGTTTTCCGAGATGCTTTTGTTGAAGCTGTACTTGTGTCTTGTGTTTATTGCAGCAATGACAGAGCATCTGGTGTTTAGTGAGGAGACGATTCCAGCCTTTGCTATGCTAAGGGTTTGCTGCTCCATTGCCTCCAACAGTCCGTTCTTTTCGTTGACCTTAAGCTTGTTGAACTCGTCGATGCAGCAAAGACCTGTGTCTGCAAGTACTAGGGCCCCCGCTTCCAGCACCCACTCCCTTCCTTGTCTTACTGCGCAGGTTGTAAGACCTGCCTGTGTGGTTCCCACTCCATTCGTAAGGACTGCGGGAGACAGAAGCCTTGAACATGTCTTCAGGAGGTGGGACTTTCCTGTCCCGGAGTCTCCAACCAAGAGGATGTGCGAGTTCGATCTTGTGCCGCTCTTCTGGTCTGCCCCGTGGCTTCCGCTTACTAGTGCGAGGAGGAGCCCAAGCTTAACATTCTCTAGTCCTTGTATCTCCTCAGCAAATGAATTGACGAGGAGAAGCCTTCTTTCAAACCATCCCATTCCGTCCAGCCTTCCCAGGAATGTCCTCCCGAACGAGTCGCCCATCGACTCTTCATCCTGCTTGTGGACAGCAAGCGCATGCATGTATATAGAGCTGGCCATTTGCTCGCCCACCTTGAACGGTCTCCACCTTATAAGAACCGTCCCTGTTATCAGCAAATTGTCTCCGGGAAGGAACTTCCCTGCAAGATCCTCCTCAAGAACCACTTCCAGTGTTTCTGACATCGAGCTGCGATTTCCTATGTCTTGGATCCTTATCTTCTGGCTTGGAATTGCCCCTCCAAAGCACCTCCGGTCCCTCAAAAGAGACGAGCCGCAGGACTCGCACAGCATCCTGTCCTTCCTTTTCCCTGCAGAACATCTGTATGCCCTGACATTGCACTTCAGGCACACCAACTCGCTGGTGACATTCCTTATCAAGGTTTCGTAGGCCCTGATCACTGTCCCATTTACAGTGACGATCCTATTGATGTTCTTGCTGTTACATGCATTGTCCGTGAATAATGCACATGGAATCTTCCTGAGAACCTTCTTGGACAGATAAGGATGCTCGGAAACCCCTAGCACCATGCTGTTTGCCAGCTCCGGATTCCTTTCGCACAGATCGATCAAGTCTACCTCTTCTTCTTTTTCTAGAGCCATGGCCTCCAAAACCCTCTGAGCAGTAAAATTTTAAGATCTTGGAGGATGAGAAGGACGCCGCGGAGATTCCACATCCTCTCTGGAAGCAGAGGGCTGGCCTGCCTCCCTCCGTCCCGGAAAAGAGCTTTGCGGCACCGTCTCCGAATAAGGAGAGAGACGCAAAAAGGGGAAAAGGAGTCTGCTCCGATTGATGAATTCAAGCATAAAATAAAAAAGATGGAAAGCAATGAATGATGGAAGACAAGCAGGAGAAGGTTCTCGGTGCGGTAAATGCTGTGGAGGCAAAGACAATGGACACAATAGATAATGTTGAGAAGTCGAGTCTTGGAAGCTCCATTCCACTTGAGGTGAATCTTCCTCTCCACGAAATGACGAAGTACCTAATGTTCTTCACCATGTTCGAATCGATTCCCGTGTACCTTATTTCCTGCGAGGGGAACAAGAACGAGTTCCTGCACTGGATCTCGAGGGGAACCAGCCTTATCTTCCTTATCACAGCCATCGTAGCCGGGCTATTAGACCTGGTTACGTTTTATGGAAAAATGTCCAGCCTGTACAAGTTTGTGATACTTACAACGGGTGTCCGTGCTATAGCAGCGTTTCTTGTTGTGGTATTTTCAAACATCAGCTCGATGTATGTGGTGATCCTGGCCATCCTCTACTTTCTAAGGATTGCCACATTCGACGGGCTGTTTCTGTACTATTTTGCAATACTTCTGAGAAGAATCGAGTCTGACGACTACGACAACAACGGGAGAAGACTCAAAGCCAAGGAACTGAAAGGCGAGAAAGTATGAATAAAGGCCTTCAGGATATATATAACTCCCCAGATCTTCTGTGTGTTGTGTGTCTTGGCAACCTCACAAGTCCTGATAAAAATTTAATACACTAGATATAAGGCAGTCACTGTGCCTTTATCAGCCCAGCCGCCATTCCGTCCTCGAAGTCAAGCTGCTCGATGCCGGAGTCTTCGTCGGAAATCACCATCATTACTCTCTCAACCGGAGGCTCTCCTTGTGCCATCCTAAGCTCGCCCGCTATTCTGCTCCACCACCGTGCCAGCAGGGTATTCTTCTTGACTCCTACACCTTGTTCGTAGCAGTCTGAAACCAGGTATGCAGCAGAAATGTTTTCTCTTGCAGCTGCTTTGAGCCCAAGCCTGAATCCTAACTTGTAGTTCCTTTCAACTACATTCTCCAGCCCGTTCAGAAACAGGACGGAGAGTCTTAGCTGTGCATCCGACTGCCCAAGGTCTGTTGCCTTGGCATACCACTCCACAGCCCTTGCCACGTCCTTCTCTTGACCCATCTCCCCCGCCTCAAGACACCTTGCAACTCGGAACTGGCAGTTGGGACAGTCCAGAGATGCTCCCTTTAGATAGAGCTTGAATGCATAGGAGTCGTCAGGAGATATGATATCTGGGCCCTTGCCTCCCTCATAGCACCTTCCTAGGTCATACAGAGCATATGGATAGGCATGTGTTGCCTTTTTTGCAGCAAGTCTCAGATAGAAGACTCCAATCTCCAGATCGGTGCCATCCCCCACCTCCCCAAACAGGATTATTACCCCATATGTGTGCATCGCCTCCACTAAGCCAAGCTTTGCGGCACATCTATAAAAATGCAATGCATTCCTCATGTTCCTTTTCTTCCCTATCCCCTTTTCGTAACACTGTGCAACCCTGAAGGTTCCGGCAGGACTTCCTAGCTGGGCAGCTATTATGTAGTGCTCGAACGCCCTTCTATGGCTTCTCCTTACCCCAAAAAGGCCTTTTTCGTGTGAAAGGCCTAGATAGTAATGCATCTCAGACCTGGGCATGGGGCTCAACGCCTGGATCGTGGGGCTCAAGGTATATCTGCCCAGTAGCCCCCTTATGGACAGACGCTGTTTTTCGGTAAGATGCTTGAGAGCCCTTTCCACCGACAACGAATTCCCCGGGAAAATCTTCCTTGAGTCCCCTCTTTCGTCCTCTATCTTTCTAACAAAGTGCCCAAGCGCAGCCAGCACGTCCCCCACATCTTCTTCTGTATCGTCCTGTGGCTCCCCGGCCATTTCATCCCCAGCTTCGCCCATCAGCACTGGTTCCAGAACAGGGTTCCATATGCTTTGTTCTTCTCTGTTTGAACCAATAGCCTCTTCAAGGAGTGATTCATTACAGGTGAAGTCAGAGCTCTGGGCAAATGACATTCGACTGTCTGCATAGGCTGTCTGTTTGCCTGCGAGGCCTCCAATGCAAATAAAAAGATGCCTGGTAAACCGTGATTGATTTTCCAGTCCCATCCGCAGCCGGCGATTTTATTCTGCATAAAGACAGCCCAGGATGTTGAAGATCCAGGACTTCGAATTTGTAAAAGTCGTGGGAGTGGGGGCCTTTGGCAAGGTGCATCTGGTGAGGCTCAAGAGCAGTCCCACGTCCGTGTTTGCAATGAAAATGCTCGACTTCGGAGAGATTCTCAGGCAAAGGCTGGCGGATCAGCTTGAAAACGAGATCTCCATTCTGAAGCGGATCTATGGGTGCCCGTTCGTTGCAAAGCTGTACTCGACAGACTTCCACGGTGGAAAGGTGGGACTGATTATGGAGTATGTCGGAGGAGGAGAGTTGTTTTACTGGCTCAAAAAGTGCGGAAGATTTGATGAGCAGATGGCCCGGTTTTATGCAGCAGAGATCATTTCCGCCTTGCGATTCATACATGGAAGGGGCATTCTATACAGAGATCTGAAGCCCGAGAACATACTGATCACATCCACAGGACACATAAAGCTGATTGACTTTGGGTTTTCTGTCTACGAAAGCGAAAACATATACATGATTTCAGGGACTCCAGAATATATGTCTCCAGAAAAGCTGAGGAGCGAGGATGACGGGCGTGCAAGCGACTATTGGGGACTGGGGGTTATGATCTACGAGATGCTGTGTGGAGACCCTCCGTTCTATGACTCAAGTGCAGATGCGATTTACCACAAGATACTGGAGTCCAATGTTGTGTTTCCCCACTATGTAAGCCCGGTTGCAAGGTGTCTAATAACAGGGCTGTTAGACAAGAACAGGGCTACCAGGCTGGGGACCAAAGGAATATGCGAGATAATGGGGCATCCTTTCTTCAAGGGGATAGACTGGCACGAGGTTGAGAGCAGGAGGATTGAGCCCCCGTTCATTCCCAATCCAAACACTGTTCTTAGTTCTTTGGCTAGCAGCGGTGAACTCAAAGGCACGGATGATGCAGAGACGGTTGTTTTAAAGCCGTACAAGCATATTAAGCATCTGTACAAGGTCTCGAAGGGACTGTAAATTAATATAAGCCGTTGGTTTTGTGCTGTGCTTCTGCAGCATCTATGACGGAAGGGTTTCTGTAGCCCGTGGCGAGGTGGGGATGTATTGTCTTCGCGCGGCGGGAGGGAGGCTCTGGAAGAAAGAACCAATAAAATTTTATTATAAATATCCTTTTGCTAGGAGGGGTAAGATGAGAGCAGAAACCAGCAGCGGATCCAAGAGGACTTTCAAAACGCTGAGGACAGGCTTTCTGGGACTTGTCGGGGTGATTGCTGTGTACTATGCGCTCCTGTTTATCTTTGGAATCAAGTACTTGAATCCGCAGTACTATGGAAGCTACTTCTATGCTTGGAGGGTGAACTTTGCAGACAAGCTGATGACGCACGGGAGATACAAGCTCATCAAGAAGAACGAGCATCCCGAGACGGAGGACAGGAAGAGATTCTACAGGATCTCGCAGGACAAGGAGGGTCCGTATCTGATCCGGTTTGACAGGCCCGAGCACTTTCCGCGGGGGCACGAGCACCAGTTCAGCCTGAACTTCCCTGCATACGAGGACTTTCTGAAGGTCCGGGAGAGATTCATTGTTGAGTCTGAGGGGCTGCAGGAGAACATGAAGCTGGAGCACTCTGACCTGATGGAGCAGATGAAGAAGGAGAAGGGAGGACTGTTTTTTGCAAGCTACAGCGGGAAGTCTGTTGAGGAGATGATGAGGATTCTGTTCCCGAACAACAATGCAGACAGGAACCCGTGGTTTGATGTAAGCAATATACTGATAAGGGCGGTTTCTCGGATTATGTCGCAGGACGAGAAGGACCGAGAGGGATACCTGTTTGACGGCTCGGAGGTAGGAGACGATCTGATGAAGGATATCCGCGAGGGCCTTGATGCACTCGACAGGAGTGCTGGAGACGGTGACGTCCTCCTTTCCGAGAAGATCTCTGACGCAGACATCAAGAACTTCTTCATCAACAATGGAAGGGTGTCTGGAACGCCACAGGAGACGTTTGCCTACTCGCGGCTGTACTACCTGTTCAACTTCCTGACTGCGGGGATTGAGTTCAAGTCTGAGAGGCTTGCGGAGCTCCGGGGCGACGGGGAGAGCAGCAACGAGTTCCGGGAGGCGCGGATGGACTATGTTGCCAATGTGTTTGCCAGGATATTCGCCAGCATATACCCGAACCAGCACAAGAAGGATGTCAGCAACATTGGGGTTCTCGAGAAGGTAAGGAACTACTACAGCCCCAAGATGACGGTTGACCCTGAAAAGGAGGTTGACGATGCAGATCTCGAGCTTGTCAGAGAGAGCTTCTCAAGATCGTCAAGAATCTCTGCATGACATGACCACAATAAAAAGAGGATTTTCTACCCGTGCCTTTTATTTCAATCAAAGTCTCTTGCCCTGGGCTCGGAGCCTTCATAGTACTGCACGGCACTGTCTATGCAGTGGAGAATCCCTTTGACTGATTCTTCCTTGCTCCAGTCCAGTGGGTGGAAGTCTAGCATGTTGTTCTCGGCGACAAAGCTCAGCATTCTTTTACATATTCTTGAATACTTTCCTGCTCCAATCAGCATCGAAAGTTCCTCGGTCGGCGTGTAGAACACCTCCAAGTCCTCATTTTTGATCAAATCCATTTTGGAAATCACGTTGATGCAAGGAACGTCGAGCCTTGCCATCGAGATGAGTGCACAGAAGCATCCGCTTACATACTTATTGATGTCAACCAGGTACTGGGACTCCATAACATAGACAACCCCGCACTTGAAGTACCGACCCACATGCTCGATGATCTTGGGCATTACATCGGAATGCATGAACAGCTCTATTTGGCCTGGGCAATCGAAAACAAGGAAGGATCCCTCAAGATCCTCCAATCCCAGCTCCTCGATATTTTCATAGAGCTCCTCCAATGCAAGCAAGAGCCCACCGTTTGGTCCGTAGTCGTAGTCTTCCATAACATCGTTGATGGTGATGAAGTCTCTGAGGTCAATGGAATAGTCGTCGGCGGCGGAGATCTGTGCAGGGTCTAGGTTGATCACCTTATAGCTTCTTCCCATGTTCTCACCGTGTTCTCGTATGTTCCTACAAAAAGTCGACTTCCCGGATCCTGCTGGGCCAAAAACGAAAATGGCGTATCCCATTCTGGCCCTCCATGGGAAAAGTTAATAAAGTTATCCACTCGGACCCGAATCTCGAGGAGCTCTTGCTCTCCCTCCAAATAGAGAACGGGCTTCTCGAGAATCCCGGGGAATCTTCGGAGGCCTCTGAAGAGTCGTGTGCATCCGGCGATGAAATAGAGTACAGGCCTTTGGACACAGGCCATTGCGTCTCCCCAGCACTGGATTTCAGCATGAGGTCTCTGAAGGAAAAAGGAGAATACAAGATTTCCAGAGGATCTCTACCTTTTTCACTGTTTGAGGCGATAGGAAAGAAGGAAAGGAGGGAGCAGACTGTCGTCGCGAGCCAGAAGTTCTTCATCGAGGGAGGAAAGTATGACTATGGCTTTACTCCTGAGGATCTAAGACAATATGATATCAAAAGAAGAAAGAAGACGAAGAGGGTATGTCCAAACTGGGAGGATATTGCCGAAGAGAAAAGAAACGAGCCCAGGAGAATCTGTGTCAGGTCTCTTCAGCTGAAGAATAGAAGATGAGAGCATGAGGCATTAAATTACTTCTTTCAATCCTTGTCATATGCTGTTTCTTGGTTTGAAAACCCTGTTCGTCGAGATGGCTCCAAGAGCAATGGATACGGTGGTGATGAGGAGGAGCATTCCTACAGACACGCCATACCCAACCCTTCGGAATCCGTATAGGTGCAGAGCCTCGTTTCCGTTAGAAATACATCTCTCCGAGCCTTTGCATTCAAAGACCAGGCCCTCAAACTGGCTCTGCAGAGCTATTTCGAGAGCATAATACACAGGAGATATCCATATGGCCCACCTGGCAAACCCTGGAATCGTGCCTGGATCAACAAACGCTCCTCCAAGTATTATAAACGACATAATCAGTACGGATGTAAGCACCTGTGCCTGAACAAGGGTCTTTGTGTGCAGCGCAACCACAATTCCGAATGACATGGAGAAGACTGTGACAATCACGAGTATGAGCACAAAAAACACAAATCTAAGGATGTTTGGGTTCAGCCCCACGATCCAGTACGCCGCGGCAATGTAGGCAATCCACGATGTGCCTAATATGCAGAAGCTGGACACCAGACTGGCAAAGTAGGACATGGCAGCGCCATACATTCCTGCACAAACCTCTCTTTTGAGTGCCTTTCTGTATGAGTCAAGGAATATGATTGCAGCGGCTGCTGTTTTTTCGAAACTGCCCATCACAATGAACGACAGGATTCCAAATCTATCCCGAATGCCCTTCTGTGTGTAATCTAGCCGGAAGTAGACAAGGACGAGAAGGGCCAGGGTTGTGAGTTTTTGGATGCTTAGGATCCTCATAAGCTCATGTCTCCTTAGGAAGTCCGACAAGTTTCTTTTGAAGATAAGTGTAAAGCTCAGAATGTATCTTCTGGACACTGTAGGAAACTCCGTCTTCTCTATTATTGACGACACTGCCAAAGGCTCTATTCTCTTCCAGCACATTTTTAATCTTGCTATTCTGCCGAGAGACATTTTCTCAGACTCGGGTGTTGTTGTGTCAACAGACAAGACATCCATGAAAAAGTCGGATGAACCCACGTACTTCTTGAGGTCGTGCCCACAGCTTCTGAAGAATTCCACACACTCCTCAGGACATCCGTTGAACACAACGCCCCCTTGACATATTATCATGATCTTATCGAAGAATGAAAGCATCTCCTGTGGAAGCCTTTGGAACGAAATCATGATTCCTTTCCCCTGCTGTCTCAGAGCCATGAGAATCTTCAGAATGTGGACGACATTGAACGAATCAAGCTCGTTAGTGACTTCATCCATAATCAGTATGGAGGGTCTCTTCGCAAGAGTAATCCCCAGAGAGAGTCTTGTTCTTTCCCCAGTTGATATCGAGCTAATCTGTGTGTGTGCAATCCTGGAGAGTCCCAGTGCCTTGATCAGGCAGGAAACTTCCTCGTTCACAACTGTCTCTGGACCTGTGTCTCTTGATATTGCCACGGCAAACCTCAGTGTTTCCTCGACTGTCTGTGTCTCGTATGCATGAAGATGCTCTCCCACAAACCCCACAGCACATTTCCATACACTTGCATCCACGGGATATCCATTTAGCAAGATCTCTCCCGACACCTTTAGTCTCTCATTTGTCTTTCCTATTATGGCATTCAACATCGTTGTCTTTCCTGCTCCGCTTGCACCCAGAAGCGCCGTCATCGTCGAAGGCTCTATCTTTCCCTGGATTCTTTTAATCAAAGCTCCCTTAAAAGGCTCCGAAACCGACTCCACAGTTACGTTTCTCCAGACAACCTCCACTCTTATGTCCTCGGTATCCATGGGTGATCAGGTGCAATCATTAATAGGACTCCTGGATCCCGCACATGAATTAATGGCCCCATGCCTGCAGATTTTTGGACCTCTCAGACGAGCCTCTGGTAAGACCAATGGCAGCGGCCTTGATTCTTTGCCTTAATATCCAAAGTTTGTTTATTCCTAGATGAAGAGGTCGATCAAGGTTTGCCACTCCAAAACAAGGGGATTTCCGCTAGTAGAGAGTATATACCATGCCGAGCTTGACTTAGACCACTCCATTCTTTCGACAGCGGAGCTCTTGATGTCCCCAGGATCATTCATGAGAGTGGAGTTTTTTCGTGCTACTAAGAGTGTTTTTGGCAATGATTCTTTCAATATGATTGACATCTACTCTGTGTACAGGAGCGGGAGGTTGTTCTTCAACGAGTCTCCAATTCCATGGGAGTCTGACTCACAGATATCCTGGGAGGAATACAGGAGAAAACTGGTTGCCCATGTTTCGAAGCTCCTCAGCCATTGCATAGGGCACGGAGAGGGCCTAGACGATCGCTACGTGCTATGTACGAAGCTTGGCCTTCTACCTCCCGTTTGCCCAAGGAACTGCGGGAAAGAGCTGCAGAGGCTTTCCAAAGAGCTCGATCTGATGAGAAGGCTCGAGAGCCTACAACAGCATGGATCTGAGGCAACTGAGGGCAGCTATATCGATGAAGCATTCAGCATACTTGCGTCTTATAGAGGAAACCCTGAACTAGAGATCAGATTCGTCCTGGAAGCAATGGACATGCTGCCGTTCTTTGCTGTCAGAAGAATGGCCGAAAATATCCCTAGGGCAAGAAGGTGCCAAGCAATTCTGCTGTATTATAGGGTGTACCTAAAGTCTCTGGAGAAGAAAAAGTATAGAACTGCATTTTTGTTTTCGATAAGTGCATCGAGGCTGCTCAAGCAGGGGATAAACCTGGGATTCGAGGAGTCCATAAAGCTGGGGTCCACAGGGTGTATCAGAGAGAGAAATTGGAGGATGGTGCTGAGAGATGTAATGAGCAAGGTGGAGGAGCTAGATGCATGTAGGTACGGAGTCAACCCATACAGGCTGTGCGGGGTTGACAGGAGTGAGTTTATTGTCAAGTCTGTGGAGCTAGATCGGTCCAATGTCGCCAAGTGTTCCGGGAATGCCATATTGTTCAACGGAGAAAGTACAAGGACATACTTTACAGAACAGCTTAGAATCAGGATCCTGTTTTCTAGGATATCTTGTGCTAATATCCATGGGGTTTCAGGGAGTATTGCAGGTGCAGAGATATTCATGCCTGTGTATAAGACCTTGCGCGAAACCTCGTCAACCATCCATGTCATCTTCAGCCCTTCTAGGCTACCGCTCCTCACTGGGGATGGGAGCGATGAGTTCGAGATGAGGCTGGAGAAGTTAGTCTTCTCCGGTAAGGTAGTTGTGCCCATCGACCTGACAGCCGTCTGGATAAGAAGAAAAAGCGCTGTATATCTCAAGAGCATCAGCCCTCCCAACAAGGAAGGGAAGGTTTTCTTTTTGCTTACACTGTCTAACCTTGGAGGGTTTGCGTCTAGTATCCTTGGCCCCAGTGTCATAGAAAGGAACGGATGTGAAGTGACCGTTTTGTTAGATCTCTCCCAAGGCTCTAAAACATGTCTACACCACGAGGTCTCAGAAGATGTATTCGAAACACTCGAACTCACATACCATCTGTAGAGCATTAGTGCGGATAGCCTCATTAAACAATATATTTACTTGTCTCCGCTGTTGTCAAAGTCCCATTCACGCCTCCCCTCTCCCAGCCTCTTTTCTGCTAGCCTAACATCCTCGACAAACTCGATCTGATCGGTCTTGGCAAGGAGGCATCTTGCCTCTGCCGGATACTCCATCTCCTCTTTAGGAAACACAAAGTCTCCTGCAATGTCCTCGATTGTATCCTCAAGCAGATCTGCCTTCTCATCCTTCTCCTCTTCATCATCCGATACTTTTTCTGTGTAGTTTTTTGGCCCGAAAAAGACTTTGCAGCGGGATTTCTTTGAAAACCTCTTCTTGAGCCTCTTCAACATGCTCCTGTTTATCTTTAGCATGTCGTAGTTGTGCTTCCTGGCGGATGGCTCATAATCTTCATCAGATGAGGCAACGAACGATAGGTCCCCAAGGTCGTCTTCTTCTTCGTAAGGAGATTCACTCTCGTCTCCGGACATGCTTGCCTCCAAGTCTACAAACCTCTCAGCCCTCTTGAGTCTGTGGCGCCCGGGCTTCGCTTCAGAGCTATCTATGTCTGGGCCAGATGCTTGAGAACATGATGACTGGGGATCTTGCACTTCACTGCGATCTAGATCCTCTACCCCACACACAGGGTCCAGACACTCGTCATCGGTCAACATGTCACTGATTCCACTCATAGAGGTGTTATAGCGTCTTTTGAGAAACAGCAGGTCTGTCTCGCTATTCTCCTTTCCAAGTATCTTGTTGGTTACTCTTTTCTGGACCTCCCTGACCACCAATTTCTTCAGAATCTGCTTGCGATGCTCCTCATACAGCGCTGTAGCCTGTGCCCTTGTGTAGACGCATGGCCTTTTGTCCATTGGCACGTTTCTTAGGAACTCCGCTGCTTCCTTCATCGTCGGATGCAGCCTGGCGATAAAAACAAATAAAAAGGCTCCCTTAATGATTGGAGAGCTGAAGAGGATACTGGGAAGCAAGGAGGCAACGCTTGAGGAGAAGGAGGCAACAGTCCTTGAGATCTTCAAGATTCTCATCTCCAAGGGAGACTACTGCTCGATTGGGGACACCATCACCTCGTTAAGAGAGGCCTGGGAGGACGTAACAACGCCCCGAATCACCAAGATCATAAGAAGTCTCTTTGAGATGATCCCATACTCGTCTGACAACTTCGAGGATGTTCTGAAGCTTCTCACTGCTCTTGTGGAATGGGCAGACAGAGAAAACAAGAAGATGCTTCGGCTTGAGCTGGAGTGCAAGAGGATATATGCCCTGCTTAAGACGGGGAAGTATTCAGAGGCTCTGGCACAGATAGGCCCTGTGGCTCATGAGCTTAAGAAGTACGACGACAAGATCAACCTCATAACTCTGTATGTATATGAAAGCAAGGCCTTCTATGAGATAAAGAGCGTCTCGAAATCAAAGTCGTCCTTGACGTCGGCAAGGGTCCTGGCAGTTTCTGCTTACTGCCCTCCACAGCTCCAGGCACAGATAGACCTTCTAAACGGAATCTACATATGCGACGAGAGAAACTACGGAGTGGCGTCTTCATACTTTATCGAGGCGCTTGAAGGCTTCACACTGGGTAAGATGGATGTGGAGGCCTGTGTGTCGCTGAGATATCTCATCCTATCGAAAATAATGGCCAACAGAAGGGAGGAGATTGGGGCGGTGATGAGGAACAAAAACACTCTTAAACACCTTGACGACGAGATGATCAGAGTTCTTCTCAAGGTCAGCGAGAGCTTTGGAAACAGGGATCTAAAGTCGTACAGCGATGTCCTGGCACAGTATTCTGATCAGATACATCAAGATTCTTTTATACGGGATCATCTGCAGTATCTGTACGATGTCCTTCTCGACAAGAACATCGTCAAGATAATCGAGCCCTACTCTGTTGTGAAGATCCGCTTTATAGCCGACGTCCTGGGCTTTGACGTGAACGTCATTGAGAAGAAGCTCAGGAAGATGATTCTGGACAAAGCTGTTGATGGTACGCTTGACCACATAGATGAATGCTTGATCCTGCATGGGGAGAAGGCTAAGAACAACTTTGCAGACGAGTGCATGAAGCAGGTTGAGGCGCTAGACTGCATAGTCTCTTCTCGTTATTAAAGCAATTCGTGGCTGATTTTTATTCCCATCCATACCCATGGACATGTTCAGTGCTCCGGACAGGATTCCAGAGCAGATTCGTATCTTTTTCAAGACAATGAAGCAGGTGGTTCCAGCGAAGGCCGTTTGTGGAAGTACCGTGCTGGATGTGGCACACAAAAACGGCGTAGATCTTGAGGGTGCCTGTGAAGGAAACCTAGCATGCTCGACATGCCACGTAATTCTGGAGGAGCCCCTGTACAGAAAGCTTGGAGAGCCTTCCGACAAAGAGTACGACCTCATAGACCAAGCATTTGGAGCTACGGGCACCTCTCGGTTGGGATGCCAGCTGAGGGTCGATAAGAGCTTTGAAAATGCAGTGTTTACAGTTCCCAGAGCAACAAAAAACATGGCCGTGGATGGGTTCAAGCCCAAGCCCCATTAGAAGACGCAGAATGTGTACCTGAAGATCAGTAGACTTTATTCGGACCCATCTCTCGTGTTCCATATATCGAATGCCTTACGATCATCGAATCGCCGCTTTCACTTCTGCTCAGTCTGTAGAAGTATTCTGGGCCACCTCTACTTAGCAACTGGACAAAGTCCTCGTCGTGTGTAATGACAATCAGCTGGAAGTCAGCGTCCCTTCGGTGCCTTGAAATCACCCTTGAAAGAGTGAATGCAAGGCTCTCTATGTTGTCTCTATCGAGATTCGTGGTCGGTTCGTCGAGAGCTAGCACGCTGCAGCTGGAGGCAAAAGAGTCTGCAAGTGCCAGTCTTATGAGGATACTGGCTATCATCTTCTGCCCCGCACTGGACCTCCCTCTCATGTCGAGTTCCACTCCCCCTTTGACAAACACAACCTTATAGTTATAGGTCCGTTGTCCTGAGCTCTCAGTCTTGATCTTTATCCAGTCGACGTCGTCCCCTCGATAGGTATTTGTCCACAGGTCCTTGAGTGTTGCATTCACCTCTTCAAGTTTCGACGTATGGAAGTCAACAATGGCCTTATCTAATGCCTGGATGCATTTGTCAAGATCCATGCAGGACAGCTCTAGGGCCTTGACCTCAATAAAGCACTTGTTATAGTTCTCCACAGTCCTCCCATGGTCCTTCAGAAGCTCCTGTTTATATGACTTCACCCCCAATGCAATCTGCTTGCATTCTCCTAGAAGCAGTGACTTCTGCGAAGACAGCTTTGCTTTCTTTTCTTCCAAAAGCCGTCTTTTTTCCTTCAGGGCTGCCAAGTACTCAAAATCAGTTTCAGACAGCTCCCTCTCTATTTCCCTGACTCTCCTCTCCCTGTTGTAGTATTTCATGCTCTCCTCAGCCAGACTCCGCATCTCATACATCCTGCGGATTTTCTGTCCTATCTCTAGAACCTTGTTCTTTCTCTCCAGGAGATCACTTCTTGCGTCGTCAAACTTCACCTCATCTTTGGCCTCATCCAGGAACTCGGCCTGTAAGAGCTTCCTGACCTTGCTGTTCAGCTCTTCTATCTCCTTTGCAAGGCATGCCTCCTCTCTTTCCTTCTGGTAGAAAGCCTCCATGCTCATCTCCAGCTCCACCCTCTTCCTTGCAAACCGCTCCAGAATCCTGTCGAGCTTGCTCTTCTTCCGCCGTATCTCCTCCTCAACATCAGAAGCTCTTATCCTTGCACTGCTCCTCTCAATCCTTTGCATCGCCTCTTTCGCCTCCTCTCGGAAGTTTATCTTCTCCCGTATCTCTCTTTCCGCCCTAATCACCTCCTGCTTTCTACACAGATACTCAATCCTCTCCTTCTTTCTCCTGACCTCTTCCTTCTTCTCCTCGTAAATCTTCCTGATCCCATCAACCATAGACCTTAGCTCCTGAACTGACTCTCCCTCCTCCGAGCCCCGGAGCTTTCCATCTATCAGAAACAGTTCCTCCACCAGTCCAATCAAAAACTCTGTCTTCTTAATCCCCTCAGCTTCATCCAGCATGTCCAGTTCCATTTCATCTAAAGCCTCTTCCCCGCTCACATCTTCAACTTCCTCGTATCTCAGAATCAGCTCAGCCATTTCCTCCCTTATTTTGTTCCTGCCCGCTATTTCTTTATTAAGAGCCTCTATCTCTCCGGCGATCCTTTCTCTGTCATTCCAGCTTCCTAGGGCATTCTCCTTTCCATCCAGAGCCCTTTCAATGCCTGCCTCTAATTTCCTTTTAAACTCTACCTCCTCTTCCTTAGAAAGAGGCTTATTACACACAGGGCACTCATGGCTCCTACATCCGTCCTCTAGCATCTCCCTGTAGATCCTTTCTCTCCATATTCCATCGCTGGCGCCGCTCCGCTGCAAGACCTCCTCTCCGTCGTAAAGACTCTCAAGGTCCAGCATCTCAACTCCAAACCCCATGTCATCTCGTGCAAAGAAGCCCTCATTGCTCCTCACGACCTCCTTTGCCCTCTCCACAGAGCATCTGCTTCCATTCCTCAGCATTGGAATCCCCAGCTCTTCAAAAATAGCCATCCTGGACCTCTGGCCCATAGATCCAAGCTCCATAGACTTCGTCCTTAGCTCTCTTCTAATTCTGTCATTTTCCTTCGACCTTTCTATCGCCCTGGCCTTCCTGAGACTCATCTCCCTCTCAATCTCCTTGGCCCTACTCTCCTTTTCTCTTAGCTTTGCCTTCTGCCGCTCTAGCTTGCTCTTCAGCTCAGAAACATTCACTCCATTCAGCATCCCCTCAATCTCTCTTTTCCTGCCTCTCATCTGGTTCATCGCAAAGTTCCTCTCTGCAATGCTATACGCATCATTCAATCTCCTCTGGTAGTCCCCAAGCCTTTCTTCAAGGGCCTCCATCTCCCTGTCCCTGCTTATCTCAGCCCTAAGCCTTCCAACCTCATCCTCATAGGAAACAGATACATCAATGCTTCCGTCGCTCTCAAGCCCCGAGTACTCGTCAACTATCCTCTTCTTTTCAGAAAGAGCCACTGTTCTGTCACGGTCCTCCTTCTTCAGCCTCAAGGCCTCTTCCTCAAGCCTGTGTATACACTCCTTCCTTTGCTTGATGTCGTCCTCCACCTTCCCAAAAACCTCGAGTGCCGTTTCTCTAAAGTCCTTCTTGACCTTCAGCTCAGACTCAAGGCTCTTCAGGGCCTCCATCTTCTGCCGCCTCGCCTCGTCCAGGAAAGAGGACTTGACAGATATTTCAGAAAACACCCCGTCAAGCTCTGCCTTGCTCCGGATATACCTGCTTCTTTCTTCGCTCAAATCCTTGAACCTCATTTCGCTCTCCTCAGCATCCATCTTCATCCTCTCGTATTCTTCCTCGGCCTCCTGCAGAGATTTGCCACTCATTATATCCGTCGCATCCTCCAGCGGCAGTTTCTTCTCCCTAAACCCGTCGATAAACTCCATCAGCTCCCTGTGCTCGCCTCTTAGCAAGTGTGCCCTCTTCTCGGCCTCTTCGTTGCCTTTCAGCTCCAGGTCTATCTCCTCAATAACTCTCTCGCACCTCCCTATCTCATTGTCGCATGCTTCAACCCTTATCTCATTCTTCTCTATCGACATGCACCCGCTCCTTATCCGAAGCTCAAGAGACTCCTTCCTCTCTTTCATCTTCCGAAGGAACTCCAGCTCTTGCATCTTCATCTTGACGTCGGAGGAGCATTCCTTTCTAGACGACTTCAGGCTGTCCAGTGCCTTCCCATACTTTGCAGATGCAAATATGTCGTCAAGCTTCTTCTTGACAACAACGGGCTCCCCAAGAGGCCACGTGCTTTCTTCTTGGTGGCAGAATATAATGCTTTCCAATATGCTGCCCGACACCCCAAAGTGCTGGGGCATTTCGGCATCGACATCTCCACTCCTTCCGCTCACTCCTTCTCCATCCCTTTCAGCCCATATCACGCTTTCCAAAGTCTTCTGCTCTCTCCTATCCCTCCTCTGCGCCAGCTGAATGGTTCGCGAACATATCATCGTCTCTCCATGCACATTGGTGAACAGAAGCTTCACCTGCCCTTGGACCTCCGCCAGTCCTGCAACACTCGGGTCATGGATAAACGCCCCGCCCCTACTGTTCGGCGGAAGGCTCCCAGTAGTAGCATACTTCAGAGACTCAATTATCGTTGTCTTTCCAGTCCCATTCGCCCCGACTATCAGCGTCAACGGAGAATAAAACTCCAGCGTGTTGCTCTCCTTGTGGCTGAACGACCTTACTCCCCGTATCATAAGCTTCTTGATAGATGCCATTCCACAAGGGATCCAAAACCTTCTCAAAACCCGCATTTCCCAAAATACTCCATAAAACCACCACTTTATTTTTCGACACACTCACTCATCATCGCAAGCACCTCCTCGCTTGCAATCGCCAGCAGGTCATCCCTTTCCTTCTTCGCAAGGCTACTCCTAACCTCCCTGTACTCAAGTAGAGCATTATAGTCCTCGTCTTCGGCGCTACTCGACATACACATTTTGTTGTAGAGCCTTACGACATCTTCGAGCTCCTTGCAGGCTTTCCCGATGCTTCCAACCAGGCCAACCACCGGCTTGGAGTATTCCAGAAGGGATCTATAGGACTCCAGCCTGTATCTCTCAATCTCGATGATTTCCCTCTGTCTCTGCACCTCTGCTTCATAGTAATCCTCCTCCTCAAGCACACTCACCAGATCGTTCGTGATCGACTGAAGATCCACCGTCACAACAACGTCGCTAGCCTTTCTCTCCAGCCTGAATGAGGCCGGAAACCTAAGGATGTTCCTCAAAACAAAGTTCGAAAATATAAAGTAGTTTCTTCGGAAAGACTCCAGCAGCGTCCCAGACACTCTGTGCACCTTTCTTCTATCAAGGGCAGACAGTTGCTCAACCCCGTTCTTAAGAATCGCCTCCACCTCGCCCTGCAGCTCAGCAACCAAAGTCACAGGCACAAACCCGAAGAATTCAATCTCCTCTTCGCTTTCCATCCTCCAGGGTGAATTTTCAGGCCAGTCTTATCCAAACTCCATCAGATAATAAAGAGCACCTTCTCCTTCAGTACACGAAGACCTGCACTGCTCCACTCTTTGTCTGTCATCCACAGCTCCTTAATGCAGTCAAGCCCAGAAAACACCCTCATCACACCCATAATCATATTCTCAACAGGCTCTTCATACATGGAAACCTCTGGATCAACGCCATACTCTTCAAACGCCTTCTTCAGGCATTCCTCAGACAACCCCACTCCGCTATACTTGAACACAATCACCCTACTTGCTATCTTCTTCATCTTCTCCTTGCTGAGGACATAGTTCGCTCTCTTGGCTATTAGCTCGTGGATGTCCCCCTCCTCTTCCTCGTACATCCTTATATGCATCTTGAAGTGCTCGCCCGGATCTACGTCCGGATGGCATTCCTCCTTCCCATGCGAAGACAGGAAGTGCGCCTCCATCTTCTCCTCAGCGTCATCCTTGTAGTCGCACCTGCTGCAGGAAAAGATGTTTTTTTCTTCAAACACCTTGATCCTGCTGAACTCGTCCACAAAATCCACGGAATCAACAAGGCCAAATCCCTCGTTGCTTTCTCTGGAAACGCAGATTCCGTCAAGCATCCAGAAGTCCTCCACAAGGCATACTGTGGTGTGGTGCTCGTAAAGGCTCACAACAATACAGCTCGGCGAAAGAGTTCCAATCGCTTGTGATAGGCTTCGCGGCGTGATCAGGATCCCCTTGAATGACAGGATATTGATGAAGAGATTGCATATTGCCAATATCTCTGTCCTGTTCAGAAGGTCATGGAATATAAGAGAGACAAACGAGTTCCTGGGCCTTATCTCTAGCCTCTCAAGGACTCCCGAAACCTGGTTTCCCAGCCATCCCACGCACTCCTCAAGACTTCCAAACCTTTTTGTGTTCATGCTTGCCAGATAGAAGAAGTCGTCCAGATCAATCGACTCGGTCTCCACAATAAGCCTGTTGTTCCACACTACAATGTGGACAATCTGCTCATCAGTCCTGTAGTTTGCCATCCTATACTTCTCGCCGACACAGTACGAAGCATCGCTTCTCATGAAGAAGCTCTGTATGTTTTTGTTCGGCGTGGTTATCTGCTCGATTTTTGGGACTGTGCACAGCTTTGGGGTGTACTTGAGCGGCATGGGGTTGGGACTCGATATGAAAATCAGCAGATCTCATCCCTATGACCTCAAGATGCTCTGGGATCGACCTGTCTAGCGACGAGGAGGAGGCTGTGCACCCCAACATAGATGAGCGGAGCTACAGAGAGTGGAAGAGGAGACAGAGGGAAGAGAGGAGAAAGGGGTTGGAGCGGAGGCTGGAGGAGATCAACTCCAGCAAGGAGCTTAGCGAAGAACTGGCTGAGGAAAAGAGAGAGATAGAAAGGATCTTGAAGCCATCATACGTGTGCTTTGAGACGGAGTCGTTCCGAACTCCCTCTGGAGATGCAGAGAAGGACTACATCCAGGAGCTGGAGTACCTTATAGTCCACAACGAGCTCGGCGACTTCATCGAGCTGATGGACCGGTGCAAGATCGACATGGAGGAGTTCGAGTTTCTTGTCCTCCACAATCTGGCCGAGCAGATCAAGGAAGGAAACGATGCGGGGGGTCTTATCCTCTCGAAGGTGTCCCTGTATGTCAAATATGCATTGTCACACGGAAAAGAGTTTCTCCTGAAGCTGCGCGCCCAGCTTACAAATAAGGAAAGGAAGAGGCAGTTTGAGGAGGACTGCAAGAAGGACTTTCAGGAGACAAAGCAGATCTTCTTGGAGCAGTTTGGGCCATAGGGACAGAGCCTGTCCATGGGAAGGGGCGCGGAAGGCTGGACTGAATCTCTTTATTTTGTATTTGTCTTTAGAACTGCAAACGGCTTGTACAAAAACTCGTAGCAGCAGGAGGCAACGAAGAAAAGGTATAGTAGCCACGACCTGCTGGAGTAGAGTAGAAGGAGCTTCACCAGCATCGAGATGAACAGAAAGTCGAATACAACGCTAATATGGCCCTTCCCGCTAAGGGGTATCCCAGGATTTGCCAGAGTTGTTGCCTTCCCGTCTGAGACGATTGTCGGTGTGGAGACTCTGTAGAGGTAATAAGCAGCAAGTGCCTCTGGGATGGATCTAACTAGATATACTAGTATGCTTCTCTCCTTATTTACCATATACACCACCAGTGTGCATACGTTGTATAAGATTATGCTTCTCAGCAGAAGTCTTCTTGTGATCTTGTTTTCCTCGAAAATCCGAATCTGTGCTTTGCTTCCTCTCATCTTTATAGGGCTATGATAACAAAAAATATTGAGCCTCGGAATATTTGTTTAATTCCACTACCCGAGGCGAGTACAATTGCAGCAGTAGAGGCGCCCCGAAGCCTATCCTCCCACCTGTGAGGTTACCACCTCAAGCTCCTCATTCCCCTCAAAGCCGAAATCTCCCGGGGTCTTTCCAAGGTCGATGTTCTTTCCATTAAATAAAATCCTGAACTCCGAACTGTTTTTCCCAACATTGCGAGAAAAGGCATCTAGTATCTTCTTGAATGTTGTGCTCAGCTTAACATTGAACACCAGCGTCGTTCCGTCCTGATCAACAAGCCTCAGAGGCACCTTCTTGGAGATTGCACCCCGCAGAGTATTTTCGTTAGTCCTGAACTCGCTTCCAGAATCCGACGACCCCATGGGGTTTGCACGCTGTAGCTTTTTGATCTTTCAAACTGCTCTGCCTGCTACTTCTCCTCCTTGCCCTTCTTCTGTTTCCTGTACTCCTGGAGTCTGTAGAGGGTGGAGATGCTGCTGTAATATGCATGGCCGTTCTTTACGTGGAACACAAGAAGGTTATCCACCCTTTGAGGCGAGCACGTAAGGGCTCTTCCATCGTCCATGGTGGCCTTTCTAAACAGCCTTGACGACTCTTCCTCGGATATGCTGAAAGATGTCTTCTGGAAGTCAATGCCATCCGACTGGACGATAACATCCGAGCCTCCAGGGCCCGGAAAGAGATCGTAAACTTCCTCCACCCTGATCCTCTCGTCCAAGGGATGGATTATCGTGTTTACATCTTCGAAAGACTCCTGGATGTACTTCTGATAGTCGAAGATCCTGCTCATGCTCTTCTTTATCCTTTCTCTTTCAAGGACCTCCCCTCTTTTCTCTTGGTCCCTGGGCATCGCATGCCGATCCCTAGGGTCCTCGGGGCCTGGGGTGTCCAGGGCTTCAATGTGGTCCATGACCATCTTCATGAAGTCTATGTCCATGGCATCAAGAAGGTCTGTGTGCAGCTGCCTCGGTATGACCTTCTCCAAGGACCCATCGAATGAGGTGAAGTCTCTTTTGATCTGCGGCTCGATGTAGCACATGCCGGGGGTTGGTGCCGGAGGAGCATTTGCCCAGCACACGCTTTCCTCAAGCTCCTTGCGAATATCCCCTTGCTTCATCTGGGACACAGGACAGAGAATTTTTCTAAGGCTGGTGAGAGTAAGACAGCGGGAAAGTAGAGAGGGAAGACAAACTTTTGAATCAAATGGCTGGCTGCTGGAGAGTAGTCTGAATCTGGTTACAGCATGGAACACGGCTGCCTTTCGAGTTGGACTATTCGAGTCTAAGACATCGTCCAATTTCCAAACTCCCCCCAGTCATCCCGTTCCGGTCATGGGGGAAGTGAGTGTTTCTGTTGTGGACGACCCTTGGCATTAACCAAGTGCCCTTTCGGCTAGACGTCTCATCTCAGACCTTCCCAGGGGCAGGCCCCTAATCGAAAGCTTCCAGCCGCCAGCAGGGGCGACGGAAGCAAAAATTTATGAATGCAGGCAAGGGCCCTTGGGATGAAGCTAGGGCTGGAGTCGATAACGATCCACAACTTCAAAAGCTACAGGGGGACCCATGTGATCCGGGGTCTGGACCCGAAGTTCACTGCAATAGTCGGCGCGAATGGGTCAGGAAAGAGCAACATAATAGACAGCATTCTCTTTGTTCTTGGGTTCCGAGCAAGGAGGATGCGGCATTCTTCGCTTGCAGACCTGATATACAGCGGGGACGGCAAGGAGGACATGTGCTTTGTGGAGCTGGGATTTAACAAGTTCCGCATAAGACGGGAGGCGTATCTGTCGGGGAGAGCCAGGTACCTTGTGGATGGGGAGGAGGTGTCTTCTGCAGTTGTGATGTCTTTGCTGAGCAGCGAGGGAGTTGACATGGAGCACAACAGGTTTCTAATCTTGCAGGGGGAGATTGAGAATGTTGCAACAATGAAGCCCATGAACGATGGACTGCTTGAGTATTTAGAGGATGTGATTGGGACGAGTGGATACAAGGAGGACATTGAGAAGGGGGAGTCTGAGCTTCTTCGAATTTCTGAGGAATACGAGGGCAAGTCTACTGCGCTGAAGTTCTATTTGAAGGAGTTTGAGCACATTGAGAGAAGGAGAGAGGAAAACCTGAGGATGGCGCAGAGAAAGGCTGAATGTCTTTGGATGGATCGGGACTTGCAGCTTCTTTTTTCGGAAAGAAGTAGGAGACGGCTGGATGGGTTTGTCGAGGAGAGGATGGGGATTGAAGAAGGCCTTAAGGATCTTGCAAGGAAGAACAAGGAGAATGGAAGCAGAGTTGAGCTCCTGGAAAGAAAGGGGCAGAGGGCAAGAGAAAAGGCTCAAGAGGCCTCTGAGAGGTTTTTGGGAGCAAGAAGAGAGTATCAGAAGGTAGAGAGGAAGAATAGGGCTATGGAAGAGGAAAGAGATCGTCTGTTGAGGGGCATTGAAGAGCTGAGTAAGGAGATTGAGGAGGCCAGACGCACGGAAGATGCTCGGAGGAAGATGGTCAGCGGATATAGTGAGGAGATTGAACAGAACATGTCGGAGATTTCGAAATGCAACGGCCTGGCGGAAAGGCTTCGGAGAGAGCTTTCTGATGAGCAAGAGAAGATTGACAGAGAGGCTCTGAAAATCGTTGAGGAGATCAGGATAGAAGAGGAGAGAATGATGAAGCTTCTTGCGAGAAAAGGGGAGGTTGCAGAGAGGCATCGGGACTCTGAGTCCCGGTTGGGGATTCTGCTGTCAAGAAAGGAGGAGGTTCTGAGAAAGACAGAGGAGGTTTCTGGTAAGCTGTTGAGGATTGACGAGGGAAAGATAGGCGTGGGAAGGACAGAGGAGGTCATTGAAAGTGAGATTAGGGAGATTGAGAAGGATCTAGCCCAGACGCGGAAGGAGATGGGCAGAAGGATGCAGAGGGCAGAGGAGTACAAAGAAAACGAAGAGAAGAGCAGCAAGGAGAGCGAGATCCTGAAGAGCATTAGAGGTGTGAAGGGGGTTTATGGAAGGCTGAGTGATCTAGGGGGAGTGGAGTCCCGGTACGACCGAGCATTTAGGGTAGCAGGGAAGGGGCTGAGCAGCATAGTTGTTGACACCACATGCACTGCCGAGGAGTGCATTTCCGTTATTAAGAAGTTAGGGCTGGGGCGTGCCACATTCATAATACTTGATAGGATTTCTGAGGTGCCTGTGCTTCCAAGGGAGTCTGTTCCCTACATGTACAGTCTTATTAGGTGCGGCGAGGAGTTCCGAAAGTGCTTCTATTTTGCCCTGAAAGACACGCTGGTGTGTGATGGGCTGGAGCAAGCTGAGAGACTTGCCTTTGGAAAGCAGAGGAAAAGGGTTGTGACGCTTGATGGAAAGCTCATTGAAAAGAGCGGAGTGATGAGCGGAGGAAGGGGATGTGGGCGGATAAAGAGCACTGAGGAGCTTGAGAGGGCATGCTCTAGGATGATGGAGCTGAAGAGGGTGAAGGCTGAAGAGTTGGAGGTGGTCAGGGCCCTGAGAGAGAGAGGGGATCTGTTGAAGATCCGTGAGAGACTCGGCTCTGAGCTGAAGGATGTATGCAGTGAGATTGAGAAGATGGACAAGGAGGTCGACAGGAAGGAGGTTGAGGAGATTGAGAGGGAGCTTGGAGATGCCAAGGAAAGGGTGTCTTCCCTGAGGGCGGTGATTGAAAGCCTTACCGATGTTGAGACTCGCAGGAAGAGAGAGGAGCTCCGGAGCCTCGGCGAAAGAATTGAGATGTTTGAGAGAAGAAATCTTGAGCTGAGGGTACAGATTAGCAACTGGACAGAAGCCGGGATTCAGGGCAAGGAGCAGGAGCTTGAGAGAAAGAGAAGAGACCTTGAGGGGATTTTGATTGAAGATGTCTCTGGGCTTAGAAGTAGGATGGTTGAGTGTGAATGTGAGTACAAGGAGAGTGCCGAGAATCTTAAGGAAATACTGAAGGAGCTCGCGGATGTAAAGTCCGCACTTGGAAATGACTACCACATGGAGATTGACCTCAAAAACAGGCTTGACGGTGTGTGTGACAAGGCCGAGGAGTGTGGCAGACAGATTAAGGAGAGCAGGGCCAAGATAATGCTTCTTGAGGGCGAGGCTCAGAAGTATGTGGGGATATGCAATGTCGAGACCCGCGAGATGAGCTCGCTCGGGGAAATGAAGGAGGAAGAGATTGACAAGGTGATGGAGAGGATCAGTGCAGCGGCAGCAAGGATGAGGAAGGAGGGGCTGGGAGAGGTTGATTTTGATGTGTTTGTAGACTACGAGAAAAGCAGGGGAGAGTACCGGAAAGCAAAGGAGGAGTATGAATGGTTTGGGCTAAGGCTTAAGGAAACAAAGGAGATGCTTGAGGGCCTGAAAAAAAGGCGGTTGGACGAATTTATGGAAGGCCTTCGGGAAGTCTCATCCAACCTCAAGGAGATCTACAAGACGATTACATATGGAGGAAATGCAGAGTTGGAGCTTGTTGATCACCTTGACCCGTTCAGCGAAGGAGTGATTTTGAGCGTAATGCCACCCAAGAAAAGCTGGAAAAGCGTTGGAAACCTGAGCGGAGGAGAAAAGACGCTTAGCAGCCTTGCACTTATTTTTGCGCTTCACAAATACAGGCCATCGCCGTTCTATGTAATGGACGAGATAGACGCTGCTCTGGACTACAGGAATGTGAGTGTTGTATCGAACTTCATAAGGGAGATGTCTGAGACAGCGCAGTTCCTTGTGATAAGCCTGCGAAGCGACATGTTCGAGCTCAGCGAGACTCTACTCGGAGTGTACAGGACAAACAACGTCTCACAGTCCCTTGTTGTAAGCATAAGCAAGCTTGGAGTGAAATAAAGACTTTTCTTGACCCGATGTTCCTGGCATCATTTGGCTTCCCCTGGATGGAAAGGTACGAAAAACCGTTTCTGCACTTCATAAAGGAAGACTTTCTGTCTCCTTCGGATCTCCAGGTCGTGCGGGGCATACATGGCAGCTGTGCATTCAGGGAGCTGCATACTGACCTGTTCAGATTCCTGCAGACGGGGGAGCTTAGGGAGAGAGAGGATCTTGAGTTTTTCAAGGACTCTCTGATGAAAGCTTTCGGAGAGATCCAGGATGTTCGGGGAGGATGGATAGATGTGTTTGGTTCCTATTACAGAGAGGGAGATTATCTTCTGTGCCATGACGACAGGACGGAGAACAGGAAACTTGCCTTTAGCTACTACTTAGAAGACTATGATTCTGGAGAGCTCATTCTCTATGAGGACGACTGCATGAGCATTTCAAAGAGAGTTGAGGTGAAGTCAAACAGGCTAGTGATATTTGAGGTTTCGAAGATATCATTCCATGAGGTTGGGTACTGCAAAAAGGATGGAAGAAGAGCATTTACTGGATGGTTGAGCTTCAGGCACATAGAGCACGAAGGCGATGGTGAATGGCCAAGGCTGCGGAGCTTGGCTGGATACAACACCTTTCCTCTGGAGGTTGATTTCAGCGAAAGCCCCTTTGTATTCTGTCCTGGAGTAGAATATGACTTCTCACATGCCTCTGGAAGCGTTGAGGGACCCTTTTGCCTTCGGAGGGTAGAGAGAATAGCAGTTGGAAGCCCCATGGTCCCGGACATAGATGGATGGGAACTTAGAGAGGGGGGCTTCTACCGCTTCAGGGTCGGGGATTACATACTTCTGAATGACGAATGCAACGCGATCGAGGGAAATGTCTGCGATGTCTTCTTCATAGAAGGGGAAGAATGCTGTGAGTGTACTCCAGACTCATTCGATGACCCAAGCAACCCGATCAAGTACTTAGACGAAGAAGGCAGGTTTGTGTGCAGTCTCCCGATAAGAAGGGGAATGTTTGCCATCAAGCGCGACGGGCTCTCCCTGTTTGTGGAAAGAAGTGCCAGAGAATTCCTTCTAGCACACTTCATCTATGTCTCCACAGAGCCGAAATAAATCCTGAGTCATGGAGTGAGTACAAAGTGCATATTTATTTTGCATTCTTCTCTTTCTTAGTTCCATGGTACTCCCACAGGGGAACAAAGCTCTCGAAGAAGCCGACATCCTCAAAGAGATTGGGGAACAGCCAAATTCCAGACGGATAAAGTAAGTATGTTATCGAGAACAGTATCAGCCTTACTATTGCCAGAACGATTATGAATGTGATGAATCCGCCAAGAGGATAGATCATGTACGAGAACAGGCGCTGCTGGATGTTTCTTGGCCACATTCTGAAGAGGACTATTGTGAAGGTCACCAGAACAAACACCCCACACAGAACAAGAGAGATGTTGGACGTCCTCTCGCTTGCAAAGACATAGTGTTGGTCCTCCTGGAACTTCTGGTCAAGCACCACATCGCATTCCTTGGTGTTTCTCTTATTGATATGTACTTTAAACAGGATGCTCTCATTCAGGAGCTCCTGCATGGCAGTTCTGGCCTGCAACGAGTCTAAGCCCTCCTTGGTCAAAAGAGCAACTGCATCCACTCCTCTGAACACCTTGACCCTTCTTCTATGTCTAAGTGTTTTCTCCTCGGCATTAACCCATCTCAGGATGTCTTCGCATTTCTTCAATTCCACGGTCATTTGTTTGGGATCAAATTTTGGGGATTTTTGTCTGGCTCCATGCATCTGCATCACCCTTGGCCTCGAATGAGGCTTGCTGCCTTGATCAGGAAGAGGGCAAACGATCTTCTTGCTTCTCTGCGAAGACTTAGGACGGAGATACACAGCCCAGACGTTTTTGGGCTGGTCCTGGGTGATATCCAGAAGAGCTATCTCCGGCTTGCAGTGCTGCTTAACAAACCGGGGATCCAGCATCAGGAGCCTGTGGAGGTCGACTCTGTGAATGGGATTGTAAGATACAAGGCTGGGGAGCTTGAGTTTTTGTACCACGCAGACCATGGAGTTGTGTCTGTGGATGCAGGAGACATAGGTGTCAGCAGCCACATTCTCTGCTCCGTAAGAAGTGAACCTGTCGTCAAGCATCTGGAGACCATTGGGAATATGCTGGCGATGTATGTGGGATATGAAAGAGCGCCCTGTGATGTCTGTGGGAGTTATGCAACAGTCCCGGGGCTTTTAACGCCAACAGGAAGATCTATTGAGGACGACTTCGTGCTTGTACATCATGCGGAGTGCAGAATGGAGTCACTGGAATGAGGCTGAAGACATTTGCATCAAAATTTACCTCATCCCCTCTCGGATGATCGAGTGCTCTGTGTTTGGGTATCTGGAGGAGGTTGACTGCATTTGCAACCATCTGAGGCTGTACAAAAGGACAGACAGGACTGTCAACGAAAGCATATACTCCAACGGATTGAACACTCTGCTTGTATCCGAAGAGAGCGACGGGGTCTATTTGGTGAGCAGAGGGGCTCCAGACAGGAACAAGAACAGGATGTCTCTCTGCTCGAAAGTGCAAAGATCCAGAATTAGAACACTGGACACCCTAGGGATGTTCCTGTCCTCACTCGGATTTGAGCTGGTGAGGCGCGGAACGGTTACGTCGACTGTTTTTGAGAAGGGTCCGGCCTATGTCGAGATATCAAGATATGCACCTGAGGAGAGTGGTTGCCGTGAGGACAAGAAGACAGGCGGATATCACCTGGTCAAGGTGTTCGCAACTGCAGAGAATGCATATGACGGAGAAAAAATACTAAGCAAGATGATTGAGGAGCTGGAGGACCAAGTCCAGCTTTTAAGGCCTTCAATAAAATGATTCCAACTCCCTCGAAACAGCACTGCTTGCTCCTTTTTATCTCCTCCAATGGGATTGCAGAATAGACCTTGGCTTAGGTCCCTTAAGTTAATGCAGACAGCCTACCCCAGATGGCAAAGGAGTACTGGGACGTGGCATGTAACATATGTGTATCGCTTTGCCTGATAGTGGGGCTGTCCATGGAAAGCTTTGTATGCAAGACTGCGAACTGTGCATTTTTCTTGAGCTCGATGCTGTTTATTTCGATAGTTCTGATGCTGTTCAACCTTGCGTCGATGGTAAGAGCAAAGGCAAAGATGACACTCATTTCTGCATATATGGGATCGATCTGTGCCCTGATGGATGTCATGACTGTGTTTATGTACACAAAGATTCTGAGTACAAACTCTCTGTTCTTCTGCCTGGCTTTTGTAATGTACCAGATAACGGTCTCGATCCTGACCTGTTTCATTCCATTTGCAACTTCAACCTTCATGGTTTGGATATGCGCCACGTTTCTCCGCCCTCTGTTTGATCTATGGTTTGTGGAGGAGCATGGGTTTTCAAGGTCTCAGGTTCCAGAGTTCATGAGGTACTACGTCACAAATGGATCCATGAACATAGTTTTCTTCATTCCGGTGCTCGGGTTCAGAACGATGTTTGTGGAGTTTTTTGGGGATGTCGAAAACAGGGAGTCGTCCAACTTCTTCAATTCCCTAACAATGGTTGCAATTGGGGCGATGCTGGCGTTTTCCGATGCGCCCACATTTGCAGAGGAGCTTCGCCGAATAGAAGGGGTTTCTGCTCCGTTCCTTGTATCCAACAGCATTCTTACAGGATCTTTCCTGATTTCCAGGTGGAACAAGAAGACCACCCTTGTCTCCGTGTATCCATCGATGTCTGTACTGTTCATGATAACATCTGCGATGTTCTGTTCGACGTCAATGCCTTGGTTCTGGAAGAAGACGATTCTCGAGGATGCTCTGAACGCACCGTATCTCTTTTACCTCTTCATGTTTTCTCTGTTCACTCTCTACATCCTTGCTGCGTACAAGAGCAGCATCACGTCCAGGCCCACTAGGGATGGATTCATACCTGGAGCGACATGGTGGCTGTGGGGATAGGATGTGCTCTGATGATGCAGTTGCAGGATCATGAATCAAATGATTAAATTAATCCGAAGCCTGATCACTCCGGCGCCTGGGCATTCTGCCAGAACCCCTATGTTATAAACAGTGGATGGAGATCCAGAGCTAAACGCCAGCCAGTGATTTAATTTGCTACTAAAGCCAGGCTGCTTTAATTAATCCACTTTATTGAATCAGTAAACAAAGTATTTAAAGGCGAACATAAGCCAAACAAATGACCAGAGAGACATTGAAGACGCTGCAGTCCACGTTTGGTGAAATGGTTGCTTCGTTTGTCTTTGGATTCGCTGTCTACTCTGCCTTGCTGGGATCTGCACTCACCGAGCAGTCTGCTGCTAGAGTCATCGTTGGGTTGACAGTCGGGTTTTCTGGTATCTGTGTGATATATTCGTTTTGTGACGTGACTGTTGCACACTTCAACCCGGCAATCACGCTTGCGGCGATATTGACGTGCAAGCTTGGGGTTCTTCGTGGAATAGGATACATCGTGGCCCAGTATATAGGATTCATCCTTGCCGTATGTGCTCTTCTTCCATGCTCTCCAGTAGGATATAAAGAGACATTGAATATAATAAGGCCTACGCCTTCTCCGTTTGGAGGAGACAATCTTAATGTCTTCTTCACAGAGTTCTTCCTTACTGCGATCCTCGTCCACGTTGCCTTTGCAACAGCCGTCAACCCGTACAAGCCAAAGACCGACACCGAGGGGAAGTTTGTGGATCCAGACGAGGAGGAACCTGTCGACCGCAGGATCACTGCACCCTTGTGCATAGGCCTGACGCTTGGATTCCTGGCATTCCTGGGTCTGGCAAGCTCCGGGGGTGCATTCAACCCAGGCCTTACGCTTGCCCCAGTGATAATGTCAAACACATGGAACCATTTCTGGGCTTACTTTGCAGGCCAGTACCTGGGAGGCTTTGTGGGAGGCTTGCTCCAGGTGCTTGTACTGTACAAGCTCAGCTTTTAGCCAGGGCGCCAAGCAGATAATAGAAAAAACAATAAAGTCACACAAACTCCCTTCATTCAGGCTGCGGCATCTGCCATATCTGCAATATGTTGTCTTCAGAGACACTGGCAATCTCGAAAGGCTCTGCTGGGTTCCAGGAGATGTCGCATACAGTACTTGTATGGCCTCCGTGTAGAAACTTCATCTCTGGAGGCCCTTCTGCTTTGTACTCCTCAGGAACCTCGGCACCCGCTTGGCCCAGATCCCATACAATTACCCTCCTGTCCGTGCTTCCAGATGCAAGTACCTTGTCATTGTGGGGAGACCACTCCACACTCACCACATCCTTCGAATGTCCCAGGAGGATGTGCAAGGGCTGGGAGAGACTCCTTCTGTCCCACACCTTCACAGATCCGTCACACGACGACGTGGCAATAACATTTCCATCCAGGGGAGAAAATCTTACAGAAAGAATGTCGGATGTATGTGCCTCCTCAATGGCATGTATGCAATCCTCACTCCTTGTATCCCAAAGCACCACCATCCCACCGTCCCCAGCAGACGATAGCAGCTTCTTATCGAAAAAACTAAAGGCACAGTCGTTGACAGCCGTCTCGTGCCTCCGAAGCACTACAGTGGGAGAAATCGAAGATGACTCCTGGGACACATCAAATACACACACCTCCCCGCCTTCCCCACAGCCAGCAAGCTCTCCAGGATTCAGGTGATTCCACGACAGCCCAAAGCCCCCTGCCGAATGCCCCCGGAGAACCATGTCGGGCCTTGGAATCTTCTCATGAGACAGGTGCTTTGTGTAGTCATAGACATGTATGTCTGGCAGGTCAGAACGCACTGCCAGCACATTGCATGCAGATGGGTTGTATCTAACCCTGTTTGCCTCGTCCATGATAGATATCCTCTGGATAATCTTGAGTCTCATGTCTCCCCCAACTTCTTCGTTAAGAGACTCGTCAAACTCATCAGGAAACTCAACCTTGGCAATCAGTATGTACTCCTCCTCACTCCCGCTTGTGTGCGTGCTCAGAAGCAACCTTTGTGTTGTTCTTCCTGCTTCTTCATCTCTCCTTACATCAGGAAACCACTGGACAGAAAGCGACGGCCACTCCAGAGTATGGCTGAACATCAGGTCGTACAGATACGGCACATTCTTCTTCCATATCTTGTACTCCTCATTGACTATCTTCTGCTCCAGCACCTGGTTATCCATCCACCGGGGTTTTGGTGCAGAGAATTTAAGCCGCTAGACCTAGCTGCATCGCAAAGTAAATCCACTATACCTTAAACGTTTATTTCCATCTTCAGAAGAAGCTGAAGTTGTTGAAGAAGCTCCTGGCACTCTGTGCTCCCTCCTCAGAGGCATCCTCATGATCCCTCTCAGGCTCAGGCATGCTTCCAAACTCGCTGTTCACCTTTGTAAATGTCCCGTAGGGCTTCTTGGAAGGCGCACTCAGCACCTGCATAATCTTTGCCCTGTCAGACTCGCTTCCAATTATGATGTTCGGCTTGAGAATTAGATTTCCAGTCCTGCTCCCCTTGAATCCCTCGTTTCGAATCTTGAGCGCAGTGTCGAACGTCCTGAACGGACTCACATTTATCTCAAGCTGCCTTCCATCAATGTGGGTGAAGTAAACCACCCCTCCCCCAATCGCGGTGTACAGAGGAATGTCTATATTTCCTACAAGGTCGTTTCCACATCTCTCAAATCTGCTGTCTTCCTGCACATCAATTATAAAGATCACGTCGCCAGGAACATGGCCTCTTCTCTGGTCTCCCATGCCCTCAAACACAATCTTCTCTCCCTTCCTGACACCCGGCTTTATATTCACCTCAAACATCGTCTTGTCCTGAATGTACTCAGCGCCATTACACGTACTGCAGGGCTTGCCCTTGATCTTGTGCCCAGAGCCGTCACACCCGTCACATCGTGTTTCTGCGAGCGTCACAAAGCCTCCAAGGCTCCTGCGACTGGTATACACCCCATTTCCGTTGCACTTCTTGCATGTCTCCACATCCTTGCCTCCCTTTCCATCACAGGTCGTACATACCTTCTCGGTCCTGACATTAAACTTCGATACCTTCCCAACAAACGACTCTCTGAGAGACACTGTGATGACATACTTCGTCGAGCTGACCTTGTTTGTTCTCTGGTGCCCCCTGCCACCAGTAAACTGGCTGAATATGTCAAATATGTCAGAGTACCCTCCTCCAGAGAAGTGTGCTCCAAACTCCCCCATCCCGCTGTCATACTCCTTCTTCTTCTTCTCATCAAACAGCACACTCTTGGCAGAGTTCAGCCTTGCAGACATCTCTCCACACTCCTTCTTTATCTTCTCCCTCTCCTCGTCACTGGCTGCATTCTTCAGCTTGTTCTTCATGTACGGCGAGTCCAGGTGATACTTCGCCTGCTGCTTCGCATAGGCTTTTCTTACCTCCGCTACAGACGCCCCAGGACTCAGCTCAAGCACTTTATAATATCCCTTTGGATCTTTGGACATGGCCCTGCAAGAACTGGCCTCTTTTATCTTTTTTTGCGGGGAAAAAATCTAGAAAAAACCCGCATTCTCCTCATACACATCACAGATCATCAAGCATTTAATCGCACAGGGCCTTGTCAGTCTCGAGTGCTGTTGCACATTTCACAGGTGCACGAGTTCTTCTCGTTAATAAAAGTACACATCTTGCATTCCCACCCAGCGGATCTATACCTCTCCATGCTGGATACAAAGCTCTTAAAGTCTTCCGAGCTGGAGATGGCCCTGAACTTATCTTCGTCCCTCTCGACTATGCACTTGAGAAGATCCTTCCAGTTGGAGAAGACCCCCTGTATTCTTGTCAGAAGGGTGAAGTTCGAGAATCTTTCCATCGAAAAATCTCCCCCAAAGTATTCTGCCATCTTCCTGTCTCCAAACTTCTTTGGAATGAAGTCGATGCTCCTGAAGAGGGGATTTGGCTTACACCCGTGTGTTAGCTTCACCAGGAAAAACTCTCCCGGGAGATAGGGATCCGCCTTGACCATTGCCTCCTCTGCCTTTGTTCTATAAAAAATGTCTCTTGTCGCCAGGAACCTTCTCGGGTCTTCCGTGGGAAGGATGTAGCCCCCCTTGACAAGTGCCATGCACTGATTGCTTACCTGGTACTCTTGGAGCCCGATACTTCCATCCTTTTCTGCGGTAACAACTATAGTTGCAAGTCTCGATCCGAACTCCATTTCACGTCCGCCATCTCTTACTGTATGCGGATGCATCAGCTGCATCTTTGCTATAAACTCAATCTCTAGGGACGACAGGAAGTAGCCCTTGGCAACCTTGTCACTTGTAACACTTCCCCTCTCCATCAAGATGTCGGTGTATATCATTCCGACTATCTCCAGCCCTGTGCCGGAAAAGGGAGCATCCATGGACCCTGTTATTACAAATCCATCTGGATAGTCCTCCTGCTCTGGCTCCCATATCCCGGAGACAACTGCCTTTGTCCCCAGAGGGATCATCTCATGGTCCATGTACCTCCCCACAAGAAACCCAAATCTCTGTCTTCCGCTCTCCCTCCAGTTCCTGATAAAGTTCTCCACCAGATGCTTCCCGTCAAACTCGACATGGTCAACCATTCGGAACACCTGAGGCGCCAGTATTATGTTCTTTTCCTGGCATCTGTTGCACTTTGCATGGGGTCCATGGTCTTCGCATGTCCCCACAGAGTAGCTCTCAACCCCTAGCTCCTTTTTCTTGCTCTTCATCATCTCGCAGTACGACCCGAAGCTGAGATACTTGATCATGTTGTCCTTGTAGTACTTCTCGTCCCAAGGGTCCAAGGGTGCACAGTTACTGCACATCGCATTGGAGTCGTGCTGGCACATCATGCTGTCTTTCTCTCTCTTTATGCCCTTGGAGCAGTCCTGCTTCGGCTTCGGCACATCTCTCTTCTTTTCGTACTCGACATATAGAACTTGTCCATTCCTAAGTCCCAGGGCATCTGGAGCTTGGCTCTTGTCAAGCTCACCCTTGCCGTCCGGAGCAGAGAACACAGATATCTGCCCCACCTCGAAGAACGCAAGCAACTGGGGCCCAAGCACCTTAGACTCGTCTACCTCCACCCGTCTCTGGCCTTCAGGGCCACGAACGATGAATATCATTTCAGGGCTTTCTAGTCTTGTTTTTATTGATCATAAGCGCACGACAAGCCCATCATGAAGAAGAGGCTGGATCCATACAATATACTCGGAGTGAAACGGACATCCACGGATGTGGAGATAACAAGGGCATACAGGAGACTGCAGAGAATCTACCATCCCGACAGCAGAACGGGGGACAGGGAGATGTATGAGGAGGTGCGTAGAGCATATGAAGAGATCTGCAAAAGCCCGGCCGTGGAGATTGTCCCTGTTGAGGACGTAAGAAGGATGTACAAGGGCTCTGAGGAGGAGGCCAAGGACATTGCCGGGCTTTACAACAGACACAGGGGAAGGATGGGAAGAATTCTGGACGGCCTTCTTCTGTCTGATGATGGGGACGAGGATAGAGTCCGGGAGATTATTGACAGACTTATCGGGTGCGGGGCTCTCAAGCAATACAGCAGCTACGGGAAGAGGGTTTCTGAAGACAAGGCAAGGGGAAGGAGAAAGGCAAGGGAGGAAAGGATGGCCAAGAAGATTGCAGGGGAGATGGGAATAGATTTAGATGTGCCGCTAGAGGACCTGCTTGGAAGGAGGAAGGGGAGAGATGCAAAGTTTCTTGAGAGTCTCGAGGAAAAGTATCTTGGGGGATGCAGGGAGGAAGAGAGGTAGTTTTGTTGACAAATGGATAGCCCTCTGATGGAGAAGGAAATCGACGACCTGTTTCTTAAGGCCCGGGGAGAGAAGGTTGACCAGGACAAGATAAATAATCTGGCGAGATGCATGAGCGAGATTCCGAAGATCCATCCGAATCTCTCGCAGGTTCGGACGAAATGCAAGGAGATTGGGCTGAGCCTGGAGCTGTACACAATCAAGCTTGAGTCGCTTGCAAAGGAGATGAAGGGGATAGAGGAGGAGAACACGAAGCTTGAGAACGAGATTCGGTACCAGACGTCGATATACGAGCATCTGAAGGAGCTGCTGATCAGTGTAGAGATCAAGGAGGACCACTTCATAGCACTTGAGAGCGAGTCGTTTGACAGCATTGACGGGCTTTGCAAGATTGAAAAGGCGCTAGAAGTACTTGACAACTTCAGTGTTGACGAATACGACATCAGGATAGTCCGAGAAAAGAAGGAGAGAATCAACGATGCGCTGAGAGAGTTCTACAGAAGGTTTATAACGTACATGGGGAGCTTCATGGTCAGAAGCGAGAGCACCGGGGAGCTGAAGGTCCACAAGGGCCTGTATGGAGTCATCAAGAGATTCAAGAAGATATTCCAGCACTCGAAAAGATACAGAGACTACTATGTTGTTATGTGCTCGATATACATGGCCCGCTCGAAGAAGCTGTATGAACGGGAGTTTGGATTCCACCTGAGCACAGTTCTCCGGATTCTGAAGGAGGGGGTGACGCAGGAGAAGGTGGACAAGATATTTGAAACCCTTTTTGAGTCGTACCGAAGCATAATAAGGTGCGAGGCCAGATTCCTCAAGAACATGGAGATCGAGGGGACATGCAAGGAGATTTTCCGAAACACGGGGCTCCTGATTGTGGAGTTTGTTGAAGATGTATATGATGCTGCAGACATTGAGACGCTGGATGGACTGGGAAAGAGCTGGAAAGATGTTGGTGATGATGAGGAGGCATACGGCTTGTTTCAGAAAGAGCTTAGGAGTGCATATGAAAGGCTGGAGTCTGAGTATCTGAACAAGAAGATGGGGAAGGGAGAGAACGGAGTTTGGAGATTGGAAGAGATTCTGAGCAGGTCGAGCAACCCTGAGCTCAAGAGAAGGGCTGTGGTCATGGGGGTCCAAAGGGTTATGGAGAACACTGGCAAGAGAGACCTAAGGGAGATCATAAGGAGGTGGAGGCTGCTGGATCATGCAGGAAGGGTATGCGGTGAGAAGGTGGAGGAACTTGAAGACGCAGAGAAGAGGACGGAGTCTGAGTTTGAGAAGAGCTGTATTGACGCCATTCTTGGAGATGGGAGGGCTGTGGAGAATGTGGGGAAGGTATTGTCTCTTATCGATGGAGAAGAGGGCTTCAGAGCCAAGGTTATTAGGAAGATAAGGGAAATGGTTTCAAATGATGTTGAGGAAGGAGATGCCGAGAAGATAGACAAGATACTGAGGGATGCTGAATAGCTCCGTGGGATGGGGAAGTGCAGGGCCAGTGTCTCTGATGCATGGGGAATAAGCAAAAATAAATTAACTGCGGGTGTAAGGCTTTAATGTCACTTTTTCCTTGAGTATGCATATTCTAGCATGTCGCAAACCCTGTGCGAGTATCCATACTCGTTGTCATACCAGCTAATGAGCTTGAAGAAGTTGGATCCCATTGAAATGCTTGCGGTGACGTCGAATATCGAACTCCTCGAGTCTCCGATGAAGTCCGAGCTTACGACGCTATCCCTGGTTGTTCCGATGATCCCCTCATTGTTTTTTGAGAACTTCTCGATGGCGTCTGCTATCCCCTCGATGGTTGTCTCCTTTCTTGTTCTACAGACCAGATCAACCACACTGCCGTTTGGAACGGGAACCCTCATGGCCATCCCATTCAGCTTGCTGGCAAGAGACGGGATTACCTTTCCTACGGAGGTTGCTGCTCCGGTGCTTGCAGGGATTATGTTACTCAACCCAGAGCGTCCGCTTCTGTAGCACCTTCCTGTTCCATCAACAATCTTCTGCGTGGCTGTTACTGCATGGACGGTGGTCATCAATCCCTCGACAATCCCGAAGTTGTCGTCAATAACCTTAGCAAGGGGCGCCAGGCAGTTAGTGGTGCAGCTTGCATTGCTAATAATCCTCTGGGACACGTAGTCGTGGTGGTTGACCCCGTACACAAACATGGGCGCATCCTTGCTTGGCGCAGTAATCACCACAACCTTGGCATCTCTGTGGCCTTCGCAGTCCTTGAGCGTTGTAAATGCCCCACTGGCTTCAACCACTGCATCTATTCCATGCTCTGACCACGGGATGTCCTCGGGCCTATGGAACTTCGACAAGGAGGTGGCCTTCCCCTTGTACACCATCTTCTTGCCCTCGAGCCGGCACTCCTCTCTGCATCTTCCAAACACACTGTCGTATTTCAGAAGATACTCCATAGACTCAGGCGTCAAAAACGGGTCGTTCACAAGTGGGACTTCCACTCCTCTTTCCCTCAGGATTCTGTACACTAGCTTCCCTATTCTTCCAAATCCATTTATTCCCACCTTCATTTCAGGAGCACACAGAATTTCACTTAAATAGGTTTTGACAGGAGTAAACTAAAGAAGATCCAATTGCCTCCCAAGAATCAATCTCATAATGAGCGATACATCCAATCAGTGTTCTACGCAGGCGCCGGGCCTGGATTTGGTGCTCTATAAACAAAAAAACACAGGTACCCAAGAAATGATCTTGGACAGCCTATTCAAGCACTTCGGAAGCATCAAAAAGTACCAGAGCCTGGTGAAGGCAGCTCTCGTGCTGGCACCTCTATTTACATTCAGAATAAAGAGGCAGAATGACGTTTCAACCAACGAACCTGTCCAGCACTATCTAGACAGAAACATTAGTATCACCACATCCTCGGACGGCAGGCCCTTCTTCGACAACAACAGGTTCGTCCTCAACAGTCTGCCGCCAAGATTGACTTTGAGAATCCAGGGATGTCCGGAGCAAAAGGAAAACTACCATCCTGTGATCTCGACTCTGAGATCCATGGACATCAGGAACATCAATGTGGTCATCGATCTGAACCCACCCGACGAAAAGTGCATCTATCTGTTTGAGATAGACCTTAGGTTTGAAGACAAAACATGCATGCTTATACATCCTCTAAAGAACCACCAGCCGAACTCGGACTTCCTTCTTGTTGCAGGAGAGTTCTTTCCATGCAAAATGGTCTTCGACCCGATGGACATCTTTCTCACAAACATACCATCAAACCGCCTGTATATATTGCTGAGGAACACCCCCAGAGGCCTGAAGACATTCATGAGCTTTGTCAGGTCTATTTCCTTTGTGCGAACCCATCCATATGGAAGCTACTTTTACATCCCTACAAACGGTGCATATATAGACGTTATTATGTTCATGCCGCTGGTGCTTTCTGTGCTGGCATACTACACGCTTGACTGGGTCTGTGTCCCCCACTCTGTCTCCACGACAAGGATATTTCTCGGGGCTCTTCTCTACTCGTTCTTTCCTGTGTCGTTCCTCTTCTTCATCCGGAGAAACGAATCCCTGTGCCTCGCCCCAATCTTCATGGTTCTGAATCCAAAGGTGGGTCTGGGATACATTGGGATATGCTATCTGAGAATGGTGTGCGACGTGCTCGCCATTGCCAAAAGCATCCGAAAGCCATCAACGTGGACCTGATGGGCATAGGGTCCATTAAAGGCCCAGAAGCCAAAGGCAGATGGAATAAATGTCCTTTAATTAGCCATAACCATGGACTGCTCTTTGATCATAAAGTCTGCTCCAAGAGAGACATGGAGGATGTCCTTGAATGCATTTCTGACATTGTATGGCATACTTGCCTGTGTAATGACGCCAGCTCCAAGGCTCGCCGCTGCCACGGTGCTTATTGCGTTTCTCAGAGATGTGAAGATGTCCTCTTCTCCAATGTCAATCAGAGACGAGTCGTAGATAACTCCGTCCTCGTAGATCTGATGCATGGTCATCTTGTAGCAGAATGGCTTGATGTTCAACATTCCAAGAAGATTCGCCTGGGATGGCCCCACCTTGTCTCCTTCAGATAGAACCTTGTATGGAGAGATGATCTCCACCTTACCCTTTGTGATCTTGGTTGCTATTCCAAGAGCCTGGAAGTACGATGTCTTATCGGGTGTCATTCCCGTGATACAGCTTTCAACCCATACATCCCTCTGTGCAACATTCCCAACCTTGGCACATGCCTCCCTGACGTTCTCGTCAATCGCCTTCTTAATATCTCGGGCATTTCCTTTGAAGAACACAAAGCAGACATCTCCCTTGACGAGGTCATAAACACCAGACAGCTCAGGCTTCCCAAGATCTGCTATTGCTCGCCGGATTGCAGAGTTCTTTCCCATCAGAAGCTCCGCATTGCCTCCCCACTGCCTCTTGATGTCCTTGAGCTGGGTCGAAACCACATTCTCAATCTTGACAAGAGCAAACCTGCTGTAGGTTTCAAAGAGCTTCCTGGCCCTTTCGTATGTCAGTTCCTTCCTTTCCTTGGCATCCTTTCGAGTCATTCCAGGGTGAAAAAATTTCTCTCTTTTGGGCTGCCAGCCTATCCACAGGAGTTCTTCCACCACGGCACACATCCTAAGGCTGGCTGACGGATTTGTGCATTGTGCCCTACACCCTCTGAAATGGACGAGGTGGTCAGAAGGATCTCGACTCGCCTTGGGACAGCTCCAAAGGAGACAACAGACATGATTGCCCAGGCGCTTGGGGACCCGATGTATCAGGAAAGACTGGTTGAAATCCTTGGGTATGAGATGATGGACGAGATCGAGATGATCTGCATGAACCAGGGCTACTTTGTGCCGAGTGAGGAGGTGGTGGACAGGGGCTTCTATGTAGAATACAGCTTTCCAGAGTCTGTTCCCATGGAAGTTGATGCCTCGGAGATCGTTTACACCGATGCCGTTGGGGAAGACAAGCAGTACTTCGACCACGGGGCCTTCAACGCGGTTCAGTCCAGGGTGTTTAAGCCTGCATACAGGAGTGACGGGAATATGCTGGTATGTGCACCAACAGGCTCTGGAAAGACGGACGTTGCCCTTCTATGCATTCTCAGGGCGCTGAAGAAGGGCGACAAGGTTGTCTATGTAGTTCCGATGAGGGCGCTTGCAACGGAGATAGCATTGAAGTACAAGAAGAAGCTTGGAGGGCACAGGGTTGTGGAGTACACTGGCGACACTGAGGCAGGAGCTGAGGATGTCATGAGATGTGATGTTGTGGTATCCACGCCGGAGAAGTTTGATGTTGCAACAAGAAGGCAGCACAGTGTATTCCAGGGAAGAATTGGACTTGTTGTGCTTGATGAGATTCACATGCTCCAGGACGACCGGGGGCCCGTTGTGGAGACGATTGTGTGCAGAGTGCTTAGACACGTAGAGCTTGGACAGAGGCTCATACGCATCGTAGGACTATCTGCAACACTCCCCAACTATGAGGATGTCGGCAGATTTCTGAGAGCAGAGCATGTGTTCAGCTTTGATCAGGGATACAGGCCTGTCCCGCTGAAGATGTCTGTCATCGGGATGAAAAGGAAGAGCAAGCCCCAGCTTGAGGACGAGCTTCTGCAGGAAAAGGTAAGGGAGTATCTAAGCAATGGGAAACAGGTTCTGGTGTTTGTACATTCCAGGGGGGACACCATCAGAATAGCCAGGCTTCTGGGCGATGAAGGCGAAAGAAGAAATGTGAAGGCTGGGACCGTGACGGGTGCACTTCTAGAGCTGGTAAGGAGAGGAGTTGGGGTACACCATGCCGGCCTTCCCCGAAGAATAAGGCTGTACATGGAAGACGAGTTTAAGAGGAGGGGTGTCAGGGTACTGGTTACGACGTCGACCCTGGCCTGGGGAGTGAATCTCCCGGCATATGCAGTGATAATCAAGGGAACAAGGTTCTACGACTCCTCAAAGGGAGGGTTTGCTGATGTGGGCATTTTGGATGTGCTGCAGATATTTGGAAGGGCTGGAAGGCCTCAGTTTGACAGCAGAGGAGAGGGATGCCTGATAACGACAGGAGACAAGATGGACTACTATGTATCTTTGCTCAAGAATAGCAGGGATGTGGAAAGCAGGCTGCTCCAGCATGTTGCGGATGTGATGAATGCCGAGATATATTTGGGCACTATTGAGGATGTCAGCACGGCAGTGGAGTGGCTGAAAAGCACGTTTATGTATGTCCGGATGTCCAAGAACCCGATGTACTATGGACTGAGCAGAGAGGACCTGTATGATGAGGAGAGGGCCTTATCGGACTATGGTATTCTCACCTGCAGAAGGCTGGAGGAATGCGGGATGGTGCGGATATATAGACAGGTGGCTGGCGATTCCAGGACATGGAGGTTCTGTAGCACAGAATATGGAAGGGTTGCCAGCATGTACTACCTGTCCCATGAAACGATGGAGAAGTGGCTGGAAGACATAGGAAACGTGTACGATGAGGACTCGATACTTAGGCTTTGCTTTGAGGCCCGGGAGCTTTCGGCGCTGAGATGCAGAGATGAAGATGAGGAGAGCATTAAAGAGCTTTGTGAGGACTTAGGGATTAAGTATGAGGTGTCTGTAGAATGCAAGCTCATGGCCCTTGTGAAGGCCCACATCAAAAGACATCCCGTGACACGGTTTTCACTCATGTGCGATGGGGAATATGTCATCAAGAACCTTCGAAGGATTCTGATGGGGCTGTGCCAAGTCCTTATGTTCCAGGGCACCCATCTGCTTGTTGTCAGATGTAGCATACTACTGAAAAGAATAGAGAGGCAGAGAGAAAGGCCATGGGATGTCAACAACAAGCTCACGGTAAGTCTTTCCAGAGCTCTTCAGATGGTTAGGATGGAGGTTTCTCTGAAACACCAAGGGGAGTACTGGGTGTTTGTGTGGGATGGAGACTCGCCTATCTACTCGGGCCTCTTTGGACAGAGGGCCGACTCGTTTATAAAGACGGAATCTGATGTGCTAAGGATCGAGGTTGTTGCTAGGGACGAGTGGGCAATGACAGAGGGGAAGTATGGAGTTGCCAGAGATCCAAGCCTAAAATCGCTGTACCATAATGGAGTGCATGAATGCAGCCGGCCGTGGTCTGTAGCGGGGGAGAAGTCGAGCTGTGCTCATTTCAATATCATAGAACTGTTTTCTGATCTTCCGGAGATGATCCGTCGGTGGAGATTGGATAGCAATAATGTCTCCGAGCCCAGGAGGTTGATTCTGACGAACAGGAGGGCTGATTTTCTTGACGCAAGGAGGAAAAAGAATGCCTACACCACCTCGGGCCACGAGGACGAGTTGAATCTTGCCGGGGTGAGCATGATGGATCTAAGACCAGGTGTCCCCTCAGGGCCTGCCAAGTATATTCTCTGCGAATTCTCCCTCCACATAAGGTTTGTGCAAATAGACTGCAAGTTGTTCAGGGAAAGGCTAAGGTTCATGAATTCCTGCATCCTGTCGATGAGCGAGTATGAAAGCAGAAGGGTTGTCGTAATAACGCCTGACGTGGCAGACATGAAGGGTACGGCACAGGATCTCAGTACCCGGATGTTTCTGAAAGGGATATCCAATGGAAGATGCGACGTGAAGGTGAGATGTGGAGTCCCCGGCAGGAGAGATACTGGAGTGTTTGTAACCACCTTTGACAGGGCCATAGGCATACAAGGAGACTTTATGGTTGTCCTCAAGGGCTGCTGCAACTCTGATGGATATTTTCCTGTGTTTGAGGTGCTGCGGATGTGCGACTCAAGAGAGGCATATATATGCGAGAGCAGGGACTACATAGAGTACTTCAATTGCTGTATATTAAACAATGCCTGGGAAGACTAATAAAACGATATTTATTCTAGGAGTAGCCATAGATGTGCTCAGGGCTCTATATGAAGGTAAGCGCCAGGGATATCTCGTCCTTGTCTCCGATGTCTCTGACCCCCTCCTCGGGAGCATCCATGCTGAGCAGAAGGCCCCCGAACGAAGCTTTTACAAGGGCTCGACCTCCCTTGTACTCCACGGAATAGACCCTTCCACAGACTAGATAGTGGCATTCAATGTCCTCACTGATTCCTCGGAAGATACGTACTTCAAGAGCGTGGCCTGTCTGGAGCCTGCAGAGAACGGTGTTGTAGTCAAGGGCAATGTCGACGGTAGGGGACTTCATGTATGCCCTCGAGACGTTTGCGTACAACTTGCCTTCTCTGTCGATGTCGGAGACCTTGAAGTTGTCTGCCAAGATCTGCATTGAGGGTGGAAAAATTTGGGTGCTGAAGTGCCCTGTGGATGCTAGAGAGCAAGGATGAGGAGACACAGCAAAGGGAAGACGGTTTTGTGGACGGAAACTCTGGGGAGTTACTCCCTGTTGATTTCTACACCAAGGGACGAAAGCCTCGTGAGGACCAGAAGGTCGAGTTTATGAGTGGGAATGCAAAGGACTTTTCTGAAGGTACTGGAAGAGTCTGCTTTGCAGATGTTGTAAATGCACTTGAGACAGAGAACCAGAGTCTGGAGGAGGAAATCAGAGGGCTAAGAAGAAGAGAGGAAAGAATAAGCAAGGAAAACGATGCCCTGAAAGACATTCTCTGTGGACTCCTGGCTCGGACCTCCTCCTGATGAGTGTGTTTGTTTTTACTCTTGATAATTGGGTTTTGAGGTAAACAAACCGTGGATATGGACATAGGAAGAAGAACATTGAGCGAGGAGGACTTTAGCAGTATCTGGTGCTCGATAGAGAGGGAGCTGGGAAAGCTTGCCTCTGGAGGTCTGTGCAGCGCACTGGAGATTTACAACAAGATATACGTAGTGTGCACATCATCCACTCCCCGTCTTGAGAGCAGGCTGTACTGGAAGATAGGGGACTTTATCTACATGAGAGCCCGGGAGATAAGGAGGGAGGTGTTTGATGCCAAGGATTGGATTGAGGAGTATAACAGGGGGTTCAGGAAGTTCCGGGAGATGGTGTTTGCAATTGATGAGCTGTGCGACTTCCTGAACGAGTGTGTGAAAGGAAGGACGATGCGAGACCTTGGGTTTCTTCTGTGGGAAAGATGTGTGCTGCAGCAGACTGCGAAGTACAAGCACACGACGCTTGGGTTTGAGCTGGTGAGTCAGGGGAGGATTGAGGTTGTTAAGGAGGCAATAGAATCGTTCCGGCTGATTGTCCCGGATGCAAAGAATCCCATGCTGTATTACACACAGAGGTACGAGCAGTTTGCACTCCAAAAGATCGGATGCAAGTATTCGGAGGAGATAAAATCGGCGTGCGAAGAAGTCGAGAGGTACTCGTTCTATGTGAGAGAGAAGATTTTCTATGAGAAGAGTATCCAAGACAAGATATTCCTTGAGGAGTCGTGGCCAAAGATGGAGATGATACTTGAGGAGGTGTTTATACTGAACAAAAGGGACTACCTGCTTTCCGAGATCCACAGGATAATGTCCATGTATAGGCTTCCTGTTGAGATTCTTGCAAAGATTTCTGGAGAGGGGGAATGTGACAAGCATAGGACGGATTCTGGAGGCCATCGAACAAACGATTTCTATGAGCTGCAGGGGGGCTCGGGGGCTAGAAAGGCTCACAACGACGTTTTTCTGGAGAAGATGTCTGTTCTTTACAGGAACCTGTCGGAGTTCAAGTCTGCATATGCGATTCTCCAGGAGGTGTTTACTCGGTATGTGAGGGACGAGAGCGAAAAGCACATCCATGTGTATAGTAGAAGCATTGAAACACTGTACGTCTTCCACTGCATGCTTAGGCATGTTGTAGATGTTGGGTTTCTGGGGGACCGTGAATGTCTCAAGATACTGAAGAAGGAGTTTTCTGCGAGTTGTATGAGGCTAAAGCCGTCTCTGGAAGCAAGGCTGCTTGAGTTTTCTGGGTGCATTGTAGGGAATAGCGGAAACGCATTTAAGTTTCTTGACAGCGAGTTTGAGGGAGCAGATGATGGAGGACGGATGTCGCTGCCGTTCCTGGGAGATGGGGAAGTATGTGGAGACGGCCCTGGGCTGGGTCAGTCATTTTGTGGAAAGAATGACTTTCTGCGGCAGGTGTTTGGTACTTTGTATAAGATGGTGGAAAACAAGCATGTGTTTTATGAGATGTATCTTTCTGGGCTTGGAAAGAGGCTGCTTGAGGGGAATCCGAATCTCCAGGAAGAGAGAAAGTTGATTTCCCTGATGAAGAGAAAAAGCAACCAGGACTTCATGAAGAAGGCCGAGACGATGATCGCGGACATCAGCATCTCACTGAGCTACAACAAGGATGTGGACCGATTTGTGTGGATTCTGACGCAAGCATACTGGCCGATGCAGGCAGAGAGCCAGAGCACTCGAATTCCAGCACCGCTTGAGATGATAAAGAAGGTGTACGACTCGAAGTTCAACAAGAAGAGGCTGCATTGGGTATGGCATCTTGGAAGTGTGTGTGTGGAGATCCGTGGGGTGGAGATCCAGATGAATGTCCTCCAGTACTCTGTTGTCGACCTCTTCAATAAGCATGAGGAGATTGACTTTGAGAAAGTTCTTGGGCTTGTGAAGATGGGGACAAAGACCACCGACGATGTCCTCAGGTCTCTAGTTGAGAGCAATCTTGTGGTCCGCGCTGGAGACTGGTACAGGATGGGAGATGTGTCTAAGGTTGGAGAAGACATTCGGGCCTTTTACTGTAGTGAGAGTATCTGTATGGCACACGAAATAGACAGGAGTGCATACTACCAGTCTCTTGTGTCGCGCATACTAAAAAGAAGAAAGAGGATGTGCCTGGGGGACATACTGAAGGAGATTCTCGCCGAGCACACCGAGAGGTTCGAGTACGATGAGGCCATGTTTTCTGAAGGTGTTCGGACTCTTGGGGACAAAGGAATCATAGAGGATGTGGAGGGGATCTATGTTTATCTTCCCTGAGTGTTTGATGCATGTGTTTACAAGCCACACGTATCCTCTCCCATGGCAGGGCTGTCGCAAGAAAAGAAAAGGATGTACCTGGAAGAAATAGAGGAGCTCGAGAAGATACTGGAGAACGAGGAGGACAAGCTTAGGAGCATTAGAAGGCCGCAAAGCTTTGGACAATAAAGAATTTATAAGGATTTACTCCATGAGGTTTTTTTCGTGGCATCTCAGAAGAACGCAGACTTCTTGGCGGTTAGCAGGTTCTTTGCCTCGTTAATCTTCGACGCTATGTACGGGCTTCCTCCGCGGTCTGGATGGTTAATCTTCATCATCTGGATGTACCTTTCCATCACGCTTGAGTCCTGGCGTTCAATGGCAAGGATCTTCCTTGCTTCGCCGATATCCATCGCGGCTCTGAATCCTTTTGGGTGCTTTGGGATGAATGGAAGGCAGTCTCCGAGTCTTTGGAGCATTCCAGGCCCCTCATAGGACCAAATTTTTGGCTCCCCATGGACGTCCAGAAGATAGTCGATGCCATCCGGTCAAACGACATAGACACAAATAAAGCGGCCATTGAAAGCGTGTACGCCCACTACGGGATGCTGACTGAAAGGGATGTTGAGGATCTAACGCCGTCGCTGGTCTACTATCTATGGAAGCTGCCGAAGTTCACGGCCCAGAAGCAGTTTGTTCTGGAGCTTCTGTCCCACACAGACCAGAGACTAAGGCACAGCCTGCTCATGTATCTTGTTGAGAGGTGGAGCGATATCCCGCTGGTAAGAACCGATAAGTTCTACTATCTTGTCAAGAGGATCCTGGAGTACTACACACTGGATGTGGAGACTGTTTCCCATCTGTTCAACATTGCCTCGAATACAGAGCTTAGGGCATTTGTGGTCCGCTGCGTTGTCGACAGACTCGGAGAGATCGACGAGGAGATGGAGCATTTCCTGGCCGAGTTTATCTCCAAGTGTCCCCCGCCATTGCTGCTCTCCTTCGGATCCCTGAGGTTGAGCAAAGAGGCTGTGCTGAAGTATGCAGGAAGCAAGGAGACTGGAAAGAAAAACAGGGCAGTCCTGTGTTCCATCATCAAATAAAGGATAGCCCATACCTCTATTCGCTAGCTCTCGTACTTGGTGAAGCTGAACTTACTCTTGCACTTCTTGCACACAGGCACGAATCTGCAGAACACAGAAAGGCATATAGGACACACAAGCCCCAGTAGCACCTGCCTGTTATGGCAGTAGCATGTTGCTGGAAATCCCAAGGGCTTTGGCTCCCCCCGCGTGCCGAGCAGGGATAGAAGGAACCTCAGGCATCCATCTTCTGATGTGGAGTAGTCGCCGCCCGTCGATGCACAGCACTGGAGAATTGTCTTGTTCTCAAACAGCGAAAATGCACTGACTCTTATTCCGAATCTCTGTGCTGCAAACATACACTTCAGATACCTCAGATACTCGTCCTTTCTCTCCCTTCCAAGCGTAAAGATCACAATCTGTGACTCCTCGTCCCTATGCAGGCAAAGTGCATAGCCAAGGTCTCCCACATCATATCCGTGGGGATGCTCGATTATCCTGTATATCTCTGTAATGTCGCTTTCTGACGAATCGAAAAGAACCGTCTTTCCACTCACAACCACGACTCTGTTGTTCCGGCTTGACTTGTGGTATGCATTCAAAAAAACAACGATGTCATTGAAGAGGTCCCTTGTTGTCAGCTCCCAGTTCTCTTTCTCCAGGTCTATAAGAAGAAAGAGAATCATGGGGGATGCGAGCAGGGCGGTCTTGTTCTGGCGTGGCTACAAAAAGATGTCAGAAACGGGATTCGAACCCGTGCCTCAATGAGAATACGACCTGAACGTACCGCCTTAGACCACTCGGCCATCCTGACTTGCATGCCCCCGTGGATCCTCTATCGCTACACCGTGCGCCATCTGCCCTCGAGACAAACATATATTTGAACGAAAGAATCCTCTTATTTCCAATGGGTGGCTGTAATCATCCCATAAGACTGGGCACACTATGTGGGGTGTGTGGGATGGAAATACAGGAGGAGTCACATCTCTTCTGTGCTCTCTACAACACGGACAACGTCAAGATAACACACGAAGAAGCAGTTGCAATACACAAGGAGAAGATGGAGGCTCTGGAGATGCAGATGAAGCTGATTCTGGTTCTTGATCTCGACCAGACGGTTCTTCACACGACGTACGGAACTTCCTCGCTTGAGGGAACAGTGAAGTTTGTGATAGACAGGTGCAGATACTGTGTGAAGCTAAGGCCCAATCTCGACTATATGCTTCGGAGGATCTCGAAGCTGTATGAGATCCATGTGTACACGATGGGAACAAGGGCATATGCGGAGAGGATAGTTGAGATTATCGACCCCTCTGGGAAGTACTTTGACGACCGGATCATCACAAGGGACGAGAACCAGGGGGTTCTCGTGAAGAGGCTGAGCAGGCTGTTTCCGCACGATCACAGGAATATAGTGATTCTTGACGACAGGCCTGATGTGTGGGACTACTGTGAGAACCTGGTTCTGATCAGGCCATTTTGGTACTTCAACCGTGTCGATATCAATGATCCACTGAGGCTGAAGAGAAAGATAGAAAAAGAGGCAGGAGAGAACAAGGCGCTTGAAGAGTTTGTGAGCAAAAGGAAGAAAATTGAGGACATAAGGAATCCGGAGATTGCTTCGAGGCTAGACGACATGGTGTTGGAATCCTCTTGCGGATCCGAGGGTGTTGAAGATGACTCTAGAAGCACAGAAGAAAAGGAGGTATCTGAAGTACAAAGTGTGGCCTCGGGGGATTCAGAGCTACTGAAGGTGGCAGGATTTCTGAGAAAGGTGCACAGGAAGTACTTTGCAAGCAAGCAGAGGAATGTGAAGAGGATTTTGAGGAAGATCCGAAGGAGGGTATTTGGTGGAGATCGGTTTTTTGTTGCCGAGATAGCCAACCGGGCATGGCTGGTGAAGACGATAGAGATGTATGGAGGCATAGTGGGCATACCCGAGAGCGGAGTCGACTTCGTGGTATCCTCCTGCGAGAGGGAGGCGGAGTATCTGGCGCAAAAGTTTGAGTGTCTTGCAGTGTCGCCAAAGTGGATAGCGGACTGTGTGTATTCTCTGAAGCGGGTTGAGTATGGAAAATATGTTGTATGCGACCACAGGACCAAGGATGAGTATGAAGAGGAGCTTGAAAGACTTTTCACATAGTCTGCGCCTACCTGTGTACGATTGAAGGTCTATATAAATTAATGCCTTGATTGGAAATGTTGGTTTATTGACATGCAAGTTTGTTTTGAGATTTGTTACAGCTTAAAATAAAGCCCATGGAAGGAATGATGCAGGAAATAGTGCAGTGCATACTTGGGGTGATTGTGAGGAACAATGCAATACAGATGGCCATTCTTTATGCAGTGTTTTACTTCACCAGATGTGCCAGGCGCCCGGATGTGTTCTACAGTGGCAGGAAGAAGGAGTCTATTGTTAAGATGTCGAGCTTGCACAGAAACTACTATCCGCTGTTCTTTGCGCCCTTCGGCACTATCCAGACCGTCCTACAGCTGTTCCGGAAGCCTATTCTTCTCGAGAGGACAAGCGTGTTAGTGGAAACACCCCACAACGGATCGATCCTGCTTGATCTTGTGGAGGCCGATGTGAGTACAAAGAGAAATGCATTGCTAGTGCATGGATTCAACGGGTCCGGGAACTCGACCTACATGAGAGGACTTGCCGGGCACCTTTCCAGAGAAGGATACAGGGTCTTCTGCTTCAATGCAAGAGGGATCAGGTCTAAGCTCAACAGCCCTGTGTTCTTCCACATCGGATGGACTGTGGATCTGAAAGCTGCTGTCGATTTCATTCTTTGTAACTATCCCGGAACACTGGAGATATTTGGATTCAGCATGGGAGCTAGCTGGGTAACGAAGTTTTTTGGAGAGGAGAAGCTTGATCCCCGAATAATCAAGGGAGGTGCCGTGTGCCTCCCATTTGACTTCTTCAAGATCGGAGTCCACTTCCTGAAGAACCCCTACACCAGGTTCTTCAACAGGCTGTTGGCAATGAACTTTGTAAGGTACATGAGCAGGAATAGAGATGTCTTCAAGAGTGCAGGATACGACGTAGATGTGATAAAGAGGTGCAGCAGCGTCCAGCAGATAGATATGATGGTGACAACAAAGATTTTCGACATCAAGGATGTGGACGAGTACTACAAGAACCAGTCATCTGTGAACTACATAGAAAAGATAAGCGTCCCGTTCATCATACTCAATACATACGACGACCCGATCATCCCTGCATTTTCGATAGACAAGGAGATATGCATGAGAAACAAAAATGTATTGTTGGTGATAGCTCACAAGGGGGGCCATCTGGGATTCCTATCGAACAGGACCGACAGAACCTGGGCCGAGGATGTGCTGGTGGACTTTGTCAAACACTTCTGAAGGGCATAGAAGATGGAGCTCCACTATAATTAAAGAATGAGCTTATGTATATGTCCTTGTGGGGGATTCTGTTCTGAGGTCTTCAGAGATCAAACCCCCTCGCCGTCAGCTCGCTTCGGACGATTTCTCTATATGCCTCCTCAACCCCATCGAGCTCCATGGGATTGAGCTTCATCATCCTCAGAATCCTGTCTTCGCAATCCTTCAGGATGGCCCTCGAGCCCTCAGGCATCTCTGTGTTGACCTGATTCATGATTTTCTTGAGAGACATTAAATAGTTTGACCCAACAACCTTTTTCCTGTGTGCGATGCTGCAGTTGAGCTTAAACTCAAGGGAGTCCAGAATCTCTTTTATGGGAAGCCTTTCCTTGACGTAGAAGACAGGCGTGTCATGCTTCGAAGACAAAAGCTCCCCGTCAGTCAAGATGCAGTACGAAGTCTCGTTCCGCCTTGCCAGGCAATAGATCTCGTATCTCTGAGGCTTCATTTCGCAGTTCTCCACTATGTATGCCGTGTTTGGGTCCATGTTGCTAAGCTTGCTCCTTATGACCTTGAACTCGCCGTCCAGATGAACAACCCGGAAGTGTATCGACAGACAGCTGCTTAGCTCTTCTAGATACATTCTCGACCTTCCCAGCAGGATTATGACAGGCATGGAGGGGCTCGTCCCTGGGGCATAAGAAGGTCTTCCAGCGCAGGGCCTGTGAAACGGACAGCTGTAGCCAACCAAGGCGCTCTTTGTTTCAAGGTCGAACGCAGGAGTTTCGTTCCATGAAACAGTCGTGTTTCGTGTTTGGGAATAAATAGCAAGATGAAAGAGACTCAAAACCAATATGCTGCTGTCCCTGATATTCCCTATTGCGGTGCTGGGAGAAAAGTTCGACGGCTATGGGCCCACAGCATTCGATGTCTCGTTGAGCCCCGACATTCCTCTTGGGGAGCTCACTGGATATGGCAAGAAGCATTTCAAGGAGCGGGAGAACAAAGGATTTGGAGACCTGAGTCTGGTTGACTTCAACATGGAGACAGAGGACAGCTTCGACAGGAGCAAGCTGGTCGACATCGGCTGGGACCTTCTGGACTCATCGCATGGAACCGTCATGACCGTGCAGTCCATCAGGAAGGGTGAGGCAGACGCCCTGTCGATGAAGGTTCTTGGACACTATGAAGTGCTGAACCTGTCGGAGGGCTCTTCCAATGTCCAGGAGGCACCGATAACATATCTCCCAATAGTCTTCGACACACTGGTTCTCGACCACAAGAAGAGCGGATACATAAGGGATCCAGAGAACGACAAGATCATCTATGCAAGCTGGGCAATGTTCGAGCACAAGAAGACAAAGAGATGGTTTACAGTGGTGAATGTCGACATGTACAGCGCATACTCTGAAAAGACCGATGTCCAGATGGCAAGTATTCTAAAGGATATGAGCAAGGAGCACACGATCGACAGTAACCCTGTGTTCTTTATGGGGCGCATCAACGCAGTCTCCGACAAGCTGCAGAAGGTGATCGACGACAAGTACACAAACCCTTTGGACGTAGACCGGAATGCAAAGGAAGCCCCGAGGTTCACCATGAAGAACCTTCCGGACATCCTCGGCAATTTCCAGAGAGACTTTGTGTTGGTTAGAGATGCGGCATCCCAGATGGTGAGGGTCAACTATGCAAGGATACTGAGAAGAGGAATCCCCACCCTCCACTATCCTATCCACGCGATAGTGTCGTTTGAGACGGGAGACAAGCAGCTCACGCCCCCTGCAGCCTGAACAATAATAAACCACCTTTGGATGTTTCTGAATAATTTTTTGCCAAAAACAAGTCCCTTCATGATCCAGGGTGTATCGATGTTTTCCGGGCGCAACATACCCAAAGGGTCTGGGATCTACGAGGTGATGAGTGATGGCAGGGCGGTTCTGACGGCATCGAACAAGGAGAGGAGGCTTATTGCGCGCAAAATCAATCCCAGGGATATCAGATGGACGACGTCAAGCAGGGAGTTTTTTGGAAAGGAGTCCCAGTATGTTGTCGAGAAGATGAATGTGCAGAAGGTGAAGGTTGTCCGTGGGTTCAGGCACATTAGCGCTAGCTCGCTCGAGAGGGCTAAGGAGGCGGGGCTGCCGAAGAAATAAAATCCCTTTATTTTTCCTAGTCTTTCTGTTGAAATTGGAAAGCTGCGACTCTCTATAAACAAAGTGATGGGCATCGGGAACTGCAAGGACTATCTCTTCGACAGCAGCCTGCCAGACTTGCCGGAGCTCCAGTTTGATCTCATGCACGACGGAAAGAAGTATAAGGCCTCGATTCTCCCCGAGAAGATTGTGACGAGGCTGAGAGAGTCTCTGCAAGACAGGTACAAGTACTCTACGAGTTGGAGACTTCTCTTCTCTACGTTTGAGAATGGGTTTTCCTACAGGACCTTCCTTGAAAGCTTTGGGGAGAACGAATGGCCATTTGTGCTTGCATGTAGGACCAAGGATGGAGACCTATTTGGAGCATTTTTCGAGGATAGAATCAGAATAGCAAGGAATCCATATGGAAGGGACTCTATGTTTCTCTTCACAGCAGCCAGGCGCGGTGCAGACAGATTGGCGGACAGTGAGGTAGCAGTTTTTCGGATATCGAAGGGCAAGGGGACAGGCATCTATTGCTGCCCGGATTTCTTCGCGTTTGGCTGCAGTGGAGAAAGATTTGGGCTGCTGATAAACAAGTCACTGCTTGATGGGGAGACACACCCAGTGGAGACCTTTGGAAATTGTCTCCTTGCTTCCAAAAGGCATTTCAGGATATCCTATCTTGAACTGTGGCTTGTCCAGATATAGCCTGGTAGCAGCCTCGGGATCCTGTATAATGAAAACAACCGTGGCAATCAAGTAAGCTTTAATCTGGCGCAGGCACAACGGGCTGTGCAGTTGGATCAGAACAGGTCTGGATACTTCGCTGCAATAGCCACAAACCGGCCATAGACCTCCATGTCAAATTCACCTCCAACAGGCCGAACACTGCTCTCAACAAGGACTCCATTCTCCACAGTGCCACGGACCCTAACCAGCCCCGGCCTATACAGCTCGACGCCTTGGTGTCTCACCTGGACCTCCCTCCCCATGCACTTCAGAACCACCACACCGTCCTCGACCCTCTCGAGCCTTCCTATTACCACAACGTCCTGCCCTTCGCAGTTCTCGACATCCACCGAATACATGGGGACAAGATATGAGACTAGAAAAAGCATCCCCAACCGAAATGGCTTTGGAACTCAGGGCTCTGTGTCTGAGCAGAAACACAGCAATAGAGATGGTAAGAGACAGAGGATACACGACAACACAGGAGGTACTGGCCTTGGATGGATTCCACGAGAGGTATCCGCTTGCCCTCACAAAGAGATCAACTCTGAACTTTGTCTGTGTGAATGTGGACAGGCCTGTTGCCGTACACTTTGGAGATGACGAAAAGATGGGCAAGAAGGCATTCGAGGGGCTTCTGTCCCAATATGAAAAGGATAACATGTTCCATCTAATTCTGATCCTCCCGCAGCTCCCAAGCCCCACAGTGATGTCGATGATACCTTTGACCCCGAGGTTCAGCATCGAGATCTTCCTGGTTGAAGAGCTGATATTCAACAAGACAAAGCACTCGTGGGTTCCTCCACACAGAGTTCTGTCCCGGGAGGAGCGCGAAAGCGTTTTCAGGACGCTGAAACTCGGCCCTGGAGATCTCCCCAGAATCCTGAAAAGCGATGTGATTGCAAGATACTACGGGGCAAAGCAGGGGGATGTCGTGGAGATAACCAGGAGATCGAAAACGGCTGGAGAGTCCATCTACTACAGAGTCGTTGTTGATAAGCAGAAATAAAAAACTGTTTTTAGTTGCTGGACATTAAGCCCGTCTGTCGTAGCCCTGGAGATGGACAACATTTTCGAAAGGCTGCTCCTGGACACAAGATTCACAACGAACAAAATCCCAAAGAGATTCCTGCTGAGAAGAGTGGGCCTCGGGTATGCTGTGAGGCACCAGAGGATAAGCAGGGATGACATTAGGCCCTGTCTCAAAACAAGAAGAGCCATAGAAAGAACTGACTGTTTCCAGGAAGACGAAGAGGATGCGGGTAGGTCGGAGCTGGTCAGGAAAAGGCCTAGGCCGTAGTTCTTCCGGGGTGTGTTCTCTGGGTAAGGGCCAATTTGTCACGAAGAAAAAGCCCTTGGGAATGGGGAAGGTGAAAAAAGCATATGAGCTCGAAATCACAAAGATCCTTGCCAAGACCATGCAGAGCAGCTACAGGAAGAAGCAGGTCGAGGAGTTGGTTTCAAGAATCCTCCTGAAGATGCAGGCCGTCATCAGGCCTAGCGGTGACTGCGATGAGATAGAGGCACTAAGGTCCGAGTTCATGTTTTTGAAGCAGGAGGCACACTCCCTTATGAACTCTTGAATGTTGCGCACCTGCTTACCGGGCAGATACTAGAACTAAAGCTTCTATCTGTAATTCTTCCATTCTCCACTTCCTTCTCTTGAATAGTAGTCCATCAAGTATTCTCCCCCGCTGTAAAACACCTCGAAAGGCGTCAGCAGAGGCTTCTTGAAAAGCTTCCCCCAGTCTATGCTGAGCCTTGGGCACGATATCTGGACAAAGCTGTCGATGAAATTATATCGCTCTAGCTTCTTAGGGCTTATTTCGTCGAGCATTATCAGATAGACATCGTATTCCTTCAGCCTGTCCACCACGCTTCTTAGGATGCTCCTATTCCCCTGTCTTCCAAGAGATCCCAGTATCACTCCAAACGATCTTCCACTGAATGCCTTCCTGATCTCAGACTTTCTATCGCTCAGCATGGTGCTGTGGTCATAGGACTCCTGCGTCATCCTCCTGCTGAAGGGGCAATACTTGTAGAACCTCAGATGCGGGTTTCTTATCATCGCACCCTCCAGATGGAACCTTCCGTCTCCTATGGAAATAACTGCAGAGACACCCTCGATTTTTGGTGCCGTGCAGCCCAGCACCTCTCCGCTGCTCAGGGGCCTTATCTGTGGAAGAGTGCATTCAACTCCGCCCCTCTCTTCATCCAAGACCCTTTTCAGCCTGTTTATGCTGGAGTTGAATTGTATCGTGCCGATCACTCCTATCTTTCCCTGGAAGTTTCTTCTTATCATTTCTGCTGCATGGTCTATGTCTATCCTAATATCCACAAAGATGTAGAGAACCTTTGTGCTCATCTCGCCCACAGGCACAAGACACGAGTGCCCGTAATGAACCAGAAGATCGGAAGCAATGCTCTCATCGTCTATGCAGCATCCCCCATAGACAACGTCGTTCAGAAGAATGCACTCTGCCCCCGTATACTTCTCTATAACGTCCATTATCACAAAGGAGTATCTCAAAAGACCGTCTGGGAACTGCAGAGTCACCCTCTTTGCGCCCAGTCTTCTGATTGTTCTCAGCACCTTTCCCGTCTCAAAGTTGTAGTTGCGAGGCAGATATCTCAGACACTCCGGAACTTCTTCCTGCTTGAGCACCACCATATGGCCTCGGAGAGCCCCTCTATTTGAGAATGAAATCTGCGATCCCAAAATGGATGCCGAGATGCTGCTAAAGAACGAGGATGACAGAGCCTTCCTGATGAACAAGCTCGAGGAGCTGATGGAAAAGCACGGATTCGACAGCAAGATAGGCGAGTTTGTCGACAGCCTTGTGGATACGAGGATGGCAGATGTGGCCGACATCAACCAGATATTTGACAAGCTCTATGATTTCGTGATAACAAACCTGCCTCCAGAGATCCAGGAGGCATTCTATTACGACGTAAGAAGTTTTATAGAAAGAAGCAGCGGACTCCTGGATCAGTGAGTGATGTTCTCAACTTCCGTTTCATTGCTGATGTCTCGGAAGCAAGACACGGTTTCGAATAACCATTGATAAGTGCCCGTGGGCAGGGAGTGAAGAAATGAAGGCCCTGGCCAATGTCCACCTTCTCCTTGGAATTGTAGCCTGCAGAAGCTTCTTAGTAACCATAAGGCCGATCAACAGCGGTTATGTCCTCAAGTTTGATGGGCGTGGCGTTGTGCTTGGATCCGATAGAATGGAAGAGTCGGCATCCTTCCGGATTACAGTGAAGAAGGTGAAGGAGCTCAAGCTGCTTGGAATGAAGCTGCGAAAGCGCAAGCACTTGATTCTTATATCTCCAGGGAGCAACCAAAAGCTTTATTTATGGTACAAGAAGAAGAAAGGACTTTTTGTGCAGAAGAAAAAGAAGTACTGGGAGTATAAGGACATGGGCAACGGAGGCTACATGCTCAAGGCGGGCAAGAACAAGTGTCTGGGGATGACCAGCGGTAATGGCGTCGGGGTCTCCAAGTGCGGGCAGGGAGAGGAGCAGGTGTTTGTCTTTGAGGAGAAGGATCAGGAGTCCTCTACGAGTGCAAACGAAGACGAGCATGTTACCATCACCACCGAAATGCTGCAGGTGCCTGAGACCATTCATGTTGGAGACAGATCTCTGGAAATCTCCTCCTCGTCCTACGAAAGCAGCGATTCCGAGGACAGCGACAGCAGCGTTACAAAGCCTGTTTTTATCAACCTGAACATGAAGAACAAGAAGATGGATGCAGACGGAGATGGCCGGGAGAGCTCGTCTTCTGTGCTATCCCCGTCGGTCTCAACAACAACGGTCTATGTGTCTGTCACCAGGTCCCTGACAAAGTCTGTGATAAAGTCGCTGACAAAGAGTGTACCGAGCGCTCCCATAGTAACCATCATTGAGAAGCCCCTGTCAGCAAGCACAAGGCATCCTTCAAGCATAGCTTCCTTTCGGGGAAGAATGACGCCTCCGGACGAGCCCCCGTACTCCGTATGCAATTCAAATGAATTACCTGAAACACACGAGGTACCTCGTGGAGGGCATTCAGACGAAAGTTATGGAGGAATCAGAAACAGCGAGAGTCTCGGACTCGATCTCAAATTCTATCCAGAGCTAGGAAGGCTTCTCAAGGGCAATGTATATGGAAGGACTAAGAGGCGCCCTAGAAGAAAGGCTGGATCCAATGATGCTAAAGTGATGTCTCGGGGCAGTTCGGGAAAAGAGCTGGAGCTTGCCAGCGGCTGCACCTATCTGGATACCAGAGGGCCCAATCCTTTGTATCAAGACGCCATTTCAGCACCGATCTGCATCAATATTGAATAGCTCAAAATGAACGCAACTAGATGCAGCTTGTTTAATAAAAAGTCCTACTACCCAGCCGGTTTATGTCAACCACGCCTATGATTTTCTCTATTCTTCTGAATGTGTCGTACATCCTGTGAACCATTTTCCTGGTTCTTGCCTTTTCGTCTAGCTTTAACAGACCTTTGAGCGAGGGAATCATCACAAAGGTCTGGGCATCTTTTCCAGGCTCGCATTCGGCAAATGAAAGTGTCCATCCGCTTGTTTCTCCATATCTGACCTCGTTTCCAGACGTAAGACACTTACCTCCTGATATAAGCTGGAATTTTATGCTGCTTGGAAGCCTCTTCAGGTAGATCGAGGATGGAGAGATCTTGACACGCACACCCTTCAGAGAAGAGTGGACATCGGCTATTTCTATGCAGCGCTCCTTCTTCAACTCCAGCCATATCTTCTTCGAAAAGCTCTCATACTTCAGGTCGAAGACCTGGTTCTCCATCATCTCCTTAGTGAACTCAGAGAGCAGGGCAGGTAGGCTTATCCTCTCGGGGTAGTTGGTGTCAAACACTGTCAGGGGCTGGTTTCTGTGAAGCACATTGAGCACCATCACCCCGTCATAGTCGGCACCTTGCGAATATCTGCCAGGCTTGCTGCAAGCCCCGTATCCACTCTGAAATGAGTACACAGATGTAAAAAACACCAGCATCATTCCATTTGTTTTGAAAGGAGTATTTAAGTCGCGGTAAAACCCGTTGCAAAACAGTTTAAGTTTTGTGTCAGGAGTCTAGGCATCCAGACAAAGTAAAGGCCTGGGAGTCAGAAGCAAGTTTATTTCGTGTTGTACTGCTTGACCATGTTGATGAAAATCTTCCCGGCAGGCGTGGTCTTGGCATAAGACCCCCCTGCAAAAACACGTCTGCACGACCTGCACTTCCATATTCCAACGGCCTCCCTCTTCACGGTCTTCTTGCCACATGCCTCGCAGATATACTTGGCTCTCTGCGTCTCGAGAACCGCCTTCATCCTTTTACGGAGAGTCGATCCATATCTTGCCCCAAAAGAGCCTGCAATCCCCACCTTCTTGGTTCCTTTTCCCTACAAAGTTAGTCTGCTCCAGGAGCTACTACAATCCCAAGTCACTTACCATTTTGATGGGTAAAAAAAATTATCCTTAAGCCCAGGCACAGCACCTTGTCAAGACGCCTCTTGGGGACATCCCAACCCGTCAGTAGCATCTTTCTATCTTCTCTCCCCCAAAGAACCCCTCTCCAGTCAGCTTCTTGAAGCTTTCGATGTTTCTATTGATGCTCTCTATCAGCCTGTCTCCAAGCTCTATCTCCACGCCCTTTCCACTCCCAGGATTTAGGTGAGAAACAGCCAGCCCCACAAGAGATAGAAGTGTCCACATTGTTTACAGGCCCCAGGCGGGTTAAAAATCCATTGTTTTGGATATTTGATTCTTAAAACCTGGCAAATCGAGAACAACTCAGATTTACTGTAAATCATACTCATCAGAATCCACAACCATGCTGTCGTTTTCTGACTCATACTCGTCCTCTTCAGAGTCGGAGATTGCTCCGTCGTCGATAACCTCGCTTCTTGCCTTGATCCCCTTTCCGTGGAAGTACTGCTCCAGCGCCCCAAACTCGTCCTTCGAAAGGCCGTTGAACGTGTACGGCCCCTCGCAGAACAGGGTCATGTCAAATGTCTTTGCCTGCATGCTGCTGAGGTTGATTCTGCTGAACTCCACGAGCGAAATCTCGCCCAGGTCCAGCCTAACGGCCTTGGGCAGAAACAGCATGCAGTCGTCCAGTGGATACAGCTGCCCCTCATACGCCTTCATCGCGCATCTCAGACATCTCATTCCATCTCTTGACTCAAAGCTGCTTCTTACCGCCTTGATAACACACAAAGCCTCCATCACCTCAGCGAAGATCTCGGAAAGCAGCCCAGAGTATTCCCCCTTCAGCCTCTCGTCGCTAACACTCAGCTCTCTCTCCACATCATCGAATGCCACAACAACATGGTCGTACCTTGTCTGTCCCTGCCTGATCGGAGGATCAGCTCCAATCACAACATATCTCTCCCCGTCGCGGATATACCCTTTCTCAAGTACATAGAGCATCTTGATGCTCTTATAGTATATCTTGTGGTCGTAGCTGCTGCCAACCAGCCTTAGGTAGTCCCGGAAGAAGATAAAGTTGAACTTCCCTCTTGGATAGGCCAGCGACAGGCCCTCCATCTTAAGTATCTCGTCGTCGACAGAGGAGCTGCATCCGCCCTTGATCTCCTCTATGGTCTTCCTGTCTGACACAAACCTTATCTCCATATCTCTCAAAGACACGGAGAGCTCGTTCCTTATGTCAACAACACTTTCAATGTCATCGACAGGAATCTCAAATATGGTCTTTGTGTTTCTGAACTCTAGCGCCTTCTGTCCGTTGATTCCAAGCTCCCCACAGAGAACATCGGCTATCTCAAGCTCCTTGACATACAGCGTAATCCTAAAGTACTCCGAAAATATCCTCTTCAGCTCGTCGATGTAGTTCTGATCCACATTGTTGATCTCGTACACAGCATTCCCAAACACCCGTATGGCCATCTTCCTTACGCCGTAGAACAGCTCTGCATCCTTAACCTCATTCCGCTCCACAGTGTACACCTCTCCATCCCCTGCCTTGATGGCTATCCCATCCCTCGATATCTTGACAGTTGCCTTCTTGTCGCCATCTGACTTCAGAAAGCAGTCGTTGAGCGTCAGAACCTCCATCCAAGGGATAAAAACACCCGGGCCAAGACCTTCATGGACGGAGGCCACGAAATGTCCGAGAAAGACTACAAGAGGCTAAGAAAGTCACAGCCGAGAAAGGAAAGAGTGCCCAGAGAGGACTTTGGAGACCCGTCGGAAATAGGAGGATTCAAAGGCCCTTGGAGCAGATTTGCAGGCGTTTCTGAAGACAGGAGGAGTCCAAGAGATGCCAAGGAGGAGCATTCGCTGAGAAGAATCGTCAACAAGCACTGTCTGGTCGCCGGGAAGGAGAGGTCCAGAAGCAACTACTTCCTGTCCATGAGTGACCCAAGTTTGAGTAGGGTGCCGTCAAGGCGATTTCTTGTTCCAAGGAGCAACACCATGCTATTCCACGACCACAGAGACATGGTCTCCTCTGCCTATCTCTTCAGGAAACATAAGCTCTTCCTTTCCTCCGGACTCGATGGAAAGGTGTATCTGTACAACCTGAGGGATGGAGGGCTTGTGACAACGTACATGGGACACAGCAAGGGAGTGTCGTCGGCCATGCCGTCTCAATGCGAGAGCAGATTCAGCACAGTGTCGTTCGATGGATTTCTGAAGGACTGGGATGTGGAGACAGGGAGGTGCAGTGTGAAGATGGAGTTGGGATGTCCCCTTACCTGCCAGTCGCCTGAGGCATCTGGCAAGACTGTTTTTGTAGGGGGACTAGACGGAAGAGTCAGACATGTGGATATGAGGAATAGAAAGGTCTTGAATGAGATCGGAGAGGAAGCCCGGTGCTGGGAAAAGAATTCCTTCAGACCTTTCTCAGCATATGACATCCTGGCAGTCGAGGAAGGCAACTTCCTCATATTCACAAATAGAGAAGGATCCCTACATCAGCTGGACTTGAGAAACAACCAGATAACCAAGAGATGTTGTGGCTCTTATTCTTTTGTTGGATTCAACCGTGAGGAAAACATTCTTATGGCCACCGGCTGCGACGAGATCATACTTCTGGATCCCTCCACCCTTGAGGAGAAGAAAGAGAGAGTCAGGGCTCCGGGATGCTCCACGAGAGTGAAAGCCTCCTTGGATGGGGGCACTCTGTGCTACGGAAACACAGAGGGTCTTGTCAACTTTTTTGGCACCAACCCGATAAAGGAAGTCTCCCTCGGATCCACAGGCGAGATGGTGACTGTAGTTGATTGGATGGATGGCAGCTCCTCGAATCTTGCATCCGGGGATGTCTTAGGACATGTAAAGATATGGGAGTAGGTCTTGAAAAGCGGTTTATTTGAATAAAATTACATTTAGAAGGACCTACAGCTCCTAGCACCATCAGCGGCTTCATTCAGTGCTGGAATTCTGGTGTTTCTTTTTCTTCTTAGCCTTCAGGATCTTTTTCTTGAACCATGTCGAAAAGCGCTTCATCTTCTTTTTGATCCTTGGCTTCTTGAACGTTACACGGTCTATGGGATCATCGTCCTCGCTGTCTGATTGGCGGTGCTTCTTTTTCTTCTTTTCTTTCTTCTTCTTTTTCTCTTCCTTTTTCTCTTCCTTTTTCTCTTCCTTTTTCTCTTCCTTTTTTTCTTCCTTCTTCTCTTCCTTTACATCAAGATTGCATCCAGGCTCAGAGTAATCAGTGGTTTCAGAGGAAATCTTCTCTTTCTCCTGGGTATCACCTTTGGCTTTATCGCCTCCACCGCTCTCAGAGGTTTTGCTCTCCTGTCTTCTTATGTTGCTTTTCTCTAGATATCTACAGCGATCCTTAAAGACCTTAACCTCAAAGTGGAACTCCGGAAGCTCCTTTCCGGGCTTCATGCACTCCGTAAACCTTACCTCCCCTCCTCCATCCATCATGCACAGTCCGCTGTCGTGCCCTATCACAATGCTCCTGCATGCTGTCGGTGTTACAAAGTGGAACCTAAAGCCCGCTGGAGAGCCCCGTCCTGCCTTGCGGCCTCTGTCAAAGGCCATCGTTCTATGCCTTGTGTCGACAGTCAAGTATCCCTCCTTGGTATATAGCGCAAACCCGTAAGGCGCCTCCTTGTCCCAGTCATACCCAAAAATATATTCGCCCCTTCTCCTCTTATCGACAGGCTCCAGCCTTAGAGTCCTTAGATTCAGGTACCTTCCACTCAGCACAGACTTAATCGCAATCCCCATTCTCGACAATGAAAGTCCTAGATGCAATAGGACACATATCTTCATAACGCCTCTTTGTGGTCCGGCCACATGTTTTAATACGTCGTGCCATCAGACACACAGACAACGATTGGTCTGAGAAAGTAGGAAATCACAACCTGTTTTGAATCCAGGGAACAAGAGGAAACACATCCACTTCGTTTATTGAGATACAGAGCTGATTACATCCATGATCGTGGACCCCTCAACCCGCTCGAACCCTCTTCTGCTCAGCACAAAGGACGACATCTTGTTCGGATCAGACTGGACAACCTCCATAAGCCCAAGAATGGTGAGCCTGACAAGGTCTCCCTTCTCCCCTTTCTCCAGATACTCGCACACCTTCTGGCTCTTCTGCCCAATAGCCCCACAGAAAAACTCCGAAAAGTTGCCGTCAGGCTCAAGAACATAGGCTACAGGCCTGGGCTCAAGCCCAAACAACACAGTCCTGACCCCAAACGGCCTCTGGTGGTAGACAACAGTGTATCTCTGCTTGTACTCGCTCAGCATTCTTGCCAGCTGATCAATGGCTATGTCCTCTCCCGTAGAGTTCTTGTACGAAAAACATATCATTCTTGCCACATTCATCACAAGGTATGCATCAGGCTTGAACCCAGAGTAGCTCATCCAGATCTTCTGCGACTCGCTGATTGGAAACAGCTTCTCCTCTTCAAGAAGCAGCCTGTTTCCAGACTTTCTCTCAATGCTCACAGATATCTTCTCAGAGTCCACCCCAAACACAACAAGAGACCCCTGCTCGCTCGCCTGCTGCGCATACTCAACCTGTATTAGTCTTCCGTCGGGCGAAAACACAGCCAGCTGCTCTTCAAACCCCATTAAGGGCTACTGCAATCGTTTTATTTTGCAGGCACACCTCCAGGGCCATCAAAGCAGAAAGAGCCCCTCTACTCGCTCTGATTCGTCGTAATGATCCAGATGCCCAAACCGCACAGTCGATCCGTCATGGCATATGTCAAGGGACTTCTCCCGGCACGGCATTCCATCCAGTGTAATCAGAGGCTCACCATCGACTTCTACACGGACCCTGGACCCAATGTCACACACAATCGGCTTGAAGCTGCATCTGTTTGGCGCCACCACATTGACAATTATCCCTTCAGACAGAAGCAGTGGGCCGTTCAAAGATGCATTGTATGCACTGCTCCCCGTTCTTGTTGCGACTATGACGGCGTCTCCTCTTATCTTCACCGAGACGTTGTCAATGGATATCCTGAATCTTCCAAGCCCCATGGAGGACGGCTTTATAACAGCCTCGTTGAGAAAGTAATGTCTCCCCGCTAGACAGAGTCTCTTCAACTCGACAAACCCCATTTCCCTTCCATCTTTCAGTCTGGCGATGAGCTCGTCCACTGCAGCATATGGGATGGGGCAGAGAAAGCCCACCCTTCCTCTGTTTACTGCATACACAGTGGGTGGGCTTCGATAGCGCGCAACAGCTCTGAGCACTGTTCCATCCCCACCCAGGACAATGATTCCGTCGTATGCAGCTCCACTGTCGCAGGTGTGGCAGTCCAGCGAGTTCCTGATCCTCTCCGCGACTCCCTGATCCTTGTCTTTCTTGGCAACCAGCAGAAACCTCCCCATTCTGGGATTGTGAAACGAGAGCGAATTGAAGCCCCGATGGAAGACATTCTCTTAAGAGGAATAAAGCAGAAGAAAAAGAAGACGCCAAGGGAGGAGCTTGAGTACAATGTCGATGGCGAAAGGCATCCTCTCCTTTGCAGTTTCGAGGATCTGAAGACAAAGGTTCCATTCGACTCCCCACTCCTGACACAGAAGGTCGTTATACCGTATTTTCTGAAAAAGACGAATGTTATTGTCCAGGCCTTCACGGGGAGTGGAAAGACATTATCGTACTGTCTCCCACTTGTCGAAATGGCACGGGGTAGGAGTCTTTTTGGGGCGATACTTGTTCCTGGAAAGCCGCTTGTGAGACAGGTCTACAGAGTTGTTCGGGAGATCAAGCACGAGGGTCTGAAGGTCGTGGGGGTTTATGGAGACGGTAGAGAGGACTTCCTGGTTGAGGAAGGAGAAAAAGGAGAGCTGGTGCAGAAGGCGATCGACGACAAGATGCGGGAGAGGATTGCAGAGTCCCTGAGGGCAAGCGCAAGAGTGCTAATAGGGACACCGAGGTCGGTTCTCGGTTTGATGTCGATGTCTGAAATAAGGAATGTTACGCATCTTGTCATAGATGAGGCAGACCTTCTGATAAATCCTGAGACTGTCGGAGTCTTTGCATCGATTCTTTCGGTGATCGAGATGGAGGATATACACATCAGCTGCTTCAGCGCCACGATGAACGAGTATGTTTCGGAAGTCATAGAGACGGTGAAGAGCATCACAAAGATACGTGTTGTGTCGAAGAGGCTTATAGACCATGAATTTGTGTTTGGAACAAGCAGAAAGATCAAGCATTTGTCCTTGCTGCAGATCATTGCAGACGGTATTGAGTCGCCCACCTTGATATTTGTCAAGGACGAGAAGACGGGCGAGGCCCTGAGCATGCTGCTGGGCAAGAGCGCAGTCTATAGGGAAGACCAGGAGGGCAGTGGAGAGGTTCTGGATGGTTTCCGCTTGAAGAAGATCTGGTACTTGTTCACAACAGACTCGCTGAGCAGAGGAATTGATTTTTATAATATCAGAAGCGTCATAAACTATGACCTCCCGAGCACCAAGACCCAGTTTGTCCACAGAATCGGAAGGATCAACAGGAACTGCCAGGGCCAGAAGATATATACGATCTACTCAAGCGAAGATTTCGGAAGAATTGGTGTTGTTGCAGAGTTTCTCGAGGAGAACGGGCATGAAGTGCCGAAGCATATCACCCGGATTATCGAAAAGAGCAGAAGGAGAACGAACAGAAAGGCTTAGCATTTTTCCTGCTCCTCAGGGTCTGTGCCAAACGAATCCATTCTATCCACAAGCTCTGCGATCCTGTTATTCAGTGGATCCACCAGTTTCTCCACCTTCCCCACCAGGTCCATTCTCCTGTATATTACATTTGAATCCTTGGGTATTCCGGGAATGCTCTCTATCTGAAATAGCTGTGATGCACTTCTGAAGTCAGACGGGTCCAGACACGGACGCATCTCCAGGCCGTCTTCTGCATGTGTCAGACACTGCCCCTCGGAGCATATAACGGTGCCCAGCTGCCTGTCATACACATCCCAGTAGAACTCGTCTCTGCTGATATCCACGACACCATCTCCAGACAGATACGAGTTTCCTATTGTTATTGCATACCTCCCGTCCTTTTCCTCGATACTTGTGTTGGCCAAGGGAATGCCCTTGACTCTCAACCTCAAGTCGGGCTTAAGAAACAATTTGATTTCGACTGGGTCCTTTGTGTGTCCCCATGTAGCAGGTAATAAAAATAGACTCAGGAGCTCCATTGTTTTTATTTACTTCGGAATTCCCAGATATTTATCGATGGGCTCCTCATTCTTACTTCGAGATGGCACTACCATAGTTTCTTGCAGAATGGGAAGCTAAACCATGGAAACTTAAATGTGCCAAACCTAGGTCTTCTCCACCCGAAGTTCCATAGCTTCTTGAGCACCTCCTTTGAGTCGTCCTTTCCATTAAGGTCAGGAAGATTCTTTTCCGCATACTTCTCGAAGTTGTTCTTCTCTTCCAGCTTCTCCCTAATCTTCTGTGCTGCATCCTTGTCTTTCTTTCCCAGGTCTCTAAGCTTCTTCTTGAGTTTAAGCTGCTTCACCATCTCCGCCTCTGTTCTGGGCCTTGCATCCAAATCAACAGAGTCCAGGCATTCTTCAACTCCCATGTCCTTGAAGAAAAAGACATGGCTCCTGCTCTTTCCGTCACATCTTTCCAATCCAAGCTTGTCCCCATCTCCAGTGCTAAGGCAGTATCCCTCCTGCGATATTATGAATCCGTCTCCACCTCTGGATATGCTCCAGAAGTCCGCCTTTTCCGTGCACTTGGTAAGGTCCTTTTTCCTTCTACACAACCACGACCCTCCAATCCTGACCTTAAAGACTCCTCCATTCCTATTGATCTGCGACCTTGTGTTGTATCCGTTGCCGGGCTCGAGTGCACTTACAGTTCGGAACGGATTCGGCCCAAAGTCTCTCACAAACTCCGACAGCGAAAGATACTTGTTCCCCACGGGCGTGATTCTGATGGGTTTGTTAGTGAGTGAGTCAAGATACAGGGGATAAGAAAGCACCGTTCCAACAAACAATGCCAGAGACATCGGTGTTGTTGTGTCTCCCTGGATTTAAGGCAATGTGACACATCCCTGAGGAGGCGTTTTATCAAGATCTTCACATCAAGTACCAAGAACAATATATTTACTGCAAGACTTTCAGCCTAAAAAACAACAGGCTTTCTTTCGAAAAGGGTCCTGTTTCTGTAGTGGTGGGGCAGGTGGTGGTGGGGAAAGTGGTGGTGCCCCAGATAAGTTCTCCTTGTTCCAGGAAGATGGCTTCTTTTCGTTCGATGGCTGACAACTACCCTCCTTTTGCTGGGTGCACTCTCTTCGTACAGCGGATGCCCAGCCTCCTCAATCACATGGGTGTGGGCGCCTTCCTTATGCAGAACATGGACATCATTCTCTTCAATCTTCTCCACATCCCCATCTGCCTTTATCATGACCGATGGCAGGCATTCACTCTCCGGCTGGAATATGTTCACATTGGTTGTTGTGCTCTTTGGCTTTTCACTTCCCAGCAGAGACTCCACGCTCCCACAACCTCCAAGATCCGCAAGCTTGAAACCGAATATCTGATCATCAGTATTGACACATGGCTTCATCTCAATCGACTCGTCAGGGCCCTTGGTGATACACTTGTTGTCAGTCGAAATCGTGTATCCAAACTCCTTCCTGTCTATGTCCCAGGGCCTTTCCTCCTTGCACTTCACCACCGAGTTCCCCTCTTTGCAGATATTGTTTTCTCCAAATATCACGACATACCTTTCTCCAGACTTCACCAGCCTTGCCCTTGTGACAAACTTGTATTTGCTTGGATTCACATACTTACTGTGGGACACCAGGACTCCTTGATCCTCCTCCATTCCGAGGACCTGTGCCGGATACGACGAAAAAAAGACCTTGATGTCCTTCTCAACGAACTCCTCCAACTCCCTGTCTTTTGCACTTACGAAAGCTGATGCAAACATCAGGATCAGACCAAGTTCCATGCTATTGCACGCTGTCTTTTTTTTGTACCAAATTCATGAAACAACGGCAAATCTGTTAGAAATCTGCAGGAAAGACCGAATTGCACCAGAGAGAGGCCTGCACATCAATCATTGGAATGTTTTTGGCCTTCCCTTTGTCTCTCTGACACAGAGAAACACAAACAGGCTGAAGGCTAAGCAAAGCCCCCCATAGACCCCGGACATCTTCTGTGCATGTCCATGGTTCAAGGGATGCAGCAGGGTTGTTGTTACAAATCCAGACAGCCAGTTGAAGCTAACTCCAAACTCAAAGCCTGTGGACGCGTATCTCGGTGGAAAGATCTCGGCTGAAATTACCCACGGAATCACCGAAAGTCCAAGATTGAATCCAACAAGGCAGATAAGCACCCCTGGGAGAAGAAACCTGTTCATCGCAAGGAGCACCATCCCAAGGGCCATCGTGGTCGAGGAGACAATGGACATCGTCTTCCTCCCAAATCTGTCGACTATCGATCCACAAAGTGCGGATGTGGCGAATGACACGAACAGAGAGGAGCTCATCATCAGATTGGGATCATCATTGCTTGAGAACAGACAGGCCTGCTGGAATGTCAGGAAGTTGATTCCCGACAGGTGGTGAAAGATGTGGAATGCAGCGGTTATCGTGATGGACTTTGCAGATCCCGGGGTCCTGATTAGCTCCAGAATGGATGGCCTAGCGTCTCTGGTGCATAATGTCCGGGATTCCGGGTTCTTGATGAAGGCCAGCCCTGCGGTTTGAAGGGCAAGGAATCCGAGCGCTGCAGCAAATGGTATTTTATAACTTTCTTCGCTACCAAAGTAGTTGAACAGCGACCCTATGAAAAGCCCGCCAACTATTCCAACGGGCTGGAGACTCCCAAGAAATCCTCTTATGTGGTCTGGTGCCGCGGCGTCAATGTAGGACGAAATAGATCCGGAGGTAAGATCCAGAGCAAACCCAAGTATGAATCTAGAGGCTAGGTAGGAGGCAAAGTCCAATGTTACTAGTGGAGTTGCAAACACGGCCGAATATATGATGTTGGCTGCAATCAGTCTTGCCTTGCTGTTGTTGAAGGGCACGAGGTTGAAGATCACTCCTGCCACAAATGCACCCAGAAAGTGTGTTCCAGGGATAAGTGCCTCGTGGTATATGGTATATGGCTTTCCGGTGGTTGCGGTGAAGTGGTTCTCTATCAGACCATAGAGGCATGACAGGCTTATCAGGGAAGCCCCAAACGTAACGGCCGAGAGAACAACCAAGAGTAGATGGAAAATCTCTGCAGGAGAGGGACTCCGGGTTTTCATCGATGTCCAGGGATCCTCAAAAACTTTTTATGGCCTGTTCTAGTCCTTGGAATGCCGGTGAAGGAAAAGGATGAAGTTCTTATGGAGGACATTAAAGAGGATCTTCACAGCATGAGGGTGATGGTCGTTGAGGCAAACGATGTCTCTGAGCTTGACAGGTGTAACTTTGCAAGCCTTTTTGGGATGTACAGGAATCCACAACAGCAGGTGGTGTTTATAAGAACCATATACAGGCAAATAATACGGGAGGTTCTTAAGTTCTTCTCTGCCAGGCACGTCACGAAGGCAATGGCCAATGTCTGTATCCTTGGCGAGGTATTTCGGAGCCAGAGAGGCTTTATCGACATAGAGATGAGTCTAGAGGACGTGGAGTGCATCAACCAGCATGTATACGGCTTGGGGAAGAGATACAGCGCTGGGGTTGTTTGGGAGGGTATATGCGCATGGAATTGGATGAAGAGAAAGAAGGCTGTTCGAGTATGTGTAATGCCATTTCCGGACGATGAGCAGAGTTTAATGCTTATTGAAGAAGAGCTGGAGGCCATATCAAGGACCCTTGAGAACTGGGAGGGTTCTAGAAGTGGGAGCTGTATAGATTAAATTCTGTGGGATACTTCACCTGATAATCGTCGAATGCTCCGTCTCCAGATGGTATGTCGACGACATCCAGATCGATCAGTGCATCTTCTGGACGGACGATGCACAGCTCTGGTTTGGCGTATTTTTCGGATGCGTTTGAAGGCTGCGTGTTTGTTATTTCCGACAACTTTTTCCTTGCATGGTGCTTACTCATCCCGAGGGATTGGCGGACGATTTAGGTTATCTGGGGGAGGGGCTAAGGAATGAGATGCATGGAAGAGTACCTGTTTGACAGAAGCAAGCTCGCTGCGAGGCCGCTCGGAAAGGTGCTGGCCGAGGACTACTGCTTTGACCTGGAAAGAGAGGAGGCGTCTGGCTTCAGGGTGAGCAAGGGGTTTCTATGGTGTGGAGAGTGCAGGGCTATGGAGGTTGACGAAAAGACAGTATATCTTCATGGAAGCAAGCTGTTTATGGTCTCAGATAGTCTCAAGGTTTACGAATTGCCTTCTGCGCTGCCTTCTAGCGGATTGGTGGTTAGAGGAGACGACTGTGTCTATATTGAGAAGAATGGAAGGAGATGGACTTTTCCGGATATGCCTGAGGACGAGGTCTTGGATGGGACATTTCTGGGTGATAGGGTATGGATATGGCATGCAGTAAATACGGAGGGAAGAAGGCACTTAAGCAGAAGTACCTATCTACTGGAAACAGAAAAGGCTGTCAGATGTGAGGGAAAGATGTATGCAAGGGATGGAGAGACGATTCTGCAGGTGCAGGACATCCTTGTAAGAAAGGATGCTGAGATCTGCAACCCGACGAGGGTGTGGAGCAGGGGCGCTGGAGATGGAATGGTGGTAATAACAACGACTCCAGATACAGTATGGATGGAGTACGGGGGATATGTCAGCTCAAAGCCTTGTTGCAAAGAGATCTATGGTATGGACGGATGCAGGCTACTGGGGCTGTCCTCCTGCGTGGATGTATCTGACCTGTATCTAACTCTCCGGCTGTTCACAGACATTCCAGTGGAGGTGGAGGCAGTAGAAAAGATCGAGGAGTACCTGTTCAAGCTATTTGTGTTTACTGATAGGGGAGGGCGCCTGGTTGAATGGCTGGTGGAATCTGGGATGGACAGGCAGAAGGAAATGATTCTCTGCAGGCTGTACCGAAAGGTGGATGACAAGGGAAAAAGGGTGCTTGAGAGGTGGATGCAGGGGATTCAGAGTCTAGATGCACTAAAGCTGATAATCATATACTTTCCAGAGAAGCTGGAGAGATACATTAAGATGTGCATAGAAGAGAAGAGAGAGTTTGAGATAGAGGAGGTTGTTGAGCACTACCAAGGAAGCGACAAGATTGAAGAGATATGCTTGGTATTGCTGAAGAACAGCTGCCTCCATCTTTTCAGCCTGTGCATGCCCGAATACAAGGGTAGATTTGGGGATGTGGCTCTCGTTGAGAGGTACAACATGGAGAGCCAGAGGAACATGTGGAAGACCCAGAGGATACACGGGGATTTGATTTGAGGAAAAGTTTGCCCTAGATTTGACTGGCGAGGGATTTATTCGGATGAAGAGCAGGAAGTATGAAATGGAGAAGGATGAGTTTTTCATTAATGCTGTTCTAGAAGACTGCGAGATCAACGACTTTTCCTGGGAGTTTAGCGAAATAACGAGCAATTCCGACATACGAAGCAGCGTACGAGCCTTGGATGGATTTGACTCTGACAGTGATGTGGAGCTTATATCGCGAATGGATGTGGAGTCGCCTCTGTGTGAGAAGGAGGGGGGCGATGACACATCGTCTGGAAGCGGGCTTAAAAGGAACCTGGGGAAGCTGGAGTTGGGTGGTGTGCCTGGAAAGTCTGTTCTAAGAAGAGCAGATGCATGCCTGGACGGCGAGATTGGAGACAGATGCCTATCTCTGGAAAGCAGGGTGATGAGAGGCGATGTGGACTATGAGTACTACTCATCACTTGGAGAGGACCTTTCTGACATAAGCATTGTGTCTGTTGAGGAGGCTCAGGGCTCTGGCGACGGGTGTGGGCGGTCTCCGGGGGAAAGAAGGGACGCGGTAGTGGAGAGGTTCCCCGACTCGTGCAGTCTTAACAACGACTGTATCAGGGCAACATTTCTCAAGTCGTCCCTGGAAGACAAGGGAGATGTGGACGACTCCTTTCCAGCACACGTTCTGGAGGAATCTTCTCTATCGTCTTCTGAAGACTCCGAGGCAAAGTCGATAGAGGAGTTCTATCTCCGGGAGGTCTTCAAGATGAAGGAGTTCAGGACCAACCAGAGGGAGGTGATACAGGCGTGTTTGTCTGGTAAGGATGTGTTTGTTCTGATGCCCACCGGGGGAGGGAAGAGCATTTGCTACCAGCTGCCTGCTCTTGTGTATGACGGAATCACGATTGTTGTCAGCCCCCTTCTTTCTCTTGTGCAGGACCAGATCCGGAACCTTCTGCAGAAAGGCATCCTTGCACTCCCGATCAACTCGAACCTAAGCCGGGCAGAGAGGGATCTTGTGTTCCAGGTTCTTGGGGGCGATGAGCTGATATGCAAGATATTCTATGTGACACCGGAGCTTATTGCAAAAAGCGGCCACTTCCACGATGTGCTGTCTGGACTGGTGTGCCGAGGAAGGCTGAAGAGATTTGTGATAGACGAGGCACATTGTGTCAGCCAGTGGGGACACGACTTCAGGCCCGACTACAAGGAGCTTGGAAGCATGAGAGCAAGATATCCGTCTGTCCCGATTATAGCGCTGACTGCGACTGCAACACAAAAGGTTGAGATGGACATTCTGGAGAATCTCGGGATCCGTGGGTGCGAGACATTCAAGATGAGCTTCAACAGAAGTAATCTGCGATACGAGGTGAGGGCAAAGACCAGCACTGTTGAGCTTGACATTGCCAGCTTTGTCCAAACACACTTTCCAGACTGCTGCGGAATAATCTACTGCACGTCGAAGAAGGAGTGCGAGATGATTAGTGAGAAGCTGGGGAAGTATATGGGAACGGCATTCTACCATGCAGGACTCAGTAAGAATGAAAGGAACAGCGTACAGGAGAAGTGGAACAGGGGAGAGTTTAAGGTGATTGTTGCAACGATAGCATTTGGGATGGGGATTGACAAGAAGGATGTGAGGTTTGTGATACATTACTGCATACCGAAATCGCTGGAGGGATATTACCAGGAGACGGGGAGGGCAGGAAGAGATGGTCTGGAGAGTGTGTGTGTGCTGTTCTATACGTATGGAGACAAGAAGAAGATAAGCTTTATGATTGAAAAGGGTGATGGGGGGTATGAGCAGAAGCAGAGGCAGAGGGAAGATCTGGAGGCGGTGATCCAGTTCTGCGAGAACAAGACGGACTGTAGAAGAATGCAGGTGCTGGCGCACTTTGGAGAGAGGTTTGATCCTCAGATGTGCAGAAAGACATGCGACAACTGCAGGAGAGAAGGCGTTGTCAAGAAGGACTATACAAGGGAGGCGCGTGACCTGATTCTCCTGGTGTACACCAGCAGCAGAATCACACTGTGCCAGGCAGTGGATGTGTACAAAGGATTGTCGAACAAGAAGAGCAGAGAGTACTCTGGAAGTGAATACTATGGAAAGGGAAAGCGCCTGAGAAAGACAACGATTGAAAGGATTCTTCGAAGCCTCATAAGCCATGGATATATCCAAGAAAGAATAGAGTTTATGGAAAGGAGGTTTTCATGGTCCTATCTTGTGGCCAAGAAGACGAGTGTTGATCGGCTTGAGCTGGCTGAGGAGGAGGATGAAGGGCACAGGACTCCCCGGGACGGGAAGAAGAGGGAAGGCCCAAAGGGAGGCACGAGCAGAAAGGGGATGAAAAAGATTAAAAGATGATGTTTCTTAGTTTGATACTCTAGTTCTCTGAAAACCCGTAAGAGTACTGCCGCAGAAAAGGGTGGTAAATTTTGGGTCTCTGGAAAGACATGGATGAATACAGATTGGGGAGGCAAATCAGAATATTAGAGAACATGGAGAGGATCAGCAACTGGATCGTCGAAATGGAAAGGCCGACAGGCAAGAAAGACAGGATGATGAAGAGATATGTTAGGAGTATCTTAAGAAGGAAGTATGGGAGATACAAGAAGCTTGGAGCTCTGAATGTCGAGGGGAAGCTCGATGGAGAGGTCAAAGGGCTCCGGGACCTCGGCTATTACGAGTCGAGAGCTTCAAAGGATGTGGAGGCAGCCTTCAAGGGTTCAAGGCTCTATGGGGATGGACTGGAGTTAGAGAGGATTTTCAGGAAATATGCAGATGTCCACCTATGCAGCGGATATAGGGAGTTTCTGAAGAAGATTCATAGACTCGATACGGAGAAGTCCAAGTTTAGGTATCTGGAGTACTTGAGTGAGCTGAACGAGTACCTGGGGAGATTCATCAAGGTGAAGTATCCTAAGATGTTTAGGAAGGTTGTGGCCTCTGCACCAAAGATTATAAGCAGGGCAGAGGCTCGCGGCTTTGGCAAGAAGAACGGGATGGAGGGCGCCGAATGGTTTCCAAAGGTGTACTGTGTTAAGTGTGGGAGAGAGATCTCAAGGAAGGTGTTTAGATACCATTTGGAAGGGAAGAGGCATTGCAGAGAAGGCCAGGGCAAAGAAGAGGTTCTATACTGTGGGATGCCTGTTTCTGAGGCCGAAAGCTTGGTTTTGAAGTCTCTGGCGATTCTAGAGAAGGAGAGGAAACATAGCATTTCTCTGCTTTCCAGAAGAAAGAAGCAAACGAAGAGCAGTGTTCCGAGGTGGCTGTGCAGGCGGAAAGATCTGGACATAGCATTTGAGTGCGAGATCTGTGGATATTCCGGATATGGTAGGGACAGGTTTGATAGGCACTTTGAGGAGGACTCCCATGCAAGAGGCGTGGAGATGTATGGGGCCAAGTATTGCCGGGTGTTGAAAGGAATCACGAGAGTCGGGATTCTCATGAAGATGAAGAATAGGATGGAGGAGTCTGAGAGTTACTCGGAGGAGTTTGAGGACGAGGAGGGAAATGTGTTTGACAAAAGAACGTATGAAGACCTCAAAAGGAACAATCTCATCTAGACTTGACCTGGACGACCCTATGATCAGGCTTGGGGAGAATCCTGTCTTCGGGAAGATTTACCAAATAAGATATAGAGACAGGACGGCGGTAGCGAAAAGACTCCGTGGGGTGACTGTGATACAGACATATGGAATGAGGATCGAGGGGAGCATCACATGCACAAATGAGAGCGACCTGCTGGAAGCTCTACGGCGGCTGGCACCCAGGAGGGAGGATGTGGCAATATTGAGTCCCTCCACATTGATAGTCAACGCAGAGATATACAAAATGTTTAGGCTGCTGAATGCTGTGGGCATATCGCTATTTTTATTTGTTCTTCAAGACAACCCCGTCTGGTACGCGGACGAGGTTATGCGCGCCTGAAAGTGTTATCTGCTTCTAATCATTGAAATTTATTTTTCTTGCAGAGATGTACCTCTTTGATTCTGGGCCTCCCATAATTTCTACACGGCTGCCGGGAGACAGAATCCTGACCTTCTTCTTGGGAGTCTCTATTTTCCTTGGAGTCATTGCATCCTTCTTGATCTTCAGAGACCTGCTCCTCTTCAGCGGCTTGCTCGGCTTCTTCCTGACAGGTATGTCGACAGAGTTTACTTTCTTGAAGCATTCCTTTGCGCTCCAGGTTCTGGGATTTTTCATTAGAACGGGATCTCTGGCATTATTTATCTGTTTTTTGGAGGGAATGGGCTGGATGGATACCTTTTCTGTGGCGCGGAGAGGTTGAAGGAAGGCATACGATATGAATGGGCTGTGCACTTCACCCATGAGCCAGGAGGTTGAAATCAGCTTGGCGCCGATGATGGATGTCACGACAGCCCACTTCCGAAGATTCATCAGGCTGACGTCTGAGAAGACTGTTCTATTTACAGAGATGATTGTGTCGAACACAGTGATCCACGTTCCCCGGGACAAGCTGAGGGAAAGGCTTGGGGAGTATGACGACAGGACTGTTGTGCAGATCGGGGGAAGCGATGCAACGAGCATGGTGGAAGCGGTGAGGATCTTGCAAGGCCTTGGATACCGAATGTTCAACCTGAACTGTGGATGCCCCAGCTCCAGAGTAAAGAAGGGGAGTTTTGGAGCGGTTCTCATGCTTAACAGAGAGCTGGTTGCCGAGATAATCAACAGAGTGTATGGGGAAACCGGGGCCGTCCTAAGCCTCAAGATTAGAACGGGTGTTGACGAGCATGATGGGGTAGACTTCCTGGACGGGTTTGTCAGCCACATCAAGAAGAACACGCCCACTAGGACGTTTTATGTCCATGCACGGAGGTGCTGGCTGGAAGGCCTTTCTCCTCAGCAGAACAGGAAGGCGCCACCTCTTGACTATGCCAGTGTGTACGCAATCAAGAGTCTTCATCCCGAGCTTAGGATTATTCTTAATGGGTCTATTGGGGAAGGCAACTTGGACAAGATACACAACCTGGACGGGGTGATGATAGGCAGAGGGGCGATTAGGAATGTGTTTGTGTTCTGGGATATCGAGAATCGGATGTCTATGTGTGGAGCGGAGAGAAGATGCAAAGATGGTAGAGAGTGCCAACCAGATACCGGGATTCAGAAGATTGAGTGCAGTGATGTCGAAGACCATAAGAGCAGAAGAGCTCGGAAGGTCCTCTCTGTTGTCAAGGAGTACTTTGATTGGTTCTCTCCCTCTGAGCAACTGAAGCCCATTCATGTACAGCCTGTACTCAATCTCATGGTGGCGAAAAGAGGCTGCAAGGCGTATAGGAGAAGACTCAACGAGCTGGTTGTAGGCAAGGCAGGCCCCGGGGAGGTGTATCTGCTGGTAGCAGAGTTTCTTGGGCGATAAAGCAGGGGAAAAATGCCCCAGTGATGATGGAGCCCATTACCAAGGAGACAAGATTCAACGAGCTTCCGCAGCAGATAAAGCAGAAGCTGATCAACATCTATAGAAGCTCCCACCAGCAGTATCTATCGATGGAGATGCTGAAGCCCACGAAGTTCAATCTCTTATACTCGCAGACACAGGATCTTCAGACAAGAAACCTGCAGAAAAATTTTAAGCTTCTGGTGGAGAGTGCAGAGAAGCTGAAGAGGATGTGGAATCTCAACAAGGACGAAGTCGACTTCCGGTACCTGCATGAGAACCTGAAGAAGTCTTTGGAGGAATTCAAGGAGGAGGTGATGCTGTACAAGAAGAACGAAGGAAACACAGAGTTCCTTGACGAGATTGCCATGACATATGCAATGCTCAGGAATAAGCTCGAAAGCCTTACAAAGGAAAGAAGAGCGTAGGAAGGATATGGTTTGTTTGCAATTAAATGGGTCTAGTCTAGTATTTATGCCTGTGAATGGGGTTTGCGGGCTGTTCTGGGAGTCTTCCAGTACAGCCTCCAGGCAGGAAGCCAAAGGGTGGAAAGGTTGGGTGTACGGACCCTAAGGTTCATTACCTGTGGGCTGGGTATAAAATTTTGCTTTGGTTCACCCCGACAAGATGAGAGAAATAATTTCATTGCACATTGGACAGGCGGGAGTGCAGATAGGAAATGCATGCTGGGAGCTGTACTGTAAGGAGCACGGGATCCTGCCTAACGGGCAGCTTGACCAGAACAAGATGGACGATGAGAGTGCGGAGTCGTTTTTCTCGCCAACAAGTGTTGGGACGTATGTGCCGCGCACACTCATGGTTGATCTTGAACCTGGGGTGCTTGACAGCATCAAGACTGGGAAGTATCGGGAGCTGTACCATCCTGGGCAGCTGATTTCTGGAAAGGAGGATGCAGCAAACAACTATGCGCGGGGGCACTACACGGTAGGAAAGGAGATTATCGAGCCTGCAATGGAGCAGATAAGAAGGATGGCAGACAGCTGCGACGGGCTGCAGGGGTTCCTGATATACCATAGCTTTGGAGGAGGAACAGGGTCTGGATTTGCATCGCTGATGATGGATAGGCTTGCTGCAGAGTTTGGGAAGAAGAGCAAGCTCGAGTTCAGTGTGTATCCTGCGCCAAAGATAGCAACTGCGGTTGTTGAGCCCTACAACAGCATCCTGACGACTCACACGACGCTGGACTACTCTGACTGCTCATTTCTTGTTGACAACGAGGCGATTTACGACATGTGCAGGAACCTTGGGATTCAAAGGCCATACTACACCGACATCAACCGAGTGATTGCACAGGTTGTTTCGTCGATAACGGCGTCTCTCCGGTTCCCTGGGTCCTTGAATGTTGACCTGACGGAGTTCCAGACGAACCTTGTTCCATATCCCCGAATCCATTTTCCGCTTGTTGCATACTCTCCAATGCTGTCGAAGGAAAAGGCGGCACACGAGAAGCTGAGTGTGCAGGAGATCACAAATGCATGCTTCGAGCCCCAGAACCAGATGGTGCGATGCGACACGAGAAAGGGGAAATACATGGCATGCTGTCTCCTGTTCAGAGGGGATGTGAATCCTAAGGAAGCAAACAACGCAACAGCCAATGTTAAGGCAAAGAGAACCAATCAGTTTGTTGAGTGGTGCCCCACGGGATTCAAGGTTGGGATCAACAGTAGAAAGCCCACTGTCCTCGATGGAGAGGCGATGGCAGAGGTGTCCAGGGCTGTGTGTGCGCTCTCCAACACAACGGCGATATCGGAGGCATGGAAGAGGCTCAACAACAAGTTTGACCTTATGTTTTCGAAGCGGGCATTTGTGCACTGGTATGTTGGCGAGGGGATGGAGGAAGGAGAGTTCAGCGAGGCCAGGGAGGACCTTGCCATGCTTGAGGATGACTACGAAAGAATTTCTTCGAATGCAGAGCCCGTTGATGAGTATTAAATTTATTTGATCCAGCCGCATTGTTTCTCTCTCCAGGGCTTTGCTTGTGGCAGGTGAGCATGCCAACTCTATTTGTCAGCAGACCTTTGATGTATCCCTTGAAATGGAAGGAGAAGGCACGATAGAGAGAGTCAAAGAAATGCTGCAGAAATACTCTTCAAGGGGCGGCTCGTTCTCGGAGGGGAGCTTTCTGTCAGATATAGACATGTCGGATGCATCCTTTACATCCTGGGAGGAAGAACTGGCGAGCAGAATCGTAAGGTCGCTCAGAAATTGCAAGGAAATGACGGAAATTGCCAGAAGGAAGAGAGTCTGCGTCCTGGACAGAGAGCTTATGGAGTGCATGGCGGCTCTGAGATGCATTAGGAAGAACATCGAAGGATTAAGGAAGGAAAAGAAGTACCGGGTGGGGTGGACGGTATTGGTAGGATCTGTCCTGGTTGGGATAGCATGCATTTCTGCCAAGCACTACTTCTAAAATCCCCTGCATAGGAAATAAACTCGGTGCCTTGGGAATGCAAAAGACGTCTTCCAAAGATTTATTATCACACGGCCTCTTCATCACTAGGACCTCTTCTCCCGGAGATCCATAGCACTGCCTTTCTAAGCGACGACCTGACGATTGTGAACAGCCTTTCAATTCCAGACAGGAACTGTCTCATAATCCCTGTTTTTTCGCTGATTGGGAAAGGAATCTCGGTAATGTATTCCTTGAGTTCATTCTTGGGATGGTTCTTAGTGTTTTCGCTGTGCTCCCGCAGCGGCTGGCTTTGCTCTATCTCTGGACCCTGGACACCCGACGTCTCCTGCATATCCGCGATGTCGCCTTCCTTGAACACGGAATGTGTCTTTTTCGCTTCCTCTGCATGCCGTTCTCTGTGCTTTCCCATGTTTACGACAGGGGTGTGGGCTTGGAAATGGGATTACTCTGCAAAACATTTGGCGAAAGTTGCGGCCTGTGGCGCGGCTCTGCTCCGGGCCAGAGAGGCTTGGGTGCCAAGTCACGTAAGTCCCTGGGAAATCCAGGACCCATGGAATCCTGGAAGTCGAAATCACTGGAGCACATCAATATACAGTTCCGAAGCATAATGGAGGGAATGGGGATAGACGAGGAGAAGCAGCACAAGCTGGCGGCGAAGCTGAACCTGTCGAAGAAGATCAGGACCATCACATCGATGCAGACGCTGGACGAGAGGAAGAGGAAGATTAGGGAGTATGTGGTCAAGCTGAGAGACAGGAATAGTGTGCTGAATCTCCTGAGCCTATCGGTCTCGCTGGAGATTGGGCCCAAAGTTCTATACGAGATTTTCAGTGCCGAGGGAGGGCATGATGTGCTTGTGAAGTGCATGAGGAGAATGGACGAGGAGTTTAGCGATGTGGTTTGTGACGCCCTGTACATTGTGCTTTCGAAGTACGGGAACCACTTTCCGCTGTTCCTTCGGATTCTGCTTGACGGGTTTCTTGCCGGAAAGATCCACGAGACAAAGTCTTTCTTCAAGATCCTTGAGTTTTTGGTGAACGAGAACAAGGCTGACGAGCTATTTTTCAACATTGATTTCAACAGATGCGTCTGCAATACCTACCTGTCCAAGGTTATCGAATATATCCGGAATCTTCCGAAGATCGATGAGGAGCTGAACTTTGTGGTGCCGCTCCTCAGGTCTCCCAAGTCTGTGCATGTTAAGTACATTCTATTCGTGTCTGACTTTCCGCTGCTGGAGCAGAGGGTTAGCAATAGAGAGGTCTTCGAGGAACTAGCCAGGGAGATAAGGCCTGCTGCCTGTGCAGACTGGAGGAAGGACAGAATCAACGAAGTGATGAGGCTGGCTGAGATAGAGGGTGTTCTTGATGTTGCATGCTGCGTTTTCGAGGCATTTGTGTTTGGAGACAGGAAGGTGTTTGGGAGTCTTTTGGAGTCTATGGAAAAGGTGGGGATCTACGAGGAAAAGGACGACGGTGGCAAGGAGAAGGCAGTGGAGATTGAAAGCAGAAAGGACGCAGCTAAGAAACCTGAGGCGAGCAAGGGGAGGGGGCCAAAGAAGATCATCAGGAAGACGGGAAAGAGCCAAACCCCGGCAAAGAGATATATCCAAGTGAAGTGGACGAAGATGGGGAAGGGGAACAGCGTGTGGAGCAAGATAAATATGGAGGAGATGGAAAGAGTCTTTAAGGCTGAGGAGTTTGATGGATTTGAAGTGAGGGGAGAAAAGCCGAGGGCATCGAGTGCAGAAACAGAGAAGAGAAGGCCGAGCGTGTTTTCTGAGAAGAAGAACTATGCGATTAACATTGCACTGGGTAGGGTGAAGGAAAGCAACTGCGACCTGAAGTCTGCGATACTGGGGATGGAGGAGAGGCTCAGTGAGAATCTTGTGAAACAACTTCTTTTCTACTTCCCGACAGACGACGAGATTGAGCAGCTGCAAAGCACGGACAGTGTGTTTGGAAGAGGAGAGGAGTTTTTCAAGGAGTGCATCGAGGATATTGAGCTAATGAAGAGATGCCTTTACTACCTCTACTTTATAATATCGTTCAGGAACCAGAATGTCACCAAGACCCTTGAGACTCTAGAAAGATACTACAGTATGCTCTTAGAAAGCAAGGAGCTTCGGAGGTTTCTGGGAATTGCACTGGCGGCTGGAAACCACCTGAACAAGGGAAGCTTCCTTGGCAACGCAGAAGGATTTACGATGGAGTCTATCCCAAGGATACTGGAGGTGAAGAGCAACGGGAGCAGCATGGTGAGTCTACTGAGGAAGAAGATTGACTGCGCTCAGCTGCTCAAGGACTTGAGTGTGGTCTACGACGCCAGCGGAGTGAACTTTGAAGGACTGTGCATAGAGGTTGAGGAGCTCAAGAAGAACTACATCAATGCAAGCGGGTCGGCCTTCCCCCAGATACAGGAAAAGATGGAGAAGATCCAGGAAAAGTACGAGGCCATCTGTTCCCTTTATGACAAGGTTACTAAGCTCCACAGAGACTGTAGGGAATACTTTGGGGAGAAGATTGACGACGGGTTCAGCAGCCGGATAATACTTCTTCTTGACAGGATGGCACGTGATGTGCAAAAGAAATAGTGTTTTGGCAGATCCCAAGCCCTTGAAATGAGAAGCATGAAGGAGCAGTGGGATTCATTTGAAACAGAGAACCTCACGAAGGAGACGACAAAGGATCTCTTGAGGCTATGCGGATTTGTGCCCCGGGAAAGAGACATAGCAGTCCCGAGGACGTTTGATGAGTTCGAGCAGCTTGCGTCCAGCACTGCGCCTCCAATGCCTAAGGACGAGATGAGGAAGATGATCAGCATGTTCAACCACGGGACCCACATGACCAAGCGGGACTTGGGGAGGTACCTGATGATGGGAGACAAACTGAGCGAGGAGGAGGCAGCAGAGTTCTTTAAAAGCTGCCCATTCGATAGAAACGGAGAGATCACCATCGACGAGCTTCTTGACTTTCTGTACGATTCGCAGTGAATAAATGTTTGAGATTTTCTGCAGCTTTCCTTCCAATGCGACTCCCGCAGGGCAATATTTACCTGTGGGCGCCGGTGGCCCTCTGATGGTTAGCATTGACGAGATAATAGGAGAGAAGGATCTTGTCCGTCTCTTTGAGACGATTGTAAAAAAAGGAGAGACAGCACTTCCAAACAAGCAGCGCGTCATAAGAAGAATAAGGGAGTTTGGGCCTCTGTCTGTGGAGGATCTTGAGGGTCTTTGGGACTCGGATGTTCTGGCCGAGCTGGAGGGGTGCAGAAGATGGTCCATTCTAAAGAAGGTAAGGGGAGATGGACGCTGAAAGGGCTTGGGTGATTTGATTTACTCCGTTGTTTCATGTATCCTTATAAACAAAAAAGCCAAACATCCCTAATGGTGGTTCGGACAACTCAGGGACAATCAAGCAGGAAAGTCTTTGACGTAAGAAGTGGAACTACGCTGGGAGATCTACTCAGAGACTATGCCAAGGCACTGAAGCTGTACCACATTGACATGGAGGGTGTGCGGGAGTCAGTAGCCCCCATTCTTACATACACGGCATTTGTAACCGCACAGATATTTGTATTTCTATGGATAGTCTCACACATTGAGGGGACAGGGGAAGTGGGCTCTGCCATGGGGCAGTCCTTTGGAGCATTTTGCGTGATGATTCTGTTTTTCTTTGGGGCTGGATACATCTACAGAGAGATCCTTGGGAAGCGAATCGACACGCCCTATGTCTCGTATGTCTATGTCGTTGGACTCTCTGTTGTGCACTATCCATACCTCATGTTTGTAGGTCTACTGGCAAAGAACATATGGATGTTTCTCTGCATGATGGCGATTTCCTCTATCTCCCAGTTCCTCATCAGATCGTCGATGTTAAGGAACTATGATTTCGAAAGCAATAGAGACAGATTCATGTTTGACATCACCACGTTTATTCTTCAGTGCGGATTTTGCTTTGGAAGTCTCTCTCTATTTAGTTTTTTGTCACCTACTAAGTAAAAGCTTTCTGAGACCGCCTTGTTCCGGCTCTGCCATTCAATTGTACTTCTTGTTCAGTTCGTATCCCTTGCCAGATGCCCAGGTGATGTTGATTCCGTTGTTTGTGTCTATCTGGTGGATGGCCTTTGTGTCCTCTATTCCAAGGCTCTTTATAAAGGAGATCAGATAGAATAGCCTGCGGCACTCATGGGACTCAAGCAGGTTGCATCTTTTGTAGAACTCGTCCTTGACCTCTCTCATGCTTGTTTTCTCGCTTCTGATGACCTTTCCAAACTCGTCATGGAAGTAAGAGAGCAGATACAGATCGTCAACGCTATTCAGAAAGGGTCGTATGGCCACACCTGCAAGCTTCGACGCAATGTGGCTGGCACACGACTCTTGCTCTGCGTCTCCCTCGATCTTGCACTCGTCCGGGTCACTCAGGCTAAGGACAGTAATGCCAAGGTCTATCGACTCGGAGATCACCTTTCCGTCCCTTTCCAACAAAGAGATCTGGGTGCTTCCCCCTCCCATGTCGACGATCCCCAAGCTTCTGTGCCCAGCATCAGTTCCCCTATTGGAGAGAACCAATGCCATAAGAGCAAGCTTTCCCTCGTCGACTCCATTGATCACCTCGGCTTCCTTGAGGTTGTAGTCCTTCAGTTCGCTTCTGATAAGGTCCAGAACATGGTCGGAGCGGGACTTGTCCAACGTCCTGAATCCGGCAGTTCCATAGAACCCAATGGGCATCTTCTTAATGTTGCTGTAGAAGGGCTCTGCATGTGCAAACAGCTCCCTAATCGATGTCTTGATCTCCTCGTCGTCTTCTATACTTGCAAGTCTTGATGTGTTTGTGAACAGGCCCTGATGCCTAATTTCTCCATCAAGGAATCCATAAATATTCAGCCTCGTGCCTGTAGAGCCTGCATCCACTATTCCGCTGTACGTCATCTTGATGGAGGAAGGGGGCTCTGGATCTAGGGACAGAGGAGGAGCAGAGACGAGCCCTGCTAGCAGAAACAGCCGTGGCATCATCTGGGTTTGTTTTTGTGTTCGGAGTGCAATTATACGTCTTGTTTTAGATTTGTTGGTAACAAAAGACCAACTAGAAGAGGGACTACTAGTAGGACATTACAATGGAGTCTGATGGATTCCCTTCAAGAACGAATTTCGGGCTTCCCCAAATGGCAACATTGTCCCAGAAGAAGCTTATGGAGTCCGTAAGGCTGATGGAGAGGGAATGGGTAAAGATGCACAAAGCCCTGGTGCGGTCGAGATGCGGGGAGGTCAAGGAGGTTAGATACAGATATGTCGAGATGATTGGAAGAGGGTCTTTTGGCGTGGTCGTCAAGATAATGGACGACAGACATAACTTCTTTGCGCTGAAGAGGGTTTACCAAGATAGAAGATACCACAATAGGGAGCTTGGGATTCTGATGGAGGTGGATCATCCAAACATTGTGAGGCTTGTGTCGTACTTCCACACTGACAAAACATCTTCTGGCGCATATCTCAACATCATCACAGACTTTGTTGGGATGAACCTGGAGGAATACATAAAGGCAAATAGAGGCGTGGAGACAGAGGAGATCAGGTCGGTATACAGGCAGATTCTGGAGGGGCTGAGATATCTGCATGAGAAGAACATATGCCATAGAGATATGAAGCCGTCAAACATACTCATAGACACCAACGGACTGGTCAAGATCTGCGACCTTGGAAGTGCGAAGGTAATCAAGAGTGGAGAAAGGAACATAACATATATATGCTCCAGGTTCTACCGGGCGCCGGAGAATCTCCTCGACTACAAGGAATATGACTTCAAGATCGACATATGGTCGGTTGGATGTGTGATTGCCGAATTCAGGCACCCCGGGCCTATATTTAAGGGAGACACCAGCGGATCTACGCTCAACAGGATCCTCGAGATTGTTAGAGTCACTTCGGACGACCTGATTGGGCTTGGGTGTCTAAAACCCGACCTTAAGCAGGGGGTAGGCATCAGAAAGTATCTTGAGGCATTCTTCAGTGATCCCGATCTTCTGGAGGTTCTTGAAAAGTCCCTGGCATTTTCTCCCTGCAAAAGGTCCACAGCCTCGGAGCTACTGAGAAAGCAGTTCTTCCAGCAGGCACATGAGTAACATCATTGTACAGTTGAGCTTATCCTAACTCTGGGTGATGGAGAAGCTATTAAACACTATCCCAGATACGAAGAAGACTCCATATAGAGGCCTTTATTCAACAGTTACGGACTTTGCAAGATTCCTCGGGAAGTCGGCATTGTATCCTTTTGCAACAGCAAGATGGTAGGACAACAGCTGCAGAGGAATGACTGTTAGTATCCCCTGGAGACAGTCCACCGTCTTTGGGACGACAAAGGTGTCGTATTCTGCATAATCCCCAGAGATGTCCTCGGTGCATATCACGATTGGTCTTCCGCCTCTCGCAAATATTTGCTCCATTGCATTCCTTGTTTTGTCATACAGCAAGTCCTTGGTTGCAATAAAGATGATTCTAAGCTTGTCATCGACAAGGGCAATGGGCCCGTGCTTCAGCTCTCCGGCTGCAAGTCCTTCTGCATGGATATAAGTGATTTCCTTTATTTTCAGGGCACCCTCCATGCATGTGGGATACTGGTATCCCCTTCCTATAAGCAGGAGGCTCGCGTCGTCCTTCATGGGTCCGTTGGCCAGGCTTTTTACCGAGGTGCTCAGCTCCAAAACCCTGTTTATCTGCGAGCTTATATTCTTGAGCCCCTCCATGATCTCCCTTCTCCTTGCCTGCTTCACAAGGTTCTGGTCACTCAGTTGAAGAGCAACAAGAACCAATGCGATGTACTGGCTTGTATAGGCCTTGGTGCTTGCCACTCCTATTTCGGGGCCTGCATTTATGTGGACGCCGCACGCTGTTTCTCTGGAGATGGTGCTTCCGACAGTGTTTGTTATCCCGACGCAAAGAGCCCCCATGGACATGCAGTACCTTAGTGCCATAACGCTGTCTGCAGTCTCCCCGCTCTGAGACACAAAAAACACACAGTCGCTTCTCATTATGGGAGGGGCTCTATCAAGGAAGTCGCTAGCTATCTCAACACTCACAGGAATCTCAAGCAGCTCCTCAAGCAGTGCCCTGTTCGCAAGACTGGCATGGTAGCTGGTTCCGCACGCCACAAAGATTATTCTTTGGGACTTCCTTATGCCACTGACATGATCCTTGAGCCCTCCAAGAGAAACCGTAAGGCTTTCGAAGTTGATTCTTCCTCTCATTGTGTTGACCACAGACTCTTCCTGCTCGTTGATCTCCTTGATCATGTAGTGGTCGTAGTTTCCTTTCATGATTGCCGCCAGCTCTGTTTCTATTGTCTTAACCTCTCTTATCTCTGGCCCGGATTCCTTTGCCTTTGAGTGCATCCTGTGGATGGATATGTTACCATTGGATATGTGGACTATGTCGTTGTCCTCAAGAAAGATGACCTTCCTTGTGTGCTCTATGAGAGCGGAGGCATCCGATGCAACAAAGACCTCCAGAGGCTCTTTGTTATGTGCATGCAGAGTGCAGTCCTGAACATCTCTTGTCATCATATCGATGTTCTGGTCAAAGCCGTGCCTATCGGATTTGGAGAATGCCAAGGGGGAGTCCAGGAGGGAGGTGGGCGTGTCATCGGCCGGATCTCCATAGTTGACACCGAAGAAGTCAAAGGACATCTTTCCTGACGGCTTGAGGCCGATAAGGACGGGGGACGACTTCCTAACTGTGACCAGCTCGTTGGGGAACAAGGAAGATGCAAACACAAAGGCAAATGCCCCCTCGCAGTGCTTCACAACATTTTTCACAATGGCCACAAAGTCCGTCTCTTCTTTCTTCCTCTCCATCTCTCTGTAGAAGTAGAGTGCAAGCTTGGCCGCACATTCCGTGTCTGTGTCCGACTCGAACGTAAATCCCTTCTTCTTAAGATAGACCTTGAGGTCCTTGTAGTTTGTGATGATCCCGTTGTGCACAACAAGAAAGCTGTTGTTCTCGTCACTGCTCAGGGGATGGGAGTTTTCAATGCTTGGCTGCCCATGCGTTGCCCATCTTGTGTGTGCAATGCTGACATGGTTGAGCACCTTCCTTGTAAGGTCAACAGAGGTTTGGGAGTTCTTTATCTCGTAAAGACTATTGACCTTGCCAACGGCTCGGATCCTAGCAAAGTTTCTGTCTGTGTTATCCGTGATGCAGAACCCCGCCGAATCATATCCTCGATATTCTATTCGCTTCAGGCCATTTATCATGATGTTAGCTATTTCGTCCTTGCTCCTTTCTTTAGAGAAGTTCGCGTACCCAAATATTCCGCACATATCCTTTGTTTGAGAACCTTATTTATATTTTGGCGCAGGAAAGACAATATTTAGTGCAAATGAAATCAATATACAATTAATTAGAGTGCATTTATTATCAGCAGTGGGTATTGCGTAAGTCAAGCCGTTTTTACATCCCCGATGAGGATTTCTTTGAAGGACGAGAAATTCTTCAAGAGCATATTAGGTGTGTTTGCCGACAGAGGTGGGGTCACGCTCGACACAAGGCAAGAAGCCATTTCCATCTCATCGCACGGACAAAGTAGTTTTTATTTGACGATGACTAATGACGTAGTCATTATTAATGGAGAGAGTTTGACATTTACTGTAAAGGCACAGCATCTGCTTGAGGGAATGAGCGTCCTGAGCGGATGCGACCTTATTGCACAAGACGAGCTCCGGCTTGTGGATGGAAGAAGCACCATATCCATTCCCTTTATACCTACAGTACGGAGTGAATACGAGGAACTTGATGCGCCCAGCACAAAGATTATAGTAGGGCCGGAGCTCCTGGATGGATTCATGGCGCTGAAGGGGCTGGTAACCTACGAGGTTGAGAAAGACAAGCTATTTGTCAGAAGGGCCGGGGGCGAGGTGCTGGAGGAGGTTGAATTCCCGATGGTTGACTTTATTGTGGCGGGAGATCTGCAGTTCAGGTGTAACAACAAGTGGACAGATGTGCTGGGCAAGATCAGGGGGTATGTCGACAGCATGATGCTTGCATTCGGCCCAGATATCCTGTGCATCCAGTTTCTGTTCAAGAGGTATCCTGGAAGCTATTTGGAGCTACGTGTTTCGAGGTCTCTTGAGGAATGACCCAGAACTCCTGTACAGGATAAAAAGAAGCAGAAGCAACACCCCAAATGAACGAGAAGGGGTCAAACTATCACTGGGCAGAATCCGACATATCCGCCTGGGCAAAAGAGGAAATCTCCGAGGCATTAAAGTCGAGAGGATATGAGGTGCATGAGATGGATGTGATGGTTAAGATATGCCAGAGGATGAGCACGTTGGGATTGGTGTACATGATAAGCTTTGAATGCACGAAGGACGGAAGGTACTGTGGTGTAAGAAACTTCTACTCTGTATCTGAAAAGGCGGAGGGGATGGAGGACTTTGAATGGTTTCCAGGTTTCTTCAAGGAGATGGAGGGAGAGGCAGTGCTCAAGTTTGGTAACAGGGTTCTCGATGTCAACAGGGAGGTTGAGAGAAAGCCCTGTGCCAGAAATATAACTGCAGAGGACGCAAGGACTGCAGACATGATCTACAAGGCAAGCATTAACTGCGAGGTTGACGAGCTTAAGAACTTCATCCTATCCCATGAGTATATTTCTGTGTGGAGCGGGTCCAGGGCAATGTTCGAGGGAGACGACATCCTGATAGACGGGGTAGTCATTCGCAGACTGAGAGAAAAGGATGGAGAGATCAGGATGGAATGGAAGCTTCGGGAATGGAGCGACTTTACCGATGCTAAGATAATGCTTGAGCCTTACCTTAGTAGCTCAAAGATAACTGTGAAGCAAAGAAACATCCCGATTAAGGAGGAAGGAAGCATTAGGATGTGGTGGCAGGAAAGGATGTTTACCCCGATTTCAGCCTGCTTTGGATTTGTTCTAAGACCTGGAGAGCACGTATGAGCCAAGGACAGTAATAAAACATAAGATTTCTAAACAGGGTATAAACGTGTTTCTCTGCATGAACGAGAGACATGATGCCGCACAGGGACGGGAAGACAGGGCATATGATCAGGTGCTTTGGGTGCTGCAGTGTTGTCTGCCGTAGGGCGTCGAGGTCTGTTCTCCTATCAAATGTGCAGATTAAGGTGTACTCAACGGATACTCCGACGGGATATGTAAGGTGCACAAGAGACAGCTATATGGCGTACTCATGCAAATGCACCGTGATCGATGTAGAATGTAAGTGCTGCCGTATGATTCTAGGATACCACATCCTACATCCATGTGGATCATGCATGACAGGGTGGAGCAGCGGGCACAGATGGATCTTCGACACAAGCTCAGTCATTTCCACGCCCAAGAAAGCGAGTCTGAAGGATGGGCTGAATGGATCCACGACACATCACGATCAGGGAGATGGCGAGGTAAAGATAAGGTAGGTAAGAGGGAAAAGCACAAAAATTAAAATCAACTTTGTTATGTGCCTTTGCAAGTAGGGACATCGGATATAGTCCTGCCAGACGAAATCATGGCCTAAGCCTGATATACATTTCTATCATCTGCGATATTATCAAGACAACATTGCTCAGTATTATGACAATCAGAACAACCTCAAACTTCTCAATACTGCTTCTGTTAGTGTTTTCGTTGAGAATCTCCAATATTCCGTTGATCACATCACATCTCCTATTCAGCAGCTCGGCCCGAGGCTTGATGTCGAGATATCTCTTGCATGTTTCATAGAGAGACGAAAATGCGGGATAGTCCCACACAAACTCCGGCTCGTCAAGAATATTGGACCCAAGGTTGAGGTTGAATCTCAGCCTGTGCAGCTTCCCTATCATCTTCAGGATTTCCCTCTTGTTCTTGCTGACCTTCCCCTCCCTCTCGACCTCCTCGGGAAACTCCTTTACTGCATCGATGGTGTTGTCCACAAGATTCTCGAAATAGTCCAGCTTCACACTCTGGGCTATTGCAATCGAAATCACCATCTTTGTAAAGTGGTTTTCGGAGTTCAGATATATGACATCGTTGATGATAAAGGGATTGCCGGTTATCCCGTACTTGAAGGACTCAATCTCAACCTCAGACGGCTGGTGTGCATTCTCCTCATACTTCTCGACAAGCTTGACTATCATCGACTCCTGTGCCTCAGACATCCCCCAGCACACCACAACCCCATACTCGTAGAAAAAGCAGTCGTGTCTCTCCTCGCTGCCCTTGAAGTTCATCAGCGTGTATAGGCATTCTCCAAAGTACATCGAGACCTTGTTGCACAGGGAGTTCTTCTTCAAGTACTTGTATAAGTTCTTGAGGTCGTATCCATCGGCCGTGCAGTAGGCAGTTACTCGAAACAGCTTTGTGTCGGGAACAGTACTTTCTTCCTTTGGCATCATGTCTGGCTCGATCTTCAGTGCATATGCATCCTTAAGGGCACGGAGCTCTATCCGAGCCTGTTTCCTTCCTCCGGCATTCGGCTCCCTGCTTATGTCGGTTAAGTACACCTTCTGTTTATTACAGTCCTCGCCCATAAACGCGCAGGGATAAAATTTTGGGGACTGAAATCAGCCTCCTTACCTCAAAAGGAGAAGTATCCGGAAATGGCATTTATTGATTGGAGAAATACTCACTTACCTCCTTCTTGAACTCAGGAGACCTCTTTCTACTCCCATGGGGCCTTGTAAAGTATTTGAAGAGCTCACTCCTCTTGAAAATCTTCTCCTCCTCAAGCATCCTCAGATATCCTTGGATCTTTCCTCTCTCTTCTCCACTCTCAGCAAGCTCCTCAATCGAGCTTAGCAAGGTCTTTGGAGGAATCATCTCGCCTATTCTTTTGCATTTCTTAAGTACTCCATCGACTAGTAGGATCTTCGCCACAACCTTGTCGTCAGATAGTCCGCGGGACCGCAGAAGATTCACAATCTCCTCAGACTTATCCGAGTCGGACTCTGCTAATCTCTTCAGATCGTCCTCGTAGCCGCTGTCCTCGGGGTCTGCAGGGCTGAAGTAGGAGTCGTCACGGGTCAGAGAGTTCTTCTCCACATCCCTGAGGATCATTCCACTGAGCTTAGAAGACCTCATGTTTGACCTTTTTCCACATGCCAGGCACTCCATAGACAGTCCGCCGCTGTTGATGTAGAACGTCTCGGGGTTGCTGCAGAAAGGGCAGATCACAAACTCATCGATGAAGTTGTATATTAGGTCCTGGATCCTCGAAGACTCGTACTTTCCATTTACAGCATACCGCCCCTTCCCCACGTCCGTCCTTGTCGCAAGCTCGTAGCTCATGAACTTTAGAATATACAGGGGCGGTCTCTTGAGGGAAGACCCAATTTCCTCCAAATTGACTATCAGCGTCCTTGTGTTTCCGGCCTTTCCCTCCTGCTTGACAACAGCCCTAGGCATCTTGTAGCGATAGTAGAAATCGTTGTTTGTTCTATTTATGTCGATCATGCCATAAATGGGAATGGATATCCGAGAGATTTACTATCAACATTCTACCTTGATAAAAAATTACCAGCAGTCCTTCATGGGCAAGAGTAAAAGCACCGGAAAGACAAGGCTGGACAAGTACTACAGCCTTGCAAAGGAAAAGGGATACAGGGCAAGGTCTGCATTCAAGCTTCTCCAGATGAACAGGAAGTATGGATTTCTTGAGGATGCACATGTGCTTATCGACTTGTGTGCAGCTCCCGGGTCATGGTCGCAGGTGGCCGCCCAGGAGATGCCTCTGAGGAGAAAGATAGTTGCCATTGACCTTGAGCCGATAAAGTTCATTGGAGACGTCGACACCATTGTCGAGGACATAACCACGGACGAATGCAGACTTAAGCTGCGGGAAATACTTGGGACACACAAGGCAGATGTTGTGCTTCACGACGGAGCGCCGAATGTCGGGACTTCATGGGAAAATGATGCATTCAACCAGAACCTGCTTGTGCTGCACTCTGCAAGGCTTGCTGCCGAGTTCCTCAGAAAGGGCGGGGTGTTTGTCACAAAGGTGTTCCGGTCTCAGGACTACTTTTCTCTGCTCAATGTTTTGTCGCAGCTTTTTGGGAGTGTCGAGACGTCGAAGCCTCTTAGCTCCAGAAGCCAGAGTGCAGAGATTTTCCTTGTCTGCCTTGGATTTATTGGGGAGGAGGATGTTGATTATTCGATACTCGAAGCCTCTGCTGTATTTGAAGAGATGAAAGGTGCTGGAGGATATGATGACTTCAACTTTCACAAGACGCTGAAGCTGACAGAGTTTCTGAGGGAGGATGACCCTGTGGTCCTGTCTGAGATGCTTTTGAAGTATTCTGAGATTGAGATTGATATAGACCCTGGAGATGTGTGCAAGGTCCTGGAGCCTGAGTTTTTGGATCTGTTTAAGGATCTCCAGCTGCTGGGGAAAGGAGACATTAGGAAGATACTGAGGAAGAGAAGTAAGATTGTTAAGGGGGTGCAGAGAGGGGAGATTGATGTTGCCGAGCTAGCCTTCCTTAGGAACAGCAGCGACGTGCCCGAGACTGAAATGAAGGCGAAGAGTGTCGAGGAGAAGATAGAGGAGATCCAGATGCTGCTTGAGAAGAAGAGGAAGAAAGAAAGCAGAGGGGATAGAATGGCAAAGAGCGGGAAGGAAATTGGATGCTTTTTCAAGGACAGTATTTTCGACAGACTGAAGATGGTGGGAGAAGATGAGGAAGTAGGGAAGGAGAATGAGCAGACGATTGAGGTCAGCAGTTGCTCCGACAGCCTAGACCTTGATGAGGAGGAGATGATGTGCGTTGCAAAGCTTAAGGAGAACCGCGAGGAGTTTATTGAGGATACCATTGACAGATATGCTCGTGATCCCAACGAAAAGCTTCCAAACTATCTTCGCGAGGACCAGGAAGCCTTTTACTCGAGGCCCCCAAAGAACGAGGAAAGAAGGCTTAGCAAGAAGGAGAGGGAGGCTCTTAGCAGGCGTAAAAGCAGGGCCGAAAGAAGGGCTGAGATCTTTATGAAGGACTTGGTGATAGACGACTCCGAGGAGGAGGGAAAGGTGGCGAAGAAGATTTATAGGTCGTCCTTCAAAAAGACCAAGGCCAAGCCAAGGATTGTGTTCCCGAAGAAGGGGACCTGCGGAGTTCCACATGGGAAGGGCAAGCTCGTGATGCTGGACAAACGGCTGAAGAAGGACAAGAGGGGAAGAAAGGCCTGATGCCCATGGCTTTCTTCTGACAGCCGCTTCTTATTAAATTAGGTTGGTTTATTTACAGGGCTTAGAGGCGTTTGGTAGATGCTAGAAAATCAGATTTATTTTGGATGCTCATTTACTGCCTATACTTGATGATATAGCCATCGCACACACAAGCCCAAGAAGACCAACAACCTCCCCAAATATCAGTATCAGAAAGAAGATGCTGTTGAATTTCTTCTGCTGGGATCTTGTGACACATGCAACCTTTGCCGAGTGGCCTATCGAGTACCCAGCAACACCCGAAGACACGCCGTTAACCACACATGCACTCAAGACCAAAAGAGCATCTTTAAGGGAGTCGATCCTTTTGTCATAGACCATGAAGTACAGAATTACAGAGTACATTGTCGGAGCTGTGATGAAGATGATGGGAACAAGAGAATAGGTGGTATTGACAGCATTCTCCGCAGCCTTGCAGATTCCTTCAGACCCTGCGATAAAACCCAGGCCCCCGCCAATTGCAGAAAGGGAGATCATCAATGCCGGGCCCATCTTCGAAACTATTAAGCTTAGCATCTTCTCGTCCAACTCCATGTGCACCCTTGTTTTATTTTGATAAATATTTTTAGTAAACAAGTTTCCGAATCAAAATGTCTCTGTCTGCCAGGTTGCACAGTGCTAAATGGAAGGTACATGGAATGTCCCATGGAGGAGAGTGAGCTTCACAAGGGATTTCGGAAGACTGGATCCGGGATGTTTGTACCGCGGGACCAATCCCAGAACTGGTGCCGCCACTTTGGCGTGAGGAAGGACAAGACATTGTACCTCCGTGAAGAGGAGGTGCTATATCTGCGCGACAAAGAGGCTAAGGAAGGATATCCGACGAAGACAAAGGCATATTTTTTCGTCAAGAACAGCGGCTACAATCTTCTGCCCGGCGAGGGAGGAAGGTTCCTACTGTACAGGAAGCATAAGGATTTCAATAGAGAGAAGGACAAGGCGATTTGCTTGATGAAGTATGTGTCGAGGGACGAGTGCATCCAGGATGTCTGCAGGGATGCTGGGGATGAGGCCCTCTGTGTGTTGTCTGACGATGTGTTTACCTTCTTGAAGATCAGGAGGGTTGAGAGGCTCGACTCCAGCACACCGGAGGGCTTGAAGAAGCGAGATGCACCATCTCCTTAGCCGCATCGGTACAGATTTTGCAGATGGTTCCGGAGCCCTTGAAATGAGCAGGAATGGGCAGGGAGACCAGGGACAGCTGACAAAAACCATAATAGTCACCGGATTCAACGACCAAAAGCATCAGGAAGAGGTAAGAGGCCGGGTTGAGAAGACGTTCGAGGTAAGAGAAAGCTACACGATTCAGAACGACTACCGGGTGCTCTGCATACTGTTCTATGACGAGCGGAGGGCAAGAGAAGCGATCGGCTACCTCAAGGAATCGGAGGGGCTTTCGTCCTACCACATAATAAGCAAGTACGAGATTCCCAGAGATATGGATAAGTGCGACGAGTCAAGGAACCAAAGCACGCTGCTTTTTACCTTCAAGAACTTAATGGAAGCTGTGGACGACAAGGAGTTTTCTGAGCAGGTCAACAAGTTTGGAGAGGTGAAGGACATCCGGTATGTTAAGACACACCAAAGATGCGTAGAATTCTACGACTCAAGGAGTGCGGTTGCAGCGTTCCACGGGATGAATGAGCTTCGGTTTATGGACGGAGTGATGCAGGCGAAATGGGTCTGGGATCTTTCCACAAAGACCAGGTGGGAGCTCATAAGACTGACTGATAGCATTTTAAAGGAGTGTAAGCTCGAGATAAAGGCGCCTACAAGAAGAGAAAATGAGGACGCCAGGGAGGAAGGAAAGAAGAGGAAGAAGGCGCAGGACGGTGGCGCCGGGCATTCAACGAATATATTCCTGAAGAGGTTTGATTCTTTCATCGCCTCCAACATCGACCATATAAACGAGGGATACATCAACGATTAAAGTGACGAGCTGCTGTGCCTTAGAGCCTTTGTTTGAGGTATACAGATGACAGATGCTACCACAGGAAAAATAAAAAGCCGGAAGCAAATCTTTAATTGTAAACTTCTTATTTCTTCTTCATTGCCTTAAGGGGCTTCTTGAGCCTCAGATCCTTGCTGAAACACTTTCTACACTTCTCTGCAGCCTTTCCAGATCTTGCATAGCACCTGCGGCAAATCAGGCAGTCGTTCTTCTCTTTCATAGCCATGGCTGCATCGTTGTCAGACATGTTTCCTCCTCCTCCGAGAAGCTTAGGATACGCCGTGATCGTATCGAGAGTCCTCATGCCATAGCCTGCCATTGTTCCTGAGTCCTCTAGTATTCTAGAATTGTGTTGTAGAACCATCACCGAGGAATCGAGCCCACAGGCACGCCCAACAAGAGCCTTTAGAGACAGAACCGACTGAGACGGCTCGGCCTGAACAAATGAGGTCTTTCCACAAAACCTCACGCCAATCTGCATTCTTAAAGGGCAAAAATTTCCAGACGTAAAAATCCATACCGCCCGGAGGATTGCCCAAAATGTACACGGAAAGCCCATTTATTCTACTCGAAAGCCCTGTGGCAAACCCAGAATACACGGCACATGGGGCAAACCTTCCTTTGCTGCAGCCACAGTGCTATGCAGTGGGAATGAAACGTGTGTTTACACTTGCCCACACAGGGCTTGCACTCCATCGGGTGCTTACATTTTGTGCACATCTGGTCGAAGCCCTGTTGGCATATTCCGCATATGTCGCTCTCTATGTCCCATTTCCAGCTGTACACCGGATAAATCTTCTTGATCTTTATCTCCACCATTTTTGGGTAAGCCTCTGGTTGCAGGGAGTCTGGTTTCAGAGGAAGATAAACCTACCGCGAAATCTTCCATGGACGGAAAGGACCATCCGACCTATGGCCACGACATGGAAGGAGGGCAAAGCCGACGGGACTGAAGAGCCGAGTGGAAAAATTTGCACAATAGCTTTCCACAAAGAAGGCGAAAAAAAGTAGCCCTGAAATGGGGATCAAGTACAGCTATGAGATACACGATCCTTCCAAGGCTGTGAAGGCAAAGATCGACAATGCAAAGGTGAGCTTCAAGAAGACCAGAGAGGCGTCCTGCACCCTGAGAAGGAGGAAGGTACTCGATGCAATCCAGTACTTGAAGAATGTAATTGCCAAGACCGAGTGTGTTCCCTTCAGAAGGTACAACCGTGGATGCGGGCAGACGCACCAGGCAAGGAAGTTCAGCATTCCAAGGAGGGAGATTGTGAAGGCTAACGGAGAGAAGAAGATTAAGAAGGGGCATGTGCAGACAAGGGGAAGATGGCCCAAGAAGTCTGCAGAGTTCCTGATTTCTGTCCTTGAGAACATCAAGGAGAATGCGGAGACTAAGGGCTTGGATCCCAAGGACTTGGTGATAACACATGTCCAAGTCAGCAAGGCGCCAAAGATCTTCGGCAGGACTTTCCGAGCACACGGAAGAGTGAACCCATTCAACAAAAGCCCATGCCATATCCAGATGGTTGCTGAAGTACTGGGGAGCAATGATGTCAGCATTGAGGACTAGGCATCCGCCATTAAAGCTTTCTTTTTAATTTTTACTCCCTTTGCCAAGCCCCTCCGATGCTGAGCAACAAGAGAGGGATACATTCGGCGAGTGGAGGCATTGACCTGAGAACGCTGAGGGAGTACTGCCTGTTTGAGGATTTTGATGTGTGCATGCCCTTCAATCCCATGGGCGTCCCGGGCGGCAAGGGGAACAGGGGCAGCGATGGAGCGATCCGGGGAATGCTACCTCTAGGAGACGCCATGGGAGATTTGTTTACTGCTGGAAAGGCTGGTTCAACAAAGATGGAGGACAAGGAGAGATTTGATCCATATGAAGACAACTCCGGGACAACTATCTGCCTAAAGCAGGGCGATTTTATTGTTGTTGCAGGAGACACAAGGCACTCGTCGAGCATGGTTATCAACTCCCGGGAGATGTCCAAGATATTTCAGGTCGGAGACTTTCTTCTTACCGGAACCGGATTCTATGCAGACACCCACGAGGTCTACGTGAAGATGGTGTATGAAATACGGCAGTACGAGGTTGACGATTCAATCAACATTCACAGCGCAGCAAACCTGCTCTCAAAGATTCTGTACTCGAAGAGGTTTTTCCCATACTACTCGTTTTGTGTTCTAAGCGGGTTTGAGAAGGGAAAACCCTATGTCTATTCATACGATCCTATCGGGTCCTTTGGGTCTGTGACGTGTGTATGTAGCGGAAGCGGTAGAAGCATGATTCAACCCCTGTTGGACTCTTTCATCGACAAGAAGAACTGGAACAATGCAGAGGAGACACAGCTGAGCCAGGAGGACTGCATAAGACTTGTTGTTAAGGCATTCAATTCTGCAGCAGAAAGGGACGTGAAGACGAAGGACAATCTTGAGGTCTGTGTGATGAGAGAAAACCAAGTGATGCGTGAGACTTTCCCTCTAAGAAGAGATTAAAACATTCCGTTACCCTGCTACTTCGATGCACTTCTGCTTCGAGAGCCCCCTGGCTTCTAGATGATTTTTAGCCGAAGAAGATATCCCCAGTATTTGTAGATGAACCTGCTGCTTTCTTTGTTTTTTTCGCTCGTATGGTCGGAAAACCTGGGGATTCGGTATGATGATGTGGTCAGCAAGTGGATCAACTATGAGAGGAGAAGGATGATGGACAGGGCCCTTGGGATTGCGCCCTCTACATTTACTATTGAGGACGGAATGCCCAAGAGCAGCAAATATTTGGGCGCTAGAACTGTCTGGAGTCCATTGTACATGCTTGAAAATGACTTTGAGGGAACACCCGATAAAGGGATTCTCGAGAGGATTGGAGAAGACGGAGAGGAAAGATACCTGGTAGAAGGATATGAAACACCCATAGATGCGCCTGGGGTCAACTACCTGTGCCTATCAACGGCAATTAAGCCTGTGCGCATAAGCATAGAAGGGATTACGAATGTGGCGATTGGATACAGGGGATACTTCAATGAATCGCAAGCAAGGCAGCTAGGAGAATGTGTTTCTGGAATTCTTAACGGCATGGAGGTATGGGCTGTCCCTGAACCCCTTTGTGGACTGGTGTCGAAGGTTGAACATGTTGGGGAGGATACTTCCTTTCACTGCATGGTGATTACGACTTCTGGAAGAAAAACGGTATTTGCGTTCTACAGGGTGGATGTGAAAGACAAGAAAAGAATATTTGAAAATCTGTTCTATGTCGACTCTGCCATGATATCTGACTGGGAGATGCAAAGGATAATATACAGCTACATAGAGACGAGGCTTGGAGAGTATATTTCCGATAAAAGCGATATTTCTGACACCAGCAGAAATGTGACGTTCTACCCGAGGACAAAGGACTCGGCTGTTTTTGATCTGAAGATTGACATGAGACCTGTGTATAGGGAGATTAGCAAGGCCCTGAGATACAAGAATGTTGTTGACAGTGTAAAGATTGTTGAGGGGGTTAATGTTGTTGATTCCGAGGAAAACACACGATTTGTGATTGAAGCACCGGTCTTTGACATTGGAGAGATCCAGAGAAGATTCGAGGCGTTTGTAAAGAGTAGGGAGGATGAGATTGGCCGAGTCATTGAGGAGGTGAAGAGGAAGACTGGAGGAGAGTCGGGGTATTCTGTTATGATGCGATCGGAATTTTATGGAAACCCCATTCTCGACAGAGTGTTTGGCTTCTTTGAAAAAAAGGACTACATGAGAGCTGAGGACATTGAGAAGGGTGCAGCAAAGATTATGAGAAGCACGTATACTGCTGTTGACCCGAAGGTGCTGCGGGTCAGTGGGAAAAGCCGCAGTGGAGAGGCCTACATGGAAGAAGTCCGACTAAAGAGGGAGATGAGGGAGATACTTGAGAAGAAGAAGAGGAAAATGCTTAGAGACATCTTCAGGGAGGTATCTGACTTGTGCACGGAGGAGGATGAGGAGCTCTTTGGTGATATCAGCAAGCTTGATGGGATTAGAAGGGCTGTGAACAGATGGAGGGAGCTCGAGGCCAGAGACATTGAGGTCAGGGAGGAAAGAAGGTTAAGAGAACAGGCGCTAAAAGACCTAAAGGAGGCGATTATTTCCACTGAGAAGCTGGGGAAGAGTAATGATGAGGTGTGGAATGAGGGGCTGAAAAACGAGGTTTCGAATGCAGTGGTGAAGCTGGAGATTATGAGCTCAGACGACAAGTATAAAAAGAAGGACATTGAGGAGGTTGAATTTGACCTGATTGTTAAGAGCAAGAATCTATTCAACGCACATGAGGAAAGGATCAGGAAGGAAAAGGAGGCAAAAGAAAGGGAGAATGAGAAGAAGGAGAGAGGGCCCATAGAAGAGAAGCATCCGGAAGAGCATCATGAACCTGCTGAGGAGGACAAGGCTGAGCTTTAAACGATTAAAGTCGAGCTATTTTATATTTTATGTACAAGAATCCAGGATTTTCCATGGCCCGAAGCAGCGTCTCTCTGTGTTTCTCATCCAGGTGCATTTTTGACGAAGAAAAACAATAAACCCCTAGAGGCGTCGATGGACGAAAACCGAGAAAAGTACGAGGCTGAAATGACAAAGAAGCTGGATGCATTCAAAACAGCAAAAGAATGGTCTGACTTTATTTCCTTGCTAAGCTCCTTGGACAGCACAATCAAGAAGTTCTCGGTGCCGGAGATTCCAAAAAAAAAACTCCTGTTCAAGAGGCTAAATCAATGCCTGAATCCTGTTCTACCTGCAGGAATACATAACAAGACCTTGGAGACATACTCCTTAATCTTTGAGAGGATTTCGAGGGAGAGTCTCCTCAAGGACTTCAACTTCCTGACCCTAGGGCTCTTTACTTTTTCGGCGCACTGTAGAATTCTTGTAGTCAGCTCCTTTCTAGACCTCATAGAAAGATACATTGTTCCTTTGGGAAAGGATGTGGAAAGCTATTGCACAAGCATACTCATCGGACTTCTCCCTCCAATGGAGTTTGAATCTGGAGAGTACTACAGCAGAGCCCACCTCATAATAACCGAGTTCAAGTCTCTGATATCGCCGGATGTGTTCTACTCCTCAATGTGGGGGATTCTACTCAACGACGAAAGACTCAGAACATCTGTGGTGAACTCTATGATGAGCATGGGGTGGTCTGAGTCGATACTGACTCATGCAAGGCTCATGGTAAGAGCGCTGTGTGCAGGTCTTGGAAGCGAATCAACGCTGGTAGTCCGAAACTGCTTGGATCTTTTGATTTTTGTGTTTCCCGACAAGAGCCATGTCGACTCGGCAGATATGCTTGACGACCTTATTGAGGCGGTGATCAAGCTGTTCGTGAAGAGAGACCTTTCACTCAACAAGAGAATATATGGGTGGATGTGCATGGCAGACAGCTTTGATGAGGTGAATGTGGTTCTGCTGAGCCGGGCTCTCAAGAGGTTTTTGGACAGAGGCAGTGCCGAGGACATCCAACTTTTTTTCAGGATCATGATGACGCTGCAGGACAAAGGGAAGCTCTGTGAGAAGATCATGGAGAGTCTGCTTTTTGATATCCTGGAATGTCTTAAGCGGCATGAAAGGGACTATATAGAGGAGTATGCACCCCCAGATGCCTTTGAGGAGAGGTCGAGCGAAAGCATTGATGTGGAGAAGATAGCAAGGGCGTTTCTAACGACAGACCTGGACTCTGTGTGGAAGATATTCTATCTCCAGCTGAAAAGCGTCCTTAGCCATTCCAAGGAAAAGATGCTGTTGGATATGGACCTAACTGATGACGAGGAGTTCAATGATAGCATGGTGAGGGAGGAAATGTACAGCATGCATACAATGTCTCTGATCCTTAACGAGGGGCAAATGACCTCATCTGAGTGTCTGGCCCTGGGCGCCTCTTCGGGCGAGGTCTACAAAGGAGCCTATGAGATGGAAGAAAGTAGTCTTCTTGAAGAGATGGAGCTTAAGAAGAAAGGCATAGCGGGAAGGGTGGTGGAAAATAGGGAATCTAAATGGATCAAGGATGCCAATAATCCCAACCAGGTTCTTGGCTTCATAAGGTTTGCTGTGGATAATTACTCGGTGGTGGACTCTGAGGTTTACCATTACCATCTCCCTTTCCTAGTCCACTTGGTTCTCTCTGACTTTCTGTTGTTTGAGCCTCAGGTTCTCTTCTCTTTTTTAGACTTCAGTACGAAACTAATGAGGTTCAGGGAAAGACAGCTCGAGGGGGGAAAGAACCTCCAAAAGCTGATCGGCAAGTTTTATCTGGAAGAGGATACTAGTGTGCTGGACGAGATATCGTCGACGATACTATATAGTATTTCCGACAAGATTGGAAAGGTTATTGAGAGCAATGTCGCACTGTCTCTTCCTCTCATGTCCACCTTCATCAAGATCCATGGAGTGGATGTTTTTCCTAGTGGCTTTATACAGAGCTACCACTGCCTCGTGCTGAAGTCCTCCAGCAAGCTCATGAAGGAACATCTTGAGGTGTACAAGATTATAGATTGCACTCAGCTTGACCCTCTGGGAATGTTTGAGGTTCTGTGGGGAAGATTCTGCCATACCGAGAGAAGCTTGTATCTAGAAAGGTCGAGGGAACTTGATGGAGGCGGAGTGCACAGGAGCCCCAGGGCAGGTACTCGCGAAATGATCGGAAGAAGCTCTACAAACAAACTTTCTGGCATTGGCAGGGTACCTAACCGCAAGGTATTAACTGAGCTTCTGTGGAGATACAATATGATTTTTCGAGGGAGCTTTGAGAAGCTTCTCCTGAAAAGAATGGGGGAGGTGGAGGAGATCAGCTATTTCCTTCTTCTTAAGCTCGAGAACTTTCGAGGCAACTTTGATTTCTTGGAGCTGTACTATGTCCTTAACTGCAAGCTTGATCCCGACGACCCTGTACTGGACATATTTCTCTGTTCCTTGGGTTACTTCGACGACCTATTCAAATTCCTTCTGAAGAAACTCGAGGATTCGAACATCCAGGCGAATGACTCTCTTTTTGCTGAATCGATTGATCTCAACCAGATAGCTGGGGTGTTCAAGTGCATCAAGAATCTCCTGAAATACTCCCGGGGATTCCGATCGATGCTCATGGACTCTGTGGAAAAGCTTCACTCCGGGGCCCTTCCCTTGGACGAGGCGGTGACGCCTAGGGAGATGCTGTACAGGATGCTTGTGCACTTGCTTGTAAATAGAAAGGAATATGACGGGAGAGATACAGACATGGAAATCATCAAGATTCTTGAAATTCTGGTGAGGGGAGGCATTCTCAGCGGCAGTGTGATGAACAGCGTGGATCTTTCCAGGATTGTGGATGTGGCAAAGGAAAATAGAGACGATCCTGCAATTGTGCTGGGGATTGCGCCTGTGATTAAGCATAGCGGTAACAGCGCGGCAATCCAGGACCTGTGCAGCATACTTGATAGCCAATGTTTTTACTATCACAGCTTCCTGGAATTCATCTTTTCGTTGACGGACCGGCTACAGAGGAAAGTTATGTCGAACGTGTTGTCTTCTCTGGAGAACGAAGATTTTGGGCTCATGATAGTGTCGGAGGCCATAACCAGCATGCTACTTAAGAGAGGGTCTGAGGGCGAGCTGCCTGCATTCATAGACAAAAGCATAAAGTTTATCTTTGAATTCTTTGAGAACCAGTACGTTGACCTGCATGAAGAGGAAAGAGGTAGGGAAGCAGACAGAATAGCCTGTATGTCTCAAGGAAATGAACACCACGAAGCACTTACTCTAAGCAGCAGTACATGTGTGCAAGAAGAGGCAGGGAGGACCAGTGTAAGAATATATGCTTTAAAGCTATCCACTGCAAAGGAGCTGTCGTCTCTACTCTTCAGGAAGGTGCCCATCAAGTTTGTCGAAACGATTCTTGAAGGTTCTCCGTGCATTCCGTTTTTGATGTCCATTGATTTCAGGGAACAGCTTTACATCTCCATCATGAATCTCTACTCAAACAACGGTACGAAGGTGTTCAAGTTCCTGAGCACATTGAACCAGGTCATGAGTCCACAGGAGCTTATGAATGTCTTCAACAAGTCGAAGGGCCTTCTTGAAAAGATCTCTTCCTATAGAGCCGGGCCTGATTATGCTCCTCTGAGCTTCACATTGAACTTTCTCCTGGGTCTGGATCTTGGGGAGAGTGACGAGGCCCTTGTCCAATCGGTCATCCTAAATTCTGTCTACTTCCTGCAGAAGAAGCTGGATCTAAAGACAAGGAATGGGGAGAAGGACTACGAAGATGAGGTTGTGGTGCTTGAAAGGCTAACGGAGTTTAAGTTTCAGAGGACGGTTCTCTCTGCAATTCCCAGTCTGATTACGGCCATTATTACCCTGGTCAACTCAAACAGCCTTGGCCTTAAGAATGTCGGAATCAACCTTCTTGCGAAGCTGAGCGAAAGGGGCCTCGAGGTGAAGTACTGGAAGAAGGAGTTTGTGGAGATATTCCATACGTTGGACTTCTTTATATACGGTCTGCACAAGAAGTCAAGCCTCATGAGGAAGGTTGTGGTTGAAGATCCGTCTATCATCAGTGACCTCATAGTCAGACTGGACAGCGGGTTCTTTGTTTCGCAGGCCTCTGATGCAAACAACAAGACGCTGGTGCTGAAGAGGATTTCGTACATCATATTCTCAGCGCCGTATAACTACTTTTCGGGCTTCTCTCTGAAGCTTGTCGAAAAAATAGCGACTCTGATGAACTATCCCTCATCGAAGGTCCGAAAGGAGGTATTTCTGCTATCAAAGATGCTTATTCTCAAGATTTCGCATGACAAGCTGGGCAATCTGTATCCTATTCTTCTGTATGATGCTGGCATAGTGGTTGAAAGCCCGGACTTTGATGACATGATGCTTCTCGTAGAGGTGCTGAAGCTACTAGACATTGTGTTTCTCCTGAACACGCCGCAGTTCTCTGAGACCCGGACTGTATTTCTTGGCCCTCGATACCGTTTGCCGGGAGAAAAGGCGGATGGTGGAGAAGAAAGAAAGTCTGTGCTTGAAAGTCTAGGAGGCCTGCTGAGGGCCAAATATAGAAAGGAGATTCCCAGCAAGGTCCGGAGGCCCATCAAGAAGATTCCATTTCTGATGCCAGGGAAAGTAGATGTCGACGAGATATTGGACTTTACAAGCAATGGACTATTGTATTATAACTGGCTTGACGAGAACTGCCTTGAAATTGACTATGAATACTTATTCAATCTGATTCTTGAAGAGCTCAGGGAATCGTCTGAATAAATGTACCTTATCGACATCTATGAGCTATTTTTATTTTTGGAGGTTTAGGGATAACATGACAGATTGTTGTGCCCTGGATAGGCCGGATGAGAGAGGCTGTGGCTGTCTTCAAGAAGAATAAGAAGGTTTATTCGGTGGGGCCGTTTGACCCGCTGGTCCTGGACGCTGTGGTTGGACTGAAGGAAATGGCAAAGAAAGCCTATGAAGACGAGTTCCTCCGTATTGAAGCAGGCGGATGGGTAATCGGCTCGCTTTCAGGGACTGGCGATGTTACCATTATCCTAGTTAGCAGGAATGTTGATCTGGAAAAGCTGAGGCATGTGTATGAATCGTACCGTGTGTGTGTGGCCTACGGCGATATCCAAATGATGGATACTCTTCTGAGTATGTACAGAAGGAGGGCTGGATAGAGATAGGCACAGGATTCCGGAACACCAAAATGCTCTGCAGGTGGAGACTTAATAAAAAATTTTAGCAGATGGCCCAGAGAAATGGTAAGTCGGCTTTAGACTCAATAATTTGTAGAGCAAAGGTACAGCCAGCTTTGGTAAGAAGAACAAGAGAAACACGGAGATGTGCAGAAGATGTGGAAGACAGAGTTACCACAAGCAGAAGAATTCATGCTCATCCTGTGGATATCCCAATCCAAAGATGAGGAACCCGGGATCCATCAAGGCAAGACGCAGGCGGACCATTGGGACTGGAAGAATGAGATACATGAAGAGAGAACTGAGAGCAGCAAAGAATGGACATAAGGGAGACCCGATACTGAGGACTCTCTGGGCTAAGAATTAAAGCGATTTCTTCCCTGTTTTGTTAGTGATGTCTTCCGGGATAAAAGATTTGGCGTCTGGGCCCTGAAATGAATCTGTTGTTGTTAGCTACCTATGCTGTCGGGCAGATGGTTACATATGAGTTGGAAAGAGTCTCGGAGAGGCCGGCAGACTTGGATCTGGTAGGAGCGATTTCTGACGGAAAACTAAGTCTGGATCTTTATTTCAAGGAGACTGAGGACAACATGGTTGACCCGCCGTTCCCTCTGCTGATTCAGAAACTCAAAGGCATTTCTGACCTTGTCATGGAGAAGGGCGATAAGACGTATCGGATTGTCCCTTTTGAATCGATTGAAATAAGTTCTGGAGACGGGAAGAAAATCTACGGGAAGTTCCGCGAAATGGTGAACATGGGAAACGAGGTGGTTGCGACATACATCAGCAGTGGAAACAATGCAGGGGAGGATATATACACCAGAATGACAATCATATTTTCACCTTCCGACGAAGAGGATAAGATAGAGAAGATCTATAGCGGATGGTCTGAGTCATGCCTCTTAAGAATCCTGACGCCAAGGCTAAGAGTTAAACAGAAGAAAAAGATTCTATTTGTGTACCTTGAGGATACCGGAAATAAAGAAGGCGACGGTATGTACACAGCGCATTGGATAGACGGGGAGAAGTTTGACGATGACGCCCTCTTTAAGAAGGAGATGCTGATCTTTGAGGAGCCTGGCAAAGAAAAGGACTAGAGAAGAAGATGGTGATATAGTAGCCTTTCTTGAGGTTGTAACAACTTGGGATTAAATGTTTGGAATGTTTGACCTAGTACTGCGTGTAACGACGACCTCATTACCATGTACAAGGGTCCTTAGTATAATGGTAGAACACTTGGCTTCGGACCAAATAGTCCGGGTTCGAATCCCGGAGGACTCGTTTTTACACATGGTGCCACTGGGATAGATACTAACTCTTTATTTTCTCTTAGCTCTGTTTCTTTCTCTTAGGTGGGAGACCATCTTTTCTCCGAAGGTCCTGTTTTCCCTCATCCTCAAAGCCTCTACATCCCTGTTGTACCCCTGCTTCATCTCGGCGACTCTTTTACTCGACTCTGGACCGACATCATCGAAAAGAGCCATAAAATCGCCGATAAACACCGGGTTGCTGAGAAGAGACAGCCCTGCTTTCAGAAAAACTTGGCTTTCGAAGTCATGTGTTTCCTCGATGTCCACAGGTGCATAGCTTATGAAGAAGGTTGAAACCTCATACTTCTTGATGAACTTAAAATGCTTTTCTCCGAGGGCACCAAATGTCTTGTATCCAGACGTGTTTCCAAGTAGACATTTCTTGGTATACTTTAAACCATAGTGTCTTGGAGATAGGGTTTTTTTAAATGCATATACGCACGGCGTCCTGGACCGCAGATGTCCTGTCAAAATCAGGCTTTCCTGGGGAACGGAGGCTAGAAGATAACTCGGGCAGAAGTCTCTCTTGAGGGTGGCAATTGCACACAAATACTTTAAATTCGGGTGCCCTGTCAACTTCAATATGTACTGATGAATAGACAGATACTCTCCGCTGCTCCGTTCGAAGTGCTCTCTAAATGGCTCGAGTAACAAGGCCTTCTCTTGTAACTGCCTTTTCCTTCGGTGCACCAGCAGAAAGCAAAGTGCAAGGGCCAAGGCCACAACAATCAAGTCGTACAACATCGGGGTAATCACGGGTGCCTACAAAAGCATCGTCCAGGCATACCCCGAGATAGTAGTCAGGAGGCCATCACCCAGAACCCTGTTAGCTCAGTTGGAAGAGTGCTGGACTTTTAATCCAAGGGCCGTGGGTTCGAGTCCCGCACAGGGTGTCTCTTTTACAGAACACCATTCAGAACAGAAAATTCTCTTTAATGTCCCCATCGCAGCAGATACTTACAGTACTCAACAACCTCAACCATCTCCTCGCACCGCACTCTAAGAGCACTCTCCAGCCCAGCCACTTTGTTGCTGAGACAGGAAGCTTTCCTCTTCTGCTCCTCGTACATCCTTTTGATTTCCTCCGCCTGCTCAGATAGAGCCTCTATCTTTTCATTGTTTGCTCTCCGAAGAGACTCCATCTTGTCCTCGCTGGCAAACAGATCTCTCTTCAACGCCTGGATGTAGGTCTTCAGTCTGTACTCATTGGACCTTAGCCTCTCTATCTCCTCACTCATGATCGTGCTTTCCAAAAGAGCCTTTTCTTTTTCATTCCTTTCCAGTACATATGCAAGAGTTGTGTCGTAGTTCTTCAGCATTCTCCCATGCTCCCTCTCCTTCCTCTTAAGCTCCTCTATCATTGCCATGCTCGACTCAAGTTCCTCACAAAGCCTCTCGTGGTCGGATCTCTTCAAGACAACAGTCTCATCGCCGCTTGAATGGCTACCGCCCAGGCGCTCGGAATCTTGCATCTTTTCGCTCATGTTTATTGAGCTCAGGGGAACCGCAGATTCCTCTTCAGCGGGAGCACGGGACCCAGACGACATGCTCAGCACCATGGAGCTTAGGTTTGCAACAGAGGCAGAGAGATACTCCACAAACCTCTTGGATCCCATAATGGGTCCGGCCTGCACCGTTTAAATCCCCATTGTGCAAAAGAAAAAGTTACAGCACCTGGGATTCCCGAGCGGTCTCCCTTCTCAGTACTATCCAGGCTCGCACTGGCTTAACTTCGGAGATCTGACGAGTTCCGGTGCTTTTCAGTGGATATGGCCGTAACTGTCTGCAAGACAAAATACATACAAATACTATAACAACACAGAACCTCTACCAGAGTAGAGTCGCCCAATCCAGAATCTATTTCTATCTCTAATAGATTTAATATAGTCAAGCCACACCCCGCATTTTATATCTTTTCTTCAGGCTTGCTAGGGACCATGTCTTGCATACTCTTATCGCCAAGCATTCTGCCCACCAAGGGCTGGACCACAAACACTGCAATAGTAACAGAGAAGGCAGAAATGAGAACCAGTCCTATCTCAAACCCATCGGTCTCTACAAAATTGTATCCCCGCAACCACAGAAACGTCCACTCCGGAAAGAGATACACTACCATCAAAAAAGCTATAGTTGACAAGATCATGAAAGAAATGAAAGTCTTAAACAGCACGTTATCTTTTAGGCTCTGTCTATGCGGAGAGCAATCACTCAGATACAAGGCATTGAAAATGTAGATGAACGTACTGACAAAAAACATGAGCTCAGCCGTGATAGATTGAGTACTTATCTCAGGGCAGGGCTCGCCATACAGAGACAGAATCCAGAGGACCAAACACTCGAGGGCTATGGTCAGGCAGAAGGGCACAAAGTCCTTTTTGGGAAGCAGGAATGTGTCTGGGGGGCTTGGAAACAGCTTATCAGATGCGTCAAAGCATGTTAGCATGTATGCGATAGGAATCGAGACGAGCAGGTCTCCATGTATCGTCTGCAGGTCACTTAGAAACTTCTTTCTGAGAACAAGGAAGACAAGCACCACATATGCAATGGCGCAGTAGGAGACAACATATTTAAACGTGGCCGTGGATGTCACAAAGGCCGATCGCCCTTCCTTGATCAGGTCTAGAACAGAACTTATTTCAGAGGAGGTAAAGTTGGCTGCCAGGCTGGCCTCATTCTGTCCCAAGGCCAGGCCAACATCAGCACTGCTGAGAGCCCCGCTATCGTTTGCACCGTCCCCGCAGAACATCGTGATCTTCCCACTAGCCCTAAGATTTTCTATGAGGGCCTTCTTTTGTCCGGGATTGAATCTAGCAAATATGGCCCCCTTCTCAAGAATAAACTCAAAATAGTGGGTATTCCTGAAGAAGTCAAACTCCCTTCCTTCGCATGCAACAACAAACTCGTTGTTAGAGACCCTGTCATTTCCCCTGTACAGACTTAGCCTTACCTTATCAAAGGTAAACTCCTCCTCGTCCCCAACACAGAGCCAGTCAACATCGAAAATGGACTTCGCATTTTCCTCAAGAACGGGGAATATCACAGGAACAAACTCTTCCACAATCCTGCACTCCTTCCCCACAGATATAGCCGTCAGTATGTTGTCCCCGGTGCACATGATGTTCCTTATATTCGCCTTATTGAGCTCATCAACAGTTCTTCTTGAGTTTTCCTTGAGCTTGTTCGAGAACACTATAAGGGCAAGAAACTTCATCTCAGACTCATCGGAAGCTCTATCGGCGCTTTCACTTATTTCCTTGTATGCCAGTGATATCACTCTATACCCACCCAAGGAATACTCCTTGGCCTTCTCCTCATATCCCCGTGGCCTCTCCTTTAGAATCTCCTGAATCGACTCGGGAGACCCCTTTGTAAATACGTACTTTCTATCTCCGTCATCCACCACTACACTCATCCTCCTGATGTTCGAGTCAAACTCATAGGTCTTCATAATCACTGCATTGATCTCGCCGTCCTGTCCTTCTCCACATTCGTCGCTCAGATTGAACTTGGCGCCTTCGTCAACATCAAGAAGAACAGGAGAAAGATCCTTATCTTCTTCATCGGCATTCCCATCAATATCAGCAAATCGGCCTCCGTGGGTCCTGTCTTTCTGGTAATATACCATCTCCTCGCTGTCATTATACTCTTTCAGGATGGGCCCGTAGATCCTATTATGGCCTCCAATAACCACGCTTCTTGTGTTTTCGTGCTGAACAAGCTTAGAGGAAGAGAAAATAAACATCTTCAGGTCGAGAGTATCTCCGGAATACCTTCCATCCAACTCGTAGACCAAATGGCATGTACTCAACCCGAGCCTGGTTACCATGGCAACTTTGTTGATATCGTCCACAGGCCTATTAAGATCATCAATGCAGAGAAGATCAAGACCCTCACACGTTAGCGTTCCTGTTTTGTCAAACACCGCCGTGTCTATTCTCCCTGCCAGATGAATCTTATTCAGATTGCTACAGTAGATGTTCTTTTTGATTAGCTTCTTGTAACACAGCTGGGTCCCGACCCTTAGATACGTGGGAATCGCTGGATTCGCAAACGTAAAAAACAGATCAAGGCTGTACATAAGATTCGTACTTGCATCAAATCCCATCTTGTTGAGCACATACGCCATCCCGATCCCAACAGCCATCGCAACCATAACAATTCCTAGAATAATTATCTCAGCCTCTCTGATAAATCTGTTGTGAACAGGCTTTGCATTAAGCATATTCTTCAAGATCTGCCCCCGGGTGGTCTGGAACCCTGTTCTGAGAACCATCCCAACAGCAGAGTTCCCAAGGACATCAATGGAGCCCACCATTCCAGCTGCCCTCGATCTATTTTTGCTGGTAAGGCTCCTGACTCTGCAGAGATTCTCATTTCTTAAGTTAGTGGACATAGGTATGGTGCTGATACTCTTCAAGACATCCGTTCCCGAGTACACAACAGAAAGCTGGTCGGCATTTTTGTATATCGGAACAGTCTCTCCGGTAAGGAGGCACTCATTTGTTATGGCATCTCCCCTGATCACAAGGGCATCGCACGGGAACTCCTTGCACGGCTCAATGTAAATTATGTTTCCGGGATATACCTCCCGGCTGTCCACCTCCACAAACCTTCCTCCCCGAAGTATTTTAACCGTTCGCCTTTTCACAAGCTTCTTCATGCCGATAGAGTGGGAAATCTCCTCCCAGTTCGTAAATACAAACGAGTACAGCATGAGCATCCCCATCACAAATGCATAGTTGTGGTAGTCAACGGCCCTCCATACAAACAGACATATTATATTCGATAAAAACGTGATGTTCAGAGTGTTCTTCACGACTATGTCGAAAACACCCGGAATCGGAAGGCTTGTGACATTCCTTCCGTAGAATATGTTTCTTTGTATGGCTTCTGCCCTTTCCGTCTCGGGAGACTTTGAAATCTCTGTGCTGTAAAGCTCCTCAAAGTCTCTGAACACCGCCTTCTGCTCCGGAGGAACCACAAACCTCCTGGAAACAACATCGTATATGAGTCTAGAAAACAGGGAATCAACCACACGGGCCTTCCCTTCCAACGAATACCTTCTGAGCGAGGGAATCTCCTCCGTGGAGTAAGCAAGAACATCAACAAACTCTCTTCTCCCGTTCTGTGATGTTACTATGACACAGTCTGCATCAGAAAGGCTGCAGGGCGAACTGAGTAGAAAATGTTTGACCTTGGGTAGATATCTGCACACCATATGGAACCCTCCCAGGGTCAGCACACAGAGGACGTTGTAGAAGCCTGTAGATATTCTTCTTTTCCTTCCCTCGACGCTTATAAACGGCTTTTCCTGCTTGATTCCCACAAACATTTTCAAGGGCTTCATGCAGTATGGCCTTTTTTGCAACAGATCATCTTCAGGAGTAGTTTAAGGAGATTTCTAAAAGACTTGTTATGTCTCAGAGCATCCAGCACGACAAACATCACGGTGTTCAACTTCGCCATTCCCATCATATCGCCATGGACTTGTGTTGTGGGCCTCTCTGTCCAAGAGCGTAACATATCGGTGGAACCATCCCAATATCTTTTTGCATGAATAAAAGTATTAGGCCGTTAATTGGGCCATGAATAAAATAAAATACAATTAAGAAATCCAAACTAGGATGACCGATGCAAATAGAACAATCAATGTTCTTGACTTTGCCAGTGCAGTGCACAACATACTTAAGAAGAGGGAAAGGCTGTTTGGAGCCAACAAGACCATTCTATTTACACTTTTCTCCAGCGCTTTGGTTATGATATTCCAAGGCGAAAACTACAAGAATCTATGCTTGTCAATAATCGTCGGGCTGTGCATGCTGGCCGTGGATCCGAAGGTGCACGTCAGACTCTTGGGCACAAGTCTTGGACAGAGAGGATTGCGTTCAGCAGCAGTAAGCCTTCTGAACAAGATCTTTTTAAGTGAGCTGCTGTTTTGCATTTTGTGTCTTTTGATTGCAATCACAGCCAATATGTGCGTAGTTCCAATGGTCTGGATCTTCGCAGTCTCTATAGGCATCTCTTTTCTCAGGAAAGTCTTTACTGAGGATTTGGCTATGACAAGCATGGGAGACATTCTCTTACATCTAGGATTCTTGCTTCTACTAATTTTTTCTCTCCAAAATCCTAAGAAATCGAAAATAGTCGTATACTCTGTTTTCTTTAGCTTTTCTGGGTCAGTCATTTTGTGGATCGTCCTCGAGGCGATTCTAAATGAAAACCTTGGATTTAGTCGTGTGTGCAATGCATTTTTCAAGAGTGGACTCGTGGACTTCCTTGGGATGCCCCAGTTGTATCCTTTTATGCTCTTGATGGTTGCTGGCGTTTTTTCCCAGATAAGAATCAATACCTTGTTGTTTGCAGATGGAAAAAGGCGCTTTGGATCAATCATTATTAAGAGAAGTGAAAATAAAGTAATAGAAGTGTGATTTTTTATCATTTGCTTTTTTTCATCTAGTTCCTATGTGATGTCTAGGTCTTTTCCCTGGAGACTGGATGGAGATGGATGACTGAGGCCGAGAGGGGAGTTAGCTCAGCGGTAGAGCGCTTGCTTAGCATGTAAGAGGTCATGGGTTCAAATCCCATATTCTCCATTTTACTCTTCAGGGAGATGGAGTATCCAGAGTGTGCCAGGCAAATAGATCTGAAACCATCAAATTTTCTTTTGAAACACAGATGCATTTAGGATGTGATGCGGTAAACAAAGACATCAGCAATGAGGGTGAATCTGGTAGCAATGTTCATGATGTCTGTAAGCAATAGAAGGGTTTTCTACATCAATCTGAAGGACGTTAAGTCTGGGGAGGACTTATTGGGGCAGTTGTTTGAAAAGGCCCACATTCCTGGGGATGTATCAAGCGGATTAATTGAAGGGCAAGGAGAAGGATCCTCGATTAACATGTCCAATTTAGCGCAGGATGCACAGGGCAAGGGAGCGGCCCAAGGCGCTGCTGCCACTCCTGAGCAAAAAGCTCCAGCCCAGAAGCAATCTGAAGGCAGTAAAAATGCACAGAAGAAACAGCAGAAGGAAGATCAAAGCGCTAAGAAGGAGGAAAAACAGCAGAAGAAAAATGAGTCCAAGGAAGCCAATGCCCAGAAGAAGGAAGAGAAGGCGAAGAAGGCAGAGCAGCAGAAGGAGGAAAAGACGAAGAAGGCAGAGCAGCAGAAGGTAGAGAAACAGAAGCAGAAGGAGGAAAAGGCAGAGAAACAAAAGCAGCAGAAGGAGGAAAAGGCAGAGAAACAAAAGCAGCAGAAGGAGGAAAAGGCTAAGAAGGCAGAGCAGCAGAAGGGAGAGAAGGCTAAGAAGGCAGAGCAGCAGAAGGGAGAGAAACAGAAGCAGAAGGAGGAAAAGACAGAGAAGCAAGAGCAGAAGAAGGGAGAGAAACAGAAGCAGAAGGAGGAAAAGGCTGAGAAGCAAGAGCAGAAGAAGGGAGAGAAACAGAAGCAGAAGGAGGAAAAGGCTGAGAAGCAAGAGCAGAAGAAGGGCGAAAAGGAAGACACCAAGAAGGGGGAAAAGGCTGAGAAAGAAGCCAAGAAGACAAGTAAAGATAAGGAGGAGCCTAAGACCACTGTGGATAAGAAGTCCAAGGACAAGATACAAGGCCAAGAGAAAACAGCTTCCGACGGTGACAATAATAAGGCCACTGCGGAGAAATCTCAAGAGAAAAAAACCATGGACAAGGCGGACAAAGCTACCAGCGTCAAGTCACCTGAGACGGTATCCAAAGAGATTGAATCCAAAAGCAAGGAAGAGATCTCTAGTGCCCACTCCTCTTCAAATGCAAGCGCTCCTGGAAGCGCCTCAATGACTCCAACCCCGGGTTTCTCATCTAGGACTACTACCAACGCCAGTAGCACGATGTCTGCGAGCCCGTCTTCAAGTGTCATGACCTTCAGCAGTATTGGGCATTCGTCATCGGTACCACTGTCATCTATCATGTCTTCATCTGCGCTTGGATACTCTTCGTCCATACCACTGTCATCAGCAGTGGCGTCATCAATGGTATCATCGGCAATGTTGTCGTCCGCCATATCGTCGATGGTGCCACAGATGTCCTCTAGCATATCGCAATCGTCGATAGCCGATGTTCTAAGAAAGGCATCGGAGGTAAACAAGATCAAAAGCCTGAGCTCGATAGACGTCAACGATCTACTGGGGAAATGCCAAGAATGTGAAAGGGTGGACCAGGTGCTTGCCTACAAGGATGGAGATCAGTATACCGACTACTCCGGGAACATAAAGTTCCAGGAAAAGGATGGAGGGCTGGTTGATAGCTCAGGACTGTTTGTTGGAAAAGACTGCGGATGCTCAAAGGAGGATATACCCCAGATGGGAAAGATAACCGGGACGGGGCTGTATCAGGACCAGGGTGTTAACAGTGTAAGTTGCCAGAAGCAAGCCAACGCAATTGAGAAATTGTATTCATCTGCGAGCAACATGCCGCAAAGCCCGGGAGTATCTGCAAGCAAAGGACTTTCAGCGGGGGTGTCCCAGGGAGCCGGAGGAGTGATGTCGAGTAAATCTGCGGGAACAAGCTCGCAGGCGGGCGCTGGAAATCAAGCAGGTCAAGGTGTCCAATCCAGCTCACCTACAGGAGGCAACCAAAGCGTCCAGCCGGCCTCATCTGTAGGAGCTGGCCAAGGTGCTCAAAGCATCCAGCCGAACTCTCCCGGAGGAGTCCAAAGCGGGCCATCCTCCCAGAGAATGGCGGAAAGCTCCACCCAAGGAAATACCCTAGTGTCCCAGGACCCATCTTCTCCTATCGGCAGCAGTGTGCAGGAAAATCCTGGGATTTCGATGGCACAACCGGCAAAGAATGAAACTCCTGGGAAAGGCTCTGACCACATACCTCCAAAAATATCTATAAAGGCTGTCAAGGTCAAATACGGGGACTCGTGTGGAGACAACTCCGGCCTTGTTGTCAACCAGACATCCTATGTGCAAGAAGCACCCTCTGAGAAGATTACTGTAACAGAGCCTCCAAAAACCATTACAAAGACGGAAAAGATAGAGCTTCCTCCCACCACCATCATAAAGGAGCTGACCATTATTGAGCCGCCGTGTACGATCGAGAAGGAAGTGACGGATACTCAGGACTCTGAGAATGCAATTGAGGAAAGAACCATCACTCTCCCAACTACAGCTATTGAATACAAAACGGTGAAGGTTACAGCCACAAGAACCGTTTTGCGAACAACAACAGTCTCCAATGATTCCAGAGACGAAGGCGTCGCGGTCTCTACCATTTCTCCGGAGATGGTTGATAATATCAGCGAGGAGAGGCTCGCAGAAGACATTACAACAGTCAACACAACCATAGTGGTGGAGGATCCCGACGATATAGAGTGTGAACAGGAGTGCGAATGTTATGAAGATAACTGTGAGAATCCCTGTGATAGGATAAAATGTGTTTCTGGATGAGCTTGATTGAATTAAATTAGGATATCTACTTAGTTAGGTGTTTTTGAGCTTGCCTACAATTAAATTGGGAAAGTGAAGGCAATGGCAGTGGATTCCAGTTTTCAAACATGGTTTTTGATGTAAAACAATCTGAAACACAGCAGATATAAGGAAAGCTGGTATTGAAACAAAGCGATGATAGCACCTTTGATTTTACTTGGGTGTCTTGTGAGGGCAGACATATTCAGTAATGTCAATCTCGAGAAGATTCTAAATGAAGAGCTGACAGCGGGTAGTGGCAGCAAGCTCGAACCCGATAGTGCCTTCTTGTCTCAAGTTCGGGGGGAGGAGGGCATGTCTTCGGTTTCCAGTGCAACGCTTTCTTCCAGATCTATATCGTCTGCAAGTCAGGTCTCGACCTCGATTATAACTCCTGAGAAGAAGAATGGAGAGGAAATGCCGATTATCATAATAACGCAGGAGAGCTCAAAGAATAAAAAAGAGAGCAAGGACGGAAAGGAGCAAGAGGAAAAGATAGTTAGCATTGTGAGGAATGCAATGTTGGACTCCAAGTCCAATACGTCCCCAATGGTGAAGAACGAAGCAGTTGAGAGTGACAACGGATCTGATAACGAGGAGTTCAGGGAGGAATCCGGTAAGAGCGGAAGGAAGGATAAGCCAGGCACCATCAACACCTCCTCTCCCCTAGTGGGAAAGGCCATTGGAGATAGCAGTGATATGGATTCTTACTGGACAACGGTCATTGTCGATAACAAGTTGAGGAAGGTTAAGGTCAACGTTAAGGTCATGACTGTTGTTGAGGGTATCGACGATGCAGAGGGAGGTTCCAAGGATGGTGATGCAAAGGAGAAGGAGAAGAAGTTCAACTTCTGGAACAAGTCTGAAGAAAAGCAAGAAAAGTCCAAAGATGGAGACATCCCTGCAACCGTCTCTGTTCCCTACAGCAAGAAAAAGGATGAGAAGAAGACATCTCAGGATAGTAAGAGCTCCTCAAGTAGTAGTGGCGGTGGAAAGACAAAGAAGTCAGCAGAGTCCTCGAAATCTACTGAGCCTGAAGTGGTCTCATCTTCTATCTCGTCTGAGAAGAGCACTGGATCTAAGAAAGAGCCAGAAAGCACGAGGACGGCCTCGAAGGCTTCTGCTTCCAGCATTTCCATGAGTGCTGAGACACCGAAGAAAAGCGATAAAGACGAATCCACGAGTTCGAAGCGTAGCAAGTCTGTTGCATCTGTAAAAACACGTTCTGTGTTATCTACCAAAGGCAAGCCATCAGACAAAGGAAAAGAGGGAGGAGCCAAGAGCTCTACGGAGATCAGCAGTACCAGCGAGAAAAGCAAGCATGGATCTGTAACAACAACACTTCTAAGCTATGTCACTACCCAGAGTATATCCACTGTAGGCGTAGTATCTGTATCCAAGAGTAGGAAGAAGGCCTCCTCTTCCAGCGAATCTGCGAGTGCGGTATCCAAGGGACTAAGTCCCAGCATATCTGTTGAATCAAAGAAACCGAAAGGGGGGCCAAAGAGCATCAAAAGCGTGAGCATTTTAGCGTCTAAAAAGGAAGGTAAGGGGGAAGCAGGAAAGAAAGACAAAGATGCCAATCCCGAAATGAACGAGCTTTTCTATGTTCTTAAGAATATGCCTGGAAAGGTCAGTATCAGCAAGTCGGGAGGAAAGATGTTTGTCGAAGGGAACTTCGTCGCGCCAAAGGAAGAAAAGTTGAAGGACAAGAAGTTCAAATTCTCTGGGTACATCCAGGCAACACATAACCAGTGAATTAAACCATTCAATTTCGTATTTTCTTCCAACTCGTCTGAAGATTGAGGATGTCACAGAGGTCTCTTCAAACAAATGAAACATGTTTCAAAGGCAATTTATTGGTAAATACACGAACAAAGCCATTACAGCTTCTTTCTGAATGAGGACAGTGCATAGAGTCAGCATAATAAGAGCCATATACCTTCTTCTGGTTTATAAATGCACTACTGTGCTGTGCCAAGAAGATGAAAGCACTGTTGAAATAGTCTTGTTCAGTAACGGAGCAGAAAAGATAAAGGGCAGAAGCGATGCAAAGAAAGATGCAGACTCTGAAGATAGGTCAAAGACCCTCAAGAGTTTGGTGACAACGCTGGTAAATCATCTTCTGGCAGGCAATAAGCTCAAAAACGGCCTCCTTAGGAGCTACAGAGGGTCTGATCTTCTTAGTGCCTCTAAAGGAGCCCAAGACACCCCAGAGGCGAGCAAGGGCGAAGGAGTCAGTAAGTCGGCAGGGCAGCCTGTCCAGGAGCCAACACCGGAGCTGCTAGAGAAAATAAAGAGAATCCCGATAGGCTACAGAACATTCTGCTCCTTTCTCCAGAATCTGGATCTCATCAGGGACAAGCTGAAGAATAGGCCCGGGATTAGAAAGATACAGAACATCCTGGTCTATGAAGGGTACCACCTTACAGACTACTGGGGAAGGCTGAAGTTCAAAAAGGAAGGAGACAAGCTTGTGGATGAAACGGGATACTTTGAGGGAATCAGGATCAACGGATTTGAGGAGATGCTGAATCAGGGGAAAATGACCAAAACGGGTTTTGTCCAGAAAAAGGACGTGGGAGAAAATGAGATAAATGAAAACCTGATAACCATGAAGTTGCTCCTCAACGAGATAGCCAAAGAAAAAAACACGCCGATCCATGACGTAATCAATGAGAAGTGTAATCTGTCTATTGTCGAAGAGCTGGCATTTTATGGAAGTAGCCCATCCGCCCACAGCGATGAGATAGTGCACGTCTGTATATGCTCAGACTCATTCTGCAAGGAGCCATGCAAGAATGTTGTTGCAATGAAGGCTGGGGAGCTGGAGTTCAAAGACTAGGGGACAAGGCAAACCTGGGATGCGGGAGGGAGACTTGAAACAATTGAAGATGTTTTACTTACTGATTGAGACCTTGTCAATCGGAAGAATGCTGTCGAGCTCAACCTTCTCGTCAGCCATTCTATCCAGGATGTCTCTAAGCTCATAAAGACCAATGTTTCTGTTTGACTTATTGAACCTGATGTTAATCTCATTTGCCTCTGCCTCTTTCTTCCCAACCACACACACAAGAGCGTATCCACTTGTTTCGGCGGTTCTTATTCTCTTGCTCAGTGTGTTGCCATCGTCAATCACATCTAGCCGGAACCTAGCAAGCACAGATCTCACCTTGCCAACATAGTCAGGATTTCCCATGTTCACAATTGCTATCTGCCTCGGAGATATCCAAAACGGCAATCTCTTTCCAAAGCTTTCGAGAATGATGGCAATCATTCTTTCAATGCTTCCGAGGATGGCCCGATGAATTATAACGGGTGTTCTACACTGACCATCACTGTCCCGGTACTTCAGCTCAAATCTCTGAGGAAGCTGAAAATCTAACTGAATGGTCGCACACTGGATTCGTCGTCCAAGGGCATCGTGAAGTGTAATGTCAATCTTGGGCCCGTAAAAGGCCCCATCTCCCGCGTTAATCTTGAAGGGCATATTGCTTTCGTCCATGGCATCCGCAAGGGCTTTCTCTGCCCTGTCCCATTCGTCAACAGACCCAAGATACTTTTCCGGCCGTGTGCTTAAGACAAGCTCAAACCTGAATCCGAAAACCCCGTAGACAAAACTTAGAAATTCTAGGCACCCCTTGATTTCTTCCTTGACCTGGTCTTTAGTACAGAATATGTGTGCATCGTCTTGCTGGAATCTTCTTACTCTTGTTAGCCCTGTCAGGGTTCCACTGAGCTCGTTTCGATGTAAGACCCCGAAGTCTGCAAGCCGGAGTGGAAGGTCTCTAAAGCTGTGGTCTTGGTGCCTGAACATCACGCAGTGCCCAGGACAGTTCATGGGTTTTAGTGCAAAGGTGTCCCCTTCGATAATAAACATATTTTCCTTGTAGTTCTGGAGATGGCCGCTCTCCTCCCAAAGCTGCGTACAGAAGATATTCGGTGTTATAACCTCCTTAAATCCTCTTTTCCTGTACTCTTCTCTTAGAAACTCAATCAGCGTGTTGTACATGGTAGTTCCATTCGGCAAAAAGAAGCATGATCCCGGAGAGTATTTCGAAAAGAAAAAGAGATCAAGCTCAGTCCCTATCTTCCTGTGGTCCCTTTCCTTTGCCTCTTCTTTTCTCTTCAGATATTCATCCATCATACCCTTCGAAGGAAACGTGATTGCATAAATCCTCTGGAGTGACTTTAAGTTCGGATCGTTGAGAAAATAGGCAGAGCTATTCTTGAGGACCTTGACTGCCTTGATAACCCCCGTAGATCGAATATGAGGCCCCAGGCACATGTCGAAAAAGTCTCCGTTCCTGTACACAGAGCTCTCCTTATCAACTCCCTTCATGATGAAATGTGTCTTGCAAGGATTGTCCCTGTAGGCCTCCAGGAGCTCCTCTTTGCTTTTGATTACCCTTTCAAACCTATAGTTTTTCTTCATGATCTTAACCATTTCCTCCTCGATCTTCTCATAGTCTTCAGATGAAATCGGGTCTGTTACATCAACATCGTAAAAAAAACCCTCTTCGATAGGTGGCCCATGCACCAGCTTTGCATCGGGATATAGATTTACCAGTGCATTCCCCAGTACGTGTGCAGAGGAATGCCAGAAAATGTCTCTAGCCCCGTCATCCTCAAATGTCATCAGCTCCAGCTTACAGTCTTTCAGTATCTCCGAGGACATGTCGGAATACACCCCATCAATCCTGCAGGATATCACGTCTTTTCTGTCCTTAAAATAATCGCAGAGGATATCATATGGCGTCGTTCCCTGGGTAACCTCTAGAACCTTGTCTTCCAACTCTACCTTCAGTTTAACTTCATACATTTCCAGGGGTAGCCTTCTTTGCCATAAAGGTCAGACTCAAGGCATGCTGAACCCCTTACCTCCACAGCCCTTTTCTGCCCCTCAGACAAAAAGCACTCAAGAGCCCTTGCCATCACTCTTGGAATCTCGTAGTGAACCCTCTTGTGCATAAATCTTATACTTCTATAAAGAAAGATGGCTTGATCGCAGGACACTTCCTTAATGACCTTCCTAAAGGAGAAAATCAAAATGATCCTGTGTTTCAGGCAGAGTCTTGTGTTAAAGAAATCATCCACGGCATCACCTGCAAGAAACCCAAAGGACTTCCGGAGAAGGGAAGAAATGGCATCGACCTTGTGCTCCTCAAATCCGTCGTAGCCGACAAGCACCTCGAGTGCTTCCTTACCTCTGTGCTTCAATGTTCTTTCGGTTGCACTTCCGACCAAATCTGGAAAGCATTTGAAGCTGATCTCGATCTTTTCGATGTCCTTCTCCTCTGCAATGATCTTAATCGCCTCTTGGAGGTACCTTGGTCTCCAGCTACTCCTAACAATCCCAAGGTCGTTTTCCACCCTCTTGTAACGACTAAATGCATTGCTTGGATCTACAAAGGCATGTTTTCTGTCTTTCTTCAGCACACAGGGGGGTATGTCGCCAATCATTCTCTGTGCCTCGTCCATGGACTCTACGCCAAACTCACATGTATTCAGCAAAACACTTGCGACAATGGCTCCGTGCTCATAGTATACCCTGCGTCCATCGCTGAAGTGGCACCCAACACCAGCTATAAGGGTATCCATCTCGTCAGAGTCTATGCTGTGGGTCCTCAACGCCAGCACTATGCACCTTGTAAAGAAAAAATCATCCTCTTCGTCGAGGTCGACAGACGAAAAACTTGCTGCCAGCGCTTTGAATAGAATCTTGGGATTACTTATGGTCCTTATGATGTCGTAGGACAGTTCTGAGCGTTGCTCTATGCAGTACCTCGTTATGCACTCTAGCTCAAATCTGTCGTTCTTGACCATCTTTCTCTTATGCTCATAGAGAAGCACTTGCGACGACACATCGAGATCATCATAAAACTCCAAAAACTCCGGGTGCCTCCTGCTTGGGTTTCTTCGGAGATATAGTCCAATAAAGCCGGCTACGTCCTGGCATCTTCCAAGAGCCTCCTTCATAGATAATGAGCAGTCCTCTACCTTCTTAACTTCATTCCTCAGGATATCCATTGGGGATAGATAGTGGCGTCATGTATATCAAAGCTCTTTATTAGTTCTAATGAGTCAAGGAAGCATTTGTAAGTACCTGTTTCTTAAACTACAGATTGTGGAGACATCTCCAACCGACTTGTAGCGGTACTGTTAAGAGATGAAACCTTTATGTCGTTGACCAGCGGCGCTAGCTTTTCAACAATATCGTCTATTACAGCATCGTCAGAAACTATTAGACTCTCATCAGAGATTTTCTTTTGCTTTATCTTTTCCACAACACCATCAATGTTCTGCTCTTTGTTACCTTCATCCTCGCCAAGGCCCATCGTCTGTGGAGGTGCTGAGAAAGTCGATGGGCCATGGGAGACAGAGGATTCCCTCAGCGGGGAAAGTGATGAGAAAGGCGGCTTTTGTACTTCAGAAGTTTCCACGCTGGCCGTCAAAGGGGAGCTTTCAATGAAACCTGTCGTTACCTTAGTGGAGGTATCTTCCTCATTATAGATCGACGATCTTGATATGACAGGGGATATTGCCTCAGAGCTGAAAATGCTTTCGTTCATAGGGCTTTTTTGATTCTGAGCAGACCTGAGACTTAGTAGTCTGTCTCCTATCTGACTAACTTTGTCAGAAAACGCGTCCAATTTCTTTTCAAGCCTTTTCACATGCTCTTCAACAACAGAACTCACAGCGCTGAGATGCATGCTGCTATCAAACTCCCTTATTGCCGTAGTCCTGATTGTGTCTGTTACGGTTTTGCATTCGGCATCCGTTTCATTTACTGTCCTTGGAAGTGCATCTCTATCATTTTTGGATTCAGGGGACTTAGTAAACATCGGGTTCTGCAGGCTCTTCAGCATTCTTTCTTTTCTAAGTATCTTCTTGCCATCAAGCTTTTCTGTGGCAGCAGGCCCTCTGAGGCGCGAAACTATGGATGGAGGATACTCCTTGCTGCCTACCTCATTCGGGAGATTGGAGTCATCGGGGATCGGAAAAATAGTTGCATCCAACTCATCCTCATTTGTGTTGCCATCCTCTAAACTTCTCCACAAACCGTCTTTCTTGTAGGCCAGTGAAGAAAGATCTTCTGCAGAATCTTCGCTGCCTGGTGCTCCTAGACCGTCCCTGCCACCCCCAATGAGATCGTATATCCTGCTTTTGGAGCTGCCATCCAAGTCGGGCTCCACGATGCGAGACCTATGCCTCGGTTTGGGGCGTCTCTCTGACAGCAAGGACATACTGCTCTTTTCATAAATAGCTCCATTCTTATGTAGATTATATAACTTCTTCAGTAGCAAGAGAGCGTTATCCTCGTCTCTTTCTCTCCCTCCCACAGATAGTATCATGTTTACAAGGTTCTTGTACTGTTCCTCATTTATGGCAATTCTTCTGTATAGTTCGTCCAGCTTCCTTCCATGGTCTTCATAGATAGATGCACCGGAGCTTTCCTTAATCTTAGAGCTCACGGCACTAAGAATGCGCGGATTTCGTAATTCCACGCTGGGAATGGCAGAGTTCATCAGTGTGTAATTTCTAGTCCTTGTGGTCGTCTCAGTTACCGTAGTTATGACTTTCACAACCTTTATGTCTTTGCTGCTCATGGAAGATGGGCCTTTGTTCTCAGAAGCAGTGGTACTACTTCTTAACATGTCAAAGATACTTCTTACCAGTTCCCTGGTAGGGTCGTCGCGGAACGGGGTCTCTACCTCTTTTGTAGAGGAAATGGCAGACGAGGATTTACAAGTGGTGGCTACATAGCTTTTCTCGGTACTGGAAGATGCTGTCTGGGGAATAATAGATGTCCTAGATTGCTGGGTCATCGCATCGGCATTCCCGCCTGGAGTGCTGTGGTTTGCCAGGCTAAGAAGACTCTTGATTTTCTCAAGAATTTGGATATCTAGCAAGTAACTCGGTATTCCAGCATTTTTGGCCAGACTTAGCTGCGGTCCGGCATCGGATCCCTGGTCTTCCACAGACCTTATCTTGTGTCTCCCGCTCTCTTCCTTCCCTACAAATATCGTCTTCAAAATAGTTTTTGTGGTGTCGTTGGCGCCCTGATAAATGGAGGCCCGTTGTCTTGTAACCGTCCTAGTTGTGAGTATGGTTTGTGTTTCAACCCTCTTTAAAGGTTCGCTATGAGCATCCTGTTTTCTGATCTTAGTCGTTGTTGTTGTTACACTGGTTGTCTTCAGGGTAACTATGGAAACAGAACTGCTGGCGTGTATCCTATCCTCCTCATCCCTTCTGGAGCCAGTACCTGCTTCCGGACCTAAGTCAAAGGACTCCCTAATGAATACAGGTATCACATTGTTTTTCTCTAAAATTACAGGTTCTGCACGGTCTACTGTAACTCGCGGTAGAATATTTGGAGGAGCTGGGGCACTATCGACCAGGTCCAGGGGCAGAGTAGGGTATTCAGCCGAGCTTTTAGTGCAAATCCTTTCTATTCTGGGATTGTTCAGAACATACTCATAAAGAGCCTTTAGATCATCGCTTATGACCAGACGCTCCTTTGTTCTATGGCTTCTACTGGCCCAGTCATATAGGTCACAGATTTTATATACTGATCCTTTATAAGAAATGGTGTTGCCATCTCTATCAAAAATCTTTCCTGGCGGCCTCCATACTACACCACCGCCATTCTCAAGGATTCCATTGCCGGTGCCTTTCTCGATATTCTTCTCCACAAACTTAATGAAAGGCTTCTCTTCCTGTGGCACAATTTTCTTGACAGTTATGATTGCCGGCTTTTTGGCCTCAGCAATCCTTAGAGCCTTAGGATTTCCATTCCTGGGGTTTCGTATTTCCGAACAAGAGTCTATGCATCTCAAGTCGCCAGTCTTACAATCGCAAAAGATTTCCCGGATGGGGTTTCCTTCGTTGATCCGCAGCTTCATAGCTTGAGCAGTTACATACCCGGCCATAAGAAAAAATCCAAGAGACAGTTGGGCGCCAAGCATATGATCTTTTGTTTACCTTCCTTTCCTTGAGGTTTTATTTTGTTTCACGTGTGATGGATTGGAGCTAAAAATAAGGTACTAGTAAGTAAATAGAACAGCGCCTGATAACATGCATGTTCTCCAATACTAATTTCGAGGCCGGATAGTGCCTGTTCTCTATCCCATTCCTACATCAAAGGTATGGATAATAAACAAAAGCAAAACATTGTTTTGGGTTGTCTATAAAAGCTTACGTGTATTTATTTATATATAATGAGGTGCAGGACATTGCTGCTTCTAGTCTTCAGGTGTGCCCTTCTCTCGATAAATGCAAGTGTTTCTTCTGATCATAAGAAGGGGGTGGTGGAGAAGGCCAATCAAGAAATAGCATATCACCCAGGAGGAAGCAACGAAAAGGTCGGGGTGAAGGGAACCCAAGTTGAATCGGACGGGCTATCTCTTCGAAGACATACCGATGAGGGAGGCTTGGTTGTATTCCTGGCTCCAAATCCTCACGAAGAGTGGAGCTTCTCGTACACGTTTACCAATGCGAGGCTTAGGTTCCCGCATATAGGCGGTGTATATCTGTGGTATACCTCCGATATTCAGGATCAGGGTGTCTATAGGGGAGGCCACGATCTGTTTGAGGGAATCATGGCAGGGATCGAGTTTAGAGGATCACAGCCCGAGATAGTCATGGCAGTGAACGATGGAAAAACAAGTTTCATGGGTTCAGAGGAGATGACCCTGTACAGAGATACAATAAACCCCGAAAGACTCAAGGGGGTGAAAGACATCACGGTCAAAGTGATCTCCACAAACAAGAACTTCAAAGTTGAACTATATGACGGAGATAGACTGCTCTACGATAGCTTTAGATATTACCGCAAAGGAACATTGGCTGGGATCGGCTCTGGAAAGTATTTCAACATCACGTCATTCTATGACAAGGCACCTTCGGACAGCGTCTATAAGCTTAAGGAGGCACAGCTATTTGAAAGAACAGAAACAAGCGAATATGAAGTTCACAGCGTCCATGCCCCGCCTGTAGACAAGACCCCGAGATCCCCGGATGGGATTATCCACGAGGACGAGGAGATAAGACATCTTATTTCGAAGATCGAATATCTGAACGAGTATCTCCACTTGGTGGTCGGCGAGCCCCATGGCTCATCGTTCGACAAGGTTGTACACGTTATTTCGGAGCAGCTTAAAACGCACATGAAAAAGATTGAAGATGCCGTTGCGGCGCTAAGAAGCGGAGGCAGCTCGGAAACGAAGTTTATGAACCTGAATGAAAAGATGAATGGGGTTGACATAAAGCTTCAGAAGATCCAGAAGGCGTTCGCTGACCTGGACCATGCTGTGAACTCTCTTAAGAACGATTACAGCCGCAGCTCCAACTTTCTGGTTTACATAATTCTGGGGATTGGGGTTGCAGGATTTGGATTCGCTGCAATGAAAGAATACAATGCCCTGAAGTTTAGGCAAAAAGCCCTCTAAGGAATAAATACTTCGAGTATCCTGTATTTGTATTAAAAGCCCAGTCATTTTATCCTGCATGAGAAAGTTTTGGGAGGAAATACAAAGGCCATACTTTGCCGTTGCGCCCATGGTCGGAAACTCCGAAGAAGCATGGCGCAGATTGTCAAAAAGACATGGAGCCAACATCTTCTATACGGAGATGGTGCACTGCGACTCGTTTCTGCGTGGATCAAGAAATCCAGTGAAGAATCGGTGGTACACAACATCAGAGGGAGACAGGCCTCTGGTAGTACAAATATGTGGAAATTCTCCAGAGGTGATGCTTGAGGCAGCCCTGATAATACAAGATCATTGCGATGCAATAGATGTGAACTTTGGGTGCCCACAGAAGGTGGCTAGGAAGGGAGGCTACGGGGCATATCTACAAGAAAACTGGAAATTGACAGGGGAGATAGTAAAAGTCCTTTCCTCAGGTCTTAATGTTCCTGTCTTCTGTAAGATAAGAGTGTTCGGATCCATAGAAAAGACGGTTGAGTATGCAAAGATGATTGAAGAGGCAGGATGTTCCTTGCTAGCCGTGCATGGTAGAACGAGGGACCAGAGGGGAGCCGCAATGGGATTCGCAAGCTGGAAGCATATCAGGGCAATCAAAGAGAACCTCAGAATCCCTGTTCTTTCGAACGGAAATATCATGACTCATCATGATGTCTGGAGGTGCTTGGAGTATACAGGATGTGATGGGGTGATGGTCGGGGAGGCCCATCTCCACAATCCTCTTATATTTACCGGAGAAGACAGGTCGTGCCTGGAGATAATTGGAGAGTACCTGGATATATGCATGGAGTTTCCCGGAAGTGCAGATGTAAGACACATCAAGTCACACATGTTTAGGCTTCTGTATAACTACTTCAGTATGAATCCGGGAAAACAGCCTGATCTCGATTCCTGCGGCTCCGTGGAAAAATTCTATGAGTTTTATTTGAGTCTTGTAGAGGAGATGAGGTCTATGGTGGATGACGGGAGGAGCCTTGAGGTTTACAAGATGAAGTCCCGTCCTATTCTTACTGCGCCCATGGCCGAGCACTGTGGTAAGAGCAGATAAGAGAATATATCTTTTTTATAAATACCCCACCTCAATGGCTGAGAAAGATATTCCAAGCTTGATAGAGGAGGAGAATGGTATCAAGGAAGACTTAAAGATTTGTGAAGAAACCCTGGAGAACATAGGGGCCCTGGCCATCCGCATACAATCCTTTTCAAGATCGGTATCCAGCTTAGGCCCTGGCAACCCGGAGGCTGAAAGGTTATCCAGGCAAGCAGATTTGTTTAATAAGGCTGTCCTGAGGCTGGGAAGCCAGAGATCTAAAAAAAGAAATGAAAAAAAGGAGGAAATGATCAGATCCAGGGTGGGTGTTGAAGAAGGGTATATGGAGAATACGGGTACGCCTCAACCGGTTACTGATGACGATTTCTTTTCTTCCAGCACCAAAAGAATAAATGATGTGCTGATGAATGCCATGGATGCATTTGAGACAGTCAAGAGACAAAATGTATATATAAGCAGGACAAACGAGAGAATAAGAGCGGGCCTGAATCGAATAGGCCTTAGCAAACAGCTTATTGACCAAATCGACAGAAGATATTTATCAGACAGGGTCCTCTTCATGGGAGGAGTTGTATTGCTTGTTGTTGTGTTTTTTCTTCTTAGGTTTTTCTTGTGACAGGTCCTTAGACCAATGCCTATGGAGATCTTCTTCCATATTAAAAAGTTTCTATAATTTCTATTCTTGAATCCCAGGAGCATTACAAGCCGTGACTTTGTGTCTTTCTCTGCCCAAGGAGCTTGTCAATTCTTTGAACGATTCTCTTTGTGTTGAGCTTAAATCTAGACTTCTTCATGGCCTCAAGCAGATATGAGGCTCTCTTAAATGCAGCGGAAACAATTGAATATCCCCTTCTGTATTCCCCCCGCGAGAGCTTCTTTATCGATAGCCATTTGATCTCCTCAATCTCCTTTCTGGTCTGTGCTTGAAACGGAAAGTCAACCTTGACATTGAATACAAAATACAGCGTGATTTTGTCGAATATTGTTATCGGAAGGCTACACACCTTGTTCTGGACATCGTACCCTGTTTCCTCATAGACCTCCCTGACGGCACATCTTGTTCCGTCCTCATCCATGCACTTTTTTCCCTTCGGGAAGGAGTAGTTCTTTGTCCTCTTTTTTTCCTTGACAACCAGCACGTGAGAGATGCTTGGATCCACGAGAATTGCCCCGTAGACCTTTACAGACTGCCTGTACCTAACAAAGCTCTTGAGGGCATCCTCGATGTTTATCTTGATTCCAACATGGTCCAGAAGTTGCTTACTAAAGTCTGCGAAGGACACGTCAGAGACCCCGTAGTTGTCGATCAGAAACCAGTGTGCCTCCTCCACCGCAAAGAAAAGACGTTCTACAGTGTTTCTCTCTTGCTCTTCTAAGCAAACCAGGAATCTTGAGGCTATACTATCCAAAATATCCGAAGAGATCATCCAGGGCTCGATGAATTCTATTTTGACACAACATAAGCCCTTAGATGAGCAGAGACAAATCCGAGCGGGATAACCTTCAGGACACAACCACAATAAACCTGAGGAGGCGCAGGAGAGTAAAGGAGGGCAAGGCAGCCTCCAAGCCGCCGCAGGTGTATCCATTGATGAAGTGTAAGCTGAGATATCTGAAGTTGAAGAAGCTGGCGCACTTATTATCTTTAGAAGACAACATACTGAGCTTATGCGAGCCAGACAAGTCGTCCGAGGGATCGAATAGCCAGAAGCATGTTGTTGAGCAGCTTCGCGGGAGCCCTCTTTCTGTCGGGACGCTTGAGGAGTTTGTCGACGACCACCACGGAATAATTACCACGGGTGTTGGGTTGGAATACTATGTCAACATCATGTCGTTTGTTGACAAGGACCTACTTGAGCCTGGATGCACTGTTCTCCTGAACTACAAAGACAATAGTGTTGTGGGCGTTCTGGAGGGGGAGATGGATCCAATGGTCAATGTCATGAAGTTGGAAAAGGCACCTTCGGAGACATATGCGGACATCGGGGGGCTTGAGGAACAGATCCAAGAGATAAAGGAAAGTGTTGAGCTTCCACTGACGAACCCCGAGCTTTACCAGGAAATGGGGATAAAGCCCCCAAAGGGAGTGATTCTGTACGGACTTCCTGGAACAGGGAAGACTCTCCTAGCCAAGGCCGTTGCAAACCAGACATCTGCAACTTTTCTTAGGGTTGTTGGGACGGAGCTTATACAGGAGTATCTCGGGGAAGGCCCGAAGCTTGTAAGGGAGCTCTTCAGGGTTGCAGACATGCATGCACCATCAATAATTTTTATTGACGAGATAGATGCAATTGGAGGGAAAAGGTACAATACATCCTCTGGTGGGCGGAGGGAGGTCCAAAGGACGATGCTAGAGTTGCTGAACCAACTGGATGGATTTGACACCAGGAACGATATCAAGGTGATAATGGCCACGAATAAGATAGAAGCCCTTGACCCGGCTTTGATCAGGCCTGGCAGAATCGATAGGAAAATCGAGTTTGGCATGCCGGATGCCGCTACAAAGAAGAAAATATTCGATATTCATACATCGAGGATGACACTGGATGAAAGTGTGAACATCGAGCTACTAATAACGAGCAAGGAGGATTTGAGCGGAGCTGATATAAAGGCAATCTGCACAGAGGCTGGTATGATAGCATTGAGAGAAAGGAGAAAAACAGTTACCATGAAGGACTTTATTTCTGCAAGAGAAAAGGTATTCTTTTCAAAGCAAAAGATGGTTTCTGCTGGGCTTTATTCCTGAATAAATTGTTCCTTGCCATTTGGTTTGCAATACTTCGTATGGTTAACCATGTGTACTCGAACTATTCCTTTGGCAATTTCTCTATTTGCTTCAGCAGCAGACTGATCCTGTTACTTGTTACTGGCTGGTTTTTCTTGGTCCTTTGCATATATAGCCTTCTTTCAGCTATCCTATGGGCTCTGATTCTTTCTATCTCTTCCTCTGTTTTTTTCCTTCTTTTGTCCTTGAGGTCTTTGCTTTTTCCCTCGCCATTTTCGCCTTCGCGTTTCATTGAATCAAACATGTGGGCTCAAGTTATTACTTCCTTACAAACCTGTTGGCCTTCATTTTAGATCCGATGAATATGTACTCCACTCCGTCATGAGTAATCGCAAAGTCAGTTCTTTTTTTTAGGTAGGTTTTCACAGAGTCATCTTCTAGGACGACAATTATCGAATTGACTCTCTCCTCAACAATAATTCCCGCTCTTCCCCCTATAACTTTAATCCTTGCGCCGGTTAGTTCGCACATATACATCTTGTTTACAAAAGTGGACGGGCTCATCGTCCCCTTCAGTGCAGTCAGGTATTCTCCAAACATCTCGTTTATCTTTGCAAAGTCTTTGTACTTTATTTTTTCTTTTTCGATGGCGGGGATTGCTGCGCTCTGCTTCTTTTTTGAGATTTTTATGTCTCTGTTTGTTAATGCAAATGGCTGAGAAAGCGCCCTGATTGTTTCCTTCTTCATGTGCGCGCCGTAGTGATCCTCCACATTGAACATCCTATGCTTTGACTTAGGGATTAGAAAATACACCAATGTTGCATTAGTATGGAGAAGAGAAACAGAGAGTTGGCTAAAGAAAATGCAGAGCTCAAAAGAAGGATAGGGACTATGAGAAGAACTGAAGGAGAGTTACTTAAGGATAGCATAAAGAAGGGATATCTTGGATCTAGAATGTGCAAAAGAATCTCTGTGGAACTTGAAAAAAACATCACCACCATTGAAGGCGTACTGGGCAACCTTAAGGAGCTTAGAGAGGATATCATTGAAGGTGGATATAGAGAGACACTAGGAGACAAGCTGAACCTACAGGGGTGAGTGGAAGGCCTGAAGGCCTAATTTGGTTTGAAGTGGATTTTGGCTTGTTATTTTGGGCCCTGCATGACTGCAGTAGCGCAAAAGATAATAGAGAATTTGAAAATGCAGGACGAGGTAAGATCTTCTGACATAGACGCACCCTACTCAGAGATACACGGGGCCTTGATAAGTCTTGAGAGCAGGGGGATATGCAACGTGAAGATGGAGGAATCATATGAGGAGGTACTAACTCCGGAAGGCGAGGAAGTGGAAAGAAGTGGGAGCCAGGAGTATCTGTTGCTTGAATCAATAGGAGAAGACGGTATGAGTATTGAGGAGCTAGAAAGGCATAGCCTTGGGAAAATGAATGCCTTTAGGAATAAATGGATAAGGAGAGAAGGGAACAGGGTTTTCAGGAATGTGGAGAGTATTGAGGATACGGTTCGAAACATGGTGATCAGCATGAAGAGGGGAACAGCAAGCGCTGAGGAAGTTGAGGCACTAAGGAAGAGGAAGCTGGTATCCAGAAGGAAGAAGATTGTATTTATAGCCACTAAGGGGCCTATGTTCTTTGACAACACTTCATATGTCACTGAACTAACGTCTGAGATGGTCCTCGATGGATCCTATAGGGACCTAAGCTTCAAGCATTATAACTTTAATGCCGAAGGAAATGCTCCCCAATGTGGATCGATTCATCCTCTTATGAAGATAAGAGAAGATTTCAGAAGAATATTTATTGAGCTAGGGTTTAGTGAGATGGCAACCAATCAGTATGTGGAGTCATCCTTCTGGAATTTCGATGCGTTATTCCAGCCCCAGAATCATCCATCCAGAGATGCACACGATACTTTTTTTCTTCTGAATCCAGAGCTAAGCACGGACTTTCCCTCGGATTATCTCAAAGAGGTTGGGGAGACCCATCGCGGAGGAAAATATAACTCGTTGGGATACATGAGTAACTGGGACATTAAGGAGGCACAGAAGAACATCTTGAGAACGCACACAACGTCTGTCAGTGCTAGAAACCTGTATAGACTTGCAAAGAAGGAATTCAAGCCAGCAAAGCTCTTCTCGATTGACAAGGTCTTCCGAAATGAAACTGTTGATGCAACGCACCTCGCCGAGTTCCATCAAGTGGAGGGACTAGTCGTTGGTAAGGGCTTGAACTTAACTCATCTAATGGGGATTCTTCGGGAGTTCTTCAACAGACTGGGGATGGGCGACATCCGATTCAAACCTGCATTCAATCCATATACTGAGCCTTCGATGGAGGTGTTTGGGTATCACAAGGGAATGGACCGGTGGATAGAGGTTGGAAACTCCGGGGTATTCCGGCCGGAAATGCTAAGGCCAATGGGCTTTGATTCTGATGTGAGTGTTGTTGCATGGGGGCTATCTCTAGAAAGACCTGCCATGATAAAGTACGGGCTAAAGAATATCCGAGAACTTGTTGGGCATAAGGTTGACATTGAGTTTTCAAGGAAAAGTGAAATATGCTTCTTCGATTAAATACTTTCTTTATATTGCATCACTGGAGAATCTCCCCTTTGGTTGGATGTTTTATTTGAGTAGAGCAGTTGTGAATACAGATTTATACATGAGAGTACTCTGCAGTCCATCAGATGTCTATCTGGTGCAGTCCTCGTCGATAGCTGTTTACGAGATCAGGTATAGAAGACTAGCATATGTGAAGAGGGTGAAGTTCTTTGATGTAATCAAGTCAGCAGCCATTGTTGGCGATGAGCTTCTTGTTGCCTTCAACGGGTATTTTGTACTTTTGGACAGGCTCTTGAATGAAAAGACTCGCCACAGGCTTGGAAGAAGTTCTATGGACTACAGACATGCTGGGGCATACATTGGGTGTGGAGAGAACAGTATCTGCCTTGCATCTTTTTTTGGGCATACTGTTTTTTGTGCTTTGGAGGACGGGATGCAAGATTTCATCGAATGCTCTTCTGATGGGAGTACCATCATAGATCTCAAGGCGGTAGAGGGCACAAAACGCTATCTTTTACTCGAGAGGAGTTGCCATGGTGGAACGGTTGTCAAAATTTATGAGCATATGGCAGAAGTGGTGAAGGTAGTGAGGGAGGTAAGCGTTCCTGGGGGGTACCTAATTGTTCCGCTGGGAGATAACTTTGCGATATTCTCGAGGGACGGGATGTTTCTTTTTAGAGGTCTCGAGGAGATTGAAATTTACAGAATTTCTAGGGGATTATCTGGAGACCTGGTTCTTCTTAAGGAAAGCGGAGAGCATGGATGTGCCAGTGGACTTGAGACTAGGATGTTTACATGCTATGGATCTTATTATGATGGAGAATGCCTGTTAACGTTAGTGGTGGATGAAGAGGGTGAGCTTTACAACCTTGAGGCTAACCCGTCTTTGAGGCATGTTGGTAAGATAAATCCATCCAAAGATGTAGAAATACATCCTTCTGGGTTCCTGATCTCCATAGGTTACAATTCTAACAACTGCATGTACTGTCTAAAAAAGGAAGGCCCGAATGTCAGGATTGAGCTAGTCGATGTTCTTGAGACGATCAAAAGATTCAGTACCGCGACAGTAACGTTTGACGGACTATACCATGTGTATGTTTCTGATGGCTGTTATGTCGGGGAAATTGTAGAAAAGGCATCTTTCTTCTTCTTGAATGAGCTGAAGCTTTTTAGAAACGAGGAGGAGAGGGTGGTGAGGAGTGTGCTTGGCTGTGGAATGTTTGTATGTGCCCAATACGATGAAGAGGCCCATTGTCTTTTTCTAGAAGGAGAAAGGCTGAGGAGCTTGTATAAGTTTGTAGCTAGAGACGAGATAGTTGGATATTTCAGATTAGGAAAAACTGACTTCTACGTGACGGCAGAAACAGTGAAGGCCTGTGATGCGAATGGTAGAGATGGACTAGTGATGAAGGAGTATAAAGTGGACTATGATTCGTTTTCGTCGAACGGTCACTGCATATTTCTTGGGCATAAAAACAAAATAGTTAAGCTGGGGCCTGAAGGGCTAGAAACCATTGAGATAGGGTTTTCTATTAAGGAAATAGAGGCAGACGAAAGACACTTATTTATATTGACTGGAAAAAGAGTTCTTAGGGTATACAGGATCCATGATAGGAAGTTTGTGTTTATTCAATCATTCCATTTTGATGTGATATTTTTATCTTTTGCTGATGGATGTCTATACACGATTGGAGCAGAGATACATAGATTTACAATCAACGAGGATGGCTCTCTCTCTCTGCCTTCTAGGCTGAAGTCCACTGGAAGGCCTATCGGAAAGAAGAGAGGCCTTGTGATACTTGAAGAAGGAATTGTAGATCTCAAAGACGGAAAGGTTTTGAATGTAGATGGGTGGAAGAGTGCTTTCGCAGGGGACATGCTGGTGATTGCCAATGAGTATGGGCTAAAGGTTTATGGGTGTAGGAAAGAAAGAGTATTCCTGGTCGACGATGCACTTGACACTGGAGGGGAATATAAGATCATAGGTAGAGAATCTGTGTATATTGATAATGGAATTGATGATTTCAGGATAAGGAGATTCGACAAGTCTCTAGTGATGGAGGGCCGCGGAAAAGCCATGGACTTTTCTTCTTCAGAATACCAAATCGTCTCTGTATGCGTTGAAGAGTCTGGACGCGAGGATTCCAAAGCTTACTTCCTGAAGGTATACAGAAAAGGAAACTTTCTGTACGATTTTGGAATGTCCTGCAGAGTTGGGGTGATTTGCACGAATGGAAAAGAGGTTTACTGTGGAGTGGAAGATAGGCTGTACTGCTATGAAGTGGGGATAAAAGCATTGCTCAGGAAGTTTAAGCTAAAGTTTCCGTCAAGGATAAGCAGAGTGTGTGCTGGTGAGGCTCGAGTGTTTATAGGAACGGAAAAGGACTCGGTGTTTATGGTGGCGGGCAGAAGAGTAATATGCGGGGATCCATTTCCAAGACACGTGGTTGCCTTGGAGAGGATGAGCGATGGAAATTTGTTAGTTGGGGATAGGACTGGAAATATAGCTGTTATGAAGATAGTAGGCGACTCTCTGGTTTCTGCTGCTTCGATATTTATTAATGACATGGTCGTTCAGTTTATTTCTCAGGACAGGATTTTTGGAGTATGCATGAGTGGTAAGGTAGTTGAGGTGATAAGGATTGATGAAGAATTGTTTGAGCTTCTTGAAATGATTGGGGGGAAAATAGCAGAGGGTCTGGGCAGACCGTTTTTCCAGGCTTTCAGAAGAAATAGATTTATTGATGCAGAGTACGTTGGAGAGTTTAATAGGCTGGAGGAGAAACAAATCAAAGAGGTATTTGAGGGGGGCAGTACCAGTATAGAAAAGATACTTGAGATCATCAATTCGATTTGAGATTTTTCTTGGGACAATTTGAGTCAAGAAAAATTAACCCCATTTGGCATGTACAAAATCGAGCCTATGCTTCCTAGCGACATTCTTTCGTTGGATTGGATAAACCTGGACGAGACATCTGAAAGCTTTCCTTTTAGCTATTATCTCTACTACTTAATCAACTACAGCGAGGACTGCATCATCATTCCCTCATTGTTGGAATACGAGACGTCCTTTACATACAAGAGAGATATATATGGATACATGATAGGAAAGCTGGAAGAGAAGGACGGCGTTATAAGTGCACATGCTTCTGCAGTTTCTGTCGCTCCTTCCTATAGAAGAAATCGCTTTGGAAAGATGTGCATGGATGTGATGGAGAAGAGTGGGGACGTTTACAACGCATACTTTGCCGATTTGTATGTTAGAGAGGGAAACACAACTGCAATTGAATTTTATAAAAAGCTAGGATATGTTACTTATAGAAAGGTGTTCAACTATTATGTCGATGGGGCCGAAGAAAATGCTCTTGACATGAGGAAATCGCTGAAGATGGATAAAGATAAGGTATATATGGCGAGGGGCGTGGACATTCAAGCCTCTAAGCTAAGGTAACTGGTAATAAACTTGGGTTGCAATCTTCTGTAGTTTTCTAGAGTTTAGTAACCTGTGTGCAAAGGTCTGTTTTTATTTTCTGAGCGTGTATATCACAGGGACTTTCTGTATCTTACAAATTCATCAAGGCTTGCAAAGTTTCTGCCTTCGTATACCAGGTGCTCGTCTACCGTAATGTACTCTTTATGGTTACGTCCGTCACGATATAGCATACAAAGCTTTCCAGGATACTTCCTGCTGAGGCAAAATCCGTATCTTATATAACTCCCTCCCTGATTAAGATAGTCCAGAAGCTTTTCCTCATTCTCAAAGTAATACTTGTGGTTCTTTATGTTTTTGAAGTTCGTGAGCATCTTTTTAGCCACCCTAGATATGAACTCGTCCAAATCGTCGTACGAGTTGCCCTTGTAGTAGTATTTCTCTGCCTCTTGTATCTTCATGTGAATATATATTCCATCCGATACCTTTAGAACAACCACCGGAGAGCAGTCTTTTCGACTTCTTCTTAGAAGTATAGAGGAAGAGTGGTCTTTAAGATATTCTTCAGACTGCTCACTGTTAAGATCTTTAAACAAGGGGTGGGTCATGAATCGAGAATGATTGGGCTTCTTCTGCTCAGAGACGGCAATGCTTGCTGTATATGATAATAAAAAGTCATTCATATACTCGATTCTTACGGTAACCAGCTGGTTTAAAAAGAGCTCTTGCTGTCCCCTGTTCTTTCTTATGTATATTGCTGCAGGGGTGGCATTAGAATCCAAGAGATAGTATGTGTTTCCACATTTCGATATTCTTCCTTCTACCACCTTGCCGATCAGACTCTCATCGCATCCTGTTAACTCTTTGAAGACAAGATGGTCAGGAAGCCCAGAGTATATGGGCCTATCACCATCCACTAAGGTTTTGTAAACGTCGATGGTTAAAGGATCTCCACATTCCAGGATCTTAGGCCTGGATGTCTTGAGTAGCTCTTTGGCGTTACTTAGCGCCTTCTTTACGGGGTCTAGATTCTTTTCATCAACACCCTCCTCATTGCACAAATCTGTGCATAATTTCCTTACAACATCGTAGTTCTTTGGATGAACTGGAGTGGCATCCAATATCTCGCTACCAGAGACTCTTGAAAGTACCCTAGGATGCACTCTAATATACGTTACGAGATTGTCGTACTCTACCTCGCTCTCACACAAGTCTTTGAGATCTTCCAGCTTCATCACACATCTTAGGTCAGATAGGCTGCTTTTCAGCGAACTACTTGTTGGGATAAGCGACAATAGGCCCTCTTTTCTCCTGTTATTGAGAAGATAGTTCACGTCAACCCCAACTATGGATATTGCTGTCAGAATTCCTTTCCTTATTGTCTCAACCATCACATTTCTAGGTAATATTTGTTGCTGTATATATACGATGCCCTTTTCTAGCATATCGCTGTACTCGATTTCAGGGCACTGAATAATTCTTGCTATGTTGCAGCAAAATGAGTAAGTGTCCTCTGCTTTTGTATGTGCAAGCCTGCTTTCTACATAGACGGGATTCCACGGAGAAAGATCTTTCATTAGGTACCTGATAGACGTAGTGGATCCACTAACTGCTACACAGCATGGATCGAATTTCTCAATGAATCTCAAGAGTTCATCTTTCTCCTCCTCCTTGACCGTTATGTAGTCAACCAGGTCACCCTCAAAGTTCACCGTAACAGCCTTGAGATACTTCTTCTCCCTTGTGACTCCACACACATGCGTGCCATCTCCCTTAATTCCAATGGATCCGTTTACTATTCTATCAACAGCCTCAACAAAAACTCTTCTTTTCATTTCCCTTAGATCCGTTTCCTTAAGAACCAGGGGGACAATAGCCTCCTTCGCTGCTTTTTCCGCGGAAGAGCGGATGATCCTTTCTCGGTATCTATTCCATGGGTCTTCAGATGAAATATCACTTAGATAGAAGTCCACCAGGTCTCTTTTCATGACATCATCCCTAACATCCAGGCCATTTTTCTCACTCCGTATTCCATGGTTTCTGAAGACCGTGTACAAGGCACTCCTGAACACAGGATGTAAAGAAATTCTTTGAATCAACTTGTCTTCGTTAGCAAAGTCTGAAAGAAAAGAGGAGTTCCGGGGCTCATGGATTTTCTTCTTTGCTTTTATGTTCTCACAGAAGTCTTCTGCTGAGAGTAGCTCATCCGGGAGGCTGAGATCCTTGTCCAGATGCTTTTTATAGGCAGAATACCACTTAAGGCCCTGGATACCTTCAATATCTTGGAGAAGCTTGTCATTTCCGTACCTTCTCCTCATTTTCTCCTTTAGATCCACAAATTCCCTGTACTCGTCAAAAATGTCCACAACTTCGTATCCCTCCTCAATACCAACATCTTCAATTCCGCTGTGCAGCAACGCAAAATGAATGGTGTACCCCCTTCCTACCAATTCGATAATTTTCTTAAGAGATTCCGTCCTGGTCCTCATGTTATTTGCCGCATATTCATACACCTTATCCAAATCCACGGTCTTACTTTCGGGTGTAGGCTCATCGCAGCGGCCAGCCTCCTCAGCTACCTCATGGGGATCGCTCTCAAGAACATATCTGTATTCTTCTCCCGTTCCAAAAATCTCGAAAAACAGGGAATCTCTGTCTCCGTAATCAATAGAGGAAATGCTTTCCTCAGAAATTTCACGTTCATCCTCCTCAAAAAGGTCCTCGAGTACACGCTTTCTTGCCACCTGGTGTTCCCTTCTGCTTATGTTTATTACCTCCTCAGAGCTGGAGTCACCCATTTCAAGGATTTGGAAAAAACGAGTTTAAGAACAAAACATCACGGGGTTAGGAGACTAACAAGGAAATCCAACATAAGAAGCAAATTCACCTTTATTGTTCAGACGCGGCTTTTGTCAAGTTGGTTAAGGATATCGGCAAATTCCAGCAGAGGATTCAGTGTTCTTGGTTTCTCTTCCCATTGGTCCGGAAGAATCATCGACGATGTTGCTTCAAGGGCGGCAATCGAGGCCTTAGCAAAATTTTCGGTTGTTGAGGTGGCACCAAAGGATAACGTATAAAGGTCCTTGATGCCTGCAAGTTCAAATATCTTTTTGTTGACGCTTCCAGATATAATTCCTGTTCCTCTCGGCGCAGGGATCACCTGGACAACAGAGGTTCCGCACTTTCCGGATCCCTTACATGACACAGTGTGTGGCTTTCCTTGGGCACCGTCCCAAAGCCCCAGCCTCACAGGCCTAATTGCACACTTAGCCCTAGCTATTGCCCCCCGGATGGCCGATGCTGCTTCTTTTGACGCCTTGGTTCCAATCCCAACATGCCCTTTTCTGTCCCCAACCACAACCACAGCCTTTATCCTGGTCTTCTGCCCTGCCCTTGTCTGTTTCTGGACGGATTTAATGGATAAAACTTCTTCTTTTATCGAGTTTCCGCATAACAAATCAACTATTTCCGGCTCACGTATCACATGAGAAAACTTGAAGATTTGCTCCAAGGACGTTATCTTAAGCATCTTCACCAGCCTCCCAACAGCAGTCTTTGGAATCCATTCGCTTTCTTCCTTCCTGGGAAACGGCTTGCCAGGATTTCTTCTCTCAGTACCTTCCATTTTAAGGGCCTGCGCAGGAATGAAAAATTTGCTTCTGTTATGCAGGAAGCGGAAGAAAAAGTTAAGTTCCTTAGATAGGCATATTCTCCACAATCCAGCATTCGAAACATTAAAACAAATAGAGATAAACAATAAGGCATGAAATGTAGAAGGACCTGCTTGAAGGCTCTCCTATCTCTTTCCTTAACACCTGCTGGAAGAACAATAGACAGTTTTACTAAGGATATAGGGCTCGTCAAAACCAATCCTACACTCCTCCAAACATTCTATGACTACATCTCTGCGAAGTATGGAGTGAAGTGCGAGATAGGGATGAGTTTAGTGGAAAGAATGGTGATGGCCGACGGCTTCAAATAGTAAGTGGAGACAGACCTAATTTTAGTCTTTTGAACATAAACGATCCTGCCAACGAACTTACAAACAAGAAAATTCTTCTGTATAGATGGATCAGCCCAGAACATTTAGAGCTTGGAGTGGAGAGGGAGATGCTGGAAGACATCTCTATAAGATTTAAGAACATTTCCATTTTGCAAACACCAACAGAAAAGATATCTCACATAATGGGCACCATAGAAGAACTGTGCAGTGCCGTCGGAAGAAATGAAGGGCAGGACAAGATACTCCCATCTATCATCTATTGCATTATAAAGTCGTCAGTGCCAAATATATACTTGGAAGTCCAGTTTATGGCTATCTACAGAAGAAGAGGCGTTGAGAAATGTAAAGAAGGATGTACTCATGGGCTTAACATCGATGTTGATTGCGAATGCCTCCCTAGCAAAACATACTGCGAGAGGGAAATAGGCTATTACTTGACATCAGCACAGGCAGCAGTGGACTTCATCAGAAGAATGGAATTTTACGATTTGAAAATCAGTGAAGGAGAGTTTCATCGGAACATGATGGATGCAATAGAGCTAGTAAAGGACATTTGACAGGAACTTCTTTATCTTTATTCGTGGATTCCCCCGATGGAGGGCATTCCACTCGATGGACAGCACAAACTCTTCATAACTAACATTCCAAGCAAGGCTAGAAGGCAGTTGATCTATGAGCTGCTCACACACGTGTCAAGGATCGGCCATCTTTACTATAACCAGGACAGGGGATACTGTTTTGCAAGCTATAGAACACGTGAGGAGTCGGAGTATACCTACAATGTTCTTCGGGGAGTTAAGCTATATGGAAGAAGATTGTATTTTAGTAAAGTCGAAGAGAAGGTAAGAGTTACCGTCAAGAACATGGGAAAAGAAATAGATGAGGTTTTTCTGTGGGACGTTTTTAGTAAGTTTGGGCCGTGCCATGTAGAAATAAATGGAGACGGCTTCGGCACTGTTGTATATAGGAAAAGAGCCTCTGCTATTAAGGCAGTGGGTTCGGTAAACGGAAAAGTCATTGGGAACTCAAAAGTATCTGTGGAGATCAATAAATAAAGTCATTGGAATGGTATTTTTATAGGTTATTTATAGTTTGATGGGAAGAGATCTCACTCATATGTATTCTTACCTATTACATTTAGGCTAAAGGTATCCTCTTTCTTTTTCCTTTCTGCAAACGCCTTTACAGCATTCATGAGACATTCTCCGTAGTTTATGTCGCTGGCGTCCATTGTGTTTAATTTCAAGTCGTAGCTCATGTCAACTGTCAAAGACTTGATTTGGTCTATGAAACTGTCTATACTCCGTGCCTTTAAAAAATAAGCGCCGTACTTGATGTATTCCTCCTGTTTCTCAAGCAGATTCTTAATAGTTTCATATTTCTGCAGTAGCTCCGAGCTGGGGAAGGCGTCTTTAAAGGCATTGTATATTCTCAGAGATTTGTTTATCACACTGATGCCTTCTTTTAGTCTCGTTTTCAGATCTAGCAGCTCCTGATTGCAGAGATAGATCTTCTCCATCTCATGGTCCTTGAGAAAAGCATTTACTTCGCTAGGAAAATTTAGAAATGTCTCGGGATTCGAGACGCCACACTCATTTTGGGATGTTTCTCTTAGCCCAGTCTGCTGCTGAGCTACAAAGTCACTTCTGTGGTGGTCTGGACTCTTTTCTTTTTTATATACATCATGGTTTCCTTCAATGGTGTTCATCGGGTCTTCGGCCTCTGGTGCCCTACCGTATCGGAATTTGTCTCTAAACCACAGAGAGCTGTCTATTCTTTTCTGCGAATCAATAGAATCAGGGGGATTACTTTCAGGAAAGAAGCTTCTGAATCCACCAGAGTGCCATGAAGAGGTATTTATACAACCTTTGTATTCATTGGAATTCGTAGAAAAGTTCCTCTCGTCCTTCTTGGAGCTGTCGAAGGACCCCATGCTTTTCTTCGTGCTCTCGTATCTGTGCGGAAGTTCATCGTAGGGAACACGGAAATCCTCGCCTGAATGATTGAACATCCACCGGCTGGGATTTTCAGGAGCAGAAAGAGGCTTTTTTCTGTCTACCATGGAGTTCTGTTGTCCAGAATTTCGTGGATGATGGAAATAGGGCTGGTGCTGCAGCTGTTGGTTAAAGAATAGTGGAGAGGACTTCATTGCGCCCTGGCCAGGATTTGGATAATGCCTATCAAACGACGGAGGATCCCCCATCCATGCACCGCCAGCTCCTGCTTTACTCTGGGGGCCCATCGAAAACATGTTCGTGACTGGGTCATGTGGATTGGGACTAAAGCTACCAATGGCATCCGAACTAGAAGGCATAGGAAAGTTCTGTACATTTGGCATTCTGGGAGGATAGATATGTCCTGGTCTTCCGTCATTCGGGGAAATGAAGGGTCCTCGAGCTCCATATACTGTTTTGTTTGAAAACGGAAACACATTCATGCTCCCGGAATTTGAATAGGACGGAACAGGATCCAGGCTGAACTGCCGTGGATGCTGCAGGGGGATGAATCCCTGACCGTTGAATGCACCAGCCCCTGAAGCTTTGTCTCGCTGCATTTCAATAAAGTTCATATCGGCTGGAGATTTCAGCGGATTCTCTCCTCTAGGTACTCTATTTCCATTTCCTCTGCTGTAATCAAAACAACCAAATCCAGGGCCGAATGCTTGCCCCCCACCATATCCATAGGCTGCTTCTTTTGGGCGCTCCTCCCTCTGCATGTAGAAATGTCTTTGGTCTGTTGCATTCCGGAAGTCTTTTCCATTGACTGCTCCATAAGAATTCACTTCTGATTGAAATCTCCTAAATGGCATGGGATTTCTAGAGTTATCAGCGAAACTTTCCCGATTCATTGTATGGCTCACAGACTCATGAAGCGAGTTCTGGATATTACATGAATTAGATCTTCCTCTCGTGTTACCCTCTGCAGACCGACTATTGAATCTGGGAATGTCGCCCATTTCCTCGAGATTATGCTTCCGATTCATCCCCATGATCTTAGACGGGCTAAATCCATCTTCCATACCAAAAACCTGCTTATTTTCTGTAAATAGCTGCTCCGACAATCTTCTTTCTCCTCTTTCAAGCCTAGGATTTCCATAGTGATAGCCTTGTTTTGTAGAATCTTGAGGCTCTTCGGAGCCATTTCTAAACCCCTGGAATTGAGGCCTGGCATGTTCATAAGACCCCATCTGTTCCTGAGTACTTTTCCCTCTTCCATCGGCTCTGCTTCTATTGCTAACAACCCTCTCAATTCTCTGGAATCTTTCGTCCATTCCTCTCAGGTACTCTTCCTTAGAACCACTCTCCTCGTATATCCTCTGCTCAGCTCTTATGGCAGCTTCCTTGATTTGCACTGGTGTATATCCAGGAAAGATGTTTGATTCCTTCAACGCAACAAATAGCTTGAGAATCATCTGCTTTCTTTCCTCTTGGGATAACATAGGATAAAAATATTCCTTTTTTTTATTGTATAAGCCATTTTGGATAGTATACCATTAGAAGTGGTTGCTTGCCTGCAAAGTCTAACAGGAGTTTCAAAATTGTCCTTCCATCTCTGAAAACAGGACAAGGTTTATACAACTCAGTCGGAGGTCATTTTATTTAACATAAAATTTGTTAAGTGTCCGAGAGTGCATTTAAGGGAAAGTTAGTGCCCACTCTCCGTGGACTCGTCGTACACTTCGGCCTGATCATATCCCTTATTTTCGGTGCTCTGTTTTCCACTCTCTTTGAGAAGGTTGGGCTTATAGGGTGTCCCCTCAGGTCTATTTAGACAATTCTGTATAATGTCCTCATGCTCAGCTATAATGGGCTTTAGCTTTTCCGTTGCAAAGGTGAACACATGGCCGCTTTCACTGGCAACAAGCAGAAGAATTTCAGTTCCAGTGAGGATGTTTAGTTCATACGCCTTTTTCATTATACCCCTTTTTCTTTTGCTGAAGCAAACGCTTCTTTTGTTCTTTCCAGATATATATTCAAGCTTTATCTTCTTTTTCCCATGGCTTTTTCCCCGAGGTTTTTCAAACATAATCGGATGCGCTTGGTCCTGTGCAAATCCCTGAGGAATCATCCCATTATTATGAAATTGAGGCACTGAGTGACTATAGTAGTTGTATTGTTGGTCGAATCCATAATTCATGTTCTGAGGTATCCAGTGTGGATAAGAAAAGCCTTCAGGAATATTCTCATTAATTCCATATGGTGGGATGTTATAATCCATTTCTCCTCGTATGTGGGGATTGCTCTGCTCCTCTTTCTTTCCGTACTTCCTGTTCTCATCCATTTCCTTAAAGGGTCAAAAATCATCTTTCTAAAGAAACACCTGTCCAATCAGGGATTATAGCCGATTAAGATAGAAGAGAGGGCTCGGTTCTTGAGCAAAAAGGAGATTTAGGAGTGATGAGCCAAAGACCTGGAGCTCAGAGAGCTTCACTATTCTTGGGAAAAGCTTCTAGTATTTATAATCGCACCCGATCTTCCTTATCCCGAGGACTGTGGCCCACGTCTAATATAAAATTTAATCAAACGTAGCATCCATTCTTCCGCTTGCTCATCAAGAGATTATGCCCAGAGAATCATCATTCAGGGTTCCAACCGCATATATCCTCGTGGAGTCTATCTTGGTTCCTATGATTTTCAGTCGAATCATCACATTCTTTGTTATTTCGTTTTCTAGGAGAAAATTTGGTATTTGATGGTTTGATATAAACACAGTTAAAGGCCCAACAGATGCAAATACACCCATTTTGTTTGTTTCAACAACATTTGCATCAATTACCTCGCCTTTCAACGGTTTCAGCGTAAGAGCCTTGTATTTGACAGTAAATATAGTTTCTCCTGTTAAAATGATCCTGCTTTCGCTTATCTCATCTATGCTAAGAACCATGACTACATATCCGCTAGAGCTGCATGATCCCTCCACCTTGCTCAGTAGATATTCTTCTATAAGAGCCTGTATGTTTGGCCCCAAGTAGTTTGGACTCAGGTGGATATTCTGCACGAAGTCTCGAACAAAAAACATTCTGCAAGGGTTTTTGCAATAAATCCTTAAGCCTGGGCCTACTAATGGGTGTCACAGGCGGTGTTTTGATCTCGGCCAATAAATTCAAAATTTTCAGGAATGGCCTATTGATGCAAGTATATTTAATGATATACAACCATTTCCCTTTCTTTCTCCGTCATCCCGCACTTCATGTAGAACTCAACATTCTTTGGGTCGCAGACTAGCGCCGTTTTGTAACATCCCATGTTCCTAGAGATGTCTATCAGCATCTCTATTACATCTCTTCCAATCCCTTCTCCTCTTCTTTCTTTCGAAACAACTACATCCTCTATATGGCCTTTTGAGGCACATCCCCTGATAAACTTTTTTTCAATGAATAGAGTTCCAGATCCAATGACCTCCTCTTTACTCGGGTCATATGCAACCACTATTTTATAGTTTCCTTCCTTACATAGCGATAAATATCTTTCTTCAAACTGTTCCCGTGTAACCACTCCTGACTTGGTTAGTTCGTTCAGGCAGTCAATGAACCCTTTGCCATAATCATCCATACTGAGGCCTCTCAATGTATATCTGTCTCTTTTTATCACCGGAATATCACACATGGTTAGGCCATGGAAATCAATACTATGAATATTCCCGTCAGATTCATGGGAGATTTTCCTGTTAAACATACCGTCTGCCAAAACTAGTATGGTTATGAGAGTTGCAATGGCTCCGATGGTTAGAAGAAGCCCGTTTTCTTTCTTCATTTCAGGAATATGGGCGATATTTTCTTTCAGGTATTTTAAATTTGGTTCTCAAGAGACAGCCCTGTTTTCATTGGAGCTGCATATAGGGGAAATACATAAATACTATGAAGTTTCCAGTTGCATGAAGTCATCACGGATACTCATCATAATAGGAATCATACTCTTGGCGGTGCTGGTCATGGTGGTGGCTGAAGCGCTTGGGTTTTTTGGAAATAGCACTGGGAAGGCGGAATCACAGAATGGCGACAATGGAAAAGACCGGCTAAGCCTAAGCCAGAGTATAGTTAGAGCATTCTTTAGAATAGTCACTGGAGTGGCAATAATAAAAGTCATAAAGGGCTTCTTCTTCCCAAGCAGAAGTAAGCCAGATGAGCCGGATGAAGGGGGATCAAGGCATCCGTCCGCTCCACCATTGTCACACTACAATTGTCAGAATCGATCCTCAGCTCCAAGTTGCCATCCCCCTAGCTATGACGAAGTCTGCCACCAACCTCCTCCATACTCTATAATGAAGTCACCCACTATCCATCCATAAAGTGATGGCATTGCTCTTCATAGACACTAAATCAATGGGAAAAATAACAAGATGTTCCTCTGCTCAAAGTCCTTTCTGTTTTGTTGCAGGATTTTAAAAGAAAAATATAAACACCTCCATATATGGGATTATGCGTGTCTTACTAGTAATATTGATGCTTGCGACTGCAGTTGTTCTCATCGTAACCATGACAGTTATACTGGAAAATATAAACAGGAAACCAAAAAATAGGTTCCCAGACTCATCCGACGATAGCTCTGGGGGCCTTGGCAAAGGAACCGGGTCTGGAGACTCCTGGAATTATTCGCCTGACTCTAGTACTTCATTAACTGATTTAGAAGATGGAATGCAAAAATAGCTGTTGCCATATTATTAATGAATAGCTCGACTGTCGCCTGTGGCTGCATGTATCTTATCACCAAGAGTCTACAAATCGGGCGATCTTTAATAAACTTCCTTTTTAAATCTTTGCGACGTACCTTCGTTAATAGTACAATTACCGGATGAAGTCACATCAATAAAATCAGAATAGAATTATCTCATTCCTTTTTAGAAAATCCATTACATCATCCAATGGAGCAACAAAGAAATCTCCCTTGAACATCTCCAACAGCTCTCCATCAATAACAGCCCCGCTGATATCAGTGCAGCAATAAAACCCAACAAACTCATGGACTTTGTGGAACTTTTGTTTTGTAACATACACATCCCTCTTTTTCAGTAGGTCAATATATTTTTCGTAAAGAGCGAGCTCTCCTCCAGATAAAAGAGACAGGTCCACATACAAGTTCATGCTCATTTTTTTCAATCTGGTTTGGATGTACTCCTTAACAAAAAATTTTACTCTCTCAATTTCTAACTCATATATATTCTTCACTATTGACTTGTTTAGTGCCTTCACATGCTCAGTCCTCTCTGAGATGATGTCAAGGAAGTAGTCTATTAGGTGTAGAGCATATGGAAGTAATCTCTTTGTGGATTTTTCATTCTGATATGCGAGAATAAGGTCGTTTAGTGTAGGAAACGACATCGCAGGGCTGAAAAATCAAAGCAGACTATCCGTCGCCCTCAAAATGATTCTTGTTACACATGATGGCAAATTTCATTTGGATGAAGTAATGGCAACTGCTGTGTTGCTTAAGATATATCCAGATTCGGAAATAGTCAGAACAAGAAGCTCTGCCGTCGTACGAAGCGGGGACATAGTCTATGACGTCGGGAGATCGTTTGATCCAGAGGCCAATAGATACGACCACCATCAGGAATCATTTAACGAGACCTTTAGTCCAAAGCACAAGATAAAGCTAAGTAGTTCTGGCCTGATATACAAATACTACGGCGAAAAGTTTCTAGAGAAATACGGGCTGAATAGAACAGATGAATGCTTTCCAAGGGTGCTCGAAGAGGTCTATACGGCCTATTTTATGTCTGCGGATGCAATCGACAATGGATACGAAATTTTCGGAGAAATCGTTCCAAGATCGCTCTCACACGTCGTCGAGTCGTTTAATGCCCTGGACTTCTCCGATAGCGATAGGCAAAACAAAAGGTTTCTGGAGGCGGTGCAATTTGTTTCCAAAGATTTGGATAACTTCATAAGCGCAATAGTTAACAGATGGGTTCCAAGCTACAAGTATCTTAACAAATTAATCGCCGAGGTGAACGGAGATATTCTATACGTTGACAGGTACTGTTTTGTCGACGTAATTCCTGAGATAGAGAAGAAATACAAGAAAGATGTCAAGTTTGTCTTGAATAGGAAGGAGAGTTCTGTAAGTATTCTAACAGTTCCTAAAGATAGGAAGCGTTTTGAATCAAAAGTCCCTCTAAAGAAAGAATGGAGAGGTCTTGCTGGGGGAAAGCTGGAGACAGTGTCTGGGATTGACGGGTGTAATTTTGTGCATGCTTCTGGATTTGTAGGCTCCAACAAGACCATTGAGGGAGCCATGGAAATGTGTAGAATATCCATAGAGGCTTATTGTAAAGAAGCCAAAGATGGCAGTGGTTAAGCAAGTAGTAATCCTTTAATGTTCCAAATCAAAGTTCATGCCAAGATATGGAATTAAACTTTGATTCTTCCAAATATGGAAATTCCGACCTATAATTAAAGTAAATCGCAGGCCATTAATTTTAGACTGCTAAATGGAAGGTTCGAGTAACGATAATCAAAGTAACGAATGCGATAAATACGAAGCCATAGAGATGATTCTTAAGCGCACAGAGGAAATGCTTTCCCGGGAAACAAGATCCGAATCCGACTACACGAACATAAAATTCAATTTTAAAAAAAAAAGCGGAATATACCGTATTGAAATTGATAATGCTCTTTCAGCTCTTATAAAAAGTCTTTCCAGTATTGATAAGAAGCTTGAGGAAGCTAAGGAATGCTTATGTTCATGGCCCGCAAAGAAAATTATAAAAGCTTGTAGCAGCCTTGAGGAAACAGTTAAGGAGTCAGAAAAACATTATGAAAGTCTTGTAAAGGAGCTTTCTAAATATCAGAATACCCCACACATCCCATGTGGAGGAGTTTGTGGGAGTAACGGTGCCGAATGCCGAAAGCCAAAAAAAGAAAGAGTTGATAATGCCTTAGAATTTATTTCGCCGTATTATAGGGCTACTATAAGTGGCAAGGATTTTAAGATATGCAAAATCAATCCTGACGACTTAGAAGGCTACGTTGAAGAAATCAAAGGGAAGATTGAGAATGAAAAGAGACGTCTAAACGTCTGTGAGAATCTTAGGAAAGCAATCTGTAATATTACCGGAGATGTAGATTTTATGGATTCTCATTCGGGAGGGAAAGTGTCTAGTGAAACAACTTATTTTAATACTAAGGAGTACAGAGAACTTTTAGATAGTTTCAGTAATAGAATTGGGGAGTTTTTAGGTAATTATCAAAAATATCATGAGAAGAAACGAAAAGGTGTTCTTAATATCTTTCATAGTGGATATAGTTTATTGCAGGATCTGAAACAAATAGAAGAAATTCAAAATGATCTTTCCAAATTTTGGAGAAGTATACTAACTTCCCGGGGCTACCCTCCCCAGAAACCATCTCAGTTGAAGTATTCCAGAAGTTTAGGAGACATGCGGGTGCTCGATTCCTCTTCCTCGCGCCCTGGATTACCACTGAGCGGCGCGGCCTCATATCCTTATTTAGTGAAGAAGGAGGGTTACCATCCATTAGAAGAAACGGTAGCAGCATCAAACCGCACCTTCTCCCTGTCTGGATTGAAGTATTCCAGAAGTTTAGGAGACATGCGGGTGCTCGATTCCTCTTCCTCGCGCCCTGGATTACCACTGAGCGGCGCGGCCTCATATCCTTCTTTAGTGAAGAAAGAGGGTTACCATCCATTGAAAAAGACGGTAACAGCACCAAGCATCTTCCTGCCTGATACTCCTGTTAGAGAGTTCCTCGGTAAAGACTATTTTCTTGTGCTCTATTGCCTTATGTCCTTAGGCTTAATAACACTTCAAATCGCTGTTAGAGAAGTTAATGGATCCAAGAAAATGATGGAAATAATGGGGAAGATATCCTATGTGGTATCTATATTTGGGCCAATTATACATGGGATATGGATATTAGCAAACGAGAACTATGACAAGGGGGTAGAAGAAGTAATAGGTAGAAATTGGAACGTGATTGGAAGCATGTTTCCTATGCTCTTTGGGCTTAAGGATATCAAGCATATAAAGAACGGGGAGTTATGGACATCAAATGGCGAAGCAGTAACAGCAATTGGAGGGCATGGAATAATAACAGCAATGGGGATAGTCATGGTATATGCACAAAGTCTTGGAAAAAAGGACTGGAGAGTATCTAGAAGACAAATAGCTGTGTTCACTCTTGGAAACATCCTGATGGGATCAGCATACATTGTGAAATATGCCATGCCATCTGTTGAGGATCGAAATCATCTCGTTCGTGTTGGATACGTTACCTTTGCACTTATATTATGTTTAGTAGTTATAGTGGAAGGAGGAAAAAAAGTAGAAAGTGAAAGAATGGGATGGATACTTAAGTCCCAATGGATTATAGGCTCTGGATTTGTTGTTCTTGGATTACAGAATCTTGAGCCACATTGCTTTCGATATGTCAAAGGTAGGTGTACGGCGTGAGACACAGCTTTTGAATAAAATAATTATTAAGTACAACTGATGCTTGTGCCATAATACAATGAACAAGACAGTTAAGTTAGCACTTTGATCTCAGCCACTTTCTGTAGCGACAGTAAATGATCTATTTACAGAGTCTCTACCGAGGCAAGCATTAATTTTCTTTAATTTTAGATTCCGTCTTGGCAAACGACCTGTCGATTCTCTTTTCTATTGTCCCGCTGCTCCTGCTCCTTCTTGTGGCCATCAGCCTGGGAAACGTCCTTGCTGCAGTGATCCCAATCACCGCTACGAGGAGGACTATGGACAGCGTGTGGAGACTTGCAATTATGTCGTTTCCGTCGATGAGGGAGGAAAAGACCATTTTGCAAGTCAATGGTTTCCAAGATATACTTAGCAGCTTATTTTGAAATGGACGGAGGACGCCCATTGGTCAGGGGGCGGACGAGCTGACCACTAATCTGGGCTGTCTGCGCGGGTTGAGATATTGCGGGCAGTGGTGTAAGTGTTGCGGGCAGGGGCCCTGGAATGGGACGCCTGTGGCAAGCAGCAAGGGGCTGTGGCGAGGTGTTTGGAAGGAATCTTAGGGCCGAGCTTGAGGCGAGCGGCAGGCTTCGGGATGCTTGTGCCTCGGTGGCAAGGGAATACACAAGGTGTGTGTCCTTTGTTCGGGGCACCCGTGTGTTTGGTGCCGGGAGCAGGGTGCTTGAGGCGTCGGTCCGCGGGATGAGGCTTTCGGACGCGTCGATAGAGGCAGTCCTCGGAATGGCCAGGGGCCCCGGGCTCTGGCCTGCAGGGGCTCTGGGGAAGCAGGGCGGGATGCAGAGGAGGCTGGACACGATGTTTGGGATTCCGCAGTACTATGGAGGAGTCCGGGGCGGGGAGTCTCGCGGTGCGCCCGCTGCAGATGGAGGGTGCAGGACGCAGAGGGTGGATGGAGGGCTGGCGGTGTACAGGACGGGAGTGGGCCAGAGGATGCGGTCCCTGTGGTCGTGGATCTGGTCCCTTGGCGGGCTGGGGCACAACGACTCTGTGATAAGGGAGATTGAGGACTGTCTGGTGCCCGGGATATTCGGGAGCATAGGATCTGGCGGCGGGGCGAGGCATCTGTGTTCGGAGAGCGGGGAGGCAGACGTATGCAATCTTGGCAAGGAGATGGAAAGGAGCTGCGGGCCTGGGGCAGAGGTGGTTGACATCAGGAGGATCGAGACGTCCGGAAGCGCCAGGGAAAAGAGGTTTGAGTCGCGCTTTGAGGTTGAGGCAGCAGGGAGGAGCGGCAGGCATGTGTTTCTTGCACAGGGAAGGTTTGAGCCTGGGGGCGGCAGAGGAGGGTGGCGCCTTTCTGGGCTTACGTGGGCCAGGGTGGCGTGACAGACTCCAGGGAGGATGACGGAGGAATAATACGGTTTATTCGTTGTAGGCAAATATAACCCTCGGGAACTTACTCATTCTTGCTCTTTGTCTCCTTGTCTTTCTTCTAAGCTGTGTCTTTGTAAGGGCCCGTCTCTTGCTCCTGTTCAGCTTGGGTCTGAGCTCCTTCGGAAGCTTGGAGACAGGAGTTCCCCTGTACGCCTCAACCAGCTCCTCAAGAATCTTCTCGCGCCGGACAGTGAGTGCGCGGGCCAAGTTCTTTTTGGCCGTCTTTATGTCGTTCGCGCCGACATCCCCGCTGTTCTTCTTCTGCCGGAGGGCCGCCAGGTCCGCCTTGATCTCTGCAGCCCTCTCCTCAATCTGCTTGATGCCCAGCTGCCTGAGAGCCGATGCCTCGATCTTCATAGGGCTTCGGAATGGAAAAGATTTGAGAGCAAAAATCGGAGGATGGCCGGGGGGACAGGGCAGAGGGATGCCGGGACGAGCCTAGAGAAGCAGCCTCGGGCCGACGAAGAGAATGTTTTCTCCCCTCAGAAACAGCACCTTGTCCTCGGAGCCCTCGACAGAGGAGCATGTCAGCATCAGATTTATGTGCTCGTCAAATCCCTCCAGAGTTCCTGTGTATGCCTCTCCACTCTTCGTCTTGACCTCCACCCTCTCCTTCAGATACATCTTCAGAAAGCAGAACGGGTCGAGCATCCAGGAAAGTGGGGCTCCGGGGCTGGGGCTTCTTGTGGGCCCGCAGGGAGGCGCCAAGGGCAGGGTTGCAGGCACTCCTCGGCAGGGATTTATGGAGCGGCCGGGCAGCCCTTTATGAGATACCTGGAGCTGGGATGCATATCCAAAACAAACAAACTCTTCCAGAAGCTGCAGGACCTCAATCCCCTGCTGAACATCGAGATCGAGGCATACTCCTGCAAGTCGAGCAGGCGGCAGAGGGGTAGGTTTGTGGAAAAGCCCCTTGGATACCTCCTGTCCGCGCTGGAGCTCCGGTTTCCAGACTACGACTTCTGCGGGGAGTCGTGGGGGTCGTTCAGGAGGAAGACTCTGGCAGAGGTCCTGAACGAGATGACGTACTCGATCAGTACGACACATAAGAACAGCGACGATGTGAAGGAGTTCGTGGGGTTTCTTGAGGTGATTCTCCACAGGTCTGTCTCTCTGGGCGGGTGCGAGATATTTTCGTACGAAAACAGGATGGGGCCGTTTGAGGACTGCCTCTGGTACTTTTCGTTCCTGTTCTTCAACAAGAAGCAGAGGAGGGTTGTGATGCTCAATGCATTTATGAGCAGGAGCTAGCGGTGGCAGGCTCTGATGCATGGCTGTGTAAGGAAATCAAGTGGGTTGCCGGGTTTGCCGGAGTTCTTGGCGGGGGGAGCGTCGGTTGTTCTTCCGGAGGATGGCGGCGGTGGAGGCCTTCCTTCTGTCTGTTGGTGCACTTGTCCTCTGCTCCTTGTCCAGGAGGCTTCCTTCTTCTTTCCTGCGGGGTGGGGATATATGGAGTACTCGACTGCAGGGAAGCGTGCCTCCTGGGCAGAAAGGCTCAAGGACGGTTGGGAGTAGGGAGATTGTGGGGCTGTTTGTGCTTCTTCTCTTCATTTTGTGGGGCTTTCTCTCAATGGAAGAGGCAGATATAGGATAGCGGATGGAGTGGGGAACAGCCCAGTAGGATTGTAGTGGAGCCTGTCTTTATGATGGAGTTGGCAAGGACATTTGACTGCAGCCTGGGCAGGACTCGGGGTCTGTTGGAGGTGCTGCGGAGTTTGTTACTCTTGGGACAGTGCTCTGCAGCACGGAGAGCGTGGTCTGCAGGCTTGGATTACATGATGGCGGGCTTGGGCATCAAAAGTGGCAGAAGTGGTGGCCGGTGTGACTGGGCCCGAGGATGAGAAATAAATGTGGTAAGTTAGTGTGATTAGGTTTTGCGGAACCTCCTGCTGGGCTTTATGTTAGTGTGGGACTTGTGTTTGTGCCATTCTATGTGGATAGCGGTGGCGTTGATATGGGATAAGGAATGCTGCTGGGGTGGGCGCGACTGTGACGGGGTCTCGGCTTTCTCCTCTCCTGGGATGCTTAGCGGCGTGATATGTGCGGGTAAATGATGCTATGGAATATTAGATAATTAGATAATAAGCGGTGGGTCAATGAGGCTCTGGAGATGAAGTGTCTTGAAAGGGAAGGGGAAAGGAGCGGCACAATGGATGTTTGGAAGTCAGACACCCTCGGATGATGAGGACATGGATGGTGTATGTGGTTGGGTTGGTTGGAGAGCTGTATGGCTCTCAGGTGGAGGAGACTAGAGAAATGAGGGAGATGAAAGAGGCACTTGAAAGGCTCTTTTCCCGCAGGCTGAGCGACTCTGAAATAGAAATGGTGGAGTCGCTCGAGGATGGAGGAAACTTCGAGACAAGGGTGTTGGTTCCGGTTATTTTCCACAAGGATAAGGTTGTTGTGTCACCGGCAGCGAGATATCGGGATATTGAGAAGGAGGAGAGGGTGTATGTGGAGGAGGTCATTAGAAGGCTTCGAAGTCTGGTGTGGCATTCGATGGTATACATATATGTACCCAAGAATAACGACTGGATTATGGATTTAATATGTGAGGTTTTGGAGATGAGTTCGCCGCAGAGATTGGATGATGTTGCTCTTTACAAGGATACGGGAGGGAAGTGCGGGATGAAGTTTGTAGACCTGGTGAATAAGATGTTCAAGCAGAATGCAGACATGCTGATAAAGTTTGGGGACTTGCTTTCTAACGGTGCAGAGACAAGGATTTTGGAGCTCCCGGATTCTTTGCGTGAGGATGAAAGAAGAAGAGAGGTAGAAATGCTTCAGAGAGTTAAGGAGTATGGGAAGATGCTGTGTACCGAGGATAAGCAAAAGGAGATAGTTGAGGCACAGAAGATAATGTGCGATGCATGTGAGCAGATCTGGAGAAGGGAAGAGGATAGAAAAGAGTTTACCATGGAGATATACTCAAGATATCTAAACATGAAGGTGATGAGAGGAGGTGTGGAAAGGGATGTGGAAGATCCACTAATTGATCATATGGACCATTACATGCTGATAAGTACGCATAAGAAGTATAAGTGTATGGACGTTGTGGCGGAACTAGTCAGAAAGGTGTTTGTGGAGGACAAGGACATTGAGGACTCGGATGTCATGAGTGCAGTGTGTTCTGTTAGAGAGAGAAAAAGGTTGGAAGAAATGAGAGAGATGGAAGAAAGAAAGAGAAAGGAGGAGGAAAGGGCCAAGAATGAGGAGGAGCTGTTAAGGATGGTAGAGAGGGAGGAGAGGGAGAAGAGGGAGGAGAGTAAAGGGAGAGGCAAGAAGAAGAGAGGTAATAGGGGTGCAGGGGAGAGTAAGGAGGAGAGTAAAGGGAGAGGCAAGAGGAAGAGAGGTAATAAGGGCGCAGGGGAGAGTAAGGAGGAGGACCGAGGGGAAGAAGGGGGTGTAGAGGCAGAGGATCCGCTGGAAGAGATGGCGGTTGGGGAAGCTTGGCGCAAGAAGAAGGGATCGGGAGAAAAGAGGATAAGTGAAGAACACCATTATAAGGTGCACAGCCGGGTTCTCCGGTGGAAGAAGGATGCTGGGGAGATCAAGCGTGAGTTGGATGAGGGCTATGAGAAGAAGTGGAAAAATAGATCGATTGAAGAGATTAAGGAGCAGAAGAAGGTGCATGATATAGTGGAAGTGATGAAGCTCCTCAGGGATAAGGAGAAGTGTGACAGGTTTTTTGTCCGGACAGGCAAGTACATGAAGGGCAAGAGTGAGAGATGGAAGATGGTAGCAAACGGGATACTTGAGGAGGGAGGGGAGAAGAAGGTGGGAAAGGTCGAGGTTGGGCTTTTCAAGGGCGAGGGAGGAGAGAGTGTGGTCTACCACCTGATGTTCAGGCCCACGGAGACTGAGAGGACAGGAAGGGTTGGAGGCTCGTCGTTTGGGAAGTATGATGATGTGGATGAGATAAAGAAGGAGAAGTCCTCGGATATGTTTGGGTTTCGGTATCCTTCTGGTGTCCGGTGTGAAATGACGAGTAATAGGAATGAGTTCAGGATAGAGTATCGGAATCGCAAGAACACCAGCGAGGTTCTCCGGACTCTCACTATTCTTCGGATTCCCGAGACTTGATGGGGTGAGCATGTAGGATAGGTAGAGTAAATGCTTCAATGTTATGACAGGTGGAGAGGGATAGAGAGATATGGCGTTCGGCTCTGGAGTTAGAGCGGTTGTGGGAAGCAGTGCTTGTGCGTTGTGGCGGTGGAGCTACCTGTGTGATTGCTGTCTCTTCTGAGAATTGTTATGTGTGGTGCTGCAGTCACAGATGGCCAGGTTAATCATTGGATGACGGGATTAGTGCCTATTTTATGGGCGCTGGGATGTGGCTTGCTCGGAGTGGGTGGAGAGCTCGATCTTATCCTTGTCACGGGAAGAAGCTCCTGGAACTAGGACTGCTCGATGGGAACAGAGGGCCAACAATCTTATATCCCGGATTCCAGATTGTAGAAGACAAGGGGAATGTAGACGGAACCTACTGTACAGAGCGGGGCAGTTGTCTGTGGAAGACAGCAAACAGCACCTGTTTTTGATGTCCGTGATATTGTAGGAAAGGAGGCAGCGATAGATTAGATAAGAAGAAAGGCCTATCCTATGAGGTGGAGGGATGATCGATGGATATTAGTTGCTATGGTTGGGGTAATCCACTGCTCTTCGGGACTTGTCCGGCTACTACTTTTAGATGTTCACCCGGCATTCAGGTGATAGTGTTTCCGTTTCTTTTGAAAGGGCATAGCATTGTTGGATTACCGACAGCGAAGTTCAGCGACTTGAAGAGAAAGACCAAGAGAGGGTCTTTGGGAGTTTACGATGGACAATGTGGTGTGCAACCTGATGATCGGTTTGAGAGGCTGTTTGATGAAAGAATGGGAGGGTGTATCTTCGGGAGTATCAAGGATATACGCCAGCAGAAACAAGATGTTTGCGAGCTGTTGGAGATGGTGTACGAAGAGGATTCCTCTGGAACGGAGGGGGGATGGGCAGATGGCAAGGTATGGAGAGAGGACTATAAAGATGGTTGATGGGGCGAAAGGATGCCTACCTTGATGTCTGAAGAAAAGAGAGGGACGAACCTCGGGGCTCTAGTGCGGCCAGGAGGCGCGGAGAGTCCCTCTGTAGTACAGAAAGATGGAGGCGGCTGATTGATACTGAAGTGATAGTGTGCAATGGATGCAAGGAGATCTGGCTCGGTTTGAAAGAGGAGGTGATGGGATTGTTTGCTGAGGGAAGTGCGAGAGGTCTTTGAAGGAAAAGTTTAGCGAAGATGCAGCCAGCAATGCGGCATCATATTTAGAATATGCTATTGTTAATGACGAGAGCTATTGGATGGACATAGGGAGTATGGAGAGGAGGTTACGAGGGAGTTGGTCCAGCAGATGCAGCTGGTGAGGGAGAGGAGATAGACAAGAGATAGATATGCCGACAAGGTTGCAAATGTAGTCAAGGAAAGACATAGAAGAAGAGAAAGGGAGATAGAAAAGAGTATGAGGAGACTTCTAAAAGATGAGTGGAAGGCATAGAGTAAGAAGGAGGGGAAGAAGAAGAGTGTGGGTGGGGATCCTTCGAACACCTCTGAGGTTCTCGGTCGTCTTACTATTCAGTGCAGGCCATGCGTGATGTGAGTGGTGTTGTGGGGTTGTTGGTGAATAAAACAAAAGTGGTGTGCGATGCTACTCTGTTCTCTACTGCGCACTCTTCGGTGCAATGTGTTGGTCTTCTCTAGGTTGTTTGTGTAGCACACGTGTATGTATGGTGATTGTGGAGAGCTGTTTATTTGGCGATTTCTTATGAAGAAGTAGCATCTGCACCTTTAGGTGGATGGAAGTGATCGTACAGTGTGATTATAGATCCAGATCCCAAGAGTCCATAGACAAGTACAGCAAGGACGAGTATGAAGACAAAGGCAGCTACTCTCCAGGTTGGGATGGGTGGAGAACTCTGCTTGGGCGGAGAGCATTTCTCCCTGAACAGTCTTACCAGGATGAGGATAGAAGGGATGGCGGTAGAGTAGGGATAGTACTTGGATTTTTCATCCACAAGTACTAAGCTTATTGCAGGGCATATTAGTATCAGGATGTCGATGATGACGTTGATGCCGGTATCTGTGAATCCAATCTGTCCTGGAACAAGGCAGCAGGAGGTGGAGAGGAGATAGGCGGGAGGTATGAAGAAGGAAGGGAGGATGATGGAGTGGAGGAGTAGATCATCAGTCCTTTTCTGTTTATCAACAATGAGTGCAACGATGGAAAGAATGTTGGCGACGGCAAATGCAAGAAGCAAGAGGTTGACGAGGCAGTAGAGTATGGTGTGTTTGGACTTGTGGGTCTTCCTCCAGTTGGTGTGGAGCAGGAGAAGATGCAGGACTGGCGGATGTAGATAGGGGAGGAGGACAGTGATGAATTTGAGGAAAGGGCTATCTTTGAAACTGTCTTTGGTGAGGATGAAGTACATGACGGCAGGGAATGCAATTGACACGAATGGAGCAATACCGAGGATCTTCTTCCAGTGTGGCTGGTTCTCGGTGTGTTGCTCTGTTCTGTGTGGCTCTGGAACGTGCGTAGTGTTCATGTGGGTAAAGGAGAAATATGGATGAAATGGATATATTGATATGATTGGGAGTGTGGGGAATTAATGAAGCCTTCGTTATGGGTACAATATGGCGTGTATTGCTGGGGGAACTGGATTTGATGGCGGGGATATGGATTGGCAGGAGGGCTACATGGTTCTGGCGTGGAGAGGACGGGAAGGTTAGGCTTTGCAAGGGCGGGAGAGGAGAGAGTGTGGTCTACTGCCAGATGTTCGGGCCCACGGACTCTGGAAGGACAAGAAAGGGAGCAATTTCGCCGTTTGGGAAGTGTGATGATGTGGGCCATCCCATACCATAGATTGTGAATAAATATGATATGATAGACATTTAATGTCATACCTGGGCAGCTTGGGATGGTGCTGGGTGACTAGCCATTTATTGAGTCTCTAGAATGCCAAGCAGACACAAAGAATGGGAAGGCGTTGCATGCTTCGTGTAGTTGTGTGTGGCAGTCTCTGGGCCCGGAGAGATGATGGGGTGGGGAAGTGCTCGAGAATGTGTGTGTTGATGTGGTGAGCCCTGTTGTTGGCGGGGTTCTCAGTTGCCTTATGTGGTGTGGTGCCATATGATTGGCCGAATGGTGGGGTTGGAGCCCAGTAGCAGGAGTGGGGTCTTGGAGGAGTGCAGAGAGTGCAGAGCCATCGTTATGAAGGGAGATGGTGTACAGACCCCTTTGCATAAAGGAGATAGTATATTAGGTGGAGAGGGGGCCTGCCTTATGAGGTATGCGGCATGGACATTAATCAGTGCGGTTGATGTAGTGTATTGCTCTTTGGAGACAAGGGAGAGTGTTTCTTTGACATTCAATCCAGATGGTCAAGTGATAGTGGTTCCGTTTATGTTCAAAGGGTATAACATTGCAGCATTGCCAACGACAAAGTTCGGTGACTTGAAGAAGGACACCAAGCAGATAGAGAATGTTGTATCTTTTTTGAGAAGCGATATTTGTTATGCAGTGTGGGAGTTTCTGGTCAGCTCGGTGCAGTACAAGGATGATGATCGGTTTGAGAGGCTGTTTGACGAAAGAATGAGGGGGTATCTAAGGAATATATCTGAAGGTACATCAAAGGTGTACATGAGAGGGAACAAGACGTTCAGTGAATTGCTGGAAATGGTGTGCGGGAGGATGTTAGAATGCAGTGGAAGGGTAGCGGGGGGGGGGCATAGTAAGATATGGAAGAGATGTCATGAGAATGCTTGACGACATGATAGAAAACCCGCCTGCTGGAATGTCTGAAGAGGAAAAGAAGGTGTACCTGGAGGATTGGAGGAGTGCTAAAGAATGGGGAGGGTTTCTCTATAGTATAGAAAGATGGGAACGGATAGCTGAGGTGGAGAAGATAGTGTGCAATGCATGCAAGGAGATCTGTCTTGGGCTGAGGGAGGAGGAGCTTCTGGGATTGCTAGCCGAGGGAGGTATGAAGAAGACTTTGAAAGAGGAATTCAGCGAAGATAAGGCCAAAGATGCAAGATATCTAGAATATATTGTTGTTGATGACGTGCTGTTGCTGGATGCACACAGAGAATATGGAGGAGAGGTCACCAAAGAGTTGGTTAGGCAGATGCTGCTGGGGAAGGAGGGAAAGGATATAGACAAAAGATATGTAGACAGGGTTGCAGGTGTAGTCAGAGAAAGACAGAGGAAAAGAGAAGAGGAAACGGAAAGGAGTGTGAAAGAGCTGGTGGGGGACGAGGAGAAGGCGAAGAGTAAGGAGGAGAAGGCGAAGAGTAAGAGGGGGAGGAAGGGGAAGAGTGCTTCTGCACCCTCGGAACAAGAGGAGGAGAAGAAGGAGAGCGAGGTAGAGGAGGCTGAGCAGGGCGGGGAAGTAGAGGCGCTGCCGGTGGAGGTTGGAGGTGCACGCAGCAAGGGGGGCAAGAAGAAGAGCAAGGGTGGTCGGAAGTGTTTCAAGATCCACAGAAGGGTTCTTCGGTGGACGAAGAGCCCTGAGAAGATCAAGGAGGAGTGGGACAAGGGAAGTGAGGAGAGGTGGAAGGGAAGGTCTCTTGAAGAGATCAAGGAGCAGAAAATAGTGCATGATATAACGGGTGTGCTGGAACTTCTCAGGAGTGAAGATGCAGACAGATTCTTCATGGATGCAGGAAAGTACAGGAAGGGCGGGAGTGAGAGGCAGAGGATGGTGGCGATTGGAGCTCTTGAGACTGGGGGACAGAGGATGACAGGAGTGGTGGAGGTTGGGACGTTCAAGGATGGGGATGGATGTCCGGTTGTGTACCACCTGAGGTTCAAGCCAACCAGTATAGGGTCGATAGGAGATGTTATAAACCCAGGGGTTGTTGAAGCAAGTGATGTAGGCAGGGTAGACGAGGGTGAAGAATGTGAGGATGCGGACAAGTTTGTGTATCCAAAAGGAGTAAGGTTTGAAACGGTGAAGGAGACAGGATCATTTCAGATAGTGTGGAAGAATCCTTCGGATACCTCTGAGGTTCTCCGTCGTCTTATTGTTTATTGCAGGCCATGTGTGATCTGAGTGGTGTGGTGCGATGATGAATAAAGCAAATAGTGTTATGCTTGTGTCCTGTTCTCTGCTACACATTTTTGGGCAGCAAGTTGGTCTCCTCTGGCTTGGATTTGTCTGGCGGATGTTTCTTCTTATGTGGTGGTTGGAGACATTGCAGATGGAGGATAGGAGGTTATTTATTGATCAGCTTTTGGCACGTGTCTCTGCCTCATTAGTAGGCAGAGGAGATTATACACAATGACTATAGATCCATACACCATAAGCCATAGGGACAGCAAGAGGGCAAGGACAGCCACTCTCGATGGTGCAGTAGGCAGAGTGCTTTTTCCAGGGGTGCAGTGCTTCTTCCTGAGCAGTCTTAGCAGGAGAGTGTAGGGGATACGATTGCAAGGTAGGAACGATACTTGGGCTCTTTTAAGATAAGTGATAGACTTCCTACAGAGCATAGTAGGATCGGGATGTCGATAAGGACGCTGGAATTGGTATTTGTGAAGGCGGTTTGTCCTGGAACAAGGCGGCAGGAGACGGAGAGGAGATAGACGATGGATACAATAAAAGAGGGGAGAGTTGTAGAAAGGAAGATTGAACCGCTACTTTCCAGTTTCCTTCCAGCTAGTGTGGGGCAGGAGAAGATACTGGGCTGCTGAGTATGAGGATTGGAAGAGCACGGTGATGAATCTGAGAAAAGGACTCTCCCCGAAAC